GATGTCGTCTCGATGTCGTCTCCATACCTTCTCAGTGATTTAAGACCTGAGACATTTTCCAAGACAGTAGTACTCTAATGACCCTATATCTCCAAACTTCTCCGATACTTCTGTACGAAATCTTCAGTCCCTAGCCGGGCATGGTAGTACCTACGGAAATGGGTATATAGTGTCATTCATGCCCATATTTCTGAGGTGATTCCACATGCCATGCCTCACCAGCCGCCTTGCACTTAACCCGTGGTATCTTCGGATCAGAATGCCGCGCAACCATCTCACTAGTCCCTCTGCATCTCAAACTCTCGAGAAAAAACCTAACATCAGTCGGACTGGACTTGCTTCCACATTTCCTTCGGACCGAGTTGCGGTCCGCGTGGGCTGAACGACCTCCGATCATTCCTGCTCCTGGTCTTTTCTGCCTCTGGCAGAACCCAGGAGATCCATTTGCAGATGAACATGGCCAAAACCCCATGGGGTACATGTGGCGCCAGGTAAGTCAGCATTTCTTTCCCTTCAATCCCTTTATCATGCTTGCCACAACCCATCTCTCGCTAGCCCCGGTCTCTGGTCCTATTCTCCACCGGCTCCTTCAGAGGTAACACTTGCATGTACTGCTTCCCAGCTCACTTGAAGTAAACCTATCACCAGTATCGCTATAATGTCCGGGGAAATCAAGGAAGCTACCAGGCAACAGAATGAGCATCAGAGAGATGGGGATCCACAGGAGGCCGTCGACGCAGTCCCACATCTCCATGTGAAAACATACTTGGTCCTATTTGTGAGTTCTGACTACCCTGAGAAACCTGATGCGTTACAAAGACAGGTACAGTCGAAGCACTGCTAACCCCAGTGTTCGTCTGGTTATGGATAGTCCATGTTCATCATGAGTTTCGTGGGCGTGTTGACCTTGGCCGCATCCGGAGCGGTGAGTTCCCTACCTTTTGTGTTGGCCACGGACCCTGAGATATCTGACATGGCTGTGCGTGTGGCAGTATGGATCCGTTGTGGCATCGGTGGTCGGGGGTGCAGACAAGGCCAGCTGGATGGTCGCCGCCATCGCTCTGCCCATGGTGGTGCTTGCCACTCCCGTCAGCCAGGCGGCCGACTACTGGGGCCGGAGATGGCCTCTAATCATCTTGACGGTATTGGGCCTCGTCGGGGCGCTGATCACCTCGCGTGCGAACTCGGTAAGTTGTTCAACTTGTAGACCCGGTTCGGCGACTGCGACTGATCATGATCCAGATCGGCATGGCCATCGCAGGGCAAACGTTCATTGGCTTCGCTTTTGCAACCACAGTATGTCCCATGTGTGACAAATCTCTCCCCAGCCCCTCGGAGTTTGTTCACGCGCTGGAGAAGATTTCAACTGAATACAAGTTCGAACATAGGCTCTCTCCTTCGCGGTTGTCTCTGAGGTGTTGCCGCACCGACACAGAATGAGCGGTCAAGCTGTCATCAGTCTGGTATGAACGTCCCTTTTTGATCTGATTACATTTCAGAATCATACAAACCTCTAACGCGCGTGACCTGGAACGGACAGGGAAATGGTCTCGGTGGCATAACAGGAACGATAGCAGGCGCCTCGCTCATTCAGGATCATGGACCCGAAGGCTTCAGAATTGTGAGTGGAATGGTTTCCCATGACCGGAATACCGCATCAAAATCATCCACTGACCTCATGTATAGCTGTGGTACATCGCCGTACGTTCAAGCCCCGACTACTAGGCTTTATATGCCAGGCCAAGCCCCGAAGGGCTGACTGACTACATTGCAGGCTGCGTTGTTCGCATTGTCCGCAATGATCTGCGTCTTCTGCTATAACCCACCAAAGCGTGAGCTGCAAACTTCGTTGACATTCAACCAGAAGATCCATTCGGTATACATTTGATTCTTGTCTTCGCCATGTTTACAGCCAAGCACTAGCCTTCATGCTGACACTTTCCGCTGGGGTAACAGCTCGACTGGGTCGGTGGTACCCTGCTCGGAAGCGGGCTGACGCTGCTATGCATTGCCTTTTCGTGGGCGGACAACCCTTGTAAGCTATCAATCAGTTCATGCAAGAGACTAGATTTCCTCGACTTGTCCTACGTCTGACTGACAATGGGACTTCACCTTAGATCCTTACCGCACCGCCCATGTGTTAGCACCCCTTTGCATCTCGATCGGGATTCTAGCTGCGTTTGGTGTCTATGAATGGCGGTTCACTTCGCAAGGCATGATGAACCACCGACTATTTTCGTGAGGACCCCGGGCAACGTGTTATGTTCATTCAAGAGAGCAGCCCAGTTTGCTAAATGACCTCAGTCGAGACCGAAATCTTCCATTGGCTCTGGTTGGGATCTTCTTCGAGGGATCAGGTGAGGATCCAAAGCCACCAACATTTACGTCGAGTGGTTGTCGATGTTTTTTCAGCAGTTGCTAACCTCGACTTCAGCATTCATTGTAAATGACCCAAACCACATGAAGCTGCCACGGAACCAGACTAACTTCATTGTGTTCAGGCTGCCAACAACTACCTCGCATTCCAATTCGGCGTGCTTTATGCGTCCAGACACATCCTCATCGGGGTCAAGTGAGTTTGCGAAGCCTGAGATTGTTTCTCTTTTCTCATCCATGGCGCTCCCACTGATGGATATACGTTCAGCTTTTCCGTTTCATCCATCGCATACTTGGTCGGTTGTGTCGCAGCTGCCTTCTTCTGCTACAAATACCGGCGGCTGGTGCTTGTTGCGGCGGCCGGCTTTGGGTTTTTCATCATCTTCTATGCTTGCATGGCTACCACGACCTTGAACAGCGACACCTCGATATGGGGATTCCCGGTCATCTTCGGCCTGGGAATAGGCTTCGCTCTCAGCCCCCTGGTGGCGGCCGCACAGTTCAGCGCACCTCCCGATTTGATGTGAGTTTTCAAACACATCAGAGCTTGCTGATCGCCCCAGGTTTGTCTTATTTGATGAACCCACGATAAACTGACGGCCATTTTTCTTATCAGATCTACCACCAGTGGGTTGATGGCAACATCCCGAGGCGTGGGCGTAACCATGGGCACTGCTATCTGTGAGGATAAGATATCTCCCCTCTCCCAGCTTTTGGAGACCCAGCTTTATTGATTGACGAAATTCATCAACAGACACTACCATATTCACCGGCAAACTGACGGGTTTGTTGCCCCAAAGGATCGCCGAGGCCGTTCTGCCTCTCGGACTGCCAGAAACCTCACTCCCGCTGTTGATCCATGACTTGGTCTCTAGCGATACAGAGGCCCTGGCCGAAGTCCCCGGAATCAATCCACCCATCATCAGCGCCGCGGTTACCGGCATGAAGACAGGCTACCTCAACTCTTTTCGGTTTGTGTGGATCACCGCGGCCGCATTATCTGGTACTGGACTCATCTGTATGTGGCCGACCCTTCTTGTTCGAGAGATGCCAGAATTTTGCTGACTTCTTGGGGTGTACATTTGTCAAGGTGTCCTGTTCATCAAAGATTTCAGAGAGAATTTCAATCTGGATATCGACGCACCGGCCGAGAGCATTGATGCACTGTACGGCGAGAAAGCAAGGGACCAAAGGGGGGCGTGATTGATTCACTATGGATCAGTGTGCGATTGCTTGGGTCATCTTCACGTGCGATGGACTCTGAGTTTGTTTCCTGCCCCTTCTCACACAGCTCTATCTGCAGATCTGATGCCGGATCGATTGCAAGATTGCAAGGAGTCTGACATGGGAACCAAAAAAGCTGCTCCAATCATTAAACTGTATTTCATTTTTCCGATAGTTACAGTAGTCTTGTTGACTTTAGATGGTCTCTCCCGCCTCCTCCTGGCATTCAACTACCGACCCATGTGTCCCAGACTCAGTCAGCGCCAACTTCTGGTCCGGGATAGCTGGAACGCCAAACGCATTCCACCTCGCCCATTGCGTGTCACTCAGGTTCCTCCACAGGTGGTTGACGGCCCGCTGGACGACCATGTCGCCGGGCATCAGCCGCCTCGTCTCGCCCGAATCCAACACCAACTCGACCTCGCCCTGGAGCAGGAAGTTGTAGTTCAGCGAGATGGTGCGGTGCATGGCCGTCTCTTGGCCCGGGGGCAGGTCGATCAGTCGCGCGACACAGCCGTGGGGGAGGACCATGCCCGGGGGGTTGGCGATCAGAGACTCGTACGCGCCGATGTCCTTCTCGTCGGTGAAGTCGGGGGGCGTTTGATTGGTACCGTAGCAGAAGGCGATGCGCATCCCGTCCGGGAGGTCGCGGGATGGGGGGACCTCGGGCAAGGTTGTCGAGAAGATGGCTTTGCCCTCGCCATTGTTGGTGGTGATGAACCGGTGTGGCTGTCGAGGTCTTGCGCCAGTGCTACCCGTAGGGCCGCTGGTCATACTCATCTTTTTTTGGTTTCTTGTTTCTCTTGGGAGGTTTCCTGAGCAAAGATTTCTCCCTGCTGGGAATAACATCTCCGTGGTCCTAGGTCCAGCCAAGTTATCATATCTTGTTTCGGTTTGATCGTTTGCAAGAGACCTATTTAACGTCGGACCGAGACTGAATGCGGCGGCAAGGGATGTCCGAAACATGGCTGCGGCTTCGGTGTGCTCCTCGGGCCGCTTCACATTTGATTGTTCCTAACCAGTCTGCCGGAGCTGGATAATAACATACCAAGCCATGGATTTTCCCGGTCGAGAATCGAAAGCAAGCAACACAGTACGCCGCTCAAGTGTCAGTGGCCTTGGTTCAGCGATCGACCCATCGACTGGGCAGCAAGCACGACTCCTCCTCAAGGGCCTCCGTAGCTTCGCATCATCCAATCTCGTCAAATTTACGTTTTGTTTTACGAAGGTGGACCCTGTTCCACTTTGAGATACCCGCGTGAAGGCTTTCCGCCTCGCTTCTTCTGCGCTTCTCGAGATGGCGTCATAGGCCAGAGCGCTATCTGAGTTATATACAAGGACATTATAGCATGGCCAGTGGGTCGTAGCCTCAGGCCTTGCAGGCGAAGTCCGTACATTGCCTATTCGTCCGGAGCAAAACCCAGAACGTTATTGCCAGCCAGCATCCCGTCGTTGAGCACCATGGAGTATATATTCCACCCCTCCATGTCAAACTGGTCAGCATCAAATGATTCCGGCTGTTTGTGTTCATGTCATCAGCACTTGGAAGTTTGGACGATTGTCCACGAATGCGAGGAGCAGAGGAAATGTACTCACTGGCTGAAAGAGGGACTGAGCAGACCCATCATCCCTGAGCTCCGCCGCCGTCAACGGAGGGAGAGGTACGATGTGAGTGTCTATGGGCTGCTTGCGATTTGCTGCCCGTTCCACCGTTGCACGAGCCAGACAGGCGACCTCCCTTGCGAACAGAGATCCTCGCTGCGATGCGGTTAGATATTCCATGTGACTGTAGTGCCCAGCCGCAACGTCCAGCAATGCTACGTCCGCGAGAGCGGAGGGTTGATCGGGGCCGTTCAAAATGTACACAAATAAGTTGGTCAGACCGGCCAGGGGGAAGTAAAACGACGCCCATTGTGGTATGGTGGCGTCAATGTGCATGGACTTCGCGATGAGGATGAGCATGCGCGCGGCCTCGGCGACCTGGGTGGCTCTGATGGCCGCTTGCTCCTGGAAATGCGGGTGCTTATCAAGGCCCAGGATCGAACCGACCCAAGGGAATGCGAAGATGGCGTAGTTCGATTGAATGCCCAAGTAGTACATGACCTGGAGGTAGATGATGTGGAGAGGACGCATATTCGGTCTCAGCAAGGCTAGCTGGATTGGTTTCCCGGGAGTTTGGAAGTCGGCACCAACGCCTTCTCGCCACTCCTCGGCCTTACGACGGATATCATTCGCTGCTTCGATGATTTCGGCGGGGTTCTGTCTCAGGGCTTGGACGGAGCACAGTCGACTGCCCATGTCCGAGGCCAGCCGAGCGGCCTTGACGGCATCCGTGAAGAACTTCACATCAATCGTGCTTCCTGGGGGTGCCTGCCGGGGGATCTCGCAGCTGATGTTGTCGTCGTCGATTGCCGAGGGCCGCCCTGAGCGGAAGGATATCAGCTTCTCGAGACTAAAGATCGCCCAGAACAACCAACTGCGGTGCATGGCCTCGTTCTCCGACAGGTTCAGCGACTTGGACGGTTGTCGGTGCAGGCCTTTGGCCTGGGCCAGCCGGACGGCATTGGCGCACATCATGTATTCGAAGCACTCGTTGGCGGCCGCCTCGACGTAGAAGGCCATGGCCGTCACGGCGCGGATGGCTTCGATCCCCGACGGTCTGTAGATCAGATCCGTGTGCACGGCGAGCGCGTTTTGGAAATATCGAAACCCCTCGGCCTGCGCATCCGCGTACGGCGTGGAACCGTCCTTCAAAAGCAGCTGCCGACAACCGGCTGCGTAGACCGTGTTCCGCAGGGCGTACCAGGCCACATCCTCGCCGCTTCCGCCTCGGCCACCCGGTAAGGATGAGGATGAGGGCGCACCGCCTTGCCGAAAGTGGGCGTGCAGACGAGCCTCGAAATCCGGGCGGTAGACAACGCCGAAAACAGACTCGAAGCAGTGGTCGAAATACGCTGTGCAGTATTTCCACGCCGTCGCGGGTTCAGGCTCACTGCCGTCGACGCGGTTGCTGTTCGTCGGGGTTTTGGTATCGAATTGCCATCGTCGGTTCCACGCCGCCGTGAGTTTCTGGGCGCTTTTGGCGAAGTTTTCGCCGCCAATCTTTTCCGCGGCCCAGGAGACGCCGGGCTCCGAACACAGGGATAACCATGATCCAGGACCTGTATGTTCAACGATCAGTCCGAGGCATCTGTACTTCATGGTCGCTGCAGGCTTCCACTTACCATGATGCTCCCAGATTTGCGTCGGGGTTGAGAAAGTGTACTCGTTCGTGTCATCGTTGCCCACACTCCGGTCGTCGAGAGAGAAGGCCGAGTCGATGGTCGCAGTCTGTCCAGACCACGGTGGAGGGGTACGCATGGAAGGTGGTGGTGGAGGATGTGTATTCAGAATCTTTGCCGGCGTCCTAGGTTGGACGGCGACCGTCTCCGAGCCCGGACTCGACATCTCTTCCAAGACGTGCCGAGGATGGCCCATGATCGTGCGAGTCGTCGTCGTTGTCGTCGTCGTCTTTGCAGTCGCGGTCGACTGAGTTTCTCCGCCCACGCTTTCAGGAAGTTGCGGCAACCTAACGAAGCTGGAGCTCTGCATCATAGCCTCCATTCTTGCCATACGGTCTTCAAGCGAGTCCCGTAGCCGGGGCTTGACTCGTTTGCCTCTCTGTGACGGTGGATAGAAGCACTCCTTGTCATTATTGGTGCAATTCCTGCAGGGCGTTGTCCCGTCACATTTGACCTTACGCGTGCGACAGTAAAGACAGGCTCGCGGACAGTTGGGCACCACTCTGGCATTCGGCATCTTGGGGAATAGATAGAGGAAAGGAAGAAGCTAAAGAGCCAGCAACAAGGAAAAAAGGTACAGGCATGAAGTTAATCTTCGATTGCGGACACATATACACGCATACCCTGCCCTCGTGCTCCTCCCGCACAATTGCCCCAGTATTTCACAGATTTCGCCTGGCACGAGCACTAGAGTGGTGGCCACTGAGCACTGAGCACGCTCTGGCAGCACGCGGGGAAGTGGAGCTGTCACTGCCCAATGCTTTCAAACCTCCATTGCTGGTCGATTGGTAGTAGTGAGGCCCTGGGCCAGCCGCAGACATCGCGGGAGTGGGGCCCCTTTCCTATCTCGGTGTCTTCGGCGACCTTTGCACTCCGCACGGGCCCAGGCTGAAAGAACGAACTCCGTCAATTGTTCTTGGACGAGAACATCATGCCGGGACCTCGGTACGGAGTGCTCTTGGCCCGATCTCAATCCTCGTCTTCAGATCCTTGTCGCTCTCCCCGTTTTGCATCCTCTGTATGAGCTCTTCCGGGTCGAAATCGGTGCCGATAGCTGCAAAGCAAGACCTGGTTAGTAAATCTCATCCACGAACAGTACACAGCAGTAGCATCAGGTCCATACGGTTCTCTCCGAACAATGGGCCTTTGATGAACTCATCAGCCGCCTCCGCCGTGTCGAAGTTGTCGACCTGGGTTTCCAGCATGTTGCCGTCGGGATCCTTGTAATAGATGCTGGTGGTCGGGCCGTGGTTCACGCACCAGTGCGGCTGGATGCCAATTTTCTGTCGCTGGCGGTACGACAACAGCAGATCTCGGAGACTGGGATAGCTGTAGGCGATGTGCTCCAGGCCGCAGCTGGTGATGACTTTCGCCGACGTCCCGGGCACTCCGATGAACGCGATGCGGTGGTGCTCCTCGTCGTAGGTGATGAAGCAGATGAATTCGTTCTCGTGCGCCACGCGACCGCCCAGGAAACCAATGTAGAAGTCTCGCATCTTCTTCAGATTCCCCGTTCGTAGCACCACGTGCGCGAAACTGGTCGGTGACAACACTTTCCCATCCCAATGGTCGAAGTCGGACATGGTGGTGAGCGAAACTGGACTACAAATCTTGCACTCAGTAGTTCTGGAGTATGCAAGATATGCGCATATATACCCGGAGCCCTGATCACCTTTTTGAGGGCTTTATCAGCATCGCCAAGAATGATCTTTCTGTCGGCCTGAGACCGAGAGAGATGCACCGCTCCGATGGACTGGGCTGCGACCTCTCCGGACCGTCCGCCTCCGAATGACGGGGATACGAAGGTCGCCTCCACGCTTTACCTCCGGGCTCCAAAGGTCTTGAGATATCAAGATGATGAGTACTAGTAGGGGACGGAGGTGCGTACAGTTTGATCCATACTCACGCAGGTATCATCGCTCGCCTATAGAATCAGTTCACACGATGGAAGCGGTCCAGTGGCCACCCACACCAGTCTCGACAGAGGTCAAAGACCTGATGTCCCTCTTCTTCACTCTCATGGATAAAGTCGACCCAGCCGCTGGGCAGCCGCTTGCGGAGGAAGTGTTCACACCTGACGCATCCATATCGACGCCATTGGGGTCGTTCAAGGGCAAAACCGGTGCGTACAATCCGCGTTCCTCTAGCATTCGAAATTGAAGACATGGAGAGCTACGACCCAAACTAATCTAAAATCTTCTCTCAGCGATCGCGGCGTGCCGGAGACACGCATGGGATACCATCATATTCCGCAAGCACACCATTGAAAGAGTCTACGTTGGTGACAAAAGCGGGAAGGACCTCATCGTGGCGGGCACCGTGGAAACCCGGGAAAAGGACACAGCACCGAAATTCTCGCAGTTCGCGGCACGAGTGATCGCAAGGGGCGAGGCTGATGCCACGAGATTGAAGAGCTATCAGGCATGGGGTGGAATCGTCACCTCTGTTTGAGATCCTAACGGCATTCTTGTTACATATCCTTCGTAGTCGAGATGGTACGCCTCCGGGTTGACTGGGATGCAGTCAAAATATCCAGCCAGAGTATTTGCATCGACTTCACTGAGGGAGCTGTTCTCGCAAGGGTTCCCCGGCTATCGCAGGAGCACCTTTACCTGGATATTTCGTAAAGACAACCGGCAGCGATGCGGTGATGCCAGGACTCGATTTCCTGGTTCGCTTACAAATAGCGTTGGCGGTTAATCTCGGCTTTAGGGCGCCTTTTTCTAGCTACGGATAATTTCTGGTAATATAGAATCGGAGAAAATCTTTTACAGTGGCCAAGAATGAAGAAATCTGCAGCCGCCTCACCCCCTGCGGTCTCGGGAGGCAAGGATATGGAGTGAAGGGTAACTTATTCCATTTTTGCGAGAGGTAATGTCATTGGATTTGAACCCACATTCGATCTATAAAGGTTCAGCGCTAGAGACGGGGATGGGCTTGTCCTAGGCACAGATCAGACAGAACTTCTTGGGGAACAGCAGCAATTACTGTGGATGGAGTGGTGGAGGCGTCTTGCGAACGAATACATGACGTACCCAGCTAATCCTTGGCAGTACCCAATGAACTATTTACAGCTCCTCAACTTCAGGAACTCTAAAGTATTGTTTGGATAGACTGATACTTTCCAGCCCGAACAGTCACCAAAATCCCAGCCACCGGATGAGAATGGTGGAGATCATTTCAAGACAATCTCCACATCAAGGTCAAGCTTGTCCATAATGGAGGAAATGGCGTTATCGTATTGTCCTGGGGTGATCTCAGTTCCGGTGAGTCCGTCTGTGCGATCTCTGATGAGCGCTGAATAGATTGGAGGCGGTGATGTCTCCACGTGTCGCAGCAAGTCCGTGAGTGTGAGGGACCGTTCTGCGACAACTTGGATTTTCCTGAGTAAATGGACCTTTGGCTTTTTGCCATTTCCAGCGCGTTTGAAAAGATGAAGATCCACAAAAGAGTACGGTCGTTTCGGGAGTCCAATGATTGCAGGCTGTGGCACATCGATGTAGACAGGTGGCATTGTTGGTCGATGAATGGTGAGGAGATCCATCGAGGTCTTCCTTGAGGAGGTACTCGCGGCTATCTCCACCAAGCTGGATCTCGTAATGTCCGATGTCCAGCAAGCCAAGTCCAATGGAACACCGTCGGACCACAATTCCCATGCACCGGGTGCCGGCAGCCCATTCTTGTGGACAGCCGGCTGCGTCGCTCGAAGGAAGCGGTCGACGAAGATGGTGAGCTCCTACCCTCATCAGCTTCACCTTTCGAATTGTAGGACAGGCATCTCACTGACTTCAAAATGATATACGCTGTCAGCCCGAGCAGAAACGGCTTCATCGCTTCCACGGATCTTGAATCGAACGTGCAGTCGAGATAGCCGCAAGCGTAGCTCGAGGGGAATAGGTAGGGTCGCGGCCGCAGCGGCGGTGGTGGCCATTGTTGTCACCGACTTGAGCATCGACCTCTAGCCGGCAGGACATGGGGTGGTCTGAACGTATTTATCACCGTCAAAGTGAAGAGCTTAAACCTCAGAGAGGATTGACTTTCAATAGTGAGTCTCACTGCCTGCCAAGCTGACGTCACGATGGTATACTGGGAAGAGGTCTGCGGCGAAACGTTCCCGGACCTCGAGACATAAGGGCAACGTACTTCACCCCCGTCTTCTTCTATTGACTCTCTCGTCTTGCTACTCCAGCTAATTTTGAGATACAGTTTCCCTTACCATCGATCGAGATGTTGATCGAAGACGCTAAGCGCTTGGAGAAAATCGACAGGCTATACGAATTGCGCTTGGATCAGTATATCTCACTGCCCGTGGTCAGTTCAGGCCGTCTTCGTCGGAGGTGCTGGCTCACATAACCCAATAGCTCGCTGTCGTTGGCGACCAGTCGAGTGGCAAGAGCTCTGTTCTCGAGGGCCTCACGGGCCTACCATTGCCTCGAGACTCTGGCCTATGCACTCGATTCCCCACCCAGATTGTCTTCAAACGATCGCAGGCGAGGCGTATCGAAGTCAGCATCATCCCCTCGTCGGAGCCTGGTGAGCGAAAGAAAGTGAGGATCCATGATTTTTCACGTCGGTACAGCCAAGATGGCGATGCGTTTGATCCTCGGGACTTCGTCGCTGTTCTGAAAGAGGTATATTTATTCTAAATCTCTCGGAGGTCTTATGACTCAGTTCAATCCTAGGCTGCCGAGATTATGGAAGTCCCATCCGCAGGGCAATCCCCAGAGGACTCGTCGCATTCTTTCTCAAATGACATCTTGAAGATCGAAATGGCAGGCCCTCAGCATGAACACTTTAGCGTGATCGACCTACCCGGACTTTTTAGAAGTAAGCAAGACGCGGCGCTGTTGTGAAATAGATTAACAGAGCTGGACAGAGCCAACCCCGGGCCAAACCACAAAAGAAGATATGGTCCTTGTGAAACAAATGGTTGCTTCCTACCTCAACAACGCAAGAGCCATAATATTGTTTGTCTTCGTCACCCTCCAGATGTACCACACTGACCGGTCTTCAGAGCTGTGGTACCGGCAAACGTGGACTTGGCCACACAGGAGATTATCCAGATGGCCGAGGACGCCGACCCCGAACGGACAAGAACACTCGGCGTGTTGACGAAACCCGACCTCGTCGACCGCGGTGCCGAATCGGCGGTACGCTGCTCCAGCGATACGTGAAATTCACTAACGTTCTATAGATCATCGATCTGGTGAAAGCAGATGGTAACGTTCGTGGCCTCGGGTACACTTTGGTGTGTAATAGAAGTCAGAGCAATCTCGGAGCATCTACGACGGAGCGTGACCAGAATGAGATTGACTTCTTCAATGCGGGTCTTTGGAGCACCCTCCCTAAAGATAGGGTGGGCATCGCTGCTCTGAAGCAGAGGCTGAACGCTCTGCTTGTGGGGGTGACCCGTAACACCTTTGCAGATGTTATGCTTGATCTAGAAAATCGCATCGATAAGGTCCAGCAGGAACTCGACTCCATCGGGTCACCACGCACCAGCCCGGCCGATCAAAGGCTGTTCTTACTTCAAATCTCGACAGTTTTCCAGTCCCTAGCAACAAAAGCTATCGACGGCTACTACGGGCGAGACCTATGTTTCGAACGATGTGAAACTTTGCGGCTTGCTACAGTTGTCATGGTAGAAAATGAACGGTTTTCTCAAAACATGTTCCGCCATGGGTCACGACGCCGATTTTCCTCAGATGAGGACTCCACATCAGATGATGAGCCAGTGGAAAATGACGGCAATAAACCACCCACCGACTCAGAGAATGCTGTGAACGAGACGTTCGAGGAGCAACACAAAGAGTATCCCGAGCTGAGGACCCTGAAACCCGTATTGGCGAAGATGCAGCACCCAAAAGAGGAGTCTGTGCAAGAGTGGATTACTCGGGCGTATCGCAACTTCAAAGGATTCGAAATTGGCACGACAAACCCATCGTTGCTGCCTTCTCTGATCCGGGAGCAGACGAGTTCTTGGCACTATCACGCTGGTTCGCATACGTACAATGTCATTGTACGGATACATTCCTTCCTCCAAAGCTTGTTGCACCTTGTGTGTTCCGATACCAGCGTGTGCGACCGGATCTGGGTTAGGATCGCACCGACGTTGAAAGCGGCTTACAAGACCGCCATGGATCACGTCTCTTTCCTCGTCAATGTGGAGTCGTCCGGCTTTCCTGTGACACTGAACCACTATTTCGTCGATAATCTGAAGAAGCAGCGCCTGTCCCGGATTGAGAAGCGTCTGGGTAAATTGAAATCCTGGCATACGAATGACGAATCGAAGGAGCCCCTGATCCGACTTGCCGACACTGTGCAGAGTTATGTCAACAACGAACAGCACAGCATTGAGGACCTGCACGACATCCTCAAGTCGTATCACAAGGTTGCTCGCAAAAGGTTTGTAGATGCCGTCTGCAAGCAAGTGGTGGATCACCATCTGATATGCTCCCCGGAGGGACCACTATGGGCACTCTCGCCTCAGTTTATCGCACGACTTAATGAGGATGAACTCCATCATTTGGCGGGGGAAGATGAAGCAACTCTAATCCGGAGGAAAAATTTGAAAATCGAGCTCGAGAGTTTGTTGGAGGGCCAGGATATCATACAATTCTGACCGGTTGGGCACAAAGTGGCTATTCGCATTGCAGGAGCCTCAGAACGCACCAACGACTAAGATTTTTCTGTTACTATAGCGTCAATGCCAGAAAGTTGCAATGTGTCCGTAGATGATGGTCACTTCCGGGAACGACTACATGATACCTGACCACAGAGACTTGCCAAACCGGTTCCCTGCGCAGGAATAAACTCAGAGATCCCTTGATTTGGAAGGAAACTAACTCTACCCTCCAAGTTGCATCGAACAATCCTTGCCCGACGCGTAAAAGACCAAATTCAGCCCCGCGAGGCCTACTGTCAGGGTCGAAGACGGGAGGGCAATAATCGGAGGGGTTCGAAAGAGTTCTGACACTATCTAAAGCTATGAATGCTATTGAATACAAGACGAAAGAAGTGAATTGCACAACCTACAAGCCAGTATTTTGCCAGTAACTATGTTTTGTTTCGTATTATTCTCGTACGATTGAGCTATATATATACTTTGGTGGTGGAGCATCATGGATCTCGAATAATTCATCTGTAAAGTCCCTCGAATGCGCCAAATTTGAATGGGTCGGAGCAGACGCTAGCTGGATCGGTACTTCGAGAACGAAGTTTCCGACGCTCACACCAGTCGCTTTCAGCACAATGATGAGGCCATATTGCCTCGCTGCAATGGCGCTGCAAAAAGTGGGCGTAATGTCGTCGGGCAACTTGACGGGGAAGGAAATTTCGCTGTGCCACTGTGTTGGCAGTGTTTCGCTCTCCTTTATTGGACGGACGTTGTGCCCAATTGTGGACCCAAGGGTGCATCCTTTGCTACTTGATCCGCCAGCATTAGTGTCCACGAGTCGCCGAGAGGTCAAGGATCGATCGACCTGCTCTAATTTTAGGACTTGGTCATGGAGCCGATAAGGGCCGTTCACAGTCAGAAGAGTTTGTACAGGGAGTTTCGGGAATGGTTGAGTGGAATAAAACGTTTTCGCTCGCAGCGCGGGGATGATTTTGAACCCGATTCTGTGCAGAAATACGGCGAACGCCCCGGTATCAATGTTACTTCGTGATGCTGTGACACTGATCCGAATTATCATTTACGTAGCTTCGAATGGTTGGTCTTCCATGATCAGTGCGGGAGAAGGCTCCACAGCGGTAAGATCCATCATGTATGTCTGGAAGCTAAAGACCGACCGTCGAAGCGAACGGCTTTGTTTTGTCACAAAGCCATTGAACCAGTCTTCAGTATCGTATGGAGGGAATACCTCATGGGCGGCGCGAATAGGGGTCTCCAATTGGTGATACAATTTAGTGGTCTCTCTCCCTGCGCGAGAGCCGGACAGAGCTGCTACAACTTTGAGATTGTACTCAATCAGCGGTTGAGCGTAGGTAGCGGCGTCGGCGTCGGCGTCGTCCGTCAAGATAGGCCCGTGACAAAAGGTTGGTGGAAGGGGAAGACACTGTCTGGGAGAGCTCCCACTTTTTGGGGTCACCCATTTAGAAATAATGAAACAAAACTGAGAGGAATATACATAAACGCCAGCCTCTGTGGCATTTAATATTCCAAAACTCTCCAGGTCGAGTGACTGTGTCAGGAACTGGACGAAAATCATTAGCTGGTCCTATCTTGCTGGTCCGCGACTCACTTGGTATCTTGACTTTTGTGTTGTGATTTTTCCTTGATCCGCTTTGCAGACACTTTGTGAACTCGGAATTCCCCTATGGCGATTTGACAAGTTAATGAGACTCTCGTCGGCAACCCCCCAAACGTACACCTTCAAAACTAATTTGAACGTGCTCTATGGCGAGCGGCTCCCTACTCGTAAGGTTCACCACCCCGTTGAGCTCCTGCAGTGGGCTCCAAACCTCAATATTTGATATCTTTTCAGAGCCCCCGGCGTCGAAGGGATGGGACTATTCACTGTAATTGAAATTCGAGGTGCCATGCCAGGCCCATGCTGGGCAGGCAAAGCTTGCACTGTCGTGCGGTCCATGTGAATAAAAGAAAGGTCCAGTGGGTATTTCGCACACACTTTATTCCTGGAGGTGCGCCGCTGGAAGAGTCTTTATGTGGTCAGAGAACACACTCTTTGGTAGTTAATCAGCCTGGGTAAACAGATCGGTCCGGATGGCAGGAGACTCCAGACTTCTCTCTCGAAATGGTGGGAACTCTCACCGACTCAACCAAGATCAGCCGGAGTCGAGAAGGCATTGTGTCGAGAGATTCTGCCTTGATAGCAACGACTGGTGGTGAGTCAGCTCCTCCGTCTAATTGACGGCTGGCTTTGTGGGTATCCTAACTCGCCGTGTAAAAACTAGCTCTGTGTCGACTAGGTGTAAGGGCCATTGGCATTCGGTTTCCCTCTACTCAGCGACAGGTCTTCACCCTAGGGAGAAGGGCGAGCTGCTCTGGGAAGCAAATCAGGTGGTAGGAATGACAAATCGTGGGCTGGGGCTCCAATGCAACAAGTCTTGTACAACACTAAGCAGCGAGGATAGGTATCATGGCACTCCCCAATCTTTTTCATAGTTTTGCGCTAAATACAATTCGGGTTAAGAGACTTTAGTCAGTGCTTGCTGTTTATTGGCTCCGACTCTCACAAACTTCTAGTAGCTCCATCAGCCTGGGGCGCCGAGCACTTTGATTGAAACTTTTGTGTGCTTGATGGAATGCTATGCATGACTAACTTCCTTGTTGAGCTGATAGATCTATGGAAGATAATGAGTCGCCAGATGAAGCTACAGCATCGGTAAGGAATGGAGTAGATTATTTTTCTTCTGGCTGATACTGTGCTTGCCAATCTCGTACACTCTGTGCTCCCTGTACGTTCTCATTTCTCTGTGGTAAAGTTATAAATCGTGGGAGCGATTACTACGATTGTTGACACGATTGCTAGCCCCTAGTTTGCCACATATGGAGAAGATGGTAATGCACGGCTCATTTTCGCCCCAGTTGATCCGTCAGTTAGCGCCCACTCACATGTTGAACGCTTCCGTCACCCCTGCTAAAGAAGAGGTAACCAGCACAAGAGATCAACTTGCTTTTGCTTGACTTCCAACCTCAACACACAAATGGATCTTGTGATTGTACCCACCTGCATATGCCATTGGCGCGGACTAAGTGAGACGTTTAGCAAAAGTTCTCTCGTTCTAGCAGTACAAAATGATATATTAAGAGCTGACTATCAAACTTGAAATGCTCTTATTTACAAATTTCCGGGATTTTCTGTGAAAGTAAGATACAATTCTCCAAAATGGGTTCAAACGATCTCTCTCCTAAGGAAGCAGTCTTCAATACCAGCCCCAGCATTCGTCATACGTCCACGTTAAACATCCACGACCAGAGACGTAAGTCGTTGGCCGAGGCTGATAGGGCACCTGTTGGCTTTCCCACCTGCGAGCTGTCCTTGTTGCTGGCAATGATTTCTTTACAGATGCCTATGACTTTTTCAGCGCAAACTTCATCACCGCCATCATCGGATTGGTATATTTTCCAAGTCATAAGATTCCCACATCTGCAGATACCGCCCTCAAGCTTTCGACAAAAGCGGAAGCAGTCTTTAGTCAAGTCATCTTTGGATGGCTCGCAGATAAGGTGGGAAGGAAGAAAATGTATGGCCTGGAATTGATCATTATATTGATTGGAATATTCGGTCAAACCATAACTGGCGAGGGTCCTGCCTTTTTCTTTCGAGGTCCATTGATATTCTGGAGGGTTTTTTGGGTATTGGTGTCGGAGGCGACTGTCCTCTTTCATCTGTGATCTCGTCAGAGTTTGCAACGGTAAAATAGCGTGGAGCATTGATGAACGCGGTTTTCGCATGTGAGAACTCTTACTTCAATGGGGCAGAGGTGTACTGACCTGCTATTATAGGCAGGGATTTGGCAACCTATCAGCAGCGCTTGTCTCTTTTGCTTGCATCGTTGCTTCGAAGGATGCTTTATTACCGGCCGCCACAGCGTCGCAGTGCGACGAGCGATGTTAGGTCGTTGCTGATAAGGTGTGGCGCACCATTGTTGCATTCAGCACAGTCCCTGCTCTTTTAGCGGTGTACTTCCGCTTAACAATCCCAGAGACACCACGGTATACTGCGGATGTCGTCTTAGATGTCGAAAAGGCGCGAGGGGACGTTGAGGCATACCTTCGTAGCAAGCGACAGGGAAAAGCGGAGGAAGGTCATGCTCATATTGCTGAGGCTCGGAGAAGAACGAATCGCCCAAAGCAACATGGTCCGAGTTCTTCACACACTTTCGGCAAAGGAAACATGGAAAGACCTTGTTGGGGACGGCAGGTTCGTGGTTCTTTATTGACGACAAGTCGGTACCTGACAGGATACGAACTCTAGTACACAGAATTCGACACATCCATATCAAGGGGAACGTCATTTCCGAGTCACAGATCATGCCCAAGGTATGGGCTGTTCCCTATCCATCAACTCGAAAACCGCGAGATTCTTAACCCTGCAGCTTTGGCTTGTACCACAACCTAGTTCATTCCATACATCGTCAGGGTTGTTGCGACCACGAAGACCTGCAATGATCCTTGCGGCTTCCTCGCACGAAGTCTCTTCAGCATGGATATGAGTCTCTTCAGATGTGGTTCGGATACCACGAGGACGACAGTCGTTACCCAGGCCAGTTTCGCATCTGCGGTCACGGAGTTGGCACTCTATAGGAGCTAGAGTCTCTTGAGTTGTCGGGGGTCGGTTGCTGATTAAATTAATTTGTGATTCAACTTGTACTGGCTGTAGCGTGTCCATGCCTGTCGATAAGGTAAGTGGGGACCTGTATCCGTAATCGGGAAATTCTGGGCTACTTTCGACGCCTTGTTTCTCTTCATGCGCCCTTGTTGGTCCTGTAAAGTTGAAATCTTGGGTCGCTCTCGCCCTCCCCGCTTCCCCAGGGTTGGTTGCCAACATACAGTTGGATGCTAACTCTTCAGACACTCCAGACCTCCCCATTCTATTCCCGAGCTGAAGAGACTTTTGTGCATTAATATCCGTGGCGTTATTCAATTCGAAAAGGTATTTGCTGATTTGGTATGCGTCGACTCCAAACTGCGTTTCGAGCAGGCTTCGTAGGAGGCGATTTTCCTTCTGCACCTGCTGGGCTGCAAATTGCACTTCTTTCGTTGCCCAGACGCCTTCATCCTCCAGCTTCCGGATACGCTGCTCTAATTCTTTGACGTACGCTTGACGTCGAGTACGAAAGTTGCGTTGGTTAAGACGGTTTCTATCGACGGTTCGTCGCCGCAAAGAATCCTACCGTATTTAGCAGGGAATTCCAAGGGAAGGGGTTTGAGAATGCTGTGTCCGTACCCATGTAGCCATGCCGTATTCAGGGGGTAACAAGGCCTTAATGCTTCAGATGATCGGGGCAGCTTCCTTCGGAACAGTAATATGATTGGAGGAAGAGCGTGAGAAATAGCATTGCAAGGATATAGAGACCAAGGGCAGATATTCCATAATAGTCAGTCTTCACTTCCTCCGCGCATCTTTACAGAACAAAAAGAAAACCAAACTCTTTAGTTGTTGAGGTAGGCAGTTTAATTAGGTGGAAATCTCGAAGGTGGTCTGCTCTCCGCTTCAAAATGGGTAGGGACTTATTTGATGAATCAAGCTTCTGGCTGCCAAGTCATGCCATCCCGGAAGCCGCTTACACCGACCTGGTCAGTGACGAATGAACACCGCCGAGTGACAAAGCGATCTCGCAAACAAAAGCGTTCCAACTACAGGCGAATAATTCCCTCAATCCTTTGTAGCAGGGCACCTGGCGAACATCAAGGGTGCAGCTCCCTTCAGCGGCCTTTGAAACTGCGAGCTAACATCAATTCATGAGATGACAGCTCAACTCATGAACACTGCTTGTTTGATCACTCATGTCTTCAGCCTTGCGCAGTCATTGCTACTTCCTACCGAAAGGGCACTCAAATTTAGATACCACAAAACAAGGTAGCTACCGTATCTCGACCTCCTGTCTGCGCCAAAGCACACCATTCGCAGATACCCTCCAATATCCCCAAATCCTGACCAAACCACTGATGAATAGCGATCTCAGTAATACAGCCTCTATGCGTGTGATCGTGAAACCTGAACATCATCCTGATTTTGCGTACCGACCGCTTTCTATACCACCATCTGTTGACGAACCTACGATCCGTTCGAGATATCGACCGTTCCTGCTCTCTGGCAATATCCAACAGATACCTAGGCAGCCGAAATTTAAGAGACATAATGCTGGCTAGTGTAGATAAACTAAATGGTCTAGAACGAATGATGGCCTCTGTGTATCAGGTCCGGGCTGCGACTACTGGGCCACCAAAATGGTCTCGTTGGGAAAGCTACCACATTTGAAATTTCGACATCAGCTTTCGTTAAAACTCTGCTATCAATATCCTGTGCCATTAGTCTTGCCAATTCCAACGATTGGCGAGCCATCTCAGAAGATAAACAAGTGAAATCAAAACCGGAACTTCAATTAGCGGACCGACGGTAGTGGCCAGCGCCTCGTCACTGTTGGCTCCAAAAGTGGCTACCGCAACCGCAATTGCCAGCTCGAAGTTGTTGCTAGCTGCAGTGAAACTCTGAGTAGCTGCCAGTTTGTATCCAAACCCGATACGCTTGGTGATCAATAGAGTCAAAAAGAAGATAATTACAAAGTATACAATAAGAGGAGCGGCAACTCGGAGAACTGAGACAATTTGATGGACGACTTGCTTCCCCTGCGAGGCGAACAGAACGAGAATGGTGTAAAGAAGCCCCAAGAGTGACCAGGGAGCGATCCACTTGAGGAATGTCCGGTCGTACCAGGTAGCGTTAATGGTCCTAAGGATGAAGCGGGTCGTAATGGCAGCTCCAAGAGGTATCCCAAGAAAGACTCCGACGCTCCGGGCGACTGTGGAGTATGCGACTTTGGAGCCTCCGCCGTGACTTATAACGTTGACAAAGAGAATAGCTAGGGGTGCGTAGAGGACCATCTGTAGGATTGAGTTGAACGCGACGAGAATTGCGCAATACTCCTCATCGCCCCCAGCAAGACCTGTCCAGATTAGGACCTTCGACATAATCACAATTTCGTCAATGTATATTCAATCAAAATCTCATGGACTCGGCACGCTTACCATGGCAATGCAGCGTGCCAACCCCACGAATATAAGGCCATTTCGAAGTTCAGGTTTATCAGGGAGGAAGGCCCAAGCCAATCCGAGCTTTCTCGTTAGCATATATGTGAACAAGGATTCCTAGAGTACACCATACCATAAGAAGAGGCGCGATGATCCAGTTAGCCACGACGCTGAAACCAAGCTGAATCCAAATCTGGCGATGCGCAAAAATACGATGCATGGTCTCATATTTGACTTTGCAAAGGATTGGGTACATCATCACCAACAGACCGACAGCTAAACCGCAGAGTTCCAGTCAGCCATAGAAGGAGGAAGAAGAGAATCATTCAATCGCTCTTACCTATGGGAACGGAGACCTGGACAAATTTGCCTTTCTGGAGAGCTGGCCCAACACCGTCAACAAAATTGCCAAGCAAGATGCCGATGATGATTGCTAACAGAATCCAGAGGACGAGTAGTCGGTCCAACCACCCAAGGCCCGCATATACTGATTTCTTTTGTCCCGTTTGTTCTCGACTTGGCTGTTTCTCTGCGTCAATGTTGGTAGGTAAACCAGCGGTATGCCGACGAGACTTTCGATCGTCCCCGGTACCTAGGTCCTCGCGAAGGTATGACATTCTGACACAGGGAGAGAACCTGATGTGATTGTGTCGCACAACTATCTGAAGGTAAGGATTTCAGCCGATAGAGTAGAAAGGATTGAGCTCTGGTGAATGGTCCAGCGAGCGAGGCCTTCTTCAGCACCTTTTATTTGCCATTTCCGTCACGCTCCAGGACGTGCTAGCTTGACTAGGAAATATTTTCGACAAATGATAGGGCGCAAGTGACTAAGCCAAGACATCGTCAAAGGCTCCACATCAACTGGTGGTGGCGCTGTTTTCCTGCTGAAAGAATGCTTCTCCCGAAAATCTGATTGATCTCCCACGCAGGTCTATCCGACTCTGTCCTGCTCATAATAGAAAATACCTCCCATCTCATTTCTGTTATTTCATGTCTGACAAATCAAGGCTCTGTTTGATTCCGTGAGCTCGAGAACACTGAGTGATGGCCCAAATACCCACTTGGTACGAGGCATATCCAAAACCGCGAAACCAATCGCCGACAGCGGTTTCTCGACAAGAATTACTACAGTGGCTTCAAGGTGGAAAAGTCCCAGGGGTTGACTTCCTCCTAATCGACTTGCGCAGAACGGATCATGAGGTGAAGAGAAACGGCCATGCTGACGAGGGTCAATGGCTTACTGGTAATGTGCAGGGAGGAACGATCAAAGGTTCTATCAACCTTCCCGCGCAAAGTCTTTACCATAGCCTCCCTACTCTGTTGAATCTATGCCAGAGTGCTGGCATACGAACTGTAATCTGGTACTGTGGTAGGTCTTCGTCAAACATTTTTGCGGCTGCCGCTCACTTTCCGCCTTTTAGGTTCATCCAAGGGTCGTGGGACTCGCGCTTCTGGATGGTTTCAAGACCTGCTCGATGATCAACAAGTCTCTGGGATGACAAATGCAATCCTATTGGATGGGCTTGCCGGTTGGGCTCGAGCAGGCGATGAGTACACGCGTCTTATGGAAGAATATGACCCCGAGAAATGGTTGAATGAAAAATAGAAAGGCTTCGGTGAGAACATCCGACAACTTGGAAGGTGGCCACCAATATAACTAGATTGAGAGCTTTGGGTTAATGCCCTTGGCCATTTAGAGAAGCTCTAACTGGATCTCGCTATTTCCCATTTCCCAAACTTTGTACCCCGCCGTTTGCACAGCATTCGCACACCCCAGAGACAAAAGCTGGCGTATATATGATAAATTCCAAAATGTCTGGGTATGCAGAAAGGGCCGAGGTGTGACCAGACCTGCGAAGATGGAGCGCCACGACTTCGGAGACTTTGACCGATGGTAAGTTAACACTAAAACCTAAGCCGCAATACAGCAATGAGGTGCACGTGTAGTTGTCAGAATAACAATATTCAGTGCACGCTGCGAAGGAAGCTGCCTCAGCCCTACAACCTCACCACAAAGTGGAGTGATGATCTATCAAGGCGCTAGTGGCGAAGGAGAAGACCAAGCCACCAATCCTTGGTCCTGCCGTACTAATGCCGTCAAGGAAAACTTCTTCGAGGGAACATCCCAGAAGGCAAAAAGGAACTGATGTTCAATGGAATGTTCCGGTTGCTCGAGCCTGATGGGCTCGTGGCAATCACCATATTTCTAACAAGAAAGGAGCTTTCACAAGAACTAAAACTCGACATGGTCCAATACGTGGGATGAATCGTGGCTACAAGCGAAGTGAGAGACTACGAAGTGCATCTTCGTAACGCAAGGGTTGGTGATGTTATTCGATTTGAAAGGAGACGACGCAATGGTCGAGGTCCGACGTCTATCCTTCTCCTCCTTCAGTTCGAGTGCTTCAAACAACAGTCTACTTTCTGCATCCTAAAAAGCCTGATAGTTAGAGCAAGTCAAGTCAAGGCTAAGCTGAGGTCGGCCAGCCCTACAAAGGTAACTAAACACTGTGTTGGACACGAGTATAATATTTACTTGGCTGGTAATTTGCACTCGTATATAAAAAGCCCGTAGACAAATCCTCCGAATAAGGCGCCCCAGAAGGGAGCAACAACCGGAACCCACCAGTAATTGTCCCCGTATGTCCAAACTTCGGGTCCATAACCAGCAAGATAGCCGCGTTATCGTTAGCTTTAGGTTCAAATTATAGGACACTGTGGAGCTTACGCAAAACAACGAGGTCCAAAATCTCTAGCCATATTCATAGCGTAGCCCGTTTCGAGCCCAAGGGCACCACCGATGCAGAGGATAAGAAGAAAAACCCACAAAGGTGCCAAATCCCGTATCGCTTGTGCGTGGCCAACGTTGGAAATCGAAAATATACCCACACACAGCAGAGATGTAGCCAGGAACTCGGAGAATAGCTGACCAACTTTAGTAAGATATGGCTGAGGATAAGTGCTGAATATAACTGCTGTTTTATGAGTGCGAATGTTGTGCCCTTCCACGAAATCGATGCCGCTTCTGTAGTTGACATAAACAAGTGCGGCTCCAGCAAAGCCTCCCAAAAGCTTAAAAGGTTGGTATTTCTTGGAGAAAGAGAAAGATGGGAAGAGCATTAGGGGCTTTAGCATTAACGAAACGTACCTGAGAGATAATAAATCCAGGAGCCTTTCGAAGAGGGAATCATCGGAACACGACCAAGGCGATAGTAATTGCAGGGTTCAGGTGGGCCCCTGTGACTGGACCAGCGATCAACATTCCTAACATGACAGCGGTACCAGTAGCAATGTTTATAGACAAGTATGAGCCGTATTTTCGATCAGAAAGAGTAACTTGGGCGACGACGCCCTCCAGAAAAAGTACCATCTGCGGCCAATATGTCTTCAGCTGATTGCTCAAGTCTTTGGAGCGTGATCACATACAACTAGCGTCCCGAGAAATTCTGCAGAAGGTTCTCGAAGGCAGATGCGAAACCTACTCCATGCCGAAATCACCCCTTCATATATATTCTTGTCCACAGGCATCTCATCTTTAGTATTAACCCTTCCTCGTAGCCGACATATAAGATTACACGCCTGGCCGGTGCGTTGACCTTCGCGCATCTTGAGAACGAAATGATGTCCAAGAAAAGGGGAAAACCAACAACGTCCATTATAAATACTGTAGAGTCCGTCACAAGTGGAAAATGCCGCAATGACCTTGACCTACTCTTGTGGCATCAAACTCATAAGCGTCCCTTCTCAATCATCCTTGAGCGGATACTGATGGAAGAACAGGTCGCGAAGCCAGGGGACTCAGCCCAGATGTCGAGAGCCAATCATAAACAGGCAGTGACAATTCCCGACACTCGGTCATTAGCTCAATGCTCTAGACATCATTATATTACCTAGGAGCGCATCTAGCCATTGACTCGGCGGGTTAGACGGACGAATTAAGTGTGGAGTCACAACAACGTGCCCGGGCTAGGCAGTTTGCTTCAAGTGAGAGGAAGTAGGACAGAGAAGCTGGTGGTCATGGTGGAATAGCACAGAAGCTGATGTATATGCCCCTTTGCCACTCCTATCAGCGAGGACCAGTTTGTCACTCAAATCAGCGCCGTTACAACTTTTCTTGAACGCTTTTTCTCCTCCAGCTATGCGTCTTCTAGAGGCCTGAGGTAATATGCAAGTACTGGGACCACTTGATCCCCTCACTACCGCCAATACACCTCATAATACATGAACATTTCTTTGAACTCAACATCCAGCCGATAGTTTACCCAGTTGTAGTCGATGCCTTCACATTCATGATCTGACGATGCGCTTTCGGTTGTTGTTGGATATGTGCTCGGTGATCGTTTCATGGTGGCATCCACCTTTTTCATTACAGACCGGTCAATGAGTGCTTCTTCCAGGGTAGCAGCGCGGCCGGGAAAGCGACCTCAACCGAGAAGGAGAGCGCAGAACTTCGCCTTCCGAATGGGTGAAACACTCAAAGCTGGGAACCTTGGGACCATGTTGTAGAGGCCCTCACGGGCTCATAACTGTGCTCACGCTACTTAGGCCTCGTCTCAGGGCTCGCCAAGCTTGCTCAGGATTGAACAGCCACAGCTTAAATTGCTTTGTTCAGGCTCAGGATAAATTGGCAGGTGCTCGGTTCTTAAAACAGAAATGGTTTTCGGAGGGGTCAATGTTCACGTAGGGAATGCTCTGTACGGGTGACATTCCTATCCGCAGCATACGTCCACCCAGAAGTATTGGAGTCCATTATTTCTGGCTTGCTTGCTGTCCACTGGATTGAACTTTATTGTATCCAGCCTTGCTCTTGCCAAATCCGTGGCGAATGTCATTGTATGTAATCTCATTTTCATTCGCTCCCCATGTATGCGAGAGGATGGCGGAGATCGGGATGTTGTCCAGTGAATTCTTCGGATAAACGTAGATCGTCACCAGTACCAAATTGAAGGAAGTGCACCGAGTGACGGCTCGTCCCGAAGGTTGCGGAGCACGGCAGAAACGGATAGGAGCACAAGATCGCCCCTACGGACGAGTAATTGGAGGAGTTGCTGGGTCTCCGGATGGGTCTATCTGAGGTAAACTGTAGGAGTGCGTAATATCTGCTACAAAGCTCTGTCGAATGCAGGGTCTCGATCAATGCTAGAATAGACGTATTGAATCCGAGGGAAGCATGTTGAGGGAATCAGGTTGAGACGTGATGAGGATCGAGGTCAGCTAGTAGGCAGGCTGTTACAAACCTGGTCTGGCGCGCGGGCCACCCTTTTGAGGAACGCCAGCCACAGGGAAAGTCGAGCAAACTTCGGGTCCTGACACGGCAAGTTCTCGACGCGGCTGTCTCGCCAAGCGGCTTTTTCAGCCACAGGTCTTCTGAGGTCGCAGCTTCGCTGCCTGAGGATCTCCTCTTTCTTATTTCTGTTCAAGATTTGATCTCCCCAACCGTACTTCTTCGTGATTGAGGGCGCGACCAAAGACGACAGCTTCACTTGGTTTGGATGTGCGTCTGATTCCTGCTAGTACATGCTTTGCTAGTTTCTGCAAGAACGGTTTCCGTTGTCCAAGTAGGTATTTACTTCGCTTTAAACTGATAATTCTGATTTATGGATTTATTGACTCTGCCTAGTGACAACATTTCTTGCCCGAAGATATTGCACTTCCTAGTATAGTGACGTATAGGCCATGTATGTCACGATCAAAACATCGCAACGGACCTTTATTACCGACCCTGAGGGATGGCTAGGTCAGAGCTTATATTTCAAGGCTCTTTTCTCTGAGAAATGGGACAAAAAACAGGAGGATGGCTCATACTTCATTGAAAGTGACGCAAACATCTTCGAACACATCCTTCGGTACCTCCGTACTGGTGTTCTTCCAGTTTTTTATGATAGGCTGACGGGTCACGACTTCCCGCTGTACCAGGCTCTACTGGAGGAATCGAAGTACTTCGCCATTGATAGGCTACAAAAGTGGTTATGCGAGCGAAAATATCTAGACGCTGTTAAGATCCATTATCTCGCTACCGAGACTCAAGATCGAGGATCTTACAGAAAACACACTACCAATATGCCCGATGGTCGCACATTTATGGTCGAAGATCGCTTTGTTGAGATTACGACAAGCAGCAACACGGAGACCACGATGGTTCCCGTGACACGACAACGGAACTCATTTTATTGCCCTGACGCAAAGCATGGTAAAAGTACTGAAGAATACTGTAGGAGCTGTATCGGCCGGGCAAGGGACGGCGGAATCTCTGTCTCTGGTGGGTGGAGAACGGAGGACCAACTCATGTGGTGTATCGTGCGAAAAGAAGTCGTTTTCGACCACGATCTCTGCGTCAATGCATTTTTGGAAGATGATTAGTCCGCACACATCGAGTGGGCGGTACGACGAGTTGACACTCACGAATTGACTAGGATTATATTGAGTTGATTGGAAGGTACCGATCGGCGTAGCGACGTGGCATGAAGCATTACATCTCCGCCGCCACTAGGCTGATGATGACTTGTCTATACGATCGTGAGGTTCGAAGGCCCCAGGTATTCCTGTATCATGAATACTAATGGTAATGAAAGATCGGTGGTAGAGCTGCGATGCAGGTATCTCATATGCCACTGAAAAAAGACACTTCAAAAAGTTGGCAACAACGCGGCAACACCGGTCGCTCGAGACTGTTGTGATATGACGCTCAACCGACCATTATATCCGATAAAAGTGTTTTTGGAATCATTCTGCGTGCTTGAAAATCGTGACGAAACTTTAATATATATATGCTCTTCTGAGACCCAAGGAAGAAAAAAAAGAAGAACAATAAGAACAATATATACTTCCACTACCTTAATTCGCAATGGAGATAAGTCTTGCGGGTCTAGCCTAAGTTAAATATAGGACTCATTAGGGTCTGATATAGGTCAGTTTAGGGCGGGTTACGAGGGTTAATAACCCGTTCCTCAGCGAATCGAGTCGAGTTTCGACCTGGTTTAACCTAACTCTATTTTAGATACCTTCTACCAATTCCCACAGCCGGCATTAGAGACTTGAGTTTGAGAATCTCTTGTATCTTATATGGGTTACCGGGGCATCAACATCTCACTTTATCCAATGACTTGAACACTGTTCTTTCGCGGGCTTGATCCCTGGTTTGTTGCTGCAAGGGCTGGTTAAGCTCGACAGGAGACGACACCTTTCAATGCCAATTGGACTCAACGTCTGCGCGTAGCATCGAGCTACCCCGGACTCGAAAGCGGCTTCTTGCCATGCCAGATCGGACCTTCCCTCATGCATGCCTCGCCACGATCATCTCCACGAATTCGCCATACGTCGTCCCTTTGTCTTTATCAATTACCTCATCAAGGTCCGGCTGCATGAAGAGCGCCAGGGTGTTCCTGGCCACGTTGCTCGACCCGCTGGGCCCACGCACGAAATGCGGCACCGCCTTGAACCTGCCGTCCGTGATCATCTGCAGGGCCTCGCCGGTCTGGAAGGCGATGCAGTCGGCGGGAATGTCCACTTTCACGACCTGGTCGCCCCGAGACCGAATATAGAGTCCTGCCTTGGGGTCGGGAGACGCGGGCAGGATTGGTAGGGACGGAAAGGGGTGCGCGGCACTCAGTGGCGGCAGCGGGCTGGACTCGTCCATGTACAGCGCCGACGTCAGTGCCGTCAAACAGCCGTCGTCCAGGTGGGTGGCACACCAGGAGTCGTCCTCCGAGTCTGATGGACTGGCAGAGTCCGCGGACGGGGACGACGGTGGACTACTCTGCATCTCCGAGGGTGGGAAATAATGCAGCAAACGGGCTTTGGGCGTGTGGCTCGTCTTGACGACGTGCTCGAGATATCCCGGCTGGTAGTTGGGGATGTGCTTGCTGGCGTATAAGTCGACGGCTCGGGCCACGAGCACTCCGATCTCGATCAGGAGAGTGCACAGCTCTTCGAAGGTAGCCCGAAATCCAGGCATCGCGGATTCCGAAGGCCACAGGTTGGTCCCCGCGCCTCGGGTGGCGGGTTTGCCGGGGACGGGGACGACGGGGTGTTCGAGAAAGAAAGACTGACAATCCACATAGTAGGAACCCTTCATGGTGTCGTACTGTCCGTCCTTGAGGGCCTCTTTGCCGTGGCTCCATCCGATTTCGTAATGGGACGCCGCGTCGGTGAGGGCGTCGAGGTCCTTCTCCGGAAGTTGCGCCAGATACGATGCATAGGACAGCAGCTTCTCGCGCAACTCGGTGTATCTTGCCGGGAGGTCGTTGACGACGAGGATGCCCAGTGAGGATTCGCCGAATGCCTCCTCGAGCGCTGCAAACGGGACTGTCGCTTCTGCGAGCTCCTTGAGACTGACGGTCGTCGCTTTCATCGTTTCGCCTTCGGGTGATACCGCTGTGATGGTGGCTTTTCGTAACGTACCGTGACTCGCAGCTCTGCTCTCAGATATGATATGCAGTTCTACGCCGACAGCCCAATGGGTGGTACATTGATTTCTGACACTCCTTTTGGCGCGGTCTAGACCCTAGCATCAGCAATCGCAGGACAAGATGTCATCTGTCTCAAGAGGCTGTACTCCGTTGCTTCGGAGATGCGCGACGTTCTGCTCCAACATCCGGCAAAGGTAAGAGAGTATGTGCTCTGGCAAACTCCCAATTGACCTTCCTATATCAGTGCACTCGCTTAGTGCTGACGTGTCTCTTTATCTAGAGGTTAAGTACCTTCTAGCAAACAGTTTCTAGCTGGAGAGAGGCTGCGATACAGCCTGACCGCCTAACGCTATCAGCGCAGTTCTATAACGAGGCATTCTTCAGTCTTCTCATCTATAACCCTGCCACGAGTGAGAATAGCGAGGTCACTGGCAAGATGCGGTGTCTTTCTCTTTCAATGTTCCGTGGACGTGCCCGGGCTGGCAGTGTGGACGACTCAGCATCTCCACCGCCATACACGGTATCCGATGCCAGAGCGGCGGTGCCGGCGCCGAAGACGAGCGGCCACCGAGTCTTCTTCGGCCGCATCATCCACAGCAAGTCTCTCAAGGAGGTCGAGATCCTCCCTCAAGCTAGCCTGGGGGTCGACGACAAGGGCAGGATTCGCTTCCTGGACGGCAGCGTCGCCTCCGCCGCCGAGGCATGCGCCAAACACGCGGGCTTCGCCCACGCCGAGACCGTCACGCTGAAGCCGCTGCAGTTCCTCTTCCCGGGGCTCATCGACACGCACATGCACGCGCCCCAGTACCCCAACCTGGCGCTGGGCATGGAGGGCGACCTGAAGGAGTGGTGCGAGAACTGGACGGACCCGATGGAGGCGTCGTACGCCGACACGTCCAAGGCCCACCGGGTGTACCGCGAGATGGTGCAGAAGGAGCTCGAGAACGGCAGCACGACGGTGGCGTACAACTCCAGCATCCACCCGGCCGCGACCAACGTGCTGGCCGACGTGTGCCTGGAGTTCGGGCAGCGCGCGGTCATCGGCAAGCTGTGCATCCTGGTGGGCAGCACGCACGGCAACTGGGAGGCGAGCGCGGAGCAGAGCATCACGGACGAGGCCCAGGTCGTTCGGCACATCCGCGCCATCGACCCGGCCGGCGAGCTGGTGATGCCGTGCATCCAGCCGCGCGCCGGGTCGTACGTGCCGCCGCACCTGATGGCCGGGCTGGGCGACCTGTGCCGCTCCAGCGAGCCGGTGCGCGTGCAGGCGCACATGTGCGAGACGCCGCTCGAGGTGCAGAACATGCACGCCCTGCACGCCGGGTTCGCCAGCTACGCCGACATGTACGACCACCACGGGCTGATGGGCCCGCGCACCATCCTGGCGCACTGCATCCACCTGACCGAGCGCGACATGCAGGTCATGGCCGCGCGCCGGGTCGGCGTCGCCCACAACGCCAACAGCAACACCTGCCTGACCGACGGCTGGTGCCGCGTGCGCACCCTGCTCGACCGCGGCATCAAGGTCGGCCTGGGCACCGACTGCTCCGCGGGCTACTCGGTCTCCATCCTCAACGCCATGCGCCAGGCCAGCAACGTCTCGCGCCACCTGACCATCCACACGGGCGACCCGGCCTGGAAGCTCGCCTTCGAGGAGCTGGTCTACCTGGCCACCATGGGCGGCGCCGAGGTGTGCGCGCTCGACCACAAGGTGGGCAACTTCGAGGTCGGGAAGGCGTTTGATGCCCTCCTCGTCGACGTCGGGCTGGACGACAACGTCAACACTAACGGGTTCGAGCACGACGACATGGCCCTGTTGAAGAAGTGGGTATTTATGGGCGACGACCGGTCGATACGGAAGGTGTGGGTGGGTGGCCGACTGGTTGCGGGAAAGGATTTGAAAGCATAGAGGGGGATCGTTGGGGCGATCGAGAGCATAGGATGATAGATGCGTGCAAATGAGTGTGTAGATTCAGGATGCACTACTAGTAGCTAGCTAGCGACTTTGTCATCCAGCGTTCGTTCTCATCGCGCGAAGCGACGTTGCGAGCGCAGACGACAGGCCTTGTAAATATCACGAAAATCAATGCTGTACCCCAGACCATTCCGGTCAAGTGCCCGTACCATGTCGCTCAATCATAATAGTACAAGGTGAGGGTATCATAAAACTGAAAATCCACTTTGATCATGTCGTCGTCAGTTCATTCCGAACAAGGGCCCCCTTGATGTCGGTATACAAAGGAGGTGAACGATCCAGCCCACCAAAATCCCACAAATAATACGCCAGTCCATTCCGGACAAGTGCTTGTACAAGGTCGTAATGTTGTACAAGTGAGCGCTAAACCGAGTAAACCATCCTCAATTCTCGAGCCGCTTTGGGCTCGGAGCAGGCTTGACGTGATGAACATCGTCGTCGAGCCGGGGAACTCTCCCCTCCAAGATACCACCTCGCTGAGGACCAGTGAAATGGGTCCGCCCCGTAGTGACCCACGTAATCGCAGCAATCAGGCCGCATACGCCGACGGCAGCCGACGTGTAGTTCATGTTTTCGGCATTGACAGGGCTGACGGAGGGGAAGTTGAATACAACTGCAGCAAACGTCAGGTAGAGGATGCCGATGATGTTGAAGAACATGCCAAAACGGCCCAGAGAGTAGGCGCTGTCGATCCCCTCTCTACCCTGCAGTCGGCCCCAGATGCGGACCAGGAGCGGCATGATATAGGACAGATAGAAGCCTTCCGTGGAGATCCCAAGCACGGTGTTGAAGCCAGTGACCGATCCGAAGTAGATCGCCATCAGAGCCATATTGACCACAAGGACAGTCAAGATGCTGTACGTGGGGACATGCAGCGTAGGATGAACCTTACTGATGATCCCAGAGAAAGGTAGTCCATGGTCGCGTGCAAAGGAGAAGATAACTCTCGAGCTCTGAGCCATGAGGAAGCACAAACTGACCAAAGCGATGATGGTAATGAGGGTCGTCAGGCCGATTGCACCTCCCACACTGCCGGTGGCTTCGTAGAATATGGCAATTATAGGCACACCTGTCGAGGACGTCTCGATCGCCGTGAGGTTGCGGATACAGAAGAAGGATGCAATGAGGAAGGCGAAGCCGGTAAATGCACCAATCCAGACCGACCAGATGATGGCCTTCGGAGCATCATGCCTAGCATTGCGCATCTCTTCCGTCATGTGTGCCGTTGCGTCGTATCCAGTCATCCCAAAGGCTGCCTGTAGAATCCCCAACAAACTCGCGTACGAGTTGCCAAAGCCAGTGTTGTTGTTGAAATCCTTGAAGACGAAAGCGGCGCTCGCTTTATGCTGATCTTTTGCCAGAATAACGATGATGATGACCACAAAGGAGAGCAGGTTGAAGGTAATCATGACCTTCCCCATCTTGTTCAACAGATGGCGGCCCCAGACATTGACGGCGGCGGCGAGGATCAGAACAAGATAGCACACCAGGCAGGTGTGCCATCTCTCAATGACAAAGTCTGGATGGGCGATTTGGGCCATCCCGAGCACGAAGCTGGCGCCAATGAAGCCATTCGCAGCTCCTGCAGACAAGAAACCAATGACAATGAACCAGCCACACAAATAGGAGGTCAGTCTCGCCCATTTTGGCGGCGTCAAGATCGCGACCCACGAGTACTGGCCTCCAGCCACGGGGAAGGCGCTGCAGATCTCGGCGAAGGAGTAGGCCACAAAGAGGGAGAAGAAGGAGACCCCGATCCAGCTGTAGATGATGACCGGCGGGCCTCCTGCCTCAATGGCGGCCACTAAAGAGCCTCCCAGCGCGGTCCAGCATGTCAAGACTGAAAAGGCGAAGCCGACCATGCCGAAGAGCGAGAAGTCTCTTTTGAGCTCCTGCTTGTAGCCGAAGCTCTCCAGGTTGAGGACGTCATCCGTCAATGCTGCTGTGGTGCCGTTTGACTCGTGGGCGGCCATACTGTTGTGTTGTTGTGACTATACTGATGGGATTTGCTGCTAGACACCTCGAGTGCTCGAAGGTCTTTGTGAAACATAATTATCAATGCAAGCGACAAGAAGGTCTCGCCACGCGTTCTCCGTCCTTATCTCCAAGAGCCTGATAACATCGGGCCTAGACTTCAATCTGTCAGACTTTACCAGCTTAAGAAGGTCTCACCCCGCGATAAGCCAGGGAGCCACATGGGCATAACTCTGCTGGGAGCAATCGGCCAGTGCCATTGGCGCCAGGACGCAACGGCAGTGATACCTGCGCTAGCTTTCTGCATCCGAGATAGGAGATCGGCCGTGAATGTGTACAGAAAGCTCTGACTGGCGAGATGACACAGAAGGATCTGATGGCGCACCTAGCATTGCATTAGCGACCATTTTCGGAGTAACGCACGCGGGAATGTCCACTTGTCGAGAGTCGGGCGTGGCCACTGAGAACAGTAGGGCTCTACTGAAATACCAGGGACTAGAACCGAATCAGTCCACTTGAAAGAGAAAGCGTTGGATGATTCGCAAGCTGCTGGACTTGGGACAGGGGAGCTAAGCGAGTTATAGACATTGCCGAGATTCCAGACGAATATTCTGGAGAGACCTGGGGTGAAATCGAAGAATAGTGTTAAGGCGACACAATATGACAGACAGCATAGCTCAGCAAATACCAGTCTGGTTGGATGTTGACACCGGTAAGCCGAAGTGGTGCTCGTCTCTGAAGACGGAGTATGGTGGCTGCTGACCTCGCTCAGGGCATGATGTATGATCCCCTCCATCATAACATCCTCAAGAACATGACCAACTTGGACTGCAGGACGTCTTTGCCATTCTCATTGCGGCACATCACCCACAGTTGAAATTCCTGGGTGTCAGCTCAACCCATGGCAATGCTCCTCAAGTCCACACCACGAACAATTCAAGTGCAGTCCTGAACGCTGTGGGAAGGACAGATGTCAAGGTGTATCCTGGATCGTTGAAGCCGTTCTGCCGAGAAGAAGTCGATACTCCCGACATCCATGGTGAACACGCCCTTTTGGAGGGAAGACATGCTCAGGCGCTGACCATAACCAGGTCCCACGGGCTTGGGCGGCACGAGTCTGCTTCCACAGCCAACGACAAATATCGTTAAGGACGTGAATTTCCTGGTCGCCACTCGCGATGCTATTATGGCTCAGCCGCCTCAAACAGCGTGGTACGTGGCGACAGGGCCTTGCACCAACGCTGCTCTGCTCTTCTCAGCCTATCCTGAGGTTGCCCACCACCTTGCCGGGTAAGTCGATCTTGCTTGTAGGCCTATCGTCTGAAGAGAAGAGCTTGGCTCTAATCGTGGACTTTGCAGTGTGAGCATCATGGGCGGCGCCGTTGGAGGCGATTTTTGCCCCCAGATCTCGAAAGAGTTTGGCAAGACTCTGGGTCAAGGGGAGGGGTTTGGCAATGAGACTCCCTGGGCGGAATTCAACATCTATTGCGACCCTGAAGCTGCCCAGGCTGTGTTTTCGAACCCAGTCGTCTCAGCGAAAACCACTCTCGTCACGCTCGATTTGACGCATCAGTGTCTCGCCACCAAGGAGATCCGCGAACGGTTCTTGGGGTCCGAGAACCCAAGTCAGCTGCGCCTGTTTCTCCACGAAATCCTGACCTTCTTCGCCCAGAGTTATGTCGAGTGGTTTGATGTGTATGAAGGCCCTCCATTGCACGATCCGCTAGCGGTTGCCGCTTTGTTTGGATATTCAAGTGGCATCTACGATGAAGACGGCGATCGATACAATGTCAAAGTTGTGACAGATGGAGCACATAGCCCGCTGGATTCGGTGAGAGGACAAGTAGGCAGGACCGTCGTGGAGAAAGTAGAGGCAGGACCGGACGGTGTTGTTAGGGGCGTGCGAATACCTAGAAAGTTGCATACACATGCATTCTGGGATGTCTTGGAGCAGTGTACGAAGACTGCCGACGAGAGCATATCGCGTTGATCAATGCTTGTCGTAAGATCAATCGGCACCACTCTGTTCAAACAAAGCTCCAAACAAGCATTTCTTGCAGTAGCACAAACCCTAGACTCCGTGGCGAGTCGGCTAATAATCTTGTTTTGCTCTTATCGTTGAATATTAGGCTTTCCGTCGGCGCGTATGTATAGACCTCCTCGGACACCGGTTGAGGCTTGACCAGACATATAATCAGCCAAGACGAGGTGACTCGACACCGAGCTCACCCCTCTTTGGGCACGAGGGTGATGCCGCCCTGTGCTCACCTCCAGCTCGCGCGCACCGCTGCAACCCCGACGTTGCTCACCTTGGTGGGGACTGCCAACAGCAGTGATGATTGGTCTTCGAATCTACCTTCTGGCGATGAGCATGTCCAATGAACCCCCAGGCCTTTTCAAAAAGCAGCGTTGCTGAGTCTGCGCTTCAGGACTGGTACGCCTCTACTCTGCTTGACTTGTATGGGTAAGGTACTGCGGTAACCCCAGCCGGCACCGCCTATCATTCGCGCCGAGCATGACAAGTCTACCCACTCCTTAAGAAGGAGCCAGCATATATATTGCGAGCAAACCCTCTCGCTGCTTTCGCCAGCTACGTCCTTCCTATGTTACCCCGACCGCTATCATCCTCCCTCCTAACCTTTTGAGTGTTCGCTCTTGACTACTCCAAACCGATACGCAAGTAATGACCTATGACATACCACTGCAAGTCCATCCCACCGGCCGAGATCTTCGAACTAATGGACCCCGAATCGCCGAGCAGTCACTGACCTCTTCTCTCCCTCTCGTCCCTCCATTCTGGCGGTTTTGTACCTGCCGGAGTGAACTCTGACCCCCTTTGGTGCCTAAACGGCTGCGCCCACGACTGTTTATCCTGCATCTTCTTTACGCCTTGTCCTGGGCTATAGACGGTGGTTACATCTACCTACGCGAGCGGGGTTGTCAAACTGTCAGGCTGCGTGACTTCTCCCTAGAAGCCGCATTGTGATGATGTGGTTCTAGGGCTACAGTTGTTGATGCACGGGGGTGTGCCTGTCTCTTGATCAGCCCTCAAACTCCTGGGGCCAGAATCCAGGTTGAGTGCAACCGGGGGGTTAGTGCTGCCTACTACGTTCCCACCTTATCGTGCTATTGGGTGAGCATGCTCAGAGCCGCCTGATCTTCGATCTAATGGCAGAATCACCTCATAGCACCCTCTACCGATAAGTGAGACAGTGGATTGGCGCATTGTCCGCGGGAGAGCTACCAACGGCATATAAGGCCCGCCTACCGCCCACCTCGGCCAGAGGCTTCTTCCAGGGTGTGACATCATGTCTAACGATGTCTGGAGATAGGATGGGATGGTCTCTTAAAAACTCCAGGAAGAAACAGACAGAGGTGTCGGGATTTCGTGCGCAGTTATGCTGTGAGGAAAAGTGAAAGCAGAGGCGAGAAACTTCCACAGTCTACCCCCACGATGAGGTCATAGACCAGGGTAGCAACTCTGAAAGTTGGATCGATCTGACGTTCCCAATCATTGGTCGAGGAGACACGCAAAGAGCAGGCAACAGCATTTCGAACGCGGACGGCCAAGACTGGAAGTTTGCGGGCATATCATGGAGTAACCCTGTGAGACTCTGTACTGTACCATAACCTTTTGCTAGACATGAGAAGAGAGATTCTCTAGTTCAATGGGTCATACAGAGGAACATGAAGGCTCAGATGAGGTACGTGAAGCCTTGGGTTGAACTTGAAGCCATTACCGACGAATATTCGTACCAGCCCCTGATCGAACGTGAGAGACAGATTCTCGCACGTTATGGGAGTTTACCCAAGCAAAACGTACTCCTACGTTCTCAAGTGAAAGTACGTCTACTATCCTGGTTCGAAAATCGGCATCTTACGGTTGGAATTTACGCAGGAACGCAAATTCTTCGACTCGGGGGATTTTGCTATTTCCAAAGCCACACGAGACAGTGCGACTGGTCACCCTAAAACAGGGAAGCAACATCCTAACTTCAGCCAAATCCCTCATCTCTCCGCGCCAGTGCCCAGTGATAGCAACGTGGAATCGAATGCGAACGCCTCAAATCAACACAAGCTGAACGACGACCTGGGCAGGTCAGCCGGCGGGGGAAGCGAGCATCGCAGTAGTTGTGGAAAAGTTCAAGGCTCAAACCTGGTCCACAGCTCAGAGGACCGTCAGAGGAACGATGCAACTGCCATGCATTGAGCTGGTCGTACGAAAAAGTGAGCACTAACGTAAGTTCTGCGCACTGCTGGTCGTCGTGAATCTGTGTGCCTAACACTATGAAATAGGTTCGGGTAGGTTGATCCTCAACTGCACATTATACTGGTACTCGGATGCAAATTTACTCCTGGGTATAGAATACAGTACTTGGGCATTAAGGCATGATCGCGCGCAGAGAATTCCTTGCATGACGTACCCAAGGTGTCATGCAAGATTTATAGCGTTGCTGTGCGGAAGGAAATCCCGGCGATTATCCATAAAAGGTAATTCTGGAAAACTTAATTATCAAAGCTGGAAATTACAGCCAGTGTTGTTTAGCACGAAGGATTTCTTTATTCACGTGACTGCATTAAACAACCTAATCGGCACGTGATATTGTCATCAACAAACTGCCCACGGAGATTCAATTCGGATTCGCCGGGATACGCAAGATGAACAGCCTTCGGGGAGTGCTGGGATCTTCTTACACAAGAGCCGAATAAACCTCAAGTGGCAGCATGCCTTGAATGGAAGTGTTTGTTGGACCGAATGGACGGATTCTTTGGGGGGTGGTCACACAAGTTGTTCCCGCATAGATAAGGAGAGAACTCCAAATATCGGGATTGTACTAAACTAAGAGACTAAGCTCGAGAAGCAAAAGAGAGGAAGGTAGAATGGTGGCTCATCTCAAGGGTAGATGTGCCACCGTGCCAAACCATCGCGCTCGCTGATCCCTATAGGCAATACCGTAAAGTAGCCTTGCGCGCTCAGCCTTGCGTGAAAATGTCGTGATTTCGCCGAATCGTGACAATACGCTCCTTCAGTGCATATTAATCAACCCACGCCTCAGGTATATGATTGGAATCTTGTCCTACTTGGTCTTCCGTAGCACCGACACTTAGGCATGCCATCAGAGTCTCGTGAACACTTTGGATACGGTAATGTGAAGGACCGAGCACCTGTATATTCAATTTCAGTGAGGAAGTCATCAACTCCACAGCTTTGTCGTCCTTCCTTTGATCTTTCAGCGTATAAGCCAGATTGGCCATGCTAGTCAGTGTCGAGGATGTTCTCCCCCGAGCACCCTCAGTCTCGTCCCCATCACTTGCACAAAGAGCTCTTCTGCCTCTCTCCACCGACCCTGATTCCAGTATGCCGACGCCAATTTCGCCATGCTGATACTCGATCTTCCAAGCGGGTATGACGCTTATATCCTACGCTCTTCTCTCTCTTGAGTCCGCCATCGAAATCTAAGGCCCCTCCTCTCTCACTCCCGAAGGCCACCGAGATTCGGAGAGGGGAAGAAACGAAGAGACGAAACTTGACTTCTCGGACTTGCTGAGCTTATCGAACGATTGCCTAGTATTACTTGCCTGGTGTAAAGAGCAATGGCCTGGTATGGAGGGCATGGTGGACGCCTTTGCGAGACGTAGTGTTGAAACAATACGGAAGGTGCTGAGAGTGTAAAGAAGATGAGATCAATGCTCCTGCGTCAGAAGAGAGAAGACAGCGATAACGTCCGCCACTGCACCCAATGACTGCCTTCCAAGTCCATCTTGAGCAGGCTTCATGATGGAAGATGCGATTTACGACCTTCGACAGACTTTAAACCCCGTGCAATAAAAGCGAGTCATCTATGTTTTCATGACTTCTGTTTTGTGGAATGAGAAGTCGAACTATCTCGCCATGCAAAACGCTTGCCACTCAATATGATAAGAGTGGGATTTCCTGGTTCGAGCCGGTCGAGCTCCGGATTCGGAAGGAGGAGCTTCAGACCCTACCCTCCTCGAAGACTTTCTCATCGGCCAGGTCATTGATCGTTTCCTTTGAGGCGACTGGAAGGTACATTACGAGGCGTCTTAACTCACCGCTGGTGCGTCTCCTAAAGCGTCGGCGAAGGCCTCAATTCGTCGACCTTTCCAGTACCGGAGGTTGAGCCGGCTTCCCGTCTCTCGGGAGTTCATTAAGCAACTGCCAACTGCACTTCTTCTTATATCCCCCGCGTCTTCCAATCGTTGATGTCGGCATCTGGGTCCGTGTTGAGAAGAGGGAGGGTCTTGAGGAGTGACGCGTCGTGCGCTATGCAGATGAAGACGTCGTCATTCTCCTCGAGCTCGCACATGGCCTTGTTGCTCTGGGCAGCGAGTTCTCGGTCGGACTGTTCCCCGTGCGACAGTTCGAAGGTACTCATCCACGACCTCTCCATGTCGGGGTGTGAAGGAGGAAAGGGGGTGAATAGGAACACGGACACGGGGATGGGAATGTGGGATCTAGTGGGTCGTTGGGCGCTGGAAGTTTCACAAGTCTTGTGAATCTCGATGGCCGCAGAACCAGGCATAAACCGATCAGTGCACGGGAGGAAGTCGCTGCACATTGCCATCGATATCCTGCTTGGTTGGATATTGTTACATTGGTGATGTAAATCCCGACGTTGGTGGTATCTTGCGTGTCACACGGGGATGATTGTGTGATGAACGAAGACTTTGCTTCAGCGTTTTGAAGACATGAGAGGCTGGAGAAGCAGACTTCAGTCGTAGACAAGTTGGGGAGCGCGGCCCCTAAATAGCATTGACGCACCCTGTGAACAGTTCCCGCCCGACTGGGCTCCCTTGCTGAGTGGTGTAGTGGGCGGAGTTTGGCCAATTATCGGCCAAGTCGACCTCTTGTTTCCCCTATGCTGCCGTCCTCCCATACTTCCCTTCGAGACAGGCATCTTTTCAGGACAGCAATCCCGAGTCCCTCTATGTCCGGTGCGAAGCCGTCTTGCTCCTTACCTGGGTTCCTGGCTACGGACAGCCAATCCGCATGAACCAGTCCCTCTCTCTCACATACTCTTTCACATACTCTCTCACACACTCTCACTCACTCACGCTCTAGGAACCCGGTGCAGTGTGGGTCTGCCTTTCCTTCCGGCGTGCTCTGGTGTGGTCGCTCCACTGCCTTTCCTGGGCAGAATTGGCGGAATCCATTTCGCCTGCCTTCAGCCTGGATGTAATTTCGGGCATTTTGGCTCCACGGCCAATCCTACCGGAGCATGCCCTGCCATTCCTCAGACCTCGCGCAATGAACAACTTTCGCAGACAGAGGCTATGCGTCTCGCGGCCAGCCCACTGTCCCATCCGCATGCACGCCAGTCCCCGAGGTATTTCTACCATTGGGTCGAAGACCAGGTGAACCGCTCGACCTAGGGCATTGATTAACGTTGGACCACGGCGACACCAGCCATCCGAGTGGTCTAAGCCGTCCTCGATCTCGAATCCGGCGCGGGACTAGGGACAAAGCAGGAGCGAACCACAGTAGGGTTCGGTTAAGCAGATGAGGGAATCCAGCATGCCTTGCACGAAGGCTAGAAGTCGAGGGTCTCTTATGGGACGGTGGTTGAACAATGAATTAAGATACAATCGTCCATGACAGCCATTAAGTTCCAACTGGTCTTCAAGCCACCCCAAATCTAAACGTCTAACGTCCCTTGTGTTGCACGGAAAAGTCACCTCGCGCACGCGCAAGAGTCTCTTCCACCAGCTGTTTCCTCAGGGACGGCTTATCGAACACCTCGCCGTGATCGAGGTCCGGGCACCACACCACCTTCAGTCTGCCATCACCACTATGTTCTTTTTCGGGCACAGCCTTTTTAGAATTGTAGTCTGCCGTGATCTCATCTCCCTGAAAGCTGACGCGGTTGGTGTGTTCCTCCTCGTCTCCAAGAGTGGCTTGGAGATACTCATAAACGAGTGGGGCGTTAATAATTGAGTCTTTGCCGTTGAGGAAGACAGTGGCAGGATGGCTCAAGAGGTCGTCCTTCCACAGAATGTTCTCAGACCAGAAGAACGTGCGGGAGAGTGTATGCGCTACTCCCACGTCCTTCGAGCCAAAGTACCATAGAAGCCATTCGTTGGCGAACTTGGGTCTTCGGATAATCTGGCTTCAATGTCAGCCAATGCAGTTCATTCTCCCAAAATAGGTTTGGGAAGCTGTCTTACAAAATTATAGGCAACGTCTGGTTGATGTAGGAGGATAGAAATGGGGTCGACGAGAATAACGGCCGCGATCATGCTTGCTAGGTCGGGCGTCTTCAAAAGATGTGTGGAGATTACCGAGCCATATCTTAGGGCGACATTAGTAATGGATCTCGATAGTAGTTAGATGAGGGCAGACGTACGAGTGTGACACCAAGATATACCGTTCGAACCCATGGTGCCGTAAAGTGGCTTGAAGTTGTTGGCACATTTCTTGCTTACGAAGCAAAGGTGATGTGATTCGAGACGAGATGGGCAGGATCTCAAGTGCAAGAATCCCAATGACGCCGTCCTCGGCCTGGCGTCCCTGGTTCAATTCTTTTAGGTATTCCATATAAGGGTACAGGCCAACTCCGATACCGTGGAGGAACAGGATCGGTAACTCCGTCCGAGAAGTATGAGGGCGATACCAGTACGTCAGATTTTCGGCAGGAGCACGGTGTGTTGTCAGGAGAGTTTGCGGCCGCAGAGGGAAGACGTCGAAAAAGTGTCTGATTGAAGCACGGTAGTGGTGGAAGTGGTGGAAGCGCATGTAGGCATGCGTGACGATGTCGACGATGAAGATGCACAACAGAACGTTAGCACTAGCAATTCGAGAACAGAACGAGAACCTTACTGAGTACCACACTAGACTTCGATGGAGTGCATCGACCTTATCCAAGGTCAACCGTAGACACTTGACATCGGCACGCCCATCCTCGAAATTCAACCCAGTGCCAAGTTCGATGCTCTTCACATATTCCTCCACTTCATCGTCGTAGGTGGGATCGCTCAGGTCCGTGTTGAGAAAGGCCCATCGAAAGAACTCTTTGACGTTCTCGCGCTTGACGGCGGTCAGGGGTGCATAGAAGAACCAGCCTGACAGGTATCGGACGACATCCTGTGTGCTCTCTTGACAGAGGTGGAAGAGTTTCTGTCGCTCCTCTTGTGACGGAACAGGAGGATGTAAGGCCGGACGCTGGAGCTGGCGTCTTTGATAGAGATAGAAAATTAGACAGAAGATAGTCTCGGCTAATGCCCAATATTCAAAGAAGGCTGGAAGTCGCCAAGAGGTCGGCAGACACAAGATCGAGACGCAGTAGGCGACACAGATCGGTGCAATGGAATGTAATATGACAACCCATGACTTGACCCAGATATAGTCGAACGTCGAGGTTCCAATCATGTTGAGAGTGATTTTTTAGCTTACTACACCTGGTCGGCGTATTGTCGTTGCTGAGCTTGGTTACTTTCAAAGGACCTGAACTTCTAGGTTGAGAGAAAGGTCTAAAGTCCAGGTCCCCAGTCCTGAGATAAGTCATAGACACTCACACATGAAGAGCGACTTTGTTGGGACACGGGGGATCTCCCATGAACATCATCAAGCGTAAAAGCATGTGATTATGGAGCCGAAAATTATGGAAAAGGCTCGGGTTAACATGTGGTCCATGATGTGGATTTTCCGGAAACTGTCGGATACGGAGTACAACGCAGATCGATACAACGGCCAGCGGTTGGCAGACACGAGGATCAGGGAAAGAAAGCCGAGTGTCGCGAATGGCCCCCTCTGTGTTGCTCCGTTGACAGAGCACAGAGCGCAACAGAGCACGACGGGAATCCTCGGTCTATACAAACACACTCCTATACCTTTCCTTTGTAGTCAACTTCGTTCACGGTCATACCCATACATTTGGATGGATCATCTTCGCTCAAGTACATTGACTCACTCTGTACTCGCGCTCTCATTGATATAACCTTTCCCTATTTCCCACTTGCCAAGGTCTGTCACCTGATGTTGCGTCACCTCCTTCAGAATACTTTCTGCAGTTACACCACGTCGTCCCCGAACGATTCGTGGTAATATATCCTCTTCGAATTTGGTTGATATTGTTGACTATTCCGCGATGATGCGAAATGACCTGGGAGAAGAACGCCAACAATCCGAGAGGCATTTGTTCGAGAGATGCTGGGAATGGGACAGCCATTGGATGCATACAATGGGCTTGGTGGAATGATTGAGGCTCCAAGGAAGGGAAGAGCGGGAGAGGAAGTACGGCATGCGAAGCCCACGTGGATGGATTGAGGACAGAGTACCAGCAAGGTCGTCCCCGAGACTATGGGGTTTTGTGAGCATTTGTAGGTCTGGTGGGCGACGAGGCTGAAGTTGGATGCCGATGCACCCCACACAAGGCTGCGAACGTCGGCTCCCCCTCTCCTCCATCTTCATCCACCGGCGCGGAAAGACAGCCGCGCTTCGTCTTCAGAATGAGTCAAAAGTACGGAGTACCTAGGCATAATATTGACTGTGTCCCTCGATTTTACCTAAACTATTGCCTAATATCCGTATGTAGCTAATAGTTTAGTCTCCTTGTCAACCTCCGAAACTCGGTGCCTGAAGATTGAAGAAGTAGTCGAAGAGAAGGCGGGCGGGCATTGAGTCGCTCCAGCACTTTTGCAAGATACCCGTCCCTGACAGTTTAGCTCTATATTTTCATCCCCCCAAATCCCTCTCTTTTTCAAGAGACTATGGCTTCTGTGCAGTATCCCTCGCCGGTGCGAGCTCCGCCGCACGTCTTGGCCTTGCTGGAGCGACTGCACCAGGCCTCGCGGGTGCAGGAAGACGCCATCCAGGCCGCGGAGCTCGAGGCGCACGGGTTCGACAACTACATGCGGGACAAGTTCATCGCGCTGGACCGCGATAAGGCCGAGTTCGTGTACCAGGTCTGCCTGGCCGTCGGGGCGAAAACCGTCGTCGAGGCCGGGACCAGCTTCGGCGTCAGCACCATCTACCTTGCGCTCGCCGTGTCGGAGAATGTCCAGAAGGCTGGAGACGGGAAAGGAGGCGTGGTCATCGCGACCGAGTACGAAAAGGCCAAGGCGGACAAAGCGCGGGAGCACTGGAAGGAGGTCGGCGACGAGATTACGGGATGCATTCAGCTGCGCGAGGGCGATATCCTCGAGACGCTCAAGCAAGACCTGCCCGAGATCGACGTGCTTTTGTTGGACAGTAAGTTTTGTTTCTTTGACTCGGGCTCACTTTCCTTGAGATCACCTTGAACCTCAATTTCAGCTTCCTCGGCTGGTGGCGACTGTTCGTTGTTGTCGTCGTTGTTGTGGTACTGTTGGTTGTGCATGCGCGAAGACTGACCATCTACCCTCACCGACGCGCAGTCTGGGCTCGCATGGCGCTGCCCGTCCTCAAACTGTGTCAACCTCGAATGCGACGCGGCGCCGTGGTCATCGCGGACAACACAATCGGTTCGGCGGACAAGTACAAGGACCTGCTGGAGTACATGCGCGACCCGAGCAGCGGGTTCAGGAATTTGACCTTGCCCTACACGAATGGGCTGGAGATGAGTGTCTACATGCCATAGATGGAGGGAGCTTGATATACAGTCACTTAAGCCGTCATGCACAAATCATTCAGCATACGCCGCTGTGACTGTCTTGCTTTTCCTTGTCAACGATTTTACCTCGCGCGGGTCTTTGTTCTCCCCAACGTTTGCAGTGGCGCGTGCAGAAAACCATCAAAGTCAACAGCTGGAGTTCTTTTTTCCTTCCCCTTTTTTCATTGTTTGCTTTTCACAAGCCGACACCGTGCTCCTTGTTCGTTGTTGATGACTCGACGACCTCCCTGAGAGAGACTACCTCACCCTGTTGTCACATGCAGTCGAGGGGCTGTTCCAAGTTATTCGACTGCAACGATGAGTTCACGCCACTTCTGGCTGGTTGCCTTGTTGCTCGGCTTGCTGGGCTCTGCTGGCTTCGTTAATGCAATGCTACCTGTTGCGGACGGTGCTGCTCCGCAGAATGGAATCCAATTCAACGCCACCGATGCTGACAATCCGCTACGCGAACTGAGCGATCGCGCCGCCAACGGTGTAAGTTCTCTCTATCCCTTAGCTTGGTCCCAGGTCCTGTTGGCGGCATTTTCAATTTGACGCGCTTGAGGGGACCGCGGGAAATCCCTAGAATATCACTAACCGTCATCCCCCAGATCTACATCTGCCAACATCCGCACTGGGGAGGCACTTGTTTCTGGACCGCAATCGACCCCTCGTCCTACAATCAATGCGGTATCATCACGTCACATGGCGGCTGGGCTTCACTCGGACCTGATAAGGAAGTTAAGGTCGACCTTTATCGGTAGGTTTATGCGCTGCTGTCGACACACCCAACTCTCCTCAGACACCCTTATCACTTTGCCTCCATCTTTTTTGCTTGGGTCTGAATTGCCCTGCTGTGTCTGAGAAACTCGAGCTAAGACCCGCGACCGTGTGTGTAGGGATACCGCATGCCAGCAACCGTTCTGGGAAGGTCTGGTCTATCCAGGTTCCGACAACGTCCCTGCCCAAGTGGCGGCTCGAGGTCTTCCGGCAGTGACGGGGGACGTGTTCGGGGCAGTCTTCAGAGCGCTCTGAGGAGCCATGACGGTTTGGCACAAGATATGGATTTTCAAAAGTGGTGGTTAGCATAATCCCAATGGTGCACTGCGACTCAGGCCTCGCCAACGGGCCGCGCCTTAGGCTAGAGGTAGGGTCTATTGGGGCTTTGTCGCATTTTCAGTGAACAGCCTAGTGGCCCAAGGTAGCTGGGTCCGAGGCGGTAGCACTGAGAGCGGGGAAACATCGATCAAAAGATGATGAGCTGCGTTTCGGTGTAAGAACAGAGTCGTGAATGGATCTCAGATGCCGAAATGTAGCGAGCGGTGCGTTTTCCGCTCCTCAGACGCGCGCGAAAAGGGCCTCGACGCGTCTCCAAAAGTTGTGACGTCTTTTTTAATCGGCGCTTGCTCGCCAATGTAAAAAAGCCCCGACTCATTGACCAAACTAAGCAATTTGCTCTCTATCACTGCACCTCTTTTCTCTCCACGCTCTCTCTATATGTAACCCCCCCGTTCACGACCAAGATGCCTCCCTCCTCGGCCATCCAACAATCCCTCAGCAGCCTGCTCCCAACCCATGCGGCCAAACTCCCTGCCCCGCTCGTCCACCTCTGCGAATCCCTCCTCGCGCAGTCCCGCCAGCGAGCCTCGCACCTGAAAACCGACGAGGAGATCGCCCGGGCCTACGCATGCTGCGAGATCGCGTGCGCTAGGCTCAGGGTGAAGTGCCGGTTGCCGGCGGTCAAGACGGGAGGGGCACCGTGCAAGCCGGCCGTGTATAAGAAGTTGGTGACCTTTTTGGAGAGGGTGTTGGATGAGGATGGCGTTGCCACGACCACGACCACGACCACGCCCACGTCGACCCCCGGAAAGAGGAAGCGGACGGCGGACGGGGCACTGAAGCCGACTGCAGCGGAGAGTGGGCCGGCCACGCCGTCGAAATCTACACGACGGAACGAATTTCTGGGAAAGATCAAAGCTAGCGCGAAGAGGAGAGACGAGGGCGACAATGACGGCGAAGCACCGTCTTCCACGATGCCCTCGATCCGCAAACTCTGCAGGAATTTCTCAACGCCTCTGCTCGCCCCGCACGTCTACACCGGTACCTGCGTCGTCCTGAAACTCAGTGCCCTGTGGCCGCCGGACGAGGACGGGGCAGCACCAGATGAAGATTCCTTCCAGGAGACCGTGACGGGTCTCTTGACAGCTCTCTATCTCATGACATTGACGCGCATGCAAACGGCCAAGATGACAACGTCGGTGTACAAGTCTACGTGCGCGAGGGCGGTAGAAGTCCTCGGGTATCGGCCCGGGACGAAGGGCGTGGAGGAGTGGATCAGGCGGATCAACCGCGAGGGCTACTGTCGGGGCCAGGACTGGTGGACCAGCGTCCCGGAGAAGGTATTCCACTTTGACCCGACTGTCGACGGCGTTGGAAATCCTGGTGGTGGCGACGAAGAGGGAGAGGGAAGCCTTGACGGTCGGTTTGATGGCGAGGATGGCGATGACGATGAAGACGAGGATCCGATTCTGTCGGGTCGGAGCAGACGCAAGGCTCAACCAGATCCCGCGCGAGGGAAGACGGGCCAGAAGGGAATGGACGACGAGGATGATCCCGAAGGCGTCTTGCTCCCGGGCTTGGCGACCATGATGCAAGACGCCCTGGACCTCTTGAGCGCAGAGCGGACACGCGAGTTCGAGGCGTGGAAGAAGCAGTTCTTGCGCAGGCTGGAGAAGGTTGATAAGACGGCCGCTGTCGCCCCCGGTGCGAGAGCTGGAAAGCGCGCTGCTGCCACGGGCGCCGTTGACATTGCTGTGGAATGAAAACATGAATGGATACTATACAATCAACAGTCCCCATCCTCCGTAGATTGTGGCCACAAAGGAAGAGAGCACTGGTCTCGGGCTACAAGACTCGACGAATAGGAAGCTCCTTTGCGATATAAATAAGTCCGGAAACGTTCACTTTTTCATGCCTTGCGACCCTGTTCTTGTGTGTAAAGATGGATCCCCTGCCGCCTTCTCTTGGGTATCAATTTTGAAGTATTTGTCTGTTGTACATGAAATCCCTTCACCGTACACTGCCACGCTCTGTCACGCCGTGGATCGCCAAATTATGACCTTGATGGCCATTCACGCCCAGAACAAAGGTCGCCGACGAGGTGAAAAGCCTCTTCCTGCCAGCACCAAACCGTCATCGCATCGCTTTCTAAAACCGCCGTCCTCTACCTCGTCCTCTGTTGCCTCCTCGTCCACCGCCCCTCCAGCCACCGCCGCGATGATTTCCACGACCTCTTCCACCACCCTGACCTTGTTGACGGGATCGGTTATGATACGCCTGGAAGTCGGCGTTCTCGGGTCTCGGGCCCTGCTGCATCCTGGATTCTCTCTCTTCTTCGCTGATGTCGAATTTGTTGTCAATCCCGATCAACGCGCAGTACGCGCTCGTCTGCGGATTTGTCATCTCGCGGGGCATCTCGTCCGGTGCAACTTGGAGACTTGGGTCATAGACCGGCGCTGTCACGCTGAAGTTCTCGGGGATCTGCAGCCTGCCAGCCTTGACCACATGCTCGGTGACCCATTCCTGCTCTTTTACAATTCGGTCACGGTAGTACGACTCCCCACGGTGTGGAGGAACTTTGTCCTTTGGGGTACCGCCAAGTTGAAGCTCAGGGGCAAATACCCGCTGGATCGCGAGCCATTCGGGGTCGTAGAAAAGTTTGAGAGGACGGTGGAGCTCCTCGTCGGGAGAAGTCATTGATTGGATCTCGAGAAGCTGGAGAAATTCCTGGTACATCTCGCATTTGCCGAGGGCGAGGAAGTTGGTTGTTCTGTTGGTGATATCTTCTGGGAATGGCAGTGATGGGGAGACTTCAAGAGGTTCTTTCTTGACGAAATTTTGTGATAAAGCCGCTAGCTGATCTCTTATTTCCTGGGGCACGTCGTCATTGCTTTCCACAACTTGCGACTCCTTCTCTAATACTGGTTCAGCGTGCGAGCGTTCTGAGATACCTCCAGTACTTCGGTCGGGAAGTGGCTGCGGGTCGAATAGTTGGGCACGTGGATTCAGTTCCGGCTCAGAAGACATCCTGGAAGGGCCAGGCGAACCTTGAGAGCGATTTGCTTCGTGTTGCAGGGAAGAAATACTGGGCATCGGGGTGAAGGAAGAGGCCTGTGGATGCAGCTTGACACCACCGTCCTCGCTCTCTTCCGATAGACTCTGCGAAACATCCGGGTTCTTTATGTCATCACTGTCTCTGGATCTGGCTGTCTCGCCAGAGATTTGGAGGGGTTTGCTTCGAGGTGTAGCGGTATCTTCGCTGGCTGCTGCCGTAGTCTCGTCGTCGTCGCTCATGTCAATATCGATAGCATCTGGGTTGGCCACCGCGGGTTTTGGTGGTCCAAACAAGCTAGCATTGGCACCATCCAACTGATCTCCAGACGTGCCTGGTCGAAGTTCGCTGTTAGTCACGTCGTGGGGAGGGTTCGACGGCCCACTTTCTAGGCGTTGCCGCTTAGTCGGTCTTGAGCAGAAGCAGCCGTCGAGATTGGGGATTGGATCCGCCTCCTCTGAGTTGACCCGGCTTCGAGTTGTCGACACCACCGTACGCTCGAGGCCTGCCCCCCTGTCAATTCTGTTAAACGTCTCATCGTATGAGTATTGTGGACCAGACGAGGTATCTGTCTTGTCTTCTTGTAGCCGTTCCAGTTCCTGGTCCTCTGAAATTCTGTCTCTTTCTTCAGCGTCCGCTTGCTGAGAAAAATCATGCCATGCTGACACTTGCTGACGATCTTCCGGCCGTGGGGTGACATTACTACGTCTGCCAGCGGTCGGATTTGTGTCCTCTTCGTCGTGTGAGAACATGGCGGCAAATTTGGTGTGGAGATGTGCAGAGAACCAATAGGGCGGCCGCAGCCGATCTAAACACTGCCTAGCAGCCACGCTCCCCAACTTCCCAGCAGATGAATCGGTCTCGAAGTCGCGTCTTTTCCGGAAGAGCCATTTGTAGTCTCCATGGTATTCCACACCTTGTGGCCAGTCATGGGAGAGACCAATATCAACCTGCGATCGGAGAGACAAGAGCTTCCGGACATCCAGCTCTCGAACATGATAGATAGTGTTCATGTCCTCTTGATTGTAGGGGAGACGCTCGAAATGGGGTTTGCGATAGTCATATCCTTTCCAGATGCCCGTCAGCCCGGCGATTCTGAGAGGCCCTAATCGAATGACATTGGCAGCCCCGAGATAGTAGATGTTCGGGGCGACCCATCCACCGTGATAGAGTTCAAAGAGATGGTTGCTTGCTTCATGGTTTCCGCCGATGAAGATGGTGAGGTATGGGGCAGTTCGGGCACCACTGTAGTATTCATGGAAGTCCGCCATGCGTCTGTACTTGATGGGCATGGACGTGACATTGAGGTCATGTTGGTTCCTTACTGCCTAAAGTCCATCAGTTTTGTGGAAGATACACGCGTAGGACTACTGACCTGAAAATCACCGCCGATTATCAGCAAGTCAACACCATCCCAGCCTTTTACGCGACAAGCCTCTTCTACCGAAGCGTAGATGGCATGGAGTGTCCCATGGCCCTAGATCAGAATATTAGCGAGCCAACACCAAACCCCAACTCCACGACAACTCACGCAACCCTCGACAGCGATCCTGACGCCTCTGTTCTTCTCGTCTTCAGCTTCCGACATTTTCCTTCTCGTCCCAGCGGATCTCAATGATGAACCAACGTGGCTAATGGCTGCTGCATTTTCTGAAGTGCAATTCAACTTGGACCGTCCGGAGCCACGGTGATGAAACTCTTGGAGAAAGTACGCGGGAGGTGAAGCGTTGGCGAGTCTATTCAATAAGCGGACCCACGACGGGAATTTCAACAGCCTTGAAGAAAATAGCGGCGTGAATAGGGCTGTCTTGCGCATTTACTTGACGGCAGAACGAACCAGAGATGAAGGGGAAAAGCCAGCGACGAAAATGTTCGAAGCCGCTGTCGCCTTTTTCGCGTGGAAAATTCCGCCGCTTTTACCGCGAAGTCCAGCTGGACTGCCTTCACCCGTGACCACATGTTCGACACGACATATACCAAGAACAAGTAAACGTTCGTTACTTCATAGGAAATCCGGTGGTATATATTGCTGGAAAATATCTTCTTTTCAATTATGTCGCCGTCACAGCCATCACCAGGAAAATGTTTCCCCGACAAGGTCTTCCGACAGCTTCCACAGCTTGTCAGCCTCTTCGCCAGATATTGCTCGAGGATGCCCATCGTGCGAGATTTGACAGTCCTTGAGATATGCACCCCATCCCCCTTTGCCGTCTCTGATCTCGCTGGGGCCAAGTCTGGGATCCACCGCAGCAACCAGGCTTGTGGCAGCCCCTGCACCAAGTGTTTTGTAGGTGAACTCCCCTCTCTCAGCTCTCGCTGCAATAGCGTCCCTCTGTTCTTTCGACGAATTCCTCGACAGCTCTGTTGCGATCACCCCAGGGTGGACGCCAACACTCAATATGCCATAGGTTTCGTGCAACCTTTTTGTAAGTCCTATACCAAAAAGTACATTCGCCGCTTTACTCTGGATATATGCCTCCAACGGGATGTAAGACATATCTGGCCCATTGTGGATTCCCCACAGCTTGAGGATCGTGTAGTTCGGGCGTTCTTCCTCCGGAAGATCAGTGGACTTCTTGTCGAAATTGACGTCGGTCCATCGAATGCCATTGTACTCAGCTGCACCGGAACTGACATTGACCACACGTGTTGCTCCTTGTGGATTGGTCTTCGCTGATTCAAGGAGCTTTGGCATGATGAGGCAAGTGAACAGGAAGTGTCCGATATGGTTTGTGGCGAAATTAAGCTCAATCCCGTCTTCGTTGATGATGCGCTCCGGTACGCCACCGATGGCAGCGTTGTTCACCACAACATTGATATCTGGCACATCGCTCCACGAGAGGACTTCCTTGGCTGCTGAACGAACAGCTTTCTGACTGGACAGGTCGAGTAGCAGCAGACGATAGTCGACATCCGGCCATTGTTGTTTGAGCTCATTGAGACACTCCTCAAGCTTAGAGATATTGCGGCCAGCGATGACAAGATGAGCTGGAGACTGAGAAGCGAAAGCTTGGGCAGTGGTAAAGCCAATGCCTTTGCGGTTCACTCCAGTGACGAGGATGGTTTTGCCTCGAATAGCTTCAGGGAATGCTTTCGCAACGTCCAAGGCTTCGGTATCCTTGTTGTATTCTGGGTGCGTCACTGCAGTCATCTTGGCTTATCAGGCACAGGCAATCTTGACAAATGAATCTGGAAATGCTCCTCTGTGCTTGTCCGGTCTGGGTCATTGCCATTATTTGTGCATTGATCTCCTGTCCCTGCTCCTCTTGAAGTGCACTGCTGACAAGGCACGAAGTCGACATTGGGCAAAAGGACAGCCACTATCTCCTAACTCCGGCGTCTGGCCCTCGCAACGTTTCTCCCCTTTCAGGAAGTTCACGGCAGTCTTGCTCCCAAACAAGTCTTGTGCGTCGTCCATGGCTTGGTCCGGCTCGCCAATGAAGAACAGGCTGAACTATTGGTGGTTGGCCTTTGACGGTATTCGATTCTTCAGCTAGCTCGACTAGCAAAGGGTACCGAGAGACAGACCTTGAGCTCCATATTCATTCGCATGTGCACCAGCATCACTCTGAAAGCAGCGGATGGTCCGTAGAAGATGGAGTTTACGGTAACACGGACAGGGGCCTCATTACCCTGCATCGAAAGGATCCCCTAGCGAAATGCTCTCCAGCACAGGGCGTTGTTCATCCGCACTCTTGTTGTCTCGACGTCAGGGATCCGCTCGCCTCTCCGTGGTTCTATACATCCGTCAGACCTCGGCCCTGTTTCAACATAAAGGGTTAATATCAAACCTTATCCCGTAAATGATTCATGACTGAGATATGCTGTATCTTCGGAATCTGCAGGGGCACCTGAGAAAATACATATCTCAACACCGAGCTCTGCAATTCTAGCCTTCAATCGATCAATTTCGGCCTGTCTCCGTGCAAAATCCTTGAGCATTCTTTCGTGTTCGTTCTTCAACGCCTCAAGCTGTTTCTCAAGGGCCTTTATGTGGCTTTCTTTGCGCGCACGGAATGCTTGCTGCGATACACGATTTTGAGCTCGACGGCGCTCCTGGAGCAACGGATGAATTCATGGTCAGCGTTGACTATTGCCATGTGTTTCGTGTTTGCTTCTAGACATACCAACTTTGCCCGAGCCTTCAACTCCTCAGTGGCTTTGTCACTAGGAAGAGCCGAAGGTACCGCCGACCCTGACCCACTCCTGTTGACCGACCTTGGAGATGATCCCTGAAGGGTTGCACTCGGTGGAGGAACGGTGGATGTAGGAATCCCACGCCAATCGGGCTCAGTCCACGTCTGTGGACGTTGAGCGTGAGTTAGCACAATGACCCAACGGCATGGCTAGGAGCACAGGACTTCCACACCGTCTCGAGAGCATCAAATGCTTGGTCCAGACTCTGTGGAGCCAGGACAACGTGCATACTGTTCTCGTCATCGCTCCAAGGTATCGCAGCCACGCCATGCGAGCCTTGGCCGAAGCCACTGCCCAGCCTTGAGCTGCTCATGTCCATGGCAGGAACCGGCCTTGGAAAGCCTTGGGCCTCGACCTGTGCAGATGGATCCAGTGAGAAATACATTATGCACCGAATTCTTTATGTCCCACACCGAAGTGACTCTGGGCGCGAATGGTTCGAATACGGAGCTCGTTTGGCGACACGGCTGATGACGTGCATGCCGGGGGTGTTGGGCTTTATATATCGCCACCACCGGCGACGGCCCGGCCTCGCCCATAGGCAAAAGGCCATTCCAAGTTTCAGATGACATTGGGGTGTCCCGAGATCGCGCGTGATGGTTCATGCTGATGTGGTGGCGTGCGTGTGCTAATGGCGCAGCCAGCTACCACGCGGTCGCAAGAGGAAAACACCACCGCGTACGTCGGAACCGAGCAAGGGTGTTGGGTGTTCGATACATGCCCGATTCGGCTAACATGAGACTCGACTCATCGTCTGGGGGTTCGCGCTTGTTTGGGTTGTTACTCGTACTCGTAGGGAGGAGAAACGCCGTGGTTGCGCAGGTTGAACCGAGATCCGGGGTCAATCGCGAAAAACATGCCAGTCAGCAAGGCTGGTTTCCTTAACTAAGCCACGGTAGCCTGGCTTCTCACCGCACAGAACAGGTTGCGACGGACTTGCTCTCCGACAAGGCGAGGGCTGGGGCAGGCGATTCGTCTTTTGTGTGATGCCCATTGCCTACCGCGTCACCGGGGCTACACCCCATCTCGAAGCCCGTCTATCTCAATGTGGAAGTAACCCGCGACACCCTAAGCCAGTCGTCCGAACCCCAATCGGGTTACAACCACATATGGTGGTCGCTCTTTTCGGTGCCTATCAGCGTTGCAGTTCTTCTGTGCCGTGGGTGCAGGCCACGAGCTGCATGGGTCACAGCAAAAGAACCCATATCATTGTCCGGTTCGTACACCGCCACGTTTGATTTGTCAGGCGACTTGCGGCGACGCCTGTAAAGAGTAATTGACGCTTTGCCCCTAGCACCTGGCGGCAACGATCGCTGCAAGATTTACGCCCATGGGCAATGCAACAGCTTATTCTAACTTCATTCATCGTTGGATCCCAGAAGATTATTGGGCAAGGCTCCAAGGACCGGAGGATATCTGGACGAGGAGTCCTCTTATCACGAATTCTGTGGCTTCTTCCTCCTTCTCGCTGCCCATCAACCACCAAGGTCCAAAATCTCCGCCCACAGGGTTTTCCCTGCGGCGTCGCATGCCCGGTCCAGCCACAAGATGCGCTTCAAAACGTTTTTCTTCAGATCTTCAAACTTCTTGATCCCGAGTTGCGCAGACAGCCTTCCCAGCGCAGCAATGAACCATAGCCGCTCTTCCGCTACGTCTCGGGCTGCGGCACCACCGATGACTAGAATCCACATCAGAAGACGCTGGGCTTGGTGGGATGATGACCAGCCAGAGCGCATGTCGGACTCTCGGAGTGCGGATTTGAGCTGTCGAGCTAAGACGGTGATTGGGGCGGTCTGCGGTGGGAGGGGGAAGATCACCGTGAGGGAGTATATCAGGAGGGCAAGGCGGGTCGGTTCGTAGATGGGTCGGGGTCGATCCGCTGATGGTAAGTCTGTGTGCGAGGGAAGAGACAGTAGAGTGTGTTGGATGAGGTTGCGCCGGTCGCACAAACGCGCCAGGTCCAGGTCCGGAAGTGCACCGTCGACGAACATTTCAACGCCGTGTTCGTACCGCTGCATTGCAACCCACGCCACGGCAAGCCCAGCCGTGAGACCCAGATCAAACAGACTACTATAGGTAAACTCGTCCCGAAGCTCATTTGGGCATGTGCCCAGCATCCCCCAGAGCGTGGCGGTTCGATCACCGTCGTCTGTCAACGGCACAAAAGGAAAAACGGGTTGAGTTAATGTCCTGCTCGCCTGAATAACTCCCGAGCTAGCATTGAGAATCAACCGGTCAGCTACGGCAGTCCACAGGTCAATCATACAGCCAAGATCAGCTTACTAGGATATGATGGCGGCCAGACCATTGGTCTGGATATTTTTTAAGCCACCCCTCAGTGCGATCAACTGAACGAGGCCAGCCGCATGGATAGGATGGGCGCTGAGGAGTCCATAGACGTCCAGCCACTGAAGGCTTTTCAATAAAGGATCAAATATCGGCTGAGTTGCAGGTTGGGTTTGGAAGCGCTGAAGGGTCAAGTCCCAGGCGTTTGTCGCCAGCGCGAGGACAGAAACTATCACTGCATCTGTTATAGCATTGTTGGGGTCGCGCAGGGCTTTGTTAATCAGGGAGATGGACTCAGCCTCGCACCGCCGCATATCCATTTCCAGTTGGACAACGGCTGGGTCATCCGGCTGGGCAGAGCCTTTTAAGAGGTTCAGTCTCTTGTGGCTGAGTGCCCCGAACAAGAGCGAGTGCAGCGCAATGGTATCGTTGAGCGCCATCGGAAACCAGCCTTGGATGGCAGCTGATTCTGAGCCGCTTAGAGGCCGGGGCGTCAACCCGGGCCAAACAACCTGCAATGCTATGGCACCGCGTGAGGCACCGGTCAGCTACTGTGCGTTCACCCCTCCACGGGCGAAAATGACAAGAAGGGAACCAGTCAGCTTACAGTATTCATGACATTGCGATATCAACGACGAAGGGAAGGTTGAGGGATAGGTCTGAAAGGGATCCAACACTCCGGATCCCAATACGTGAATAAAGGGACGAGAAGCGCCGGCCGAGGCGGGAGAGAGCCCTTGGCGGAGGCGGGATGGGGCGGTGACGATAAGTCCAGCGTCATCTTCGACATCGTCGCTCGTGCTTTCTTGATCGAAATTACTTGCGCTGCTTGAACTGTCGGTATCACCAGGCCTTGCCACTTTTACCCGCGAACGACGCTGCGATTGTGACTGAGCCGACTCAACCGGGGAGAGCGAATCTGTCCGCGATAATTCCGGTGAGCTTTTTGAACTTGCACCCGCACTCGCAGCACTCTTGTTAGTACTCTCGACCTTCTGCTGATTCTCCTGCGTCCATCTTCCGATGTGTGAGCGGATCGCAGTCCGGGTCTGCCGCTTCTCAGCCTTGGTCTGGGGACGCGCATTGACGAACGAGTACCTCTGAGGAGGACTCATCTGCTAGGAGGGGATGATTGGATGGAGGCGCAATGTCAAACACAGCCCAGGATCACAGTGAAGGTTTGTTCGTCCAGATCGACCGTCGTTGGAAGCACCCAGCAATGACTTTGTCGTCGCCCGTCATCATATGAAACCGAATGTAACTGCGGGTCTGTTCCCCAAAGTCTCGAGTGTTCGAGGAGCCACAACTGACTGACCCTGCGCGGGGCCGCTTTTGTGTGCTGGGGGAAGGGGGCCAGGTCTTGGCATCAGATTTCCCTCGGACATCATCGCCCTTTGGCCCCTGGAACAAATCACCCTCCTTTCCATTATTAATAGTTCCCGTTCTCATCGCTGTTTAGTTGGAGCACGTGTCACAGACTTTTCCTTGCTGCAGACATACCTCTCGTTCGCCCCAGAGTCATTCTGATTCTAGCCTATCGAGCTTCGTCTTATCTCACTGTCAAAAGAGGCGAAACTTCATCCTTGGGACGAGTAGTGGTTCCTGCATGCGATGAACGAAGCTCAGGCTGCCCGAGCGAGATACTTGCGGCACTCGGCGCGAATGATCTTCCTCTCCGCACCCTCGACGTCTCGACAGCTGTTGCGCGAAAGCGTAGAACTTAATCACGCAGGAGCGTTGCAAGGCGACCGTAGCTCAGGGGGGGCGTGCGTGGCGTGCGGCAACCTGATGCTACCAGAATGGACAGTTTCTACAAGGATATCAAACAAGAAGATCAAGACCAGTAGGAAGGATCGTTCAGAGAAGAGAAATTCTCGGCGGAAGGTACGAGCTCGGCGATGCTCATTGTGCTACCGGATCACCAGAGACGTCGCCACAATGGACTCCAATCCCACCAGAGAGGACCGCCAGCCCCTTGCCGTCCCTGAGGAGGCGGTCAATGAACCAGCAGATCCCGTCCTGGAAAGGCCCACCAAGTCAAGCAGCAAGAAAAGGGCAAAAGCACGAAAAGACCGAGAAGGATTACAAGCGCTCCTCAACAGAAGCATACAGGCCAAAAGTACACCCAGCCTTAACTTGATGGACTTGATGAAGAAATGATGAAGACTTGGAACACATGCAAGACATGAATGAGCAACGGCGACGAGGCTGAGCGAGGCTCCGGGACCCTCGGCTGCGCAAAATCGGGCCTTGCATTAGTGCCCCTCGTTTTCCTTGGCAGACGTCGATCGTTCTGGGTCCCTCGAAAAGATTCTGATTCGAGAAGCGTCTTTTTCCGCCTGGCTTTTAAGACAACAGACAACGAATTGCGGAAAACCATCTTGAAGAGTTTAGAATACTGACGCCCACTCACACGTATATCGAAACGATTTTTCGCCGAAACCATGGCTGACACCGAAGCTCCTACGGTTGTTCACGCCGACCCCAATGAGACCGGAGTCTATGAGATAGAGAGTTTATGCATGAACTGTCGCGATGAGGTATGTTTACCAGCATGATACATGGAAGGAATATGCTCACTCTCCCAGGGTATAACTAGAATTCTTCCTATCAAAATTCCCTATTTCAAGGAGATCCTTCTCGAGTCCTTCTCCTGCGATCACTGCGGTTGGAAGAACAACACAGTCAAAAGCGCAGGCCAGATCCAAGAGAAGGGAGCAAGATTTACTTTCAGATTGGATAGCATGGCCGACTTCCAGAGACAGATTATCCGCGGCGATACGGGCATTTTCCGCATCGAAGATCTTGGGCTTGAGACGCCGCCTGCTCCAGGCCAGTTCACAAATCTTGAGGGCATGATCATGAAAATCAAAACAGACTTGGAGAGTGATCAACCAGCGAGGAAGGAGGTGAATCCTGCTATGTACAACTCTCTAGAGAACGTCATTCAAAAGCTGGAGAATATGTTACAAGGCAATGGTTTCCCTTTCACTGTTTCGCTCGACGATATCTCGGGCAATTCGTTCATCGAACCCTCTCCAGAAGACAAAGGCTCCAAATATTCGCGGACTGACTACCTCCGAAGCCACGAACAGAACGTGCAGCTGGGTCTGGTGGTTGATGATGACGAAACAGAGGACGGCGCCGGGATGGACGGCGTCGATATTGTGGATAATGAAGTTTACGAGTTACACGCTGAGTGCCCTGCTTGTGGAAAGCCATGCACAGTCAACATGAAAAAGACCAATATTCCGCACTTCAAGGAGGTTATCATCATGGCGACGGTCTGTGACCACTGTGGCTTTAGGACGAGTGACGTCAAAACTGGCGGCGCAGTCCCGGATAAAGGAAAGCGTATCACCCTGGACGTCAAGACGATTGAGGACATGTCGAGAGATATTCTGAAGTCGGAGTCCTGCGTTCTGAAAAGTCAGGACCTGGGGCTGGAAGTCCAACCCGGCACACTTGGAGGCCGTTTCACTACTGTTGAAGGACTACTTACCCAAGTTCGTGATCAGCTTCACAGTCAAATATTTAATGTTGGAGATGAAGACCTTGCGGGAGGCGACTCAATGACACCAGCCACGCGGACAAGGTGGGACAACTTTTTCGCCAAACTCGATGCGGCCATCGCAGCCAAATTCCCATTTTCCATCACTCTTGAGGATCCGCTGGCGAACTCGTTTGTGCAGTTGAACGCGGATCCTGGCAAGGATCCACAGGTCAAGGTCGAGGAGTACGAGCGGACAGACGAGGAAATGGAGGACTTAGGGTTGAAGGATATGAAGACTGAGGGTTACGAAAATGAAGGCCAACAATCATGACCAGCGGGAACCCTGGACTTCCAATAACAGATTTCATCCCTTTCATGGAAAGGGGGCCAAATTTCCCGCTTCCTTGTACGGACTGACTCAACCTCGCGCTCCGATTTGGGGACCCCGGAGACGTGACCCGGGCAGCAGGGTTTCATGGCAGAAAGAACAAGTTATCATCACTCACCTGGATCGACATGCCTCTATAAGGTTGATACGTGCGTTCAATTGAGCACTAGTCTTCAATCCCGCGGAGATGGAGTCTGTGGCTGGCAACTCGGACCTTCCTATCGGTAACGGCCACATACGAAGTTTCGGAATGGTCGCATGCCATTTACAAATGGCGAAGGGTGCATCCAATAGTTCGAACGACAGCATCTGCAAAGATACGGCTGTGAAAGGTCTTCCGCAAGTCATGTTTCTGCCCTATCTGACAAGGGATCTATCGTCACGAAAATGCTTGGGGCGGTTTTGCGCTATTTGTCATGCGGCCTCGGCCTCTCAGCTCTGAGGCGAAGCAAATGGTGCTACTGAACCTGCATCTTGACACTAAGGTTGGTAAAGGGCAGTTGCAACGTTGCTGCCCTACCTTTCCAGCGCGGCGTCCTCGAGTCAGCTGCTTACCAATGAGGACTTTCTTCCCCCTACTGCAGTGTCCCGTCTCTAGTCTCTTTTCACAAGCTGCGACATTGTCTTGGCTATTGAGTGCAAGAATGGCGTCAACCGAATTTGGCATCCTTGACCAATGGGATACGCGAATAGTTGTTCGGGGATGCTTTCAGCAAATACCATCCACAGTCTATACCTTTTATCTGGGGCGATTGCAACACCCCTTTTGTTGCAACTTCTGATAGAAGTCTACACCCCCCCATCCTCTCTGATACTGAAAACGAAAAGCATCATCCCTGCCTTGTGCGACGTACTTCATCTCTGGATTGCGCAACTGCAATCGTGCAAGCACGAATACAGTCGTTACTATTCGACCAGGAATTGCTGGGAAATAATGGTCTTGAATGACGTGGACGATCTCCTGCAGCATATGAGACCTGAAACGATGACGCCCAACGATGTTGTCAAGATCGAACCGCTACTGCCAACTGTAGCTCCGGTTGAGTTATTCTGGATCGACCAAGCCGGGAGCAAGCATCGGCGGAAGCTGATCAACACTCACACGCAGAAAAGATCGCGACGACTCAAGCGGTTGAACGACGCTTCGTCCTCCCAATCTACAGACCGGAGCCCCGAGATGCTGTCAGTGTTGAAGCACCGAAGGAACTGTAACGCGGCTGATGGCAAGACGACCCCGGGTGCAGAGGACTCCCAGCCTCCTAGATGGATGAAGGAACCAGCTTCTTCCACAAATGCTCTCAAGATGAGAGAGACTGCTACATACTGCATCCCACTCGCCCCTGAGCCATTTTCGACCAGCCTTCATCTTGGCCTTGAACCATTTGACAGTCTCTCGGTAGCATTGAACAATCAAGCCGGCACTTTGCTCAAATTTGCGAAGACTATGTCCCTGAGCACAGAAACCATATCAGCTCATTGGGGCAAATCATGTGTGGCTTCCCTTGGGCTTTCATGGTGCTTCTCGTATCCTGTAAAGCTTCTCAACCTCCTCGAGCGAGTAAGTGCTTATGTTGATACGGTTCAAGGCCTCGAGGCGAGTCCACGCACTATTTTCTGGCGTCACGCTGCAATACAGCGCTTGGCGGCTCTCATATCTAATCCACGTACGAGACATGGCGAGGAAGTATTATCCGGCATCGTTGCTCAGCTGCATGGGTATCTCCATCGGTATAGAGGCGTCCACAAAGGCTCGGCGACGACAGACGGACCTCATTCGGCCGGTCTGAGGAACTTTGTTTCGCATGTTGGAGGATGGAGTAGACTCAACCTCACGCCTCAAGTGGAAGAATATGTCAGAATGGCTATGATCATAACGAGCATTCGACTTGCATCATATCTCGACGACTTCGAGGGAGCCAGCGGCGGCAACGAAACGCTCCTCGATTGGCAGGTGGAAGTTGAGCAAGTGGCATCATTGTTCGCGCAGATGGATGCCTGGGCTCTACAGCATTACGAGGTTTCCTTCCAAGACAGTCCGAAACTGCCGCTAGACGAACTTGAACCACTGCTTTCAGAGAGCTCCGGAATTTGCGGTCATTGTCACAAGCTATTTGTTCTGGTGTGGCTTAGCCTGACGCGATGGCACTCGAGAAGAAGTCCTGGACAGTACGAGTATATCATCCACACCGTGAACCGTCACTTTCGAAGTCTGCCGCACAGGGCATTGCCGGATTTTTCATGGTCGATAGTATCCTCTCGAGCAGGGGACGAAAAGAGCCATTGGCAGACCATTGAGATCCTCAAGGTGTTGCATCGGACAAGACATTCAACGCAAGATCAAGTGTGCCGGTGGCTGTTTGACTTCATCCACGGGCCAACTAAGGATGGGTTTCTTGGGATGCAGAGCAGTTTACGCGAACAATTGTTGCGGGATGCTCTTGAAGGTCTCCCAGAGGGCTACGCCACAGGTGTACAGAGCGAGTCATAGTCGCCTGACTTGACCTTTGCCCTTTTTCATCCAGCTGTATCCGGCGGCACCGTGGTGAAAAGGCTCGTACTGGACGCTAGACCCGGGGCTGGACGCTGAATAGGCGATCTGCATTTCGCTTGCGACAGTAGCAATAGATATGTACAAGCAGAAGCATCACGGCCTGAACCATGCCCGAATAAGCGACACAATAGCTGTTTGCGGAAGGTGGTGTGCTGAGAGCTGTCTGCGTTGTTGGTCAATGTGTATTAACAGGTGCGCGATTTGCTCGTATCTGGGTCTGTCATGGCTGGTTGAGTTGGCACTGGATCAGCGTAGCGTTGGTGGCGTAGCCTAGACAGACGCGTGAATTTTCTCAGTTAGGAAATGACTTCATACAACGTAGCTTTTCGCTTGCGACTCCTTCTTCCTTTCCTCTGGCCGTACTCGTAACTGGCACGTTCTTGTGCAGAATGCTTATTCATGCATCGCGCTGAGCTACCAGTCTCACCAGTTTGAGGATTCTGTTCCCTGTCCCGGTTCCGAGTGCTCATCGTCGCCCCCAAGCATCACCACCATGCACAGTCATTCTGGGACGACAGCCCTTTCATCTCTCAATCTTTAGTCCCTCTGTGAACGCAAGGCTTTCGGATCCTTTGGAACATGTCCAATGGCAATGTCCAAAAGGTTCAGAGCTCCAAAAGGGCACATCCCACCTTTCATTTCTTTGCCGGCCTGACCTCTGGCGTCTCGAGCGCGGTCCTGCTACAGCCGGCCGACCTGCTAAAGACCAGAGTCCAGCAATCTCACTCCTCGTCCCTTCTTACCGTCCTGCGGTCGATCCTCGCTGGTCCGCATCCCGTGGCCAGCCTCTGGCGAGGGACCGTCCCATCAGCGCTGCGGACAGGCTTCGGATCGGCTCTGTATTTCACCTCCCTTAGCTCTCTACGCCAGATCTTTGCCAACAACACCGCGCAAGCGACCGGAAATGGAGCCCCTATCCCTAGAAAGAGCAGCTCGGTGCTGCCAAAACTATCGAACATACAAAATCTCATTACGGGCGCGACGGCGAGAGTCTTCGCGGGACTTATCATCATGCCCGTGACGGTCATCAAAGTGCGCTACGAATCAGACATGTATTCATACAAGTCTCTTGCCTCTGCGACGAGGTCCATCTTTGCGCAGGAAGGCATTAAAGGTTTCTTCTCTGGCTTCGGCGCCACGGCCATCCGTGATGCGCCGTACGCAGGCTTATATGTGCTCTTCTATGAAGCAAGCAAGACGCATCTGAACAAGATCTTTTCGGTACACACCATGACCGCCAACCAAGGACGAACACGGCCTTCTACATCGACGTCGGCCTCGATCAACGCCTCCAGTGGCGTTCTTGCAGCAGGGCTGGCAACAAGTATTACGAATCCGTTCGACGCCGTAAAAACTAGGTTGCAGCTGATGCCGCAGAAGTACGGGAATACGTGGAAAGCAGCGCGGTTAATGCTCAAGGAGGACGGAGTCAAGAGTTTTTTTGATGGGCTTGCGCTCAGAATGGGAAGGAAGGCGATGAGCTCGGCGCTTGCTTGGACGGTATATGAGGAGCTCATTGGACGAGCAGAGCGCTTTGTCTCGAGGCATGACGAGGAGAGGGCGGTGGTATGAGGGCACAAGGTCGAAGCCGCACACTTTGCATTCTCGCCGACAAACCACTCTGGATCCGGATCGAGTACAACGCTCTCACCTCTTGTCACCCTCAGGGCCACGTAGGTGGCCAGTGGTTAGCTCCTTTTTTTTTCTCGGCGTCGACTTACATGACCTTTCTGCGATCTACCATGTCACCACCTCAACTTGCGTTGTGATGGAGGGAAAGCTCTGCATTTGAGGTCGTCTCAGTCACTCACCACTCACAAAAATGTTGTATAATGTACCATATCCAAAAGCCAGACAGCCAAGACAGTGTATATATGTATATATCTCTAGCCCCAAGGCCGAAGAACCTAATCATCTCCCCCATAGTGCGAGGGTCTTGCATTTCTCCTGGCCCAAATCCTAACCCTCATACTCGACAGCTAGCGGGAGACGGTCCCTGATATTGATGTGGAGACCATGGACCGGGACTTCAACCGCAGAGTCGCCGATCGCTAAGCTCCTCCCCGCCCGTCGACTTGTTCCACTCCATGCGTATAGCTCGATAGTCACGGAGTATCTTTCTACCATCAGATCAACACCTTGACCTTACTGCTGAAGCCTTCCCTTCGTAGGTGGTTCATCACTATTTGTTGAGCCACCCTCTCTCTCACCGCCCAGTCTCATGCGGCTCTTATTATGAGAGCGCTCTGGCCCTTTCCATGCTCGCACAGGTGGCCCGACCATCCAGGCATGCTGTAGCACGACTATTCGATAGCCGCTGCTTGCTTCTGTTTGTGCGGGTACCTTCACCCCGGCTGCAAGGGATAGTATGTCGACCCGAATATTCTTGCTCAAGACGCATTGGCACCTCGGCGACGCACTTCCGCCGCTATCTCATATCTGAAGGCCGCACCACCACACCCCCGGCGAGCAAGTCCTCTGCGGGCTCATCCTCTTCCACCTCGTCCACTCCCAGACCCTCCTATCCCTTCTACCTGGAGACTGGCTACTCGGTCTTTGCCAAGCGGCCCTCGCGCCCTTTTCCGCCTCCATTCGTCTCCCTCCCCTCTGGCTCCTTCTCCGACCCGCTCACAACCCACAATCCTTCCTCCGTGTCGCGTGGCGCCCGCCGTCCGACCGTGAACGGGGAACCCGTGCGAGGCATAACAAACGGCGATGACGCGATCATTATATCAGCGGCTCAAAACTTCGTCGCCGTCAACGATGGCGTAGGTGCCTGGGCGCAGAAAGAGAGGGGCCACGCGGCACTCTGGAGTCGACTGATCGCGCATTTCTGGGACGTCGAGGTCGAGAAATCACTCGCGGGGCCAGACGGGAAGAACTCTGTGGATTTGGGTGATGTCGATCCAGTACAGAATCTGCAGGATGCGTACGACGCGACCAAGAAGGTCACCAAGGGCACGCTGAACAGGGATCGCGAGGATGAAGTCTACTCGGAGGGCGAAGAGGGGGATCGCAAGCGGGAAGAGGATGAAGATTCCTCTTCTTCAACTTCCCAGGAAAGCAAGGATACCAAGGACTCGACGAAAAATGACATTCTCGGAACGACAACGGCCTGTTCGGCGCTTCTCTATTATAAACAACCCGTTGGCTCGCAGTCCGAACCCACGCCCGTAATCTTCGCCACGACACTAGGCGACTGCAAGATCCTCCTCATCCGCCCCTCCCCTTCCTCATCGTCCTCCGACGCGGAAAGCAAAGAAGGTGACGGTGCCGACCGCATCCTCTACCGCTCCAAAGAACAATGGCACTGGTTCGACTGTCCGCGCCAACTGGGCACCAATTCGCCGGACACCCCGCTCCAAAATGCCGTCTGTGACATCATCGACAACGTCCAGGTTGGCGACGTGGTGGCCGTCCTGAGTGACGGGGTCACCGACAACCTGTGGGAGCACGAGATTTGCGACAACATCTGCGAGAGCATGTCCCGCTGGAATGGGTGGGGGGATCAGTCGCAGGCGGCAAATCACAAGGAAGAGCAAGAGCAAGAGGAGGCCAAGAAAGACGGCGTGATCTACGTCGCGCGACGGCTGATGAACGCGGCCCGAGAGATTGCCATGGATCCCAACGCCGAGTCGCCTTACATGGAGAGGGCGTTTGACGAGGGTATAGCCGCCGAGGGGGGCAAGCTAGACGACATCTCGGTTGTCATTGGGGTGGTGAGGAAGACGGAGTGAGGACACTAGGTCCCACTTCCTGCTTTCTGGTTCAAACTTGCTTGCCGGCGAAATATGACGGCGAGACCGGCCACGGCGCCTCTGCACCAAAAGTTGGAGATCGCACGGATTCGGGAAATACTTGCTCCCAATACCGCAGGCGATGTGGCAAGAGTCTTTACCTGGGTGGACCACTCGAAAAACAAGTACAGTGCAATGGCGTAGATACAGGGAGTCACAAGGGGGCGAGTACAAACAGGTGAATAGGTACAAAAGGGAAATCGAATGCTGTGAGGGTTATGGTGGGCAAAGGGCCAGAAATCAAGCCCTGGCACACTTTTTCCTGGTTTCATACGCCTTGATCCTCTTTTCCAGAAGATATAATGTCCGGTTCGTACAGGCCAATGAGGCTGAGAGCATGCGAAGCGGGACAAATGATTGCGTGTAATTCATGCGGAGCAATTAAGGGCACTTAGCATACCATTAATATGTATTTGTGCCCCCGCCGAACTAGCTCGACATCTAGTGTGGCCCTCAAACTCTACCCAGACTTGAACTGCAAAGGTTGGACTGGAGGCGATGAATGCGCAAAACGTAGGGGGGTAAGGAATGAAACGTGTACGGTACAAGAACAGCCGTTTGCCTCAAAAGAGAGGAAAGGAGAGGAGAGGAGACCGTCACAGACGTTGGAAGAGTTGAGTCAGTACCGCAGACTTTGCCTACGATATTGTCTGAACATCGTCAATACATAATCCCAGACTAGATGCGAGGCAAGCACCGTGACCAACAAGGGATGAAGGAGAGAGGTGAGTAAATCGTCCGTGATGGGAAGTCTCCGCCGCGTCCGCGCGAGAATTGGCAATGGCCTTGACAACAGAAGTCGAGTAAAGAGTGTAACCAGGGCAGCAAAAATCGGCTTCCATCTTCCATGCTGGCTAACATTGTGTCCAGGCTGAAAATGTTTCAGTCCAGTTCTTCGGCAGGCGGAAGCACCAGTCAGGATCAAGTCGACTTCCGACCCCCAAACTCAGCACGGACGACATGGGTCTACAAGCCCAATGAACAGACCTGATCTCAGCTTCAAACTTGGGATCAGTACGGAGTACCGGACTGGGCAGTACTGACGACCAATCAGTGTAGGCCACGTCACAGTATCTGTGTAACAATCAGGCTGCGCGTCCATAAAGGAAGAATGTGAACATTTCAAGAGGGGGATACTCTTCCATTTTTCGCTGGACATTCGTCACTTCAAAGGCTATCGATCATGAGTCAAACTCTTACACACAGCACGCGCTGCCCAAATTGCAGCAAGATAACATTTTCCGACTTTAGATGTGGTGGCCTGGTAGAGCTGCAGCCTTCTTTCACGGCCTTGAAGGAGTCTGCACAATCAGGCTGTGATCTCTGCCATCTGGCTTACACTGGCCTCACAGCCGGAAAACGGGCAGCTGAGATCTCAAAATGGGAGAATTCAGTGCGGAAAACAGTCATTTCTCTGCGTGGACTCATCTACGACAACCAACCCTGGGAAATATGCTCTAAAAAGGCCGAAACAGTCCCAGTAACAATTGGCACAGAACTCGCAGGCCAGATTTCTTCTTTTGTACGCTACTGAAGGTATGGAAAGCCTGCGACGCCAAAGCCGAACTTGAACTGACTCCAAATGCCTTAAAAGGAACTCCACCTGCAAAATATATCGTTGGACGACAGCCATCTCCGACGCCGCTCGATCCCCTTTGGTTATCTGCAATCAGGCGATGGCTCACAACGTGTGACGATGAGCATGAGAATTGCCGTGGCTCGTTTGACGACCCTCCCCTTCCGACACGAGTGCTCGATATTGAAGGGACGAACCCCACCGTGCTCGTCGCGGCAGGATTAAAGGGTCGATACGTGGCTCCATCATATTGCTGGGGCGCAAGTGGCAAGAATATTCGGCTCACTAAAAAGACATCCCCTCAGGGCACTGCAGCGACCTATGACGAGTTTACGTCAAAGGGCGTGAATTTCAACAGCCTTGCAAAAACCGTTCGAGATGCCATAACGGTGTGCAAGAACTTGGATATCAAGTACCTCTGGATTGACGCCCTGTGCATCATTCAAGACGATGACGACTCCATGGACTTCCATCTCGAGGCACCTCGAATGTGTGAATACTACAGCAACTCCTATTTCACCCTTGTCGCGGGCTCAGCTCAAGACTGCGCAGACGGGTTCTTGAATGATGTCCCCAGGCACAAGCACCTCCATGTGAACTGGAGTACGATCGGAAGAGCCTACCCGGACTTCCGGAGCCCGACATTACCGGAGTGGTCTCTCTCAGAATTCCCGATACCCTTGAGAACGAAAGAATCTTTCACCTCGCCCATCGCAGAGCGTGCTTGGCCTTACCAAGAGAAGCTTCTTAGTCGGAGGTACCTCTTCTACGGTTCCTCACAGGTACAATTCCACTGTCTCGACTTCTATGCCCAAGAAAATGGATATTTTGAAAGTGTTCTACCTCCAAAGAAGAGCTGGGATTTCGGGGATAGTAAGACAGCGTCCATTCATCATTTGCTTGATCATGGCAACGTGGAAGAAGTCCGAAAGTATGCATACGAGTATTGGCGCGGCCGCATCGGGCCATATACCTCTCGCAGTATGACCCTGGACTCAGACAAGCTTGCCGCGCTTGCGGGCACTGCCAAATATGTGCAGGGCCTCGTGCAGTGCAAATATATGTACGGACTATGGGAGGGCGACATGGTAAGGAGTTTATCTTGGAATTCCAGTGTCCCTAGTGGAGGACCAGGAAGAGGACGCATGGTCAGGCGAGTCGAGGGTCGGGCCCCTTCATGGTCATGGGCTTCAATCAACGGTAGAGTCTTTGCCGGCCTGTCGCCCCCCAGACATGCGGCTTTCGAGAATCCAAAGAACTCACGTCTGGAAGTCCTATCACATGGCAATATCTCCGGTGACCTGGACCCAATCGCGAACCCTAGAGCTATTCCAAAAGCTTTTGAGCTCCATGTGCGAGGAACAATGGCGCGAGTATGGATTTTTTCCACCAAAGCCGGACGACATTCTGGCATTCGGAAAACCCTCATTCACTATATCTAGCTCTAGAGAGCACGGGCGAGACGGGTCGGAGGACTACAGTGCTTTGGGGCAGTGGGATAGCACAGAAGACGTCGAGACTGAGAGGGTCTGTGCCCAAGAAGTGTATGCGCTTCATCTAATTCCTGGTTGGGGATTGTTGCTGGAGCACGTTGATGGCCAACGGTACCGGAGAACTGGGGATTTTTCGCGGGCGGGAAAGGGGTTTTTCGAGGGCGAGGAATCGAGGGATCTCATTCTGATCTAAATATGCACCCCCTTGCTATCGGCCTCTAGCTGAGAGACGAAAAGGTAGAAGTTCTAGTGTTCAATCTTGTCTCTGGGACTTCTGGATTCGTCGAACGCCGAGACCTGATGAAATTCAGCTGGTAAGCTTCTTCGCAATCCTTTCAAGGTCTATAGGTAAGATCTCGACATTGGTTATGCAAAATTACTGGGGAGGCCATAACCAGGAAGGCCATAAATGTGGCATTGATCTGGTGGGGTGGCCATTGTGGCTGTGGCGCTTGATTATTCCACACGCTCGCTAGGTAATTCCTTGAGCCCCGTTTCTCCTCCGCTGTCAGGGCTTCCCAGCCATCAAATCAAGGATGTTCGAGTCAATTTGGGGTAATGTACGGAGTACCTCGTATACCATGAAGCTGTCTCTCGGTTTCTCCGCATCCCAGGGGCAGCTACATGCTGGGGATGCCTCCATCCCGACATCGGACTAATGTGTCGTTGGCATTTCGGCATTCCACCTCCTGCTACTTTGATGTATCTTCAGCAAGATATCGCGGCGAACACATAATGCCCAACAGGAGAAGAATTGCTTCCGACCATTCTCCTGGGAAAAGAAGGCGGCCCTACCATCTCACCTGCACAAATTGCCGCCTGCGCAAGACTCGATGCGATGGCAAGCAGCCACGATGCATGGTTTGTCTGGCCTACAAAGACGAATGTCGATATGACACAGCTCCTCCTATGAGCCGCGTACTCGAGATGGCGAGGAGGTATGAATGTCTGGAACAAGTCATCGAGGAGCTGCGGCAGCTGGACAATGTTCATGTCCAGTCAATCCTAAAGAAAGCACCATTGAGTCCGTCCAATCCGACAGCCACCAATGCTCAAGATTCGTCAATGTCCACATCAGGCGCACCCGACTCGGTGGAATCGCGCCTGGCAGTCAAGACTACAGCTAAAGTACCTCACTATATACGCCCGTGCGAAAGCGCAGGCCTGCTAATCATAGTCACAGTCAGACTACTATTCGTCAACGTCAGCAGTCGACACTCCATCGCAGAAAATCACTTCGACAGCCGCTGGCGGAGAAGACTCTGTATCGCTCCGTACCCGGAAGGAGTCTTTGATGAGGGACTCTTTGCATTGGCAGAGTTTTGAGAATATTGCCGTCGAGATTGCTTCGATTCATCTTCATCTTCCCGCCAAAACGATCCAGCAACTGCTCCAGACCCACTGGACATGGGTCCATCCTGTCTTTATGTTTGTATATCGCCCCTCGTTTATGAGTACGCTTGGACTCTTTGCGTCAAGGATTTCGGCTAACCAGGGCCAGAGAATTTGGCAACCGGAGGGTCTGACTTCTCACCTTTGCTCTTGAGTGCCGTCTGCGCTCATTCGACGAGGTTCACAGACCAACAGTTGAGTGGCCAGCTGCTTTCCCGAGCTAGGCTCTTGCTTGGGCAGGAGATACACAATGCGCCTACAATCCAAACGATCCAAGCACTTTTGCAGCTCAGCGCGCTTGAAATTGGCAAGGGGATGACCTCTCAGGCATGGCTACTGAGCGGCATGGCGTTTCGAATGGCGACAGATATGGGGGTCTTTGCCTTTCCGTCTCAGCCGCTGGACGTCTCTATTGCCGCTACTCAGGGGCAGGAGATGAGGACTCGTCTTGCATGGAGTTGCTTCCTTTGGGACAAGTACCGATCCCTTTCGACCAATAGTCAAAGACCCGCTGACATTTGTAGAGCTATTAGCTTGTATCTCGGGCGAATGCCAGCTCTGCCAGATCCGCCGTTTGTCCAAGCTCAACTTCGTATGAACGAGGAATCCTCATCAAGAGCCAATGCTAACCTCATCTTCTAGTCGATGATACAGCCGAGACCGAGCCCTGGATCCCAATCTTTGACGATGAGTCGGTGACCAGATTCTTACCGACCCCGGCCAGCACAATCTCGTGCTTTACGAACTTTTGCCAACTTGGTGTCATACTGACCGACATCATAATCAATGTATACGGCCGGCAAGCGTCGAATACGGTGCTAGACTTCATACAACGGACGAGCGCTCGGTTATCGAGCTGGCGTGCGGCTACACCAGCCCACCTGAAGGTCACCGAAGACGCCGAGGACGGCCGTTGCCCACCGCCGCACGTACTCTCTCAGAAGTATTTGCCAATTCTCGCCCCGAATCCTTCGATTCTGACTGTTATTTAGTCTCCTTTACCATACTGCACTCATTCTTCTGCATCGCCCGTTTCAATCCTCGGCGGCCTGTAGAACAATATGTCGCAGGGCATCCGAGCAGGTTGAACAACTGTTACTGAGGCTTAAAAAGACCTTTGGGTTTACTCGAGTCACCTATCTCATGGCGTATTGCACATATACCGCCGCTACGATTGCGGTACAGGATTTGAGAGAAGGTATTGCCGGCTCAAGCCAGAGAACTCGAACCTACCTTGGTGCACTTGAAGCCGTCAAATGCTCATGTCCCGGTATCCAACGAAGTCTGGACATCATCACGGCTAGCATTGGCTCGTCATGTAATCTAGATATGTTGGAGGTCGATCTCCCCGACTCACATGCAACCCTCGATTCACAACCCATGCCGGCTTTCCCATTCTACGACCAAAATCTACATGCTGCGACTAACGTCGACTTTTCGGGACCGGATTTCAACCCACAGCATATATCAACCCTCGACTCCTTCCCAGAGAACTATATCGATCTGCCGGAAGAAATTCTCAACCAGTACTTCACCGATGCAGCTCTGAGTGGAGGCTAGGATCTCTAATGCTACTTTCTATACCCTCAACCATGTTCAAATCCTGGCTCGGTCACTGTTGTGTTCCCTCATACTTCCACAGTCTTCTTGGGTTGTCTACGAACAACGACTGAACTAGCTTCTCGTCGAAGTCGCACCACTCCAAGCACTTCTCAACAAATGCCGCATCGTCAATCTTCCGATAATCCTGATGGATGTGACGATTTCCGTTGATGTTTTTCTCTACTCCTCCCGAGTGTGGCCAGTCACTAGCCCAGACGACTTGCGTAGGAGCCTTCCGGACTATCTCCCTTGCGTACTCATCAAGCTCAGGCGTGTTAGGAAAGCGATATATCCCACTGACTTTGACCCACACAAGCCTGCGTTCGAGCAGGCTGACCAGTTCTGCATATCCTGGTTGATCAGAAGGTCGCGTGCTTGGATCGGGGGACCCCAGATGATCAATCACCAGCGGAATGTTCAGCTCTGGAATCACATCTGCGACGAGAGGGATCTGGTTGAGGGCAAGATAGACCTGGATAACCCAGCCCAGGTGCCGAATCTTGTCTGCGTACTGGAGAAGTTTGGCTGCCAAGGTTTCTTTGGACATCTGCTCGTCGCGGGTTTTCAGGTTGACCCGGACGCCGCGAACTCCCAACTGGTGCATCTCTTGCAGTTCTTTCTCGGTGATAGTGGCAGGGTCGACACACACAATTGCTCGAGCACGGCCCTCCAACTGCCGGAGAGCAGCCATCATGGAGCTGTTGTCGGTGCCGTATACCGACATGCAGATAAGGCAGACATGGTCGATGCCCAGCTCCTTCTCGAACGCTAACAGCTCGTCCAAGCTCGCCTTCTTCGGTCGGTACGGGTAATTAGGATCAAAGGGGTATTTATCCTTTGGTTGGTCAGCCACGATCTGGTGTCGCGAGATGGTACTTACCTCGTCAACCACATGGACATGAGAGTCCCACGACCCAGGAGGCAATCGGTACCTTGCTTTCGAAGGCACTCCCGTGGAGGAGACACTTGTGCCAGGTGCCTGAGTGTGAATTGCCATTGGGGGCGGTACCGAGAACAATGGACCTTTTCAGATGATCTGTGATATTCTAAGACAATGTGTCCCCAGATCAAGAATCAGGTCGTCAGGAGATCTGGTTTTGAGGAGGCCAAGCAACAGGAGGTCAGTCATGCGAGGCCCTGCTCATAAAATGCTTTCTGCCGCGTGCATTTCCGCTCAGTCGCCGCTCCCCGCATGATCTCCCCTTGTGTCAGTCTTTCTGGGGGTTCTAATATACCTTGCACAGTCTAGGGCGAGGGGCCGGCGAGGTTCCCGGACAGTTTCCGGGGACAGTCTCAGGAGATACAGTACCGTACTCCAACATATATGAACCAGCCAGTTCCTCAGCGTCTCACATGATGGCTTACCCACTTCCCACAACTCCAGAAGTCCGCCATGGCTGAATCGAAGGCAAGTGAAGTTTGGATCGACAGTGCTGGGAAGGCTGCAGACATAGGCCCCCAGAAACTGGAGGCACAAGAGCAGTATTACGCAGACCCCAATATTCAGGAACATCAGCATGTCCTCGACACTGATGGCGCTCGTGATGCTGAACGCCAATACATGAAGAAATTGAACCTCATTGTTTTGCCCACAATTTCGGCCTTGTACTTCTTCGAGTACTTGGATCGAGGCAATATAGCAGTATGTCCGTCTTTCTTACCTCAACCGTCATTCACTAACCCGAAGCAGAATGCCAAATTGTTGGGCATCGACGAAGGCCATGGCACTCCAGACAATGGTGTTGGCCCTGGAACCCAGGAGCTGTCCGCAACGCAGTGGCAAGCGGTCATCATGATTTTCTACGTTGGCCTCATCTTATTCCAGGTTCCCGGTTGTATCGGTTACCGGATCTTTCCACCTTCCAAGGCAATTCTATCTCTCTGACTGAAGGGAGAACCTACTGACTCTGGCAGTGGATCGCGTTTTCAGTCTGCGGCTGGTGCGTAGTCTGCGTCCTCCAAACAGTGGCGCTGAACTGGGCCGCTTTGCTCGTTTGCCGAGTATTCCTTGGTGTTTTCGAGGGTCTCTTCGGCACTGGAATCGTCTACTACCTGAGCATTTGGTACCACCGTGATGAACTCGGCGTTCGGGTTTTCTGGTTTCTTGGACCTACAGCCATCGCAGGGTAAGGATATACAAGATCCAGTCCTTTTCGAGGATTATTAACACCGTTATAGAGCATTCGGCGGGCTGATCGCATTCGGCATCGGCCATATCCAGTCCAGCGTCCAGCAATGGAAACTTCTTTTCATTATTGAAGGAATCCCCGGGTTTTGCCTTGGTCTTTTCTGCCTCTACTGGCTCCCGGATCGGCCGACGAAGAACTCCAGATTCAAGGGCGAACTGCAGAAAGTCGCACTTGCCCGGTATTGGAGGGAGACCACGGACCAAAATCCTGGTATCAGCAAGAAGCATTTTGTGCTGGCTCTGACCGATTGGAGACTCTATGTCCAATGTGCGCTCCTCGAAAGAGACCTTGCCATGCATCGCTAAGCATCCACTCTAGCTGCAATCTATGTCCCTACGGCTGCCTTGCTGTCCTCTATTTCAGGGTTTCTGCCCTCGATAGTCAAAAGCTTGGGATACAAGGCTACAACTTCCGCCAATCTGATGACTGGTATGGCTTCTCCGTCATTTCTAGCATACTTGTGCTCACATATACCTGGCAGTTCCACCGTATGCGTGTGCGTTTGCTTTGATGTATGTCACATCATGGCTCTCGGACCGCTATCGAAGCCGAGGAATTCCGATTTTCATTCTCTCCTGCACTGCAGCGGTGATGTACGCCTGTCTTGCGAATTTGGACGACAACCATTTATCGGCAAAATATGGCTGCATGGTACGTTCTTCTTGTGTCACGTTGGAGACGAGATTTTCTCTAACCCGTCACTTAGTGCGTCGCCGTCGCCTGTGTCTACGCAACCTATCCCCCAAGTCACGCTTGGGCAGCGAACAATTTTGGCAACGAAACCAAAAGAGCGGTCGGGATGGGCGCGTACACTGCGATCGGGAACCTAGGCTCGATCGCGGGCTCGTACTTTTATCCCTCCACGGACGCGCCGCAGTATCGCAAGGGACATTATCTGTGTTTTGCCATTTCGATTGCAACCGCAGCCATAACGTTCGCCAATACCCTGATCCTGCACAAGATTAACCGTCGACGCGATCGGGAGTACGGCACGCCGCTGAAGGGGCACTCCATCAATGTTTCAGAGGACGCCGACGCCAACCCGATGTTCCGCTACATGATCTAAACTTCGAGGCAACGGTCGGCGGCGATCACTCGGACAGAGACGATGTGAATCTCATTCAAGTCATGAGAAAAGAAGGTCAATCGCTATTGGATCCTAAAAGTTATCACCAGCAGGAGACGGTTTTCCCTAGAACACGACTCCGGTGTTTGACAGAATTCCTATCGTTACAGAGGGCGCTTGGCCTTTGTATTGCTTCTCTATAACATGCCAAAGTCTCGCTTTTTGATCCGTCATCTCGTTTCCGGACTCCTTTACCTTCGTACTGGCTTTGTATCCCTACCATCGATACTATCGAAATTCTTTAGTGATAAGCCATATTCCAAGTATACCCCCCTCTCTTATAAGTCTACGAAGCTACACATCCTCGTCCGTCGAGCCGAAAAGCAAGCAGTTCTTTCAAATTTTAAACAAGATTCAGCGGACAACGTTTTAAAGCCCTAGCTTCGCGCTGCAGCCCCATTCTTCAGCCAGAGATTCCAGCTTTTCGACCTCTTCGCGCGTGAATGGTATCCCGTCCGCTCTCCGGCGGTCCTCTGTCATCTTCTCGATCTCGCCGGGCGTGTATATCCGGTCAACCCCGGCGGCAGGCTCCGACGCCCGAACCCTTGCCAGGAGCAGATCCATCCTCTGCGTGTATTCCGCTGGGGAGTCGAGAAAGACGTCGGGGCGGAAGACCATGAAAAAGTGCCCGACCCCTTGCGGCTTGTCGAGCACGTGGTACTGGTCGTGGACCCCGCCCGCGAACGACGCCCCGGACATCAACCCGCCAAAGATGTCCATCATCATGGCGATCCCGGAGCCCTTGGGCCCCCCTATGGGGAGCACCACTCCCTTGAGGGCGGCGACGGGGTCTGTCGTTGTCCTCCCGTCGGCATCTAGCGCCCATCCTTCAGGGATGTCTTCGTTTCTTCGTGCCGCTTTGCGGATCTTCCCCTGTCGAAAAGGTCAGCTATTATTGCCTTACTGTGTCTCCATACTGGACACCGACCCGAGCGACCACGGAAGGGGACATGTCCAAGAGGAAATCGCCCTGTTGGCCCCCGGGCAGCCCTACCGCAAAGGGGCTCGTTCCGAGAAGAGGCTCCTTCGAGCCCCAGGCCGGCATGCTGCGAGATGCGTTGGTGAACGCCATGGCCCCGAAGCCCTTCTCCATGGCCCGCAGACAGTACGTGCCGCCCATTCCGTAGTGGCCGCTGTTCTTGACGGCCACGATTCCCACCCCGTAGGTCGTGGCCATCTTGATAGCCTCATCGACAGCCCTGCATCCCGCGAGGAATCCAAAGGTGTTCTGCGCGTCGATCAGCCCCATCACCGGGGTTGACGGGACGAATTGGAGATCTGGCGCGACGTTGAGGACCTTGGCCTTGACCCGGTCCAAGTACCCAGGCAGCCTGTTGATGCCGTGGGTGTCGACGCCTCGGAGATCGGCCAGCACCAGGGCCTGCGCGATGGTGTTGGCGTCTTCCCTCCGGCATCCAGCCGACTGTAGAAGCTCTCGGGCAAAGGTCTGGGCGACATCAGCCGGGACGTGAATATAGGCATTCGACATTATGGGGTGACTCGTCTGTCTTGAGGTCTGTCAGTTGCCTTCCACAGAGAAAGAGGGGGGACAGTCCTTTTGGCCTTGCATTGCTCAAGGCTGGGGAACCACATCATTACTCCATTCGTATACTGGGCTAGACCCAACCCCAACAGCATGTGGCCAACTGCCGCGGAGCATCTAAGTGGAGATGGCGGAATCTGCCCCGGAAACTGTCCGGGCCAAACTCCGGGGTCTCTTCCCCTTCGGCTCGTACTCCATTGTCTCCAACCTTTGAGCGATGCATGGCAACACGAGACTCATCTTCCGAGCGAGGTCCCAATGTACCAAACCTGCAGAAGGTTCACATGAGGATATCACGCTGTTCCACGAGCACAGCATGTCCCTCGCGGTGCCGAGCGACTATAGTCGGTTGAATTCGGGAGGAAGGGGTTTGCTGTGATAGCCTTTCTATTCCAACACTATACTAAGCGGCCTGTGACTTCCTCGCCCCGGATCAGGCTGCATAGAGTGTCGACGGCCGCGATCCCGCTTCTGCTCTGGTTCTCAATGGTAGAGGCACCAATGTGCGGCGTCATGATCACGCCGGGGTGCCTTAGTAGCGTGTCGCCGTACTTCTCGAGGCTGGGGGGTTCGACCTCCATCGCATCCAGACCTGCACCCAATATCTGCCTTTTGTCCAGCGCATCCAGCAAGGCCCCTTCGTCTACAATGCCACCGCGTGCGCAATTGATGAGGATCGCATTACTCTTCATCATCGCGAACTCGTCCTTCCCGATCAGGCCGCGGGTCTTTTCGGTCAGGGGCACGTGCAGGCTGACCACGTCCGCCTGTTCTAGAAGCTCTCCAATCTGCGAAGCTCGTTGGACGTCTTTCATCTCGTCCCAGGCACTCTCCGGGGCGTACGGGTCGTAAGCGACCACCCTCCCTTCCATGGCCCCAGCCCACTTCCGCGCAATGACACGGCCAATATTGCCGACGCCGACGACCCCCATCGTTTTGCGGAACAGGCTGTGTCCCAGAGTCTGGCTCCTGACCACCTTCTCCCCGTTTCTGACCCGCCGATCGATCTCACACACCCGTCTAGCAATGCTCAAGGCCAACGTCAATGTCAATTCGGCCACGGCTTCGCTGTTGATGCCCGGGGTGTTGCACACGATTACCCCGTGCCTCTGTGCGGCCTGGAGGTCGATGTTGTCGACGCCGGCTCCCTGTTTGATGATGGCTCTGAGGTTTCGGGCCTGGAGAAGTTCCGCTTCGCCGATCGTCGTCTCCGACCTCACGAGAATGTACGTCGCGTCCGTGTGGTAGGTTTTCGCTCGTGGATCTCCTGGCAGAATGACGGTCAAGTCGCCTTGGCTTTGGAGTTTTGTGATGGCATCCTCATGATACGGGTCGAGCACATAGACCACGGGGACATGTCCCATCTTGGAGTCCATGAGCTCTTGCTTGCTCGGGATGCTGAAGAACCAGATTTCGGTATCGGATTGTAGCAGGGTTTGGGGACGGTTCCGGCGTTATTGTAGCTCCAGTATCGGCATTTGACCCGGAGTCTGCCCGGTTCCACTGTTAAGTCGTGATACAAGTTAATTCTCCCATGTTCCTCAGGCTTTAGTATTGATGTATTCACATACTTGCGAAACATGGCTGATCAAGACTCTATCGTGGCAGCTCTCCGGCAGTACACAACGTAAGTACCCATGGGGGAGGCCGGGTCTACCCACGAACTGACACCTTGCCCAAGCTGCGATGTTTCCGATGCCTTGATGAAGCTCAAGCACCCGCACGGCGGGTTCCTACCAGGGCTCACGATGTGGTCCCCCGAAAGACACGGCGAGGTCAAAATCGTCGGCCCCGCATACACGGTGAAATATGTGCGGAACAACTACGAAAATCAGCCCAGGCCTGCGAGTCACTATGTCAGTCCTCTGTCGTTCGCCGCTTCTCCAATGCCCATTTTGGCTTGGAGTATTGATTGACCCGTCCCAGATCGATACGATCCCCAAAGGCGCCGTGGTCTTCGTGTCGTCTCCTCCGGGAATCGTCAATGCCGTGTACGGTGGCTTGATGAGTACGAGAGCCCAAGCCTCAGGTGCTGCGGGGACGGTGGTCGATGGAAGAATCCGTGATGTCCAAGAACACCGAGGCCTAGGTTACCCGGTATGACAGTAGGGTCTCTCAAGTGAAGATTGAATGATTGATCAGTGCAGGTCTTTGCCCGTGACGTTGGGACGGCCGCTCCCTATGAGGTTGTGCGCGTGAGCGAGGTATTACTCCATGATGAAAAAGGTTGTCGGGAAAGTCGTTTGACGTGCTGATCGTCCCGTGTCACAGATCAACGTGCCGCTAAGATTATACGACCTTACAATTGACGCCGTGGTGGAACCTGGCGACTACATCGTGGGTGACATCAACGGCGTTGTCTGTCTTCCGAAAGCTTTGGCGCAGAGGGTGTTGGAGCTCATTCCGGCGCAGCTGGAGGCAGACGAACGTGTTGCGGCGGATCTGAAAAATGGAGCCACCTTCGCTGAAGCCAGCATCAAGCATCGCGGGGCTAAAAGGTAGTAGAGCTTCGTCCAGCAATTGGCACGTTGTACCACAGAATAGATCTATAGAAGGTCGCTGGATGGCTACCGTACGTGTGTTAGAGGCATGTAATCCGGCAAGGGCATCGTACATATGTGTCAACCGCCCCACTAATGATGGTGAAGAGGCCTACTACGTCTTTACCGAGGACCACCACTATGCTGCTGTCGTATGATGTCAGGAGTTCGACCGCTCTTTCTCTTCACAAGTCGATTGAAGGCGCCATGTTCTCTATTTTAAAGCCCCTTTATGGTATGTAATTATCAAGACATGGCCTTGTTTGAGGCCAGAAGAAAAAACCAAGTAATGGCCCAAACATTCTCTCTGTGACGATTAACGAGTTGGATAGATTACAATTCTTGTTGATTTGCCGTTGGCTGTCCGCTTCTTCTCCACCGTCACTGTGGTGGCTTTATCGCTGTAGACGGATACGGCAGGATACACATTGTCCTCCCTTCTGGCGTTTTTCCTGCCTTCGTAATGGCGATCCTCGTAGAAGTCGTTATCATAGTGGTGTCGATATCTGTTCGACCGCTGCAAAGCATCTCTTTCATCATCGTATATGTCGCGCTCGTCGCTGCGCCTCGACACACGTCGTTCGTCCACTTCGGCATCATATATGTCGCGCACATAGTCGCTGCGCCTTGATCCGCGATACCTGTTCACGTCGGCATCATCTGTGTCGCGCTCGTCGTAGCGCCTTGATCCGCGCGGTCTGTACACGTCCGCATCATCTATGTCGCGTTCGTCGTAGCGCCTTGATCCGCGCGGTCTGTACACGTCTGCATCATCTATGTCGCGCTCGTCGCTCCGCCTCGATAGGTATACTTCGTTCACATCAGCATCGTGTATGCGGCGTCCGTAGTAGTCATTGCGCCCGGATCCTCGGCGTATGTCGTTATCAACAACGCGAACTCGTGTGTATCTGGGATGCCGTTCGGAGGTGCCATGGGAGGGGACCCATATATATCTGTAAGTAGCCATTGCCAAATTCCCTTGTTGCAGATAAACTATGATCGGGACCGCTTTGGTAAACTCTCTAAATTTATTGTTGTTGACCTCCTGTCAGACACCTGCCTCTTCGATGCCAACTTCTGGAGAATACAAGGATGGCTTTCAGGGACCGAGTGAAATAGGTAATGTGGAGTGTCTCAGGCTATAACAGTCTGAAGTATAGGAAAATTTGTCGTACTTTATAATGCATTGAATCACCGTCCAATGCACCCAAGAGCCCTTCCCGTCATTGACGTCGGCGGCTGTGTGAAATTTGGCCTTTTTGTAGATTTGGGCAGGCTGGCTACGCCATACGGGGCAGTGTGCATGCAGCCTGTAGGCCAACGTGCATACAGCACTGGAGCGTGGCTATCAGGATGTGCCTCGATTCTCTGCCTTGCGGGCAAAAGACGGAATATCCCGCCAATCCATAGGCGAATATTAGGCACTATGGTAGATAAGGGTCTCTGTCATTCGTGACAGTGGCAGAGCAGAGAACAAAAGGGCAAGCCAGGCTGCTAAGCCTCGACCGCTAAGCCCCAACAGCTAAGGTCAGCTGGCCACTCAGCCTCAGCAGCTGGATAGATCCCCGACCTCGAGCTTTGTCAAGATCTTCATTCATTTAAGGGTGCTTCACGGATGCCCTGTCCCGCAAAATACGCCTGCGAAATTGTTTTCTAAGAAATACAGTCTCAGATGTGGACAGTGGCATCTCGCACTCCTTGCAACGTTGAATCATGGCCGTCATGAGCGTGTCGGATTTCTTCCACATGAAATCGCGCGATTTAGTGATATTCTCCGAATTTGAAGGATGTAAAGCATCTATCATTGAAGTTGACAAGGTTGGGCCACATTTAAGGGCACCCCGTTGGCTGAGTGAAATCTAACAATAATGGACAAAGTTAGGGCAACCCAAAGAGTTTCGTTCTAAGGAGGTCAAGTCGCTAGACAAGCAACTAGAGTTTTTCTCGCAACCAACACCTACGGATACACATAGGGGCTCTTTACACTTACTCTTACACCGATGCACTAGAAAGAAGGCCGAAAAGGCCCCTCTACCCTTCGGAGATCAGAAGACTTTCGACACGGTGATTGAGAAGTTGAAGCTGCCGACGTGTTATCCTTATGATTACGCGAGGTGGCAGCACATTCCCGCAAGGACGACATTCTTTCGTTCCGGTGTGGGTGAGTTTGATAACTTGATAAGTGCCTTGAAATGAAATCTGATGGGGCTCAGAGGTGGTCTGTCATACTCCGAAATTCGGCACGACCTGGGCAAGCCTTGCGCTGTGGTATGACTCTGAAAGTCAGACAACGTCTGCTTTCCTGTCTGTGACTGAAGGCGAAATGGAGGAACTGATGGTGGAGACGGTGAACAGTCTCAAATTTCTGGCTAGCCATCCGCTCCTGCTGCCCATTGCGCTCTATTGGGTGACCTCTCAGATCCTTCGACGCGACAACCACGACACCCACGTGAATATGAACACCGTTCAAAAAGACACAGGCTTGTTGAGACAATATTTAAAGGTTGACAGTACGAGAGCATCCAGCACCACCGCCTCCACGACAGAAAAAGGAAACGCTAAAACTTCACAACAGAAGGCGCCTACTCTGACCGAGATTCACCAAGTTATTGTCGAACAACATGCGCGCCTCACACGTGGTCTCGCTGAATTCACTGAGGAGCTTGGAGCATCTTGCCTCTCTGCCCTCGATAGCATCGAAAGCATGGAAGAAGACGGGGACGAAGCGAAGAACGACAAGAAAATCTCGACTCTATTGATAGACAAGGATGCACATTTCGAGCTGAGGAAGCTCCTCGCCCATACGAAGGTCGGCACCAACTACGAACTACACCACCGCAAGCAGATTCTCAGTCGGGTAGAGATCCAACAGCAAGTCCTTTACAATCTTATGCAGTCCCGTCTTGGTGACGAAGCTCTCCGCGATAGTTCGGCTATGAAAAGCATAGCTGTGCTAACCATGGTGTTTCTACCGGCAACAGCACTAGCCACCATATTCAGCATCGGCGCATTCTTTGGTTCAAGTCCCGCCGATGGACACATTGTAGTTTCAGGGGAATTCTGGTTGTTTTGGGCAATAGCCATACCCCTTACGCTTCTGGTCCTGCTAATATACTTCCTCTGGGAGCAGCGAGAGTGGCTCCACAAGCAATGGCATCGAGAGAAAAGAGAAGACCAGGAAGCCCAAAAAACACCGCCGGCGAAGGGTGATCAGAAAAGAGCTCTCAAATGACAGAGGGGTCTATAGATTGGAAGGCAATCCAATTCAGGGTGAAGTCTGAATTCCGACGAGGAGATAGTGCACTTGACATTGTTTCGTGAGATGGTGTTGAAAGTCACTGAGTATTTTACAGAAAGGATGCAGTGTGAGAGAGATATTGCACTTGAATAATGAACACCGTTCTTCTTTTACCAATTTATGTCACCCCATTGCCTTACCAAAGGGCAAAATACATATCGGAAAAGCAGTGCACGAAAGGATGTATCCTTGCCCCATATGGACTAGCGTGATCTTTTAGTGAGCCGCCAAAACTCTGCACAAACTACCTACCGAGTACTCGGTACTCGTACGGTGCATCGTTACAATGTGCGAGATCGAGCTCAATCCCTTAAGGATCCCATTTTGGAGACACTTCTGACGGTTTGAATCATAGGTACAAGGAGTCTGTGCAGACGACATGGGTCACCGGTGCTTCTCACAACCACAGTGCCAAGTACTCCGTACAGCGTTGACCCTCGTCTCAACAGTAACCCCAAAAGTCAGATGCTTGCACGGCTTACCTTGTCCTTTCTCAGCTTAAAATGCCTCTGAAGGTGCCGTCGAAGTCGCTGTCCGGAGACAATGCCGGAGCTCTTGAATCCGCACTACCAAATCACAATGGATCCCTTCCCGTCTGTATCCTGGACCGCTTGCAATCTTTCTCTGATACTCTTCCAACCAACCTTCTCGGGCAAGAGGACAGTAGTATTGCCCCAGCTATGCGCCGAGTGAAGCAGCGCCCAGCCTTACAATCCAGTTCTTGTGTGCCCGTAAGACCGCCAGATTGTCCCCACGGTCTAGTAACTCTTCCTAGTAGTCTATTACGATAAGCTCTTCCAAGTCGCGGTGAGATTCTTAGAGGTGACCGTAGTTTCCGCCGAATGTCATATAGAATAGTCGCGAACTTTATAGAGCTTTTAGTACGTCGAGGTCTACAATCCACTTTCCTCTGTTGTCTATCGATACGAGGGTCTGGATAAAGAAAGCTTCTCCATCCTGGCGGCCGAGACTCCTGAGTGCGATCCAAAAATTGTAATCATTGTGTCGAAGGTGCAGAGACGTGCTCGCAAAGCTGTCTTCTGCCTCTCGTTGGAAATGAGAGTAGTCGTTGTTGGTCCACAGTTTCCGACATGTAGGAGAGTGTCGAACACTGAGAATTCTCCTTAAACACTCTTAGGAAAATTATGCCTTGCATCGGATAGTCTCAGTCAACCACAGCACACCTCATTCTGCCTGCCGAAGCCTTATAGCCTGGTCGTTGTTCGGCGGGGGTCTCAACTTGCATGAAGAACATCTCTACAGAAGGGGGCTCGGAGGAGTAACCTGGGATGGAACGGGATAGAATGATAACTTTGACCTGCGAGAGGTCTCTTCTATTCACTTTCTCCGTCTGATCTGCTCCCTTTCTTTGCCCTTCCATATGGACGTCGCCTTTCAAGTGACGGTCATCCTTCGGCGTCACCACCACCAGCACTACCTCTCCCCTGTCCGAACCCCATGTCTATCTAGCCGCCTTTTGAGAATGGGAAACACCATCTTTCTGCTACTGCTGGCCATATAGCTTGCTGAGCCGGTACTTGGCTCTATCTTTCAACCGTGATGTCGCGCCTGGTTACCGAATCGGTGGCGCCCTTCTCTTTTTCTGTTCAGTTCTTCGCCTTGCTCGCGCTTTACTCGCTTTCACATGCTTCCTGCTCGTTGAAGAAGCAGATCTCACCCACGAAATCCATGCCAGATGGTGTTCTCATTGGTGAAGTCAGAAGTACTGTCTAGAGATGTACACTGGGATCAGGTTGACTCATGTTGTATCGAATTGCATTGTTTCGTATCAAGAGCAAAGAAATCTGGTATCAGGTGTAGATGTGGTTCCTGCCAGTCAAAGCCGGTCCGGCAGGAGTTACGCCCAAAGATGCTCGAGAAATGACATCAATTCAATCCGTTGTCCTGCTCAGGCTGACGCGGGAAATTTTCAATCGAGAAAAGAGGCCTCGTTCTGTCGGTCAGCCGCTGAACTTGAACCTTGCCGCCTCCAACCTGCCCAATCCTTCACGTGGCGCCACATTCCGCCGCCGATACGAGTTTGTAAAGTCTTGGAGTAACACGCGCACTTTTCGGGCCTCGTTTTGCTGCAGCTTGTCGCTGATGCCTTTCATCAACTTGTTCGCTTCGGCAGGTTTGAGTGTGCCTGCAGGCAAAGCTTGCAGAGTCCCCTGAACCCATTGAGCTGCCGCTTGAGGTACCAAGTTGAACAAAGACAGGAGAATGCCGGAGGCATCTGGGAAGCAATCCTCGGGAAAGCTGAACATCATGCCGGTCAAGACTCGGTGCACAAGCTCCTGTCCTGTAGAACCTAGCACTTGCCTCACTGCTGCTTGGACCTCTGGTGGGTTTCCCGCTGTTGGTTCACCATTAGGCCCGTTGAAATTGGAGATCGGCGGTTGCTCGAACCCAAAATCAAGGAAGTCCCTCAGAAAGTGCAAAGTAGCTTGGATTGGTTCCAATGATTGCAGCGTCAGGGCCGTCAATGATGCATTGACCATCGGGAGGGCAAGGTTCGAAGTAAGGGCCTTCTGAGGATAGAACCGAACCGCATCAGATGCCAGGCGGAAGAAATCCTCGATAACGTCGGGAAGCTCGACGGGTTGCAGTTCAGCAAGGATCCTGAAGAAGACTGTGGCTTGCTGGGCAAAGAATCGATAGACGTTGTCGCTAGTAGCCTCGTCGACGAATTCTGCGCCGTAGGAGAATTCCCGAATGACCGCGTCTGTTGCCCACAGGAAACAGCCTTGTCGCGACGCTTCAAAGCCCTCGGCAATACTGGTCGCAAGCGTGGGTAGAAGCGGGGCTGTGGCGGTCCGGTAAGATATCACCATCGACCTCCAGCACTTGCACACCCTCTCCAGAATCGGCATGGATCGGGTGAAGTGCTTTGCAATCTGTGAAAGAGCTGGGAGCACCTCTTGGCAATATTTGACTGCCGGGTTCTCTTCGGATGGTGAAACATACGGTTGTACCCAGTCGAAAAAGACCGTCATGAGCCCTAAGTAGTCAGCAACAGTCTTCTCAGCACTTTCATCAGTTGCTTGTGCGGCAAGGGCGACCACCCTCCTCATGACTGGATCACAGAACATCTTCATCGTCTCATAAACCTTGCCAACTGGTTGTGCCGCAACAACCGCTGCGACTCCTTCGGTCACCTCTTCTTGGCTTGTCGATTTGAGCTTATCGATAACGCTTTCATAGAAGCTATGGAGCTGCGGAACGTGGTCGCCTAGCAAGCTGTGGCAGTCGGTTCCCAAGAACTTGAAGGCCAGGGCTGCCGCCTGAACAACTTCCTGGGAGCTGTGACTGAACCCAGAGATGACATAGTTGAGCTGCGCCTCAAGAGTCTCCGGATGTTGAGAAGTCCATTCGGTATAGCGAGCCAGGGCCATAATGGCTTGGAACTTCAGCTTCTCATGATCTGGCACCGTGGTAAGCAGAGGAATCACTTGTGGAAGCACTGTATCTTCCTCCGGGCTGACCATTCGGCCCATTGCCCTGAGGCTGAAGAGTGGTGCCTCAAGCTCCTGCCAATGTGGTACGGTTGTACCCGAGACCTGTGAGGCATATTTCTGTCCCCAACTCTGAATCAGGGCAAACGATTTCATCAGACACTGTGTGACTCCAATGACCTCACAACAGTCCTTGAGGACATCGCCCATGTTATGTCGGAAACTGCGGAACTTGTCTTCTGCCTCTCGATCCCCATCGAAAAGGTCCTTCTCATTCCCGTTCTCTGGCGTGGGGAATTCGAGGTGTTTGATCATGACATCCACGAGTTTCGAATAGAGGTCTGCAAGGGCAGCTCGAGCAGGCATGTATTTTTCGAGGGTGAGGGACTGCTTCAGTTCGTACCAGAAGATGAACGTGACCGAAATAGCTTCTCGGTCTTTATCGCGTACGCAACATTCGAGAACACATTCGACAAGCTCGCGGAAATCTTCCGGCATGCGTGCAATGAGTACAACCCAAGCCTCGCCTGCCTCTGCGAAAAGTCTCGTGATACCTTTCATGAGATCGTTGTCTTCCGTGGAAGCAGCTTCTGCAATCATGGGCCTCAGCTTGATGATTCGCGGGTAGAGTATTCGAATAACGCTTTGTGATTCGTCGACGTCTCGGGTGTCTCTGAACATAGTGCAAAGGCAATCCACAGCAGCATCGAAGGAATCACTGTCTTGGAGAGCGTCGATAATTTCATTCAATAGGGGGGAGTTCACAACGTCGATCGTGGGGATCTCTCGAAGCCATGATGCGATACAAGAATACAGGTGAGGATTGTGGGCGGCTTGAGCTAGAAAAAAAAAGAGGATGTCAGCGGTTCCAGTCGGACAAGAAGACAGGCCCTTACTTGATGACTGTGCGTAGGAGACCAAAAGGTTCAAGACCTGAGCGGCGTTGTCCTCTAGGAGTTCCTTAGTCCGATCGGCAAGTTCCTCTTCCTATATTGCAAATGCTGGATTAGACTGTGATCGGTTCCCAGGGTGGTGTTGCGGCAAAGTCGAGCATCAAATGCTGCGTGGTCGAACATACTGAAAGGTTGATCTTGCGGCCTTCTGTGACTTCTTCTGGTAAGATGCGCAGGAAATCGAGTAGACAGTCTCCGCCGTCACTACTGCTGCCAACAGCTGATCCCACTGTTCTTAAGACGTCTTTCCACGTTGTCAACTGTATTGCCAGGATTGCCAGGCACACGCATAATTGCGTCCGAACGGGTCGAGGACCCGAGATATAGAGTTGAAGCAAAGAGAGGAGCGAGTCTCGAAGAGGAGTGAGGGCGTCGGCTGGCAGCTGATGAAGGTCATAGGTAATCTGAACGTGTCAGTGCTGGATTTGCTAGACGGATCGGTAGTACAGACTTTTCCCTTCAATGTCGTCGCAGCAAATAGCCTGGCTTCTGCCGGGACGGCTGAATCTTGTAATATCGCATGAGTTGTGTTCCACGCTTCGAGCTGTTGCCACATGAGCACTATTGTCCCTGATGTGTGCGGGTTGGGCACAGACCGATTTTTGAAACTTCTCAAGGAATTCGTGGGCATTGGTTTTCTCTTCTTTGCCGGCGTTGCTCTGCATAGTCGCCAGAGCCGAAAGGATTGGCGCATAGCCGCTCGCAGGGTTTGCCTTATCGGCCATGGTGGTTGAGGTCGATGAGGGTGATGAAAATGAGGGGCAGCTTACAGGCGTCTCGGCCAAGCAGCGAAGGGGAATATGTGGTTGTTGTCATCCGGTGAGGAAATGAACAAAGGATTGACGCAGAAGGAGCAGATATTGATGATAGGCGCCGTCGCAAAGTGTCATGGAAGGAGAGACAGTGAGCGTAAATCGGCAGAAATCAGATGTTTTGGAAATGACCTCAGTTTCTGATTAGGTTGCGAGCCTTGTTTCCCGCCTCAGCCTTCCTCCGCATTTTGGATTTTCTGTCCTGCGCCAAAACTTCTCTCCTCTAGACCACGAAAGCTCTCCACCAACATACTCGACAGTTGCGCTCCCTGAGACTGAGAGTGTTAGAGTCCTATGAGCGGCATCTCCACCTGAACAGACGCAGCGCAAAATATACCCTTGCGGCGCAAAGTGTGCCCACAATGACTGGACGCGGCGGCGGTGGTGGCCGCAAAACTCTTCTTGCGCCTATCCATTTTATTTTCAGTCTGTTGCAGAAGCGCTCGACGGTCTCCATCTGGCTCTACGAGAATTTGCGCACGCGCATCGAAGGGAAAATCAGGGTGCGCCCTCTCTTGGACTGTGGCTGGGGATTGTGCGACTGACCGCTGAACAGGGCTTCGATGAATTCATGAATCTAGTAATTGATGATGCGGTCGAGGTACAACTAGCTACAAGAGATACCCCAGAAAAGAGAAGGCAGCTTGGTACGATCTAGCCTGGGCTTCGGTGCGTGTATAGCAGCTGATGACTTTCAGGACAAATCCTATTGAAAGGCGACAATGTCTCGTTGATCCAGTCGCTGGACTAGAATAGACAAGCGTTGGTCTTATTGCAATCATTCAGCACCAAGCGCCAGGCCTATCAGGCATCAACTCGAACGGAAATTAAGCTGTGCCAGAGGAACGATGCCGTCGGCGCATCACTCGACATCAGCAACTACTATTTGATCGACAATCCAGTCATGCTCGTCCGCGGGAATCGTCTCGCCTGGCGGCAGTACTTGTTGGCGAAGTGCAATCCCTACTGCAAGAGAGGGATTTAGTTGCAAAGCGGCTGGGAAGATATCGAGGGTCGGCCACTTACCCAAGAGCGGCATCGGTCGTCCACTTTGGCTCCCGCTGAGTGTGTCTTTGTATTTGGAGAGATAGCGGTCATAGAAGCCTTTGCCATGGCCAAGGCGACGGTGAGACTGATCGAAGGCCACCGCCGGCATGAATATTAGATCCAGACTAGGAGGGTCTTGTTGGTCTCCCGAAGAGTGGTTCAAGATCCCAATCCCACCAAGAGCATTCCTCCTGGTTTCGACTGAATCCTTGGAAAGCGACGGAATGCCCCAAGCATCAGGGCTTAACGAGTGAAAATCGTCCTTGTCATGTAGTTGCAGCATGTCCATTACCTTTGACTTTGGGGCTTCCCCTGCATGAAGATAAGGCACAAAGACACATTTTCCACTGTCGAGGGCATGTAGAACAATATCTCGGGTCGAAGCCTCCCTGCCAGGCATTGACAGAAATAGGGCCACTGCCTTCGCGTTTTGATAAGCTGGCATTTGCAGTACTTGCTCTGTGATGATGGCCGCTTTCACCATCAGCTAAAGCTTGGTATCGGTAGTGCGACGCTCCTACATTGTCTTTCTATTTGATTCGAGTCAAGTTTCTTTAGATCGCCTCCGATTCTCTGTCGCAACGCTGCCTTCTGATCCCTCAGAGCCATGGTTGTTGTGGTCTGTAGAGCTTGAAGCGACGACCACGACCTCATCGAGCAACGAACCCAAAGTGGCTGCTGCATTCGTGCATCATGGGCTTCTAGATCGAGTTCGGGACCAGCTCTTCGTAGTCCTTATGGGAAGATGATATGATTTGTGAATTGCAGGGCTGAAGTGCCGTCATATGGAGAGCAGCAGTCGGAAAGACACTATTTTTGAAACGTTGGTTCTGACAAACCGCACCAGCCTCAAAACAAGCTCCAGTCCGCATGCAAATCCGCAGCCCGAGACCCCTGCACATGCGCCTCAGCCTCCGCGTCAACATCCCCAAGGCGAGCAGCCTCAAAGGGTGAGAATCCCAGATTGAAGTGAGACAGATTGTATCAACAACCAACGACTGCAGACGTCCGCCCACTCTCTCTTTCTTCGTCCCTGTCCGCGGAACACACGACTATCCCTTCCCGTCCTACCTCGACATTCTCGACGCCCTCACACAATCCCTCAAAACAATGCCACAATGATCACCTCGATACAGACTGTCGTTACTCTTTCGCTTGGCCTGGCGGGCCTTGTGAGAGCGCAGTATGATGCTGCACTCGTGGGCACATGGACGACAAAGTCCAAAAAGGTGGTCACTGGTCCCGTAAGTGTGCTCTCCGTGTCAATGCGTGTGTCGCAGCATCTCGCGTGCGTTCATATCTCTGACCTGGTACCCAGGGTTTTTATGATCCTGTCGCAGACAAATTAATCGAGCCCGATCTGGCGGGCATTTCCTACTCTTTCACAAGCGATGGGTATTATGAAGAAGCATACTATCGAGCAATCTCAAATCGTATGTTTGGACCCCCTCGACCCAATAGATGGAAGACCCTCGATTTTGGCATCTCGAGACTCCATCCCTGGGTAAAGAGCAGGCAAAGAGACAATACTAACCACCCTCCTCTAGCAACAACTCCTCAATGCCCCTCCTCTATAATGCAGTGGCAACACGGCACCTACTCTTTGCCGGGCAACGGCTCGATCGTCCTCACACCCTTCGGCGTCGATGGCCGTCAACTGACATCCGCCCCCTGTTCCTACGACAACGCCGTCTACATCCGCTACGAGCAACCCGAACTCTTCAAATCTTACCAGGTCCTCACCGATGCCTTCCACAACGTGCCCAGATTGAATCTGTACCAATTTGACGGGAGCCCAATGCAACCCATGTATTTGATGTACAGCCCGCCCCAGATGCTCCCGACCCAGACGCTCAATCCGACGAGTGCACCGAGCGCGACGGGTAAATCGAGGGTTAAGCGAACGGATGGAGGAGACGGCGACCAAGAAGTGCTCCAGCCGTTGAACCGAGACTCGCATATCATCAAGCAACAGCCCGCCGATTTCTACAATGCTGACAGGTGGTGGTGGGCGGGAGTTGGGTTGACGGCGCTTGGGACGGTGATGTACATGCTACCAACATCCGTGTGAGGGCAATTTCAGGAGCAAAACAGAAAAGAGGTCAAAAGAGTTCGTGTCTGTCATTGAGAGGTTTTCGAGGTGTGTAGCCTTCAGGAATGGTGTTCTATAAATGCTTCAAACAAGGATTGTGAAACAAGGCACGCATTTTCGGACAGGCGTTGGGGGAGCCTTTGTGTGATATTCTGCCTCGAAAAATATGCCATGGGTAAAGTGATCATGAAAATGTAGCGGGAACCCGGTGGGGGGAGAAACAGGACGGTTAGATCAATGATTGCGAACATGAAATCCTCGTGGCTGGAGGCCACTGTCACATAGAATGGAACGGAAGTCCGTAATATCAACTTTGCTGTTTTCGCACTTGTGGACCGCACCGTTCAAATCAGATCCAAATCCTTCTGTTCGGGGTCGCGGCACGTAGCCTCCATATATGCCACCCCTAGTCACTTCTTCGCTACTCCCTTGTCTCTCGTGTAGATTGACTCCGTCTGCTGCTGAGAAAAGACCTGGAAACCAATGCCTTAAGCGTGGTCGAGAAGCACACCAGGTTTTGACAATTCGTCCTTGTTTGGGGTTGAGATGATGCGGCCGTTGACTTTTCTGTACACATGGAAGAAGCACAATCAGTATAACGTCCACGAGGAAGGATGTGTGAAGCAAATATCAATTCAACTCCAGCAATACGCCGACTCGGCACCCGCAATTTTTGCTATATTGACGCGACCACGAATTTGCAGCCAATTCGCCCAGAAATCAGCGGGATAATTTGGGAGGTGCATCAGAGGGGATCTTGATCCCTGCATTTCGTCCATCAACTTTCCTCAATTTCAGGGCCTCGACGTCGACGCCTTTCAATGTGCGCACCTAGAACCGGAAACATCAGCATCGCATGTAAGCGACAACAAGAGCGGAGGAGCAAAGAATTGTTTTTTGAGGGTCGCAGTGGTGATGGGAACCAGGTCAGGACTTGAGAGACGTAAGTCCTTACATTCAACGCCCGATTATCTGCAAAAAAGTTGGGATCGGTGCTCTTCCCGCCAATGCTCGTCCCGCAGGTCGAGCAGAAAGAATGAGCAATTCTCTCTTTCCCAAAGGTGTAGGTGGTCAATTCATCAAAACCACTGAGCCAGGTGATGTTGGACTCCAAGGGGTAGACCATAAGATATCCGTTGATGGCACAAATCGAGCCTGTACACGAGTAAGACAAGTCAGTCTAATGGTAAGAGATCTTTTGAGCCACGCCTGCAAGGCTTAGATTGGAGTCGACAAGTCGTAGGCTTACAATTGCAGCTGGTTACTGGGCCATCCTCGACCGGAGGGGAGAGCTTCATGGTGAATCTAGCATCGGTCAATAGGCCGGTGTCTACTTTGAGCACATTCACCTGCACACCTAACTCTGCCACAATGGCATGATCCTTCATATGACTTGGATTTTGGCTTTGCAGTCGGGCTAATCGGGCTGCCTAGGTCGGACATCGTGCCTTGATGTTTTGCAAACTCGAGCCTTTGTTGGTTGGGCAAGGTTAGCCGGCTCGAGAAAGTCTTCTTAATGCTGTTCTCGATAGTAGCATTGAAGACTGCATATGACACTGGGCCAACTGCTCAGACCGACTCACCTGAGGCCTCCTGTCGCGTGCTTTGATGGGATCAATACCCCTTTCGGTCACCGGCGTTGAACCACGTCAAGGTCGGCCAACGGACAAAGATTAGTCCGAGGTTAAGGGTAGCCTGACGAGTGTGGCCACTACACGTGCAAAATTGGACGGTGAAATTTGAACAGATGCCGACTTGAGATGGCCAGTCACAGCGCGAGATAACCTGGAATGGTGGAAGTTGCCCTTATCACAGATGTCAATGGGAAGCAGCTGGAGGTCAGGGGGACAAACAGCTGCAGAAAAGAGTGTGAATGGTCGAAACAAGTTGCATTAGCATCTTCATCGCTCCCATGCCATGATTGGAGGACAAACAAGCGGAGTCCTCAGTCAAACAAAAGGAGGGGGATGAAACTGGCGGACACACCACGCCCTCTTGGGACCTCAGTTCAGGCAAGGGTCTGGAAAAGGTGGGAACGTCCATCCACAGACTAAGCAGTGACAGCCGACAGGTCGCATGAAGCTGCTTGCCCTTGGCGTGGTCTGCGACCATGGCCATGCTATCTGTCTGGTCCTTTCGTCTGATCCACGTTGCAGGTTGCTCGCTGTTTATGGGACCCGTCTTCTCCATCATGACGCAGCCTGTTCCTTGTCGGAAGCACAGAGCTGATGAACAGTGGATCCAACACGGGTGATATCTGGGGGTTGTACGCGTGCCCCATGGTCTCATGAGACAAAGCTTCGGTTGTTGGCGGCGTATCTACGAAATAGTCACATTTTGGGTGGTGGAGGAAGATTGCGCTCGATGGGGGATGGAGAGGTGTAGAACTCGTTCGCGAAGTACCGAGTACATAGAGCGAGACAAGACTTCAAGATATATCTCGCTGGATCGACAAATGGCGTGGCAAGATTACTATACCTAACTGATCGATATCAAGATTTGGTGAGGGTGATTTCTGGGCGTGCTCTTCAATCCTGGGTCATTGGCACGATGGTATCGTCAACTAGTCTCCCGTGAGTAAGCGAAGCCCCCGTGTTACCCCCGTGGAGTCTGCTGCTTAACGCCTAGAGCCCAATCCACTGTGCCTCGTAAAAGCTGGGGAATAGCGAGCCTCCCGAATGCCAGAATTTTACCATGCGTTATGCTCGGATCAAGCCGACAGGGTGACAGTTACACGAGATGGTGGTGCGTGGCACAAAGTATGCGCGATGATGTGATTCGGCCCGGAGCTTCTTCTGATGAGAAATCCAACTGGAATAAGGTGCGGAGAATGTGTGGGAGGACTTGAGCAAGAGGATCCAGCTGGTTGGTTCTCTCGTCGACGACCTCTCGAGAGCCATTTAGCGTTGATGCCTTGCGGCCCTGCAAGGGTCAAGGGAGCGGCGAAAGCGTGGGGATGTCAAGCATCAGGCAGCCTCCTCAATCCGTGGATGGTGAAGAGCAGATGATCATCCAGTGTGTCCCAGATGACGGCTTTTTATAAATCCTGCGCCTTGAAAAGGAAGGCTTGACTCGGTCACTAGAGAGCGCGCCGAACGGGAGCGGAGGGATCCCTGGTGCAGGGTGGGATGTTGAATTCGGAGACTGACTGCGATGACTGCGACGGCCTTTCGCTTTGCATCGGAGTCGGGGATGGAGGGCTATCGATGGCCGGTTTTCTGCATCTTACGTTAACGAATTCGACAACTCCAAGACTTTGGAAGAACAGGGCTGCTTCGTGACCAGGCTTATCCCCCCTCTCTCCAAAGAAGCAATTGGGCGTAAGCGGTTTCTGACTTGGGGGTGAGCCGCCTCGTCGAGAATAGTTGATCTGCACGCCAGTTTGTGGCCAGGAGGGGCACCAGAAGGTCGTCTAGACTTTGCTCTAGGACGAAAACATTGGAAGCGAGAAGGGAGACGCGGTGGTTTTAGGCAGCATGTAGAGGCGGTTTGGGCAAAAGTAGCTAATCGCCTGCGTATTGCCGGGCCCCCCAGTCAGATGCCCCCCGAGGGTGTCAATGGGTGTCAATGGGTGCCAATGGGTGCCAGCAGCTGCCAACCGCTTTGTGCGCCGCCGCCCGCTGCCCGCAAGCCTCTACCCGTTCCGAGTTCGTAGTCGAGTGATGGCCCGCCCACATCACACCTAGCGCCATCGTCCTCGCACCACTCACCACCCTCCAAAAATTCCTCTGACTGTCTCTCTCGTCAGCCAGTTCGCACGAACCACCCAATTCCCCCTCCTCCTCTCTTTTGACCGCAAAACCTCCTCTCATCGTACTTTTATTCCCTCCACGCCGCACATCCACACGCATCCCGCGTCCTCTGCATCACCCCCCAACCTCCATCCCCCGTCCTCGTGCCTCTGACTGGCTTCTGCACTCCGCTCTGCACGACGGGGCTTGCCATTGCCTGATCCATATCTAGCCTAGATACTCCGCCATGCCAGTGTCGACGGAACTACAACCAGCGACCAGCATAACTGCAACCTAGACCCCAACAATTGCCCCGGTACCGCCTCCTTACAGAAGCAACGAAGATCCCGCTGCATTCGAAAGACCCTTCTCCGTATTGCTCTCCAGACCTCCAGGCTTTGTCTGGACGCCCACGCAGCACCAGACCCAGGCCCTGTTCTCGGCTGTCCACTTTTCCTCGCCACAGGCCATGAGGAGCAGCAAAAGCAATAAGTCCTCCGCTCATTTCTCACGAGCCTTACCCCCCGAGGTCACCTGAACAACGTTCATTCTGCGCGACCCGGTACCTGCATTCGAAGGAAAACTCGCTCGTGCCATTTCTGCATCCCACAACCCGTTGCGAATTCTTTCTCCCACAAACGCCATCTAGTCCATCTTAGTCTGCGCAAAGAACATCCCTTGATTGTCTATCGAAGTATTGGGCTGAGGCCGAGGGGGACACATACAAACACGGGGTACTGCAGAGAAGTCGCAACTACCTTAGGCAAGTCTACAACCGGGAAGACAGGTACTCTGCGCCAACCCAGCAATACCTCCACCCCCCACAGACCGCATAGCTGCGACAGCCCAGTGGGAAGAATTAGGAGCCTGTCTGAATCCCCTCGTCGACTTCCACTGTGAGTCTTGGCTGTGCGGATCATTGGCATTCCGATCATGCCGCATAACCCGTGATATCACTTGCCTGCATCGCCGCCTGGATCACTGTCAGGCTCTCAGGCTTGTTGTGACAACCGCACGTTCACGCATCATGGCAGAGCTCGACTCTGTGGAACAAAGGGAGCAGGATTCGCTCGCCCAGAACGGCTCCTCCGACGATGTCAAGGACGCCGATGGCGGCGGAGGAGAAAATGTCGGTGGACCACCGCCGAAAAAGAGGAGGAGAGTTGCAAAGCCGAATCCAGACAAGAAATTCGAGTGTAAACACGAAGGGTGCGGTAAAAGCTACTCTCGTGCTGAGCATCTCTATAGGCACCAGCTCAACCGTGAGTCTTTCTTGCCTGGTTTGTTCTATCCCTTCTAATTCCTCGAAGATACTCCCAAGACAATCTATCGTTGCGACTATCCCGACTGCAGTAGGTATTTTGTGCGTCAAGATCTTTGCATTCGACATCGGGAACGACATACAACCCATGGCTCCCAACTCCACAAGCGGGATGCTTTCGCCCAGTCCACCTCGAATACCCAGGTGATGCCTACGATGGCACCCCAGCACCACCACGGTCAACCTCAAGCTTATCCAATGTCTGCCCCTGACGTCAAGAGTGCCCAGGATGGCCAGCATCTCGGCCCTCAACAGGGGCATTCCGTCGACAGTCGTCACTATGGACAGCCGTCTCACATTGCCAACAATACTGTCCCTCCTCAAACGGCGTCCACCGAACCGAGATTTCATCCTCCCACCCCGCAAACCGCCGTTGCCAGACCGGAACCCCCGTTGCATCGTACCGGCAGCCTTAGTAGCAATCCTATGAGCCCACCGCAAAAACAAGAGAACTGGTCCTCAGTTGTCCGCAGACAAAGTTTCAACAATTCGGATCAGAGGAGGGACCAGGCATCTTATTCCCAGATGCAAGCAAGAGATAGGAGCTCGGGGCAAAATGTCCCGCCATCGCCCGTTCGGCAATATTCCGGGACGTCGGGACCCCCTCTGCAGCCGGTCCGATCGCACTCCGACAGTGCCATGGACAGAAGTGTATTGAATAACGGCTATATGCAGTCTGTTGACATGACTTCCGCTGCCGCGTACTCTTCGGCAGGCTATCCATCTGCCGGTGTGTCGCGGACGGCAGATGCTGCGTTTGCTGCTGCGGTCTCACATGGATTGACCCGGAATGATCCCTTCTCATACTCCCTGCTTAACACCAGTATGTCGAACGTGGACATCAACACCGGCTTCGGGTTCCCTGTCTTCGGCGGTGACGAGTTCACTCAGACGCCATTCACTGTGGCGGATGATTTTACGCAGTGGCTCTTCAACGATGCTCAGTCTGGGTCCAACGATTTCTCGCCGCCCAACTACGTCCCCGGTTACAGTGGCCATGACCAGCAGCAGGTTCAAGGTCCGTATTTTTCCCAAAGCCCATCATCATCTGGCAACAACTACTCCACAAGTACCGGCTTGCAGCATCCTATGAGCGTTACCAGCATTCTGGATTCAACTGCGACCAGCCAATACATAATGTCTGAGTCCAAACGTCACGAGCTCCTCGATCTGATGCAGACCCAATTCCTTGAACGCCCGCACGATGCAGTGAAAAAGAGAAAGGACTCCGTGTTTGAAGGTGACCTTGACAACGAGGGTCATATCTTGAGTTTGCGAATGATGCACACCTACATTGGTTCATATTGGTATCATCAACATGCGCAGTTGCCCATCCTACATAAGCCCACTTTTTCTGCTGATCGGACTCCCAACCTCCTGTTACTCATGGTCATTGCCATTGGGGCTGCGACGTTGGATAAAGCTTACGGCACGACTTTAACCGATTCTGCGGCAGAATTTGCCAATTTCGTTGTTTGGCATCTGCGCTGGGAAATTGTCCGAGATGTCGACTTCAGACCTCCTGCAAAGCTCTGGGTCTTTCAGACCCTTCTACTTATCGAGGTATATGAGAAGATGTATGCGACTCGGGCGCTGCACGAAAGAGCGCACATTCACCATGACTCGACCCTTACTCTCATGCGCCGCGGCAGCTCCCTCCTGGGTCGTTCAGCATCTGATTCCCCGCCCAGTCTACGAGGAGAGCAGGACAATGGGAGGATGTCGGTACCGTTCATGGGAGCAGAAGCCTCAAAATCCGAAGAATCTTGGCATCGATGGATCACTACCGAAGCAACGCGTCGTGCAGCTTTCGGAGCCTTTGTTCTTGATTCCATTCATGCAACTATGTTCGGTCACGCGGCGAAGATGGTCGCACATGAGATGCGCCTACCCTTGCCATGTGATGAAGGTCTTTGGTCCGCTGTTTCCCCCTCCGAGGCTGCGCGAGTTCAATCCTCGTTGCAGACCAACGGAATCAAGCCAATCATGTTTCTTGATGGTCTAAAGAGGACGCTGAACGGTCAAAGAGTACGCACGAATTCCTTCGGCCGTACCATCATCATGGCGGGTCTGCTATCCGTCTCTTGGCATATGACTCAAAGGGATTTGCAAATCTCTTCCCTCGGACCGCGAACAGCCAACTCCTTTGGAGGGCCAGACAAATGGAAAGGCGTCCTGTTACGCGCCTTTGACAACTGGAAGCGGGATTTTGACGAAGCTTTGGCAGAAGCCACACCTGCCCCGTCCTCCCCGTTGCGGACCCCCGTTGCACCTCCCCACCCAATCTTACGCCCAGTTGATGATGAAAACATCTTCGAGTCACGGACGGTGCTGCATCATCTTGCACACATTGCCGCCCATGTCGATGTTGTTGATTGCCAAGTCTTCGCCGGTGCGAACAGACTCCTCGGACGCTCAATAACCCCAAAGGATTACAGTGTTGTACGTGAGAAGATCGAGCGGTGGGCTACAAAGGCTTCGGCAAGAGACGCAGCGTTTTATGCTCTCAAATTTATTGTTCAGGTTCTCATTCCACCAGACGGAGATGGGCTGGATGGGATCAGCGGTCGCTTGTATGGCCACGCCAGCCCAATCCTTCCACAAGCATTCGAGCACAACCAATATATTGCTCGTGATGATTTCCTGTTGAATCGCCCCTGGGTGCTGTACATATCAGCACTCGTCGTCTGGTGCTACGGTTTCGCCCTTGAAGGCCCCATCAAGCCTCCCCCAACCGAAGCAGAATTCGAAACCTACGAGCAAAAGGAGCGAGACATGCGGCAATACCTCGAGAGGGTTGCTGGAGTTCGGGCACCCGATGATCTTGAAAACGTGAAAGGCAAGAACCGATGTCTCGGATTGCTCATGATTTTAAAGGAGTCCTTCGAGAGCACAAGATGGGAGCTCACCCATGAAGCCGCAGGTCTCCTGGGCAATGCCTGTTCCAAACTCAAAGGCATTGACGAAGACAAAATCGTGGGTCCCGGCAGTTTGGCAAGGGACGATCCCAGTTTGACACCCAATGGCTATTTCTACGGAAATTCCAACGGCCACACTCACTCGGGTATTCACCGTGAAAACAGTCGAGAGCATGTGACTGTCGCTAACGCGGCCAGGATATAGGCTGCGGAGCTGCTGGTACACACTGACGCGAGTTTCTTACTCCGGTTCGTTTTTCACACCAAACCCCGGTCAGGGCAGAAATAGTATAGTTTCCGGGTAGCCAGCACACCGGCTGCGTGCGAGAGCAGCATGGCACAGCACCTGCAGTCTCTTTCGGTTTCACCAGGCCGGTCGAACGTGGAGCCTTGCTTACAGGGAATAACGATCTTTCTTATTGCTACTATTGGATGCTCTTGTTGAGTGCAAAGGATTTCAAAACAGGTTCGACGAAATTTGCCTTTTTTGTTGCGTTTTGTGTTTAAGCAGGCGGCTATCTGATACCCCATCTGTTGTGACTTTTGTCACGTCTTGTTTATATCATTGTTCATGTCATGTTTGTTGTCAATTACATCGGCAAAGGCCACAGCATATATCCCTCCTAACACATCACCGAAGGGTCGGCGAGATGGCATTCGGCATTCGGAATGGGGCAACTTTTGCCACTTGGGCACCAATTAAAGGTTGGGACATTTATGCGAACATGTTTGCTTTTCCTTGTTCAGAGCTGCATGTACACGGTGCACGGAAATTGCTTTTGCGGTTTGCAAGGGTGTGCAGATGGAACCCGCGAAATTGTGGAGAAAGGAGCACATGTTTAAACAGAATGATGTCTCAATATGCATGCATACGATGCAAAGGCTGGGTTGATCAAGAGATGGCAAGTGGAAGCGATGGAATGCATCTTCCTACTTGGTCGCAGTCACTGATTTGAGCATGTTGTTCTTTCACGCGGCATGATACATCTGGACCTGGGACGATCTCATCACGCGGCAGTCTGTCTCTACCAGTCGGAGCATTTTCAACAGCGGCTGGTCATTTCTTCCAGCTGTGGTTGTCTGTCTTTACCAAACCGGATTCGTTTATTCCTTTCTTGAGCGACGGCAATCCATTTGTTGCACCACTGCACGTATGGACATGAAGAATATGTCGTCTTGCAGGCACGACCTCAGGAAGAATGAAATGGCATCAAACGTGCCAATCTACTAATGTCGATCTGTTGCGGGCCCCTGAATTTGTGGGCAAATTTGTTAGGTTTTCTCACTGTCATTATATTACGCATCATATTGGCACATGGCGGGGAGGGGACGGAAAAGGGGACAAAAATAAGCTTTATGAGGGATGGTTAGGTGGATGAATCGATGAGTGAATGGAAGGATGGATGAACAGATGATCGAGACATATGATAAACCCAGGTGGCACGGGGCACACAGGGGAGGAAATGGGCGAGAGGGGCGGCGACGAGGCTGAAATGGGTGACGGAGACGGAGAGGTGAACAATAGCTGTAGTCGAACATATGCACCTTAAATCCATACTACGTGGTGTGTCTGCACCACAGATCTTCTCGAAACACTTTTCCTGGCAAATCAGTCTAAATATAATACAGTATTCATGTACACATGCCGATACTTTAGCCCGTCTTCCTCCTTCTCCAGCTCGAATGCACCGTCGGATCCTTCACGATCCTGTCCCACTCCCTCGCCGCCTCGGCGTCGGGCCCGTACTTCAAGCGCGCAGCCTCGGCGGCCAACTTTGCGTACTTTTTCGCGCCCCTGGCGCTCCCCGCAGCGTTGTACGTGAGGGCGGCGTGGCCATAGGCGTCGTCCAGGAACGCGTCGAGCCCTTCCTGGCGGTACAGCGCGACGAGCATCTCGGCCTTCTTGACGCTGGCGGTCGAGTTGGCCGTCCACTGCGACAGCGCCCACTGCAGCGCGATCATGTCCTCGGTCGCCTTGTCCGCGTCCTCGAGCGGCCGCGCCGCCGTGTGCGTGCACCGCGCGCACGTGCACGCGAAGTGGAACGTCGACTGCAGGTACTGCTGCCGGTCCGCGTGCAGGCGCAGCGGCGGCGCGTACGAGATGGTCACCTCTTCGCCTTGCGCGATCGGGCGCACCGCGTGCACGAAGTGCGTGAGCAGTGTCGGGGAGAGGTAATATTGTGCGCTGCAAAAAAAAAAAGGTGGGAGTGTGTGTCAGTTTGTGTACGCTGCTTGCAAGGGAGCCTCGTCGGGCGCGAAGAGGTTGGCAAGAGCAAGAAAAGAGGTACAAAAACTTACTTTGGCCCACAAGCATGGTTCATCCTCGACGCCTCTGGGAACACGGCCAGATGCATCTGCCCTCCGACCTGCATCTCGAAGGCGTTCGCTTTCACCACGTCCTGGACCACGACGCTCGGCTCGCCGTAGATCTTCGCCAGGCTGAGATACACATCCCGACTGGCCGCGGGGAGTTGGTCCACGGCTATCCGGAGGAATCGCTCTCGCTCCGAGGTCGAGAGGACGTTCTCCATGTGCGCGAGCAGGTACGGGGTGTACGCCGTGATAAGGTCGCCGCGTTGCAGGGCCCGGGTGGCCAGCATGCCCACCCCTTTCCCTGGGATTGGCGTGGTGTACCACGGTCTGTCCACGTCGTCATCCAGGTTAATGCCACGGGAAGATAGAGCGGTTGGATCTTGGAAGGGGAGGAGCGACGCGAATTCTTGGGCGATTGGGGGCGTCGTAAAGATCGATATGCCCCGGCCGTTGCTGAACGTCGCGTCGGTGTAGACGCACAGTTGGTCGCCTAGCTCGTCCAAGAAGTCGGTACAGACCGGTTTATGGGACCAAGGAGAATAATCGGGAGCGGTGGAATGCTCGTCGTTGGAAGAATCAGCATCATCATCGTCGTCGTCGTCGTCCAGTTCCGCTTGACCTGATCCGTGGAGAAGACCATCACCAAGCGCGCTGTCCCCGGCCTCAGCAGCACTCTCGCTTTCAATAATTGGGCGCTCTTCCAGTGCCGAGGCCGCCTCCAGAGTGCTCGCGGCAACGATGGGCGTAAGCAAGCATAGAGCAGTAATGACGGAGACCAGCTCGGTTTTCATCTTGGCACGCAACAAACAAACAGGATTAAGAATAGACGGCAGAAGGTTAGAGTACGCAGGGCACAAAGGAGAGATGGAGTGAGAACGGCAACAAGAGGTCGACTGGTTGGCGACCGTTAGCTGTTATAGAGAGCATCTGGAGGACTTGAAACACTGTGCCCTGAACAGCGTTTCAGGTTGCATCAATCCCCCCCTGGTGTCCTACGGGGAGAAGACGGTGATGACACCTAGCTGTTGGTCATTTTCGATACCAAGGAGCCGAGAAGCAGACTTGGGTACGACGTGAGGTCTACTTGACTTTGAAGTATGGAGGTTGAGGTGCTGGTATCCATGGTGCTAGAGACGATGCGGTAGGAGGGGAGAGAGGAAGACGGAGAGTTTAATCACAAGGTCAAACGGCACGACTATTGCTTCAAGCCACAAATTGTAGTGGCATTGTCCACATATATTGACCTCATGCTTTTAATAGGACGCTTGTGGCAGATCCATCGATTTTGCATCAATAACAATGTCTCTAGAGACTCTGCCAGGATGTTTGAGCCTCAGTCCAGTCTTCCATTGATCCTTTCCTTCTAGTATACATCTACTTTTGTTTACAAAACGCATGCTTTTTCGTCAAATTCTTGTCTGCATTGGCAGACTGTTGCGCACATGTCGAGTATACGCGGCCACCACTATCAACGTGCTTCGCCTGAGCTGAGAGTGCTGGCAGGACATTCGGCAGGATGGAATAGCGATGGACGTCATTGGTTCTCGAAAGGAGGTCTGGAAGCTGCCACATCGAGACGGCCCCTACCCATCTCTCCAGGAACAGGTGGCCGTCACAGCTAATAGCAGGCGAAGTATGTGCAGCCATGACGAACGGGCGGGCAACGGGGTCGTCCTTCTCTAGTATTGCGTAATTGTCTCCTCTTTCAGTTGATGAAGTTGACACAAAATCCATGCAATATCAGACTGCCAAAGACAAAATCTGCGAACGCTCGCTCGGAACTGATTTTCGTGTTTTCCACTATTTCTCCGGTCACGCCATCGACGGTCTTGGTCGTTGACTTTTTGGCTACCGTAGATGCACCTGCTGGGGGTCTTTCGGAAGTTTGCATGCGCAATGAAGCGGTAAGAACAAATTGGCCGACGGCGGCAGAGAAGCCGGAGAGGAAGGCGTTGAAGGGCTATATTGACAAGAGTCAGCACAAGTTAGTTGGCAGCCGGAAGCAAAGAGACATACGTAGTTGCCAGCTAGCACACAGTAGAGGAACTGTAGGCCGCCCACGACGACTAGCCAGGCCATGAAGACATCCAACAACATGGTCCTGGACGGGGTATCTTGTAGATATTTGTTCCAGACATGGATGATGATGTCTTGTGGTGACGAACGAGGAGACAATGTGCTTGACGGTACGGGCTTTGTGGGGGGTGCTGAACTGGAGGTGGCCGAACCCGAGGGTTTGATGGTATGTGTTGTTGCGGCAGGAGGTTTGGTGGCGGCGACAGGAGCAGGTGTTTTCGTGGCCGGAGACTGGGCGGCTGGTTTCTTCGCCATGGTGAGGACTGTAGGTCAGGATAGACTAATTCAACGAGGGTGGTTGGTAGTGACCGGCTTCAAGATAAGGAGTTGACCTCGTCGCATGCAGCGCATGTTCTAACAGTTGTTGGAAGGCAACGTGGCCGTGTGGCCGGTATGGACGCACGGCTTACTCGTTTTGGGAAGTCGCCGGATGCCGCCCTAAGTGGCAGCCTCGGACTTTGCACCGTTCCGCCCAGCCTCGCCTGAGCCGAGCACATCGGGTGTAGTTTCACCGGCGTGAGCTTAACCGCTTCTAACTTTTCCTCCCCTGATTTTTATGTAAAGTCCGTTCCTGGCTTCCTGCGCCCACCACACCAAGCACATGCGCACATTGTTGTTGTTTTTGTTATTGTCTGCGCAAAGTCTGCGCAATCAATACTCCACCAACTCGACCCCCAGTCAATGCCACCATTCCCCTCTTGTAGTGGGCGCCTTTGAACCCTCCCGAAACCTGAGACCCTCAGACCCTGTGAACCACTCGCATGGGTTCCTCAAGATCGGCCGCCCCTGATCCTCGAGTACAAGCGCCGTTTGTTATCATCGCTTCTGTCAACTGGTCCAACCCCTCGTCGGCAACTGGGAGAGATGACGGCTGGGACGTCAAGATCAACGATTCGGCGAAACATGAACCTGCTCAAATGTGGCGCTGCCCCGGTCCACACTACTTGGCCGTCCTGGCTGAACTGGGTATGGAGCACGTGTGGGCGATTGGTGATAGGTAAGTCTAGTTGTGTACATAATTTTAAAAAGAGTGGGCTGGAGTCTTGATCCATACAGCATCATGCGATGCCAGCCTGCTATTGCGCGTTGGCTACTCCGTAGTCTCAACGGAGATGTATATCCCATGGGGACTGCTAAACTGCCTTTGTTTAGCCTCTCTCAATATGCCGTGCCATTTATCTCTGCGTCTGCCCTGCGCGTGTCCTCGTCTTCCACACAACCATACTGGTATATGCCGGACACAGCATGCGATGCTCTCTGTCTCTCGTTCTGGCCGCTGGTGCCGGGATAGCGGTCGCTGCTCCCTCTGCGCATGAATCTAGGGAATCACATCTTCGCACACGCAACATCATTGACGGCACGAGCATCGCGGACTCGTACGACTTTGTGATTGTTGGTGGGGGCTTGGCTGGGCTTGTGCTCGGTGCTCGCCTCTCAGAAGATGCAAACCACACAGTCCTTGTCCTCGAAGCTGGTGGTGACGGAGACGAGTTTCGAGAGCGAATAGGTGCGGACGCTCTTGCCGTTGACAAATTCCTCAAGTTTCTAATGGCCGGGCAGACACACCTGCGTATGCATACTACGAATCGCTCTGGCCGACTGATCTCAATTGGGCCTTCACAACAACGCCTCAACCTAACGCGAATAACTCCCAGTGCCCATGGCCGCGAGGAAAAGTCCTTGGAGGTTCGTCCCTCCCTCTCTCTGTGTCTGTGCGCCGATCCGGGAACTAACGCAGACTGGTTTTCACAGGCAGCTCTGCCATCAACGGAATGTACCTGAATCGACCGGGAGAAATCGAGGTCAATGCGTGGCAAGACATGCTTGGAGACATGGACGGCGCCGAGAACTGGTCTTGGGACTCTATGTTCGCCGCGATGAAGAAAAGTGAGACATTCAGCCCGCCTGTCGACGCTTCCATCCAACAAGAGGCTGCTATTACTTTCAATCCTGCAAGCCACGGCAACCAAGGGCCAATTCACATGTCTTACCCCGGCTTGTACGTTCTCTATATGACATGGATGGATCTGAACTGACCGCGTCTCAGTACTATGCCACTAGTTGGCGCGTGGTCCAGTACTGCCAACAACGCTGGCGTAGGTGACACGCAGGACCCCTATGGTGGTGACAATTGGGGCGCGTACGTCGCTACATCTGCCATTAACCCGGCCAATTGGACGCGTTCCTACAGCCGCTCTGGCTATCTCGATCCGTTGCCGCCACGGTCCAACTACGACGTGGTCGCCAACGCTCAGGTCACGCGCATCCTCTTCAACAATACGTCAGGCGGAAACCTCACTGCACACGAAGTCGAGTACGTGCTCAACGGAGGCGGCGCGAAACTGACGGTAGGAGTCAACAAGGAGGTCATTCTTGCCGCCGGTACCGTTGGCAGCCCAACTGTTCTGCTCTACAGCGGCGTCGGGCCTAAGGACGTCCTGGATGCCGCAGGTGTTGACGTCGTGTCTGAACTTCCTGGTGTCGGCCAGCATCTTCAAGATCACATCGTAAGTTGACGCCTGCACCCCACCATCAAGCAACTCCTACTGACAGAAACAGAGCGTCACTGTAACATGGAGCACCGATGCGGAGACTGCAGGCACCATATACGACAACAACGGGACCGAAAAGGTAGAGTCCAACCTGTTCCTGAGCAGCTTCAGACCCATTTTCTAACTGTCGCAGAACGACCCCGCCTTCTTGTCATATGTCAACAGCGCGACCGCCTATGCGAATTCCTCCGTACTGTTTGGCAATGGAGTCAGCGGCCTGCAGAGCAGCATCTTGGGCGAAATTGACCAGTACATTCCCGATACGAGCTCTGACACGGGCGTCATTTCCGGCTACAAGACGATCTACAGTACAACCGCAAACACTATTCTCACCAGCCCAATCGGACTGATAGAGCTGGTCATCGGATTGAGCACGGACGGTGCCATCCAAATCGGGGCCAACCTCCAGCATCCATTCAGCCACGGTCAGATTTCCATCAATTCCTCTGACCCGCTGGACTATCCGGTCATCAACCCGAATTATCTGAACCATCCTGCTGGTATGTGTCTTGTCTGCTATCTACCTAGAGATATGAGAGCCTCCGAAACTGACAATTCGGTGACAGATGTTGAGATACTTCGCGAAGGAGTCAAACTCGCTCGCCGCCTGGGTGAAACCGAGCCGTTAGCCAGCAGCATGACGAAAGAAACGTGGCCTGGTTCAGACGTCCAGACTGACCAGGAATGGGAGGACTGGCTCCGCGGAGAGGTGTTCACTGAATTTCATCCGTCCTCGACATGTGCGATGCTGCCTCTCGAGCAAGGCGGTGTGGTCGATGCAAACCTCCGAGTCTACGGCCTCTCGAACGTCCGTGTCGCCGACGCCAGCGTTCCACCCATGTCCTTCTCAGCTCATCTTATGAGCTCCACCTATGGACTGGCCGAACAGGCAAGTACCATTATCCGCGATTTCTACAATCAACCTGCAACGTCGACGAAGCACCACAACTCGACGACGAACAGCACTACCTCGAACAACAATCGAACTTCAAGTAACGGCAATGGAACTGCCATCCTGAACACCACGAACGTCCCTCCCACAATCAATGCCAGCACGTCGACACCCAGTGCGAACAGCAATGGTGCTACTTCTTTGGGCTGCTGGCCCCTTTCGAGTACCGTGGCCTTGCTGTGCCTGGCCATTAAATTTCTTCTTTGATGACGCAGATATATACCTATACCTATGCATATAGACAGGTGTTCACGACGGGTCCGGGAATAGCCTTGAGATAATCATAATCTTTAATTCTTCAAACTCGATTCTCGACAGGGAGGAGTCTGGCATTGCACGACATCGTTCCAATAATGATTTTGTAACGCGAGAATTGATGTCAACGGGCATAGCCATGTTCAGTCAGGTCTTAAAGGTGGAGTCGGACTCGGTGGACGGAAGACGTCAACTCCGAACAGTTGGAGTAGCCTTGCAGCACGGCATAAACATCACCAGATGACAATTGGTACCAACTGAACTCCAGAAACACCTAGTTCTCTTTCTTTGTTCTGTGCTCCAGTATAGCGGTAACTTGTCGTCGGCGTCCAGGCATAACACAACCCAGCTAGCGGACGTGAAACAGAATCCCGTCCCAAAATGGTCCGAAATACCTCCCCTCTTCCACCCCCCTCAGTCGTGTTCGACGTTCGACGTTCGACGTCCGAGCGTTCGACGGTGGCTTGAGAAGACAACTCACTAACAACCGTCGATGGGCGGCGATCGATGCAGGCTTCCGAACTGCCAGCATACATCCTCTCGGCGCTCACCTCGGTGGGCGGCATCATCGGCTACGTGCGCACGGGGAGCGTCCCCAGCATCACCGCGGGCCTGACGGTTGGAATCCTGGTACGCCATCGAGCTCCCCTCTCAGACCCTGCCCCCCCCCCTTCCTCCTCCTAGAACAGCACATGTGATGCGTTCCTGCGCCGCAGCACGACTTGACTTGACTTGACTGACACGACGACACCACGCAGTACGGCCTCGGCGGCTTCCGCATCTCGAGAAAACAGCCCTACGGCGTCGAGCTCGCGCTCCTGGCCTCCGTGCTGCTCGCCGGCAGCAGCATCCCGCGCGCCATCAAGACGGGCAAGCCCCTCCCCGCGGGGCTGGGCGTGCTGGCCGCCACGGGGCTGGTCATCTACGGCCGAGCGTTTTTGGCCAAGTAAGATATGAGTCCATGTGTGGGTGCCGGAACAGCTCCCCAGGTGTCCGAACGTGGGAGATGAAGAGGGAGGGGGGGGGATCTAGGCGATGGAAGGAGGGCAGCGGACGAAGTATGGTAATGGTGATTGAAGTACAATGAAAGCGGTACTGATGTTGTTCGCCTGGGCAGAGCAGGCCAAAAACAATTGACATTTCACGGTCGTCCATTCATGGATGGGGTATCTCGTTCATACCGATACAAAAGCTCGGAAGAAATAAAAACAGAAAACTCCCCTCAGCCCAGAAAGCTTCCAGCTCCTGGTCCGGTCGCTATGCCTCCGCTATTGCAGCCGCTTGCCTGATTTCTTGTCCTCCCGCCTGAGAGTCTGGAGTCGATTTGTTTCTCGCCTCTCGCCGGCCTCTTGTACCCCTTCTGTTTGCCTTTTTCCGCCGCTCCTCTTCCCCTTCGGCGGTCTTACTATGGTCTGCTTCATTCGATGACCGCCCTTTGGCCTTCTTTTTCTTGACGCTCAACGGGTTCGGCCCTTTTGCTCTCTTCAACCCTCTGATCTTGGGGCCTTGGTTCTCCTCCGCAAGCAGATCGTCGTCCTCATCCTCACTCCCATCTTCCTCTCCCCTCTTCCTTTTTCGAGATGCCAGTCCGATCAATCCCTGAGAAAACTTCTCCTTCTCCTGTGACCGGACGGTGCGGTCGCTGACTCCGCTCATTTCTTCCAGAATCATCACACTCCGTTTCACATACACGATGGGCACTCCCGGGATGAGTCTCGCTCTGTCTTTCACATCGATAAATCCCTTGGCTCGCGACTCCTTCTCGTCGGCATCCGCCGTGGCGAGGATGTAATGTTGTTTATTTTTGGCATGTTCGTTGCCATGAGGCTGCCCCGCCAATAGATCGAGGAGACACCGGGCCTCGCTCACCACACCCAGTTCTTGACCTTCGTCATCCTTGTGTTTGCAGTGTCGCAGGGGCACTTCTGTTGGGGGAGGAAGGAAATCCGGCCGCGGAGGGCCTCTGGCTCGACCCTCCTTTTGTTTGACCTTCTCCCAGTCGGCCATGATTTTCGCCAGAGTACACCTCGTCACAAAAAGTCGGCACTGCCCATGTAACGTATTCTCGAGGTATTTCTGCAACGGCATGTGGAAGGAGTGGCATGTCTTGAGGAAATGGGAGTCGAGGAGGACTTGGTAGGGTTCGTGGAAAGAGAAGCTCCTCTGGTAGGCGGACATGATTTTGCGATACCTCTTGCTCCGGCGGGCGCGCATTTTGGATTGTGTGCTGGACGGTAATCGACTGCAGTCGAAGAGAAGGCTGGGAGAGGGTTAGAGAGTCGTGACTCTGAGAGTCATGAAAGCGAGCAAACTGTTCGAGATCTGGTGCGTAGCAACACAGCGGACAAGCAGCCCTTTGACTTTTTTTTGGGCCGGAGAAACCTCGTTGTCAGAATCAAAGTCAAATTCGCTTGTGTCGGGCGGGTGCCGGGCGGCCTAGTAGTAGCGATTGTCCGCAGGCACGGTGGGCCTCGTTCCTGGCCCGCCTCCTCCAAAACTGGCCCCCTGCTGGCCGGGTTCCTACATGGTATTGCGGCCGGGGTCTTCTGTGTTCTTTTACAGTTCTCATAAATCTAATTTCAACCTACTCAAAGGGTATCGGTGCAGTGATGAGGAATCAGCAAATCCAAATCCTGCAGATGGATGTCACCAAGTGCTTCTGGGATTCCATAGAGGATCAATCTCCTTGGACTTGGCCACCATAGCGCCACAGTCGTCAACACCCACCAGATCTTGCAACAGCCCCTACCATGATTCCTCCCTCTCAAAGTGTTAGCGGTGTTGTCAGGGAGTCGGCTTTGCAGGCTGGATGTCCCCGCAGGCTGATATCTGCGTAACCTACATCGGCCTCCCCGTGACAATGGCCTGCTTTCATCACAGCTAGAGGTGATATGTCGAGACAGTCATAGGACCACCGAAAAAGATCAATGCCACGGTGAAACGGGAGGAAGCCTATACGAAGGTGTGGTGTCAAACTTCTCTCACAGCAACTCATCGAGTAGGCTGGAATCGTCTGATGGCCGCAGTGTCTGCACCGAATATCCTCCCACTGGATATGGTGGTGTATCCTGGCTGCTTGCCAGTCTGAGAACGTGTGAAAAGCTTCTGAGTCTCTTGGAAAACGTTCCTACAACCATACCTGGTCTTCGTTTACGGAGTATTGGCATAAAGTGGGCAGTCTGGGGTGCTCGGGCTGGCGGACCTTCCCCGTCCAGCTGAGCTGGATCTCTCGACCAGACGTGGTTTTGGGAGTGTGGCTGCCTACACAGTATGCATGCACTTCATTGATTGTCAGCTTGTCAACTGTGGGAGGTGTTTGTCCTGTATAGCTCTTCAGCCCGTCGGACCATGCTCACGCCACCAGAAGGCTTTGATCCTAATAGGCCGATTCCAAGCCATCGCTTCAGGACTCGAGATGTCGACCACGCCAAATGAAAAAGTCGAATACCGCATTGCGTGACCTGAAATTTGCGGTTCTGCCACACAATACATCATCATCTTCAACCGAACACTTAATGGTTCCAAGTCAAGTTCATTCACTCCGAACCGACCCATGGACACGGAGTCTTTATTACGCGCGGTCCTTAGAGCACAGGCTCGAAATGAATAGTGGCAGTTCGACAACATCCTCAGGGCCAAAGCCAACTTCAAGACCGAGTGATGACGAAATTAAGCTCTCCAGGACCCTGCAGGAAGCCTGGGAGAAAGCGAGCCAGCGATTTGAAGTCGACACAGGGATAAGCCTCGTGGGTCGGGACTCAGCACCACTGTCAAAGGAAGACGTCCGTGAGACTGTGAAACAATTATTTTCTGAAGATCGACAGGACCTCAGGCAGAAGCAATCGCAGCTACGTGACACCATCGATGAAGTCCTTAACGCAGTCGACAAGGTTGGTACGATTGTGGCGGATCTCGGCTCGCTGGCCTGGCCCCCTACAAAGCTATGTTTTGCTGCAATTCAGATCCTCGTCAAAGCTGGACATGACCACAAGGAACTGTTTGATGGCCTCCATGCTTTGTTCGAAGAAGTCCCGAATTTCTTCGTGACCTTCATAATTCTTGACAGGGCGGAACGCCAATACGGCCTCGACAAGAACCTTATTGCAAGCACAAACGGCATATTGGTGGCTTTTGTCCATGTGTGCAAGGATGCGATACGTGTTACACAACATCCGAAGACGGCTTCTCTGAGGAGAACCTTTTTGGGAGACGCTTGCGTAGAATCGGCACTGAGCAACTTCAAATTGCTCATCGAAAGGCACAACAAGCTGACAGTAACCCTCACCCTAGAAACTGTGTTGCGCACTGAAAAGGACGCTCAAGTCACAAACCAAACTGTCAGAGGTCTCGAAGCCGACCGGACTGAGAGCCGAAATCTCAAGGCTGACCAGGCCACGATCCTCAAAGTGCAAGGCGCCCTCGAAGTTACCGAAGCTGACACAACCGCCCCTCTGACACGGCTACGATCTTATCGAGCAGACGTGCTGAGTGTCACATTACAAACACTCTCCGAGAATATCGACTACAAAAATTGGAAGGCCTCAAATACCGGCTGCAACCTCCTCTTCTTCTGCGGAGATAGCGGAACCGGTAAAACGTGCTTGTTGAGCGCGATTGCACATGCGGTCGAGAAGAAAAGAGAGAACTTGGAGAAGGACTCCCCGAGTCTCTATTATGCGTACTACTCCTTCAGCCGCTCATGGACACTGGAAGAAGGAATGCTGCACTTCTTCACCTGGGCCTGCAAGGGACGGATGGTCAGACAGCTCGGAGAAATACAGTGTATTCCGAAAGATTGAGTGCGAGTGCACCAACGAAGTCGGCTTATGTGCCACCCATTGAAGCCATGATCGGAGAAACGACCAGCAGGACTAAAACAATTGCAGCACTTATGCAATCTGGAGGACCCGATCAGACGCCAATCCACGCAGCGTTGAGAGTGATGGCTAGCCAGGTTTCTCGGCAAAGCACAACTTATGCGAAGACTCTGCGCGAAAACCTCGAACCCGGACAGCTTACTGGAGACTTGCTGGAATTTTGGACAAGATTGAAATTCGAAGATTTCCCAGCTCCGCCACACTCTGTACTTTACCTGTTTTTCGATAACCTGCATCGACTGCAGGGTGACTTTCGAGAACTTTCAGATTTTCTGAGGTCAGTTGCTCAAGGGCGCTGTCGCACGCGTACAGGTGACAACAACTTATGTCTCAAGGTCATTCTAACCGGAAAAGAAGATGCTTGGAACAAACTGGAGGTTGAGATGCCAAAGTTAAATGTCGCTGAGCTGAACCTCCCTCTGCTAAGGGACTTTATTGTGACTCAGATGAGAATGCTGAAGATTCTCCAAGACAAGGGAGAGGAATACGCGCTTTGTAAAGAGCGTTTGATCCAACAAATACTGAAGTCAGCCAGAGGAAGCTTCGTGACCGCGATGCTAGGAACGAAGATCGCCCAGGATGCCGTGGATGAAGACCTCGACGCAGATGAGCTCCTGCAAAGGATCAATGACGAAGCTAATACCAGCCCACCTAGCGAAGGTGCGAGCATTCTAAGAGAACTCGCCGGCAAACTCAGCGTCCTGCATCAAGAACAGCTCATAGAATGCCTCATCTGGGCTTTCTATGGCGAACACGCCGTAAATCTGGCTTTGCTCGAGTCGGCACTATTCCTACAGCATCAGAGACAATCCCTCGAACCTTTGCGGCGAAAAATCAACACCCGCTTTGAGCGAGCTCTGAAAGTTCTAGCGGGTGGCCTAGTGGTTCCGAGTAAGGAAGTGGAAGAGTATATACATGAGTGCAGTATTGCAAGTGAACCCGAGACCAAGCCATCGAAGTCCGGAGTCCACATGAAAGCGGAGCATGGAGAAGACCTTGAAGTTCATAAGCAGCTTTTGACCAATTCGAAAGGTGCGCTCGCCGATGGCACGTCTGGCAGCACTGGTCGAGCTCCCGAGATTGGAGAATCCAGGGCAGTCTCCCTCAACTTCTCACAGACCAATGCGCACTTTACCATTTGCATGCGCTGCCTAAAAGCCCTGAATGATGATACAGTCCGTGACAAAGCGCGGCCACTTATTGAATACGCCGCAACTGCATTGCCGTATCATCTCAGGCTGTTGAGTGAGAAGGAAAACATCAGCAAACTCTGTCCATCTGAGAGACGAACTATTGCGCAGGGTTTGATCGAATTTTTATCGGACTACGATTGCGTCAACTCTGCTTGGTTGATTCAACCATTTTCTGGAAGTGAGTGGTTGAGGGAGACGAAGACCGTTGTCGCAATTCGAGGACTACTCACACATGATCTGATTCTTCACGAACTGGAACCGCGAGACCGAAGATGGGCTCTTAAAAACACTCAACACGTCGATGGGAAGCCCCCGTATTTCCTCGGAAGAATGGCAACAATAGCAGCCTCACAATGGCTAGAAGACCACGGGCCCGATCAAGCCCCAGCACACGAGTGCTTTGATTTCGTCGACATGTACCTTGACATCGTAAGTGACTTACCTCTACAACTCGTGTCCAACTTAGCGAAGTCTAACTTGAACAGTTTGAGCCTCCAGCATTGTTATCTGAGTTCAACGGCCGAGATAATGGGAGAGGCCCTTCAGGCTCATCCAAGCTGTCGTCGATATCACGATCAAGATCTTCGCCTCCGGCCCTTTTAACATCGCAACACCAAACATCTCCTCCCAAACAGGGAGCAATGGATGCAAAGTCCAAAAGCTCAACCCAAGCCACGGGCTCCTCGATACGCAAGGATTCCGAACGCAGATCCAAGTATTTCATAACACACTTTATGGGTGCGGAAGTCAACCAGGAGATTCGCGAAACTGAGAAATTGAAAGACCACAAGCCGTCCCCGAAGCAACGGGTTGAAAGAGCAAAAGAGTGGGCCCTTTACCATCTTGATATCGACCTGGATGATTTCGTATTCCGCCGCCTCAGCAACACAATATTTCGATATGACAAAGCCAGTGCCATCGGATACTTACAGATCGCCCAGTCATGTGACAAGAGTCAAGATCGTTTTGGAACGACCGTTGAACTCGCCTCGGCGTATTATCTGAGTTTTCAGTTTCAGAAGGCGTTTGACACTGTCGGGCCAATTATCGATGAATTGCAGAACCAGCGTAAGAACAATCTGCTCACAAGGGCCACTGAGGCCCATCTATGTGTCGCCCTCCTCGTGAGGTCACATTGTTTTTTTATGATGGAAAAGCAAAAAGACGCCATCGAGCTCATGGAGGAAAGTCTTCAGATCTGCCCGTCGCAGTCAGCCGTCCGCTACCAGCTTGTCATACAGCTATGTTGCACGGGCGAGCCACAGGATGCACAAAGGGCCCGAGAGATCTTCACCGAATGGATAATGCTGGCAGATTCGAACGTGGACAACGGTCCCGGTCCTTATTTCCTTGCCGTAGCTCACAAGAACCCAGTCCTCCTTGCCGGCCTGATTCTAAGCGCCAAGGATCCTGACATGCACGATCTAGTCATGGGCGTGCTCAGGGAATGCGTCCACGAGGCTATCGTGTCAGAGAACTTGGATGATCAGAGACTCCTCCAGTTTCTGCAAGGCCTTGGTTATCGCTCAAGTACAGATGAAGAAGAAAAGGCCCTAGCTGTCGAACTATGGCAGTCCTCAGTCGCGCGCAGCCGCAAAGTAGGTCCTGCCGAAGACTTTATTGCTTGTTGGAGTTCGCACCTGGCGGCTCAATTCTGTGTCGATAAGGCACTGGAGGACTTTCGGCGGCCCCGTGACTGGTCCGAACAGCAGAAGAAAACCCTGCTAGCTGCGCTGGATGGCAAAGTCCGCAACCTTCTGCTACCAAAGCACGAGACAATGGGGGTTTACTATACTCCGATGGCGTTTGTTGCTGCCTTCGCCAAACTTCTCGGCCTAAAAGAAGAATCCCAAAAGATTCTAAAAGAAGACATGGCGAACGCCCTCGAGATCCTGAGCGACAACGATGCAGAAAACGACCAGGCCGGCCTGGAGCAATTGTTCGAAATCCTACGCTGCTGTGGTGATTTTGAGGGAGCATCGAGTGCATGGTCTTTCTTCGACCGCCGCCCGAAGAATGCCGAGTCACAGACGTTGGGCACCGAATCCGAATCTAGGACAACTTACCACTACCGCACCATGTGCGATAACTGCGGAGACGACATGAAGAGCTGTGAAAGAAAGGAGATCTGGCGCTGCAATTATTGTCCCGACCAAGCATTTTGCGGGGATTGCATGGATGTGGTAAAAGCGACAAGTAAGGGGTTTTTCGACTGTGGGCAGCACCATGATTTTACATTATTTCAGCACTTTGACTATGACGAGGAGGAAATCCGCAACAGCAATGTTCGAGTTGACTGGAAGCTCGATCGAGGACCTGATGGTCGAGGCCAGAGGCGGGAAGGGGGCCGCATTGTGGACCTCAGAAAATGGGTCGAGATATTGAGGAAGGACTGGGACATCCCTGAAACATCGCTTGGAGGAAGAGTGCAGAAGTAACAGCGTCAATGAACTGTCTGCTGTGGGCTATCTTTATCCATATATGGATCTACGGCTAGGTGAAATACTTACAGAAACAGTTGAACAGTCGAAACAGCAAACCTCACCACACCGGCAAGTAGACTAGAAAAGGAGTCGCCCCCCCCCTCCCCCGGGTCAAGGCTGCCCAACAATGAACTGGCCGCAGATGTTGGCGCCGACAATCCCATTCACGGTCGCCACGCCCCCGTTGATGCTGATGGAGCCCCTCTTGGTGGCGTTGATGGCCGGGCCGCTTGCTCCCACCGTGACCATCGGGACCTTGACCTGTCTGAGGACGATTTCCGCGCAGGTCAAGTTGCTGGCATCGCTGTCGGGCGGCGTCATGTCCTCCTCCTCCTCCTGGGCCACACTGCCCTCGACTCCCGATTCTAGCCGGTCGCAGCATGTCAGAATCAATCTTGTTGCAAGGGTAATGAATACATGTCTTTGTTTTTTTTTTGTTTTTGCTTTTTTAGGGGGAGGGCAGGGCCTGACCTGGATGTGAATTCATGGAGTTGTCCGACTCGAAGCTCGTGGTGCCCGAATCGTGCAGGCTTCTCGTCAGGGCCAGAGAGTTGTTCACGTCGTCGGCGTATTTGGGGGCGTCGTGGTAGCCGTACCGCGCGTGGGCGTTGGCGTAGGCGGCTTCGGCGTCTCGAGTCTTTTGTACCGGGATGTAACACGTCAGTCGGTTTCCTTCCTTCACGACTATGCATCCATTACAGATAGAGAGAGAGAGAGAGACAACTTGCCTTTGGTGGTGGTGCAGTTTGCTTGGTGCGGTGATAGCTAGGCATTTTCCTTCGGGGCGGGGGAGATGATAGACGGCTCGATCCCTCAGCCCATATATTCGTGACAATCGACAGCTGGAAGAAGAGTGTGCACGGGGGGAGGTGTGAGGGCGAGGGCAGTATATCGAACAAGCAATTGGACTTTTGTAGCCTCGAAGTCTCAAGCCCATCCAAGACACATGTTGTGGGCCTTTTATGAAGTTTGAACCCTCCAAGCCTTCTCGTCCAAGCTCCCCCCGCCGGGTACTAGAACTGGAAAGGACGATTGACGGGGTTTAGAGTGTGACCAGATCTGCCTCTACCTCGCTCCCCCCAGTCGGTTGATGTACCCCCCCAGGCATCAGCTTCGGGGAGGGGGGAGGGGGGAGGGGGGGCTTTTGCCCGGCGCTTCGTTTATCACGTCGATTGGCTGCGTGCCCCCAGCCACTGAATCTTGCCGGAAGCGCTAGGGCCTGGCTGGTCAAGTTAGGTTGTACCACCTGTCTTGCGGCCGTGCGGTTGACGCAGGAAGACGGGGTTGCGAGCCTGCAACTTGTAGCCGAGCGATATGTGAACTAGAGGGTACACCGCACACGCAGTGACAGTCTCGCCTCCCAGGACTCGTCTGGCATCTCGGGCCCATCCCAGGACAACCAGGGTCGAAGAGAGGTCGCTAGAGCGGAAATGGACGAGCGATACTGAAGAAGGAGCCTGCTCTGTGCTCCTTAGCGCTTCGGCAGCGCGTAATGGTTCACAAGAATAGCAAACAAGCAACAAGGCGCAAGCGGGATTTGAGATGTACTGGAAAAAGGTGGCGCGCGCTCACCCCGAGTGTCTTCCGGAGTACCTTTTCTACCCCCTCCCAAGTCACCTAAGTCACCCTCTCTAGCCTCAATCCAGGAGCGAATGAATGAACCCAACAGACCAAGCGGCAGCAAATCATCTGGTAAGGTTTTCCTATCCCCCCCCCCTGTTCAAAGCCTGGGTGCTAGCTCAATGGTGCATGCCATGCAGGCAGAAGCCTCTGCTCGTTACGAAGACGCACTGGTGTCAATTGGCGAGGAAGGGATGATTCATCGAATCCTCGATTCCGGGTGATCGAAGCAGACAGATCTGGAATCAATGTCGAGGCCTTACAGTAAACCCCTGCCCATCGTCCAGTGGCCGTCTCAAGCCTTCCCTGGTCGGAATATTGAAGTATATATGAACACCATACCAGATGCTCTATACGGGAAGGACAAAAAGAAAAACACTCATAGCGTCGCTCGTGAAGAACCAAATCATGAATGTCCCACGTGCGCGCGGTGGATTCCGACGATGGCCAGAGTAGATAGGGGGGAGGGGCCGAATGCGAACAGCTCGTGGGCACCTGTCAAATTGCTCGGCTACCGGGCAAGTGGTCTCTGCAGGCTAGATATCTGCATGTCAGCCAAGTGTGCTAATAGGCGAGACAAGGGGGAGGAGGCACAACGACAGACTGGCGATCAGATAGATGTACTCCGTATGAGAGACCCAATCCTAGCGTTGTTGCTTCGATGATTGGACGCGAGTGGGCGGCTTCGGAATGAACACGGTTCGCCCACGCTGTTCTCGACGTTCCATTGTTGTTAATAGTCACTGCGCGCGTGCTCCAATGAGACAAACAGTATCTGTGCTTTCCTATACGATGACAACGAGGCTGCGCGGTGTACGGCACTCGCAACTTTGGCAGACCCATTTACGCCCACACCATCCACATGCCCCGGCTGGCCTTTGTCCACGCGTGAGTATTCGTCGCGAGTTTATCCATTTCCAGGCTGAGCTCTAAGCGCTTCGTTGGGAGGGTACCAAGTGGGGTTTCCCATGCCGACTCCTGTCCTGAGTTGTCGGTGAATGTCAGAGATGTCGGAGAGCTAACATGTGATGTGACGCTCTTGCCTGATTGCAGTTCGGTAGGTAGGTTCGCAACTTCACCCTCTACCTCCCTTTCGATCCAGGTGGGTACTAGACTCTGCTCAGCATTCAGCCCAATTCGCGGTCGAAATTCGCTGCGGCGCGCAGAGTCATTCCCCCCGTCTTTGAGGGCTCCTTCTCTCCCACCCATGCAAGCATGACGACCTCGTCCTCGATGTTCGGGAAACGGGGTGGGTGTGTCATTAGCTTCAGAGCGTGTCGTTTTGCCGGCTCGTCCATGGCAGGGTGGTGCGTGGTGTGTGCGACGACACTGGGCCTGGTGGCTGGACCGCAACTGGATGTGCGGCCGGACGAGCGAGGTTTCGGAAAAGAGTCGAGTCTAGAACAAACAGCCTTGACCAACGGAAGATGCAAAGTTGCAGCGGCTGGAAATATTGGCACTCTGCAATCGTGTCGAACGAGTCGAAGCAGAAGGACCCTTTTGGCTCCACGCTCCTCAGGGTCCACGGCGGGAACATTCAACGCTCGGCGCACCGCTATCCACATGGTCACCGTCCGAAAGAACTAGTCCGCGTATTTGATGGCAACAAGTTTGTAGATTCGTGGTAAATGAGCCAAGACCTCATCGCTGGATGACTCCGTAAGAAGTATGACTACCTGGTTTGTCCAACAATTCCTCACCACGCTCCCCGCTGAATCTATATATCAACACAGCTCCAGATCCAACGGCGGTGCCTATCCTCGTTGCCGAGATCATGACGGAATGAGATGGCCTATATTCTGGAGGTAGCCGTATACGGCTCTCAGAATCATAGGTTATCCACACGTTGTCTGGACTCAATCCCCAGCCCTGCCATTGTGGTTTCTGAAGCTTTGTTGCGATCGGATCCGTACATGTTAACGTTGGTTTCAGAATGAGAGTGCCGATGTTGGTGTTAAGATGTACGCCAGTAGCCTCAAATGAGATGTGGCGCAGTGGTCTGCCAATGTCCAGTGTCTGCAGGCAGACACCACTGCTCAGATCCCAGATCTTGACCGTCTTATCATATGACGCTGAGGCGAGCCGGGTAGAATCGTGCGAGAAGGCCATCGAGCTGACCGAGGTACCATGGCCCTCAAGTGTGTGTAAGCAAGCGCCACTTCTTAAATCCCAAATCTTGACTGTGTGATCCTCTGAAGCTAAGGCAAGCTGTAAGTCATGCGAGAAGGCCACCGAGCAGAGCCCGCCACCGTGGACCTTAAAAGTTTGCAGACATACGCCGTTACCTGTATCCCAGATCTTTAATGTCCCGTCAATTGTTTTTGAGGAGAGTAACGTTGAGTTAGGTGAAAAGGCCACCGAAAGAACCCCGTCGGAACCGGTAGCGCCAATAAGTGTCCGTAGGCAAATGCCACTACTCGTATCCCAGATTTTAACTGTCTTATCATATGATGCTGAGGCGAGCTGGGTCGAGTTGGATGAGAAGGCAACTGAAAGGACCCAGAAAGAGTGGCCCTCGAGTGTGTGTAGGCGAGCGCCGCTCCTGGTCTCCCAGATCTTAGCTGTCTTGTCTCTCGAAGCTGAAGCGAGCTGGGTAGAGTCGAACGAGAAGGCTACCGACTCGACTCTCGCACGGTGGCCCTTAAGTGTCTGTAGGCAGACACCACTACTCGTATCCCAGATCTTGACTGTCCGATCAGTGGACACAGAGGCGAGCATGGTTGAGTCGGGTGAGAGGATCAACGAGTAGACTCCGCTATAGTGGCCCTGGAACGTCTGCTGAGATAGATTACTGTCTATATCCCAAATTTTAACTGTACCGTCCCATGAGCCCGAGGCCAGCCAGGTTGAGTCGGGTGAAAGGGCCACGGACATAACCCAGTTGGAATGGCCACTGAGTGTCTTTAGGCATACACCACTAGTCGTATCCCAGATCTTAACTGTCCGATCATGTGATACTGAGGCGAGTCGGGTTGAGTCAAGTGAAAAGGCCACTGACTCGACCGGATCGTTGTGGCCCTCAAGTGTCTGTAGGCAAGCATCACTTCTTAGATTCCAGACCTTGAATGTGTCATCCGTATATAGTATAGCGAGTCGCATCGAGTCGTGCGAGAAGACTGCAGTTTTAAGCAGAATAGAGACCTTTTGCTCCTGTAGACAAATGCCACTGCTCAAATTCAAGATTTTGAGTGTCTCAGAGCCAGCCGACGTCGCAACTCGGGTCAAGTCAGTTGAGAAGGCCAACAGGTAGCATTCGTCAGCTTCCCATAGTGTCTCGAGGCATTCGCCACTAATAGTATCCCACTTCTTAATCGTCTTATCCGACCCTGAGAAGAGTTGGGCTGAGTCAGGTGAGAAGACCACTGAGCTGACTGACTCAAGGTGCTCATAAATGTGCAAGCAAGTGCCTTTAGTCACATCCCAGACCTTGATAGTGCCACGTTTCGACGCGGAGGCGAGCCGAGCCGAGTCGTGGGAGAAGACCATCGAGTTGATTTCCCCATAATCACCCTCTAGTGTTCTGAGGCGGGTGCCGCTTTTCACATCCCAGATTTCGACCATCCTGATCATCATGATCGGTTTTCTGCGGTCTCTGCTATTACCAAGCAATGCTGAGGCGATCCAGGTCGAGTCGGGTGAGATGGCCACCAAGTTGACCACATCGGAGCACTCCAGCGTCTGGAGACAGGCGCTCCACTCTCTCATATGCGGCGTTGCCGTAATCCATTTGGGCTCTTCGTGCTCGAAAACCCCCCTTATCAAACTGTGCTCTGGACTAAATGCAAGTGCAGACACATATACCTGCAGCGGAAATAGCTCTATTGCCTGCTTGTGAGACATGATAAATCGGCGCGCATCTCGAACTACGTCGAGCAGCGCAGATGTGGCTGCATTTGCCTAGGTAATATCAGCGTCTGCTATTAGCAAAGAGTACTGGTGAGGTAGGTTTACCTTGAGGAGAGTTTCGAGTTTCGATATTGCCGGTATCCGTTCCGGGAGACCTCTGCAAAGGCTCAGGGCCTCAAGCCAATAGAGGTAGTAGCCCTTTATGAACTTGTCGACGGATGCACCCGTACGGAGATCGTTTTTCGCGTTCTCAGAAGGATCACAGTCGAGTAGATGGTCAATCCAATAGACACATGAATATCGTTGTGAAGATAGCGGATCTGGACTGGGTCGTTTGACCTTGTCAATGGGGAATCCGGGAGCCTTTAAGCCGTAGATGTCACGTCGAAGTTGTTGGGACATGACCTGCAGTGATCGTGAGAAGATAGCATGATGTACCCGTTGTATCCCAGCAGGAAAGATCTCATTCTTTGCATCTTGGACTAAAAAGTCTTTCGCCGACTGATGAACGAAGGTGATTGTGCGTTCTCGGAGCGTCAGAAAAGAGCCACAACGCGCTATGATCTCCGACAGGGCTTTGTCTCCTCCCGGAATGCCATCGGACAAGTCTACAAATGATGCTAACTCGTCCAACGTGATGTCCCGGTACACCGCCGAAATGACAGCCAGGATTTGTTTGGAACGTTCGGCATGCTCTGACGTCTTGATTTCTTCTAACATTCGCCCATAGAATTCATTGAGTCCAGGTGGAAACGCCTCGACCCTTTTCTGAGCCTCCCACGCCGAGCTTTCGGAGAGTTTCTGGCAGACCAAAGCGACCCACAGGAAGGTGCCCTTTGCGTTTGACAATAAATATTGCTGGACATAATCCTGCGTGATATTATCATATTCCAAGCGCAAGGCTAATTGGTCGACCTTGAACTGAATGTATGAGGCAACGGCGGCAGAGACGGACTGTTCATTAAGCTCGAGACTTAGCGACAACCCCTGCGTCGTAGTGTTGAGATATCTCTCAATGCTAGGCCAGTTCCGACTTGAGACAATCCACTTAACACGAGATGACACAGACGACATCTGCACGACAAATTCCAAGAGCTTCGGCAAGTCTGTCATGCATTCATCGAGCGCATCGACTATCAGATAGGTGCTGTGCAGGCTCTTGTCTTGTAAAATGTTGGCAAAGATCGTAGACAAAGCAATCCAGGCATTGGGATCCTCGAATAGCGCTTTGCCTGCGTGAACGTGCTTTTCTTGTAAATGTGACACGAGCGACGGCTGCTGATCGACAAGCATATATAATAGACCTCGTAGCACTGCAACAGCATTGTTGATTCGCGGGTCGGTAGCCTGACAGAAGAAATAGGACAGAAGAGCCATCTTAGCTATTGATTTGTCCAGCTCATTTATTGCGCCACAGAGCAGCATCGTCTTGCCCTTGCCGGGATGGCCCTTGATCCATAGAAGTGAGCCCAGCTGGGCGCTACGCCACTGATTGAACTCGGGGTTTTCAAGGATCCATCGGTACGAATCCTCCAGCAAGCCACCCTTGCTGGCCTCAATGCGCTTTTTGTCATCGCGTGGATCGGTAAGACGTAAATGTTGGATACACGTCGCCTGATTCTCGATCTCTTGCTGGAGCCTTTCGAAAGCATTAGTCATCCCTTCGCCATATCGAAGGTGGATGTTAACGCCAAAAATGCCCAGCAGAGAGTACGCTTTATCTTCTTCGAGCTTGGTTTGGCGAGGATTACTCCAGGAGAACCGATCATTAACGCTGAACTGCGATAGCCGGGTTCCTTGAAGCGCTAGCTCAGGAATCGCAGTGATCTCGTGAATCAGTCGCTCCCTAGAGCTTTTGTCACCAAGGTACTTTCCTTCCTTCGAGAAAAACTTGACTGATCTTGGGGCGAGAAGCTCTTGGAGCGTCCAGCCTCGAGTGAACCATTTGCTTTTCCGCAGTTGAGATTCCACCGGTGGCAGATTATGCTTCTCCTTAGTGCCGACTGATCCCCGGCCAAGGAGCCACGGGAGCCCTAGTATCCAGCCCCAAAGGACCCATACCAGGAGCATCCCCTGCCAGGAAGTCCACTCCCATGCCCATGTTGTGTACGGGGCCTTATCGTTGCTGCTAGACAAGGAGATAGACACATCTGCTAGATAAACGTAGCAGTGCTCGGCATCACGGTACCAGCGAAACATTGAGTTGATAGCGTGCTGGAGCTCGGCTGCGTTCTTCTTGTCGATGCAACAGGTGTCAATCCAAAAGTACTGCAAGTCATCCTGCCTAGCCTGTTCTCCACAGAATCTGATCTTCTCATAGCCAAGCTTATCCTTCCCAGTGCCACTTTCCATCTCTTCAAAGGTAACCTCCTCGGTGTCTAATCCCCATGTGTGCGAGAGAATGGCATAGGGAGGGATCTGATCGCCGTCGCCGAAGTTTTTGAAGCTGAATTCGCCGGTCTCGCTGCATTGCAGAAGACGCATTTCTATAAGGTGAGTGGGATGCCACCGAGTGCTGAGCGGGGGCGGGGGAATCGGAGGAGGGACGGCAAGCGGCAGCTTGTTGTTGGACGAGGAGATCTCATCAGGCTGGCGAGGGTAATAAGCTTGTAGGACAAACGATGGCAAAGATTCGACTGTGCTGCCGTGTTGTCACCCGCATCTCAAGGTGATTGAGGCTGCAAAACGGATGGGCGGTAAGGCCAGCGGGCAGAATGTAGCGTCCTCACGACGTCCAGCAGAAAGTCGACGGTCGGACGGTACCTTCCTCCAGGCAGCAGCAGGGCACACTTAGCAACAACAACAACTGAGAGTGAGCCCGGAACTTGTGAAAACCCCCAGACTGGCAACCCAGGGGCCAAGTTGTAGGAACCTTCACAGCCTTGCCTCGTATGGCCCTGCTCACGATATTCACTACGCGCCTCAGGGCTCGCCAAGCCGAGCTCAGGATTGCACAGCCACAGCACAGGATGGCTCAAGTCATTCAGACACCACGTTACTCAGGACAATCAGCATCGGCCAACGAATGGCCATTCCGTCCCTGACAAGCTAGCTACTTTTGAGAAATATTGGATGTTCGCGTATGTTGCCATGCGCGCTTCATCGTCACCTGTTCAGCTATAGGGCCAATCCCTTGCCCTGTTCGCCAGCTATCGGTCGAAACGCTCATATTCGAAACTTCCTATCCATCCCAGAGAACTGATTGCGTGGATTGTCATTCGGAGGAACAGACGTCTCCTCCGACTCGGCCTCTTCAACACTTCAACCCAGCTTCTTGCGGCGCAAGCCTTTTCAGCGACGATGGAATCGCGAATTTCACGAAATTACAGCTCAGGGGAATTCTTGAATGTCCCTAGTGCCATCCGCCTTGTCTTCCTGGGTTGCTGGATAATTGGACTTCCATTTCAGGGCATTTGACCTCGGCAGAGTGAGCCGCTCACCGCCTAAATTCATGGGCAGCAACAGCCAGAGAGATGGTAAGTGGTGACAAGCAATCTGTAACAGTGGCCCGAATGCCTGCATTTCTGAACATGGAATAACCCACCTCGACAGATCCTTGTCGCCGACGACCGAAGTCATTGCGCCTTTGCCCAGGTGTCCAGAGAGACAAACCCCGCGAATCGGAAGTGCTGGCCATCTCCATGCTGCCCATCACCTTTCATAAAGCTCTAGTGCAAACCGATGTTCGAGTTGCATCGGAGCCTGCATCGCTTGGATAATGTACGTTCGGTGTGCCGGCACTCCGAGCGTGCGAGAGCGAGCGGCACTGAGTATATACCAACAGTCGAGGATTACAAAGGAACGCGCGGCAATGGGGTGGGTCTGATGGCCTCTCCCGCATTTGATAACCCCAGATTGCACGCCTATGGATTTGGGGTAGACGGCAGCAAGGGCGTGGAGGCGTTGCTGAAGGATCAGATACAAAGGCAGCTGCTTCTATCCCTTCTGGTGAAGCTCTCTGACCAAATGTAAGACTTCTATGTACAACCCAAGTAGGACACAGAAAATCCTCTTGCATGTGGCAACTGAAGGGGATGAAAGCGACCCATCTGGTGCGGTTAATATCTCGAGACCTAGCTGTGCGTTCTCCGCTCCTCGTTTTACCCATCATGTCTCGTACCGCCGTCCTGACTCAGATACGTCTCGGTCATGACTTCTCGAGCACGCCCTTTCGCGCTCCACCCCCAAGTTTTGGCGCCAAATGGAACCGCGGGGGACTCGGTTAACCTATACAGGCAGCAGAGCCCAACAGAGGAACATTCCGTGGCTCAAGAATATATAGATCTGCGTCTATACCTCGTGGCTGCCCATGTATTGGAGAGGGGAGGGGACGAACCTTCGCCATCTTTTCTTAAGGCATTTTGTGTTTGCACCCTTTTTGCAACTTCCCAAAAAAAAGTCAATAGAGAGTTTTCAACCATGGCCGGCCCGGTTCGCCAATTCAATTGGTACAACTTCTGGATATGTTGGCTGGTCTCTCTTGGCCAGATAGCCTTTGGCTACCCTGCCTCTATTATTAGCACGACCCTAGGCGAACCAAGCTTTCTCGTGTATATGAAACTGCTTAACCCGACGACGGGGCTGCCGTCCGGGGACGCGGACCAGCTCGAGGGTGCCATGTCGGGCGTTTTCCAGGTTGATACATCCACCCATGCCATCTCCTTAACACCGGTTATCCAAAAATCCAGTATGGGGAGCTGACAGTGGAGGAAAGGCAGGAGCTTTCTTCGGCATCATGATGGTGAGCTACATCATGGACAAATGGGGCCGCAAGGCCGGCGTCATTTTCTGCTCCTTTTGGTCCCTGCTCGGCGGCGCCTTGATCTGTGGGTCGAAAAGCTCGGCCATGTTCATCGTGGCGAGGTTCTTCGCGGGCATGGGAAGCTGGGGCTATCTGGCTGTCAGTAAGTGCAGATGCCGCGCAATGCATTGCCAAAAGAACGGGGTGGTGGTTCAATAAACTCATACGTCGCAGCACCTGCGTACAGCGCCGAGCTTGCTCCACCCGCGCTGCGCGGTTTCTTCGTCGGGCTCAACGGGGTCAATATCGCGGTCGGCTACTCACTGGCAGCGTATACCGGGATGGGCTTTTTCTACGTAAAAGAGCCTCAAGCTCAGTGGCGCGGTCCGCTGGGCATTGCGCTCTTCTTCCCCTTGTTGATGCTCGCCATGCTCCCCTTCATCCCGGAAAGTCCCAGATACCTGCTCATGAAGGGCCGTGAGGAGGAGGCGGAGAAGATTGTCCTGAGGCTCCACGCCACCCCTGGCGACGAGGACCAAGAATTCGCTCGCGGCGAGTTCTACCAGATGCGCAAGCAGGCCGAGTTTGATCGTACCCTGTCGGTCTCATGGGTGAGCATCCACACTGTCGCCCTCGCCGAGTCGGGGCCCACGACTGACTTTCTATCACCAGTGGGACGTCTTTTTCAAGAAGTCGTACCGAAAGCGAACCATCCTGGCAATGGGCTTCGCCTTTGTGGGCCAGTCCACAGGCGTGCTGGTCATCAACAACTACGGGCCCACACTGTATAAGAGTCTCGGCTACGGCACAGAGGATCAGCTTCGTCTCCAGTGCGGCTGGATCACCACTGCCATAATCGGTAATGCGATTGGGGCAACGTTCATGGACCGCGTCGGGCGAAAACCGCTCATGCTGTTTGGCGTCGGCGGATGCTGCTTCTGGCTCATCATCGAAGCAGCCATTGTCGCCAGCTTTGCGGGCACTGACAACACCTCCGGCCTGGCCATGGGTGTCGCGGCGTTGTTCTTGTTCGAGGTCGTCTATAGCTGTGGAGTCGACGTGGCCGGCATCGTCTTCTACAGCGAGTTGTTCCCCAACCACCTGCGAGCCAAAGGTAAGAAACGACTCTTTCGCCAAGAGCGCGACATACCGGTTTGCTTACAACGCCACGTGAAAACAGGAGTTTGCCTTTCGATGGCCGTTGTCGCCCTCACCGACCTTGTCTATCTGCAGGTTACGGCCACCGCATTTGCCAACATTGGTTGGAAGTTCTACCTGGTGAGTGACCACCCGTTTTCAGCACCGTCTCCCCCGTCGCACTATGCAAAAATAGACACGAGAGAACCCCTGAATGGTGCTCACTCCGTAATAGGTCTTTATCATCATCTGCGGCCTCGGCACCATCACCATGTACTTCGTCCTGCCCGAGACCAAGGGTGTGCCTCTCGAGGAAGTCGCCAAGCTCTTTGGCGACACCGAGACCATCATGGTCTATGCTGCAGACATTCACGTGGACCACAACACGCACGAGCTCGTCGTTAGTGGCAGAGAGGTGGTCGAACATCCTGACACGGTGGTCGAAACTCCTAAAGGCGCCGCGGTCGCAGAGAAAGGGACTGAATCGCGCCATACCGAGCAAGTGTGAGTCCAGAGGAAAGTACAACAGCAGTATCGTGCAATAGCATCTCATCCGGCCCTGTGGGGCAGCTCCCCATTGGAATAGATTTCTGCATAGATATTAGACCAGGCTTTACGGCAGTATCGAATAGAGCGTACTCTTGAACGTACCATTGTGGATATATTCTCAGGATGCAATGAAAACCATGGGTGTATAAATTCCGCGGGCACTCCCTGACGCACGCGTTCAATTGTCTGTCGCCAGTGCTGAAGGCAGTTCGTCACGGGGAGATTATACCGAAGAGGTTACACCACCGTAACATTTCTTCTCATCAAGTCCTCGCGTCCATAAATCAGGAATAGGTTGTGGGAGACTGACTTATTCAGGTGAAGAAGGGAAGGACAGGCGGAGAATAGCAAGCGAGAATAGAACACGACGAGAGCTGTCGCGCTAAGCATTTGCGTACCGCACTATACTGTTTGGGGATCTTCGAGCAAACAGAGCAAACACCGCAAACGTCATAAATCTCCGATGCCCGGGACAAGGCGCCACAAGGCTCAGGCTCCAGAGCGACGAATGAATGGCGATTCGCGAGCAGCGGTTTCAACACCTTGGCCTTTTCTGCCCACTGCCTACCCATCTGAAGAAGCCACCTATAACTACACCTTGGATCTTCCAGCGTCGATGAATCACAGATGAACATGGAGGCCAGTGTGAGGTAAGGATCGCCTCTCAGAGAGACAAGAGACCACCTGGCTTCAAATCACACACATCACATATCTCAGGGACAGGGGAAGCAACTTTGAAAAAGAAGTCTGGCTTTCGGACCATAGACCCCTTCTTTCCATGCTTCTCACCACCGCCCAGTTCGTCGCAACCATGATCGCCTCGTCCTGGCTCAAACAGTCGATCATCACGGTGCTCTGCGTCCTCGGCATCCCCTCGTACCTCTCCGCGCCGAAGCCCATCTCGGTGCACCTGGGCGGGCAATCGAGCATCACCGTGCCCGCCAATCGGGCCGTCGTCTCCCTGCACATCTACGCCGAGGGGCCCAAGCAGGACAAGGTCGCCGACGAGGTGCGCCGGACCGCCGACGACGTCCTGGCCACGCTCCGACCGCTCGCGCAAGTGCAGACCACCCAATTTCCCACGGTCAACGCGTCGTCGTCGTCGTGCCCAAGTGGCGACATCGAGGATGAGCCGGCCGTGGTCGACTTCTCCGTGACCACGTTCCGCAGCTACTCGTGGCAGAAGCCCGGGTCGCTGCTGTCGCGCGAGGCGCCGCAGTACCAGGCCAGCGTGGAGATCGAGGCCGAGTTCCGCGCCTTCGACCCGCTGGGCGCGCTGCTGGCGCAGGTCTCCAAGACGCCCGCGGCGTCGGTGCAGTCGCTGAAGTGGACGCTCGACGACGCGACCAAGCGGCGCCTGTTCGCCCGCTGCCGCTCCGAGGCCATGGTCGACGCTCTCGACAAGGTGCGCGCCTACGTCCGGCCCCTCGGCATGGACAAGGTTCGTGCCATCCGCCTCACCGAGACCCAGCAGCACCGCCGCAGCCGGCCCGTCGTGTGGGGCGACGTTGACGGCCTGCGCTTCCAGCGCCACGCCGCCCCCCAGCACGATCTGCTCGCCGCCGAGCACGACGAGCATGCCGCCCAGACGGACGGGTCGGCCGACGTCGCCGAGACGTTTGGGCTGGAGCCCGGAACGTTGGAGCTCGTCGCGCAGGTCGAAGGTGAGTTCTGCGCGTGGAAGACGGGCTTGGAGGCCTGGTTTAGGAGGGGCGGCGTCTGAGGGAGCCTTGCTTGCTACCATGTCATTCATATCACGTTTGTCGTTGTCGCGAAACCCGGGTATATAGGAAAGCTTCTCCTTATCTGCAGAGGCAACTGCAAGGGACTCAGTTCTCGGCTTTGTCTTTCGATCACAGGAGCAATGCGTTGGTTTCATTTCCTTCCATTCCTCGTGCAAGGGCCGGGATTAATGCAGAATCACTCCCATTAGCAGAGAGTCGGCGCTTTCCCCGAATCTGAAACGAATCCTCAAGAGAGGCCTTTAGAGAGCCCATTATCGTCCAATTTGTGACGCGATTGAAAGCTAGGCCAACTCAAATCCATCAATTCTAGAGTAGATTTCTTCTGGGACACGCACAGATCTACTTCGTCCAGCCAGCAGCGTGCCGCCCATTCTTGATATCCTCCGACTTTTGGTGTATGCAAACAATTGTCTTCAAAGCACGCTTGAACGCTACATCCCAAACAAAGCATAAATACGCCATTCCCCGACACCCAGTCAATTCTCGTGACGCCGTGCGAGGATAGTGCCTTTCCACGTCATGACACACATAACCATCTTGCAAGTGAAGGATGTGCACACTCACTCCTCGCCTGATTCGTGACCAAGGTGGTCATCCTCGTCCACCCCTCCAACATCCATACCTGCATCGTCTTCGGAATCCGTGTCCTCGGCTTCCTCCCCAGGAATGCCTTTCCACTCCACATAGTCCCCCTCGATCCAATGCTTGCTGATGGGCAAGTGGTAGGGGTCATACGGAAAATATCCTTCCAGCATTCCATTGTCTCCGACCCAGCTCAAATCCCGATCTGGGTTGCTGATGGTCAAGTCAGATGCGCCGCGCCAATGACCGGTGACTCGCACATGTCTGTTCTCCTCGAGTTTCGGATAGACATAGAAGAGTTGTAGCGCATGAGTCAACTTGGCGAATTGCTCGACGATGACTGGGGTGCAGACGCGCAAAGGATTGAGTGGGGAGTAGATCGCCGCTCGAAGCGATTCGCGTAGCGATTCGGCAAAATGGTATGTCTCAACCTCATCCTCGTCGAGGTCCAGGTCCGATTCGTCGTCGGAAGTGGCGGAGGCAATGTCTCGCCAGCGGAAGCAGAAAATGTACAAGATTGCTTGGAAGGCGGCATAGAAATCGCCGTAGCGCTTCAAGTCCGGACCGCGACATGTAGGCTCGTACGATTTGCGCAAGATGGTCAGATGGTCGCAGAGCAAGTCCAAGCAATCGTGCACCACCTGAGGCGAGACGTGGGCACCGCGGCCGACGAAGCCTGAGAAATAGGCAGCAGCGCTGTGTCGGAGGAGATGCGGCTGTTTCTTGTCAACAAGAACAGCGACACAAGATGTGACGAAACGATCGACGATGATAGGGTCTGCTTGGGCGAAGTGGAAGACCAAGAATTGCGGATGACGGGCCCGGTATGTTGGGAGGATGTGGGTGTGGAATTGGGAAATCAGCTGCTCAACGGCATTATCGCGAGTTTGGAGTGCGGCCGAAGTGGTGAGTTTGGCGTAATATTGGAACATAATGTCCATGATCAGGTCGACCTGCTTGATATCCTCCTTCAACTTACGCCGTCGAGCGGTGGCAGGATCAGTACCCTCATCTTCGTCCATCTCAGATTCGTCACTGGTGCTTATATCATCACTCTGATCATCAAGCCCGCCAGCAAGCATGTCCTGAGAGGAGCGCGCAACTAGTATCTGCGACGAGGACATGTGGCTCAGCAAATCGTCTTCGACATCCTCCTCTTCTTCGTCGAGGTCAACCTGAACTGAGACGTCGAGCTTGATGAGTTCTCGCAAGACACATGTCAGGATTTCCGATGTGAGCTCGGGCACATATTTGATCATCTCCATGAAGTTTCGGATGTATGTCATGCGCTCATCTGCCTTTTGAAAATCAAACTGGAGGCGGGACGCGATTCGATCGGCAAGGGCGGCGGGAGAGGAAGGAACATTGACGGTGATGTGTTGAATGGCTTGCAGAACTCGCCGATGGATCTTTCCTTGTCTGACAGCGGTGGAGTTTTCGATCCGTCGTGTTTTTTGAGGTCCCAGAAGATCTACCAGGACCGACATGATCTTGCGCTGATAGCCGCGTTGCGCAGCAGCCAGGTTATTGAGGAATCTGACAAAAATCGCATAATACTGATCATCTCTTCCCACCCATTCGCTATTCAGGACCGCATCGACCAGACCACTGCAGTCTTTATCGAGTGACGTGACATTGGCTAGGATAGCCTGAAGGTGAAACTTGAGCACCTTTGTAGACGGTGCGTTTGGTTTGTCGGGCGAGGTATTGAAATAACCCTTCACACGTTCGTATGCCTCGTCTTCTCTAAAGCGATGTCTTTCAATTGCTCTCCGCACTTGTTCTTTGACAACCAGGGGATCCAGGTCCTCGTCATCGTCTGCGGACACAATTTCGACATCGGAATCAAAAGTCACGCGAGAGCGTTTGGAGGGGCTTGAAGGCGGCTCCATGAAACTGGTTTCATCGATTGATCGCTTCAGGGTTGATCTCCGGTGCATAGGCTGAGGTCTTATGGTTTTTGAGGGAAGTGAAGGAGTCGAGATGCTGGTCGGTAGAACAGGCCGACGGGCCTGAGGTGGCGGCGCTAACATGGCCGGACAGGCAGATGCAGATGGGGGAGTGGTTTCGACTCATGGGACAAGGGAAGGCGAATGAGCCATACAAATAGGAGATAAATGTGGTTGAAGATAGCTTGGGAGCTTGAAGGACCCAGCCTTTGGCCCAAGGCAGTTGCTGGCGAACAATTGTAACAATTCCAACATTGGCTGGAAAAAATCATAGAAAATTGATATTGTGCGCAGGAGGGGCTAGCCTCTTTTGGGTTGAGGCCCGACATTTCGGGGATGCCGCCATTGTTCACTATTCACCATCCCTGCAGCCTTGTGCATCTGAGTCACTTTCAATGAGCAAGTTGACTCTTACAAAGGGAGTGAATGACTCAAATTTTGTCATGCCACCCGGGCAAAACTAAAGGTAAGCACGCTGGCTGATCTTTTCAGTGCCTTGGATTTTGTCGAAATTGGCTGCATCTTTGCCAAACAGTTCAATCCGATGTCCCAGCGCTCGTCTCAGAATCCAATCTTTGCTATTGATCTCTTCTTCAACTGCGTCCTTCTCCAATGGAGGAATCATCTCACTTCCCTCCAACCGCTTTAGCATCACGTCATTTTCCGGTCGGTTGAAGTACACCAGGGAGAATCTAGTGTGGTCTGCCTGCTCACCGGGTGGAGAGACCACACGATGTATGTTCGATCTTAGAAGACCGTTTGTAAATTTCACCATCGCATCGCCCAGGTTGATAATAGCGTGATTTGGGAGGGGTTTGACATAGCACCATTGTGCGTTGCGTCCGGGTGGAAGAACCTGCAGACCACCCAGTCGATTGAAGAGGACTGTCACACTTCCAAAGTCGGTGTGCTCACCCAACGCTGTTCGTCGGTCGTCCATAGGCTGTGGCGGGGCTTTGATAAAACGGACTTGATCTCCTGAATGCCCCTCGAGGCGATGCATGTCTTGCAAAGTGTTGGGGGGTAGTTTGAGGTGGTCGTTGAGCAATCCGAGGACCAGTGTAACGATGCCGTGAGCTGATGTCATGAACGACTTCAGAAGGGGACGTCGAGAGCTTAGGAGTTCGGGAGCGGGTAAAGGGTCCATGATCCCGAACATGTCATCTTTGGATACCTGCAAGTCGGTTAGGAATCTGCAGTGGTCACCAGGCCGGCGGCACACTCACATTGTAGAATTCATTGCGATCGAGATTACCATCGCGGTCAACCACATTGGCACCAAAGCCTTTGTAGCCAAAGTACGATCCCTTTTTCTGGAAGTCGTACTTCTTTTTCTCGTCCAGTGGGAGCTCAAACAACTCCTCACCAACTTGGAAAAGCTGGTCTGCATCGGCAAGCAGAGAATCCCCTGGGCCACTCAAGTCTAGATAGAAGAATCCGAGGTCTTCGCAGGCTCGCACGAAACGAATCACCTCTTCAGGATCCCGTTCGAGGAGTTTAGCAAGAGATAGGCGCAGGAGCGGTGCGGTTGGCACATCCTCTGGGAATGGCGGAGCATTGTCAAATGCTTGCGTCGGCGCTGTCAGCGCTTCAGGGACTGTTTGGGTTGCCATTGCGATGTTTGAGAGTGTTGATAGTCGACTGGGGTTGAACCGATGCTCGGCCCGGCTCAAAGGCGGCGAATTCGATATTAATATATTCTTTGCCTTTGGCCGAGGCGCCCATCTCCACCTCCTCTCCGCGTTTGGTGGACTGCCATGACGACGCTTTCAGACCCCGTGTGGGGAAGAACAATTGTGATCGTACAAATAGCATCGACTATTTGGCAGAGTGCTAGTAGCTCACAGTCCATCCTTCGGCGTTCGCTCGGATATTCGTGTCAGCTTCTTGGACTCCTGCACGGAATATGCTGTATAACTCCTCCAACTTCGCTAACGTCAACCCACGCATATGCCTGAGAAGGCACTCTACAACACGTTCACGGTCGTCTTCCGCCGGAAAAGTCAGCAATTCCCAGAGCCATTTTTGGGGGGTATTTCCGTGACAGTCTTGTCGAACATTGAACTGCCAAGCGTCCTGTTCGATTGATGGAATTCGTGCTGGAAACATCTTGACGATGGAGGAGATGTGTGTTCGAATGCAATCCCGTCGATTAGTCCCTGGCATCACTCTTTTGGGGTTCGTTCGCTCTGCTCCTCCCCACTTGCTCTGCTGTATCTCGAACAGAGAAACTAACTCGCCTGCGGCGATTTACCTGTGCATTCCTCCATTCAATCATTCCCCGGTGCTCGTTGATAAATGAGAGATCGATGACCTTGTAGCAGACTTCCCATTCCAGGATTGGGCGCTCTGTCGGCCTGGATTTGACATCCACGAGATCCTCCGTGTCCACAATGACGTTCAACGTTGGGAAAACCGAAACTTGTCCGTCTACTGTCAGCACTGGAATGGTATACCTCAACTTACCCGGAGCTGCTTCTGCCAGAATGGACTGAAGCTCTGAACTCGTATTCTGGAGCCCTGCGTACACCCTTTGTACATCAGACTCGGCATAAGGGCGAATGCAAATTTGGGAAAGCGCTTCGGAATTTTTTGTTCGTACACGGATCCAATATCGATGGTCCCAAAGCATCCACTTCGACCAAAGCGCTGTCTGGCGGTGATTCTGAGAAAGCTCCGCCCCGGGAGTTAGATTCACGCCCTCTTTGCCGGCTTGGCCTGGTCGCGTACTGAGAGAGAAGCCCCTTTCTGCGAGCTTAAGTTCTGCCTGACGCATTGGTGGACGCGACAGTGTCCACAGAGTCTCTCCTTCGCCCAACAAATTTGTGCTTGAATTACCCCGTTGTGGGGTCTGGAAGCTAGATCTGGCCGACTCTTTACTCACTAGTCTGGAGTCTGCTTTCTCGAGCAAGACCTGTTGTACGGTCACCCGCTCTCGGAATCGAGATCGATTCTTGTCTAGGAACTGCTCCAGGTTTTGCCGAGGTACGAGAGTTGGCTCGTCATCTCTCGGCTGTGGACTCACCACACTTGTCAGCCTCGCCAATGCATATGCTCCAGCTTCGGGATCGGACTCGCATAACGAGGCGAAGGTAGACGACACCCCTACAGTCATGCGCCCGGACCGTAGATCGAAGGTAAGCACCCTGAGTCCTTGAAGAGCCTGCTCTCCTCGCGCCGCAAGGGAAGTAACTGAACGAGAGGACGACTGTTGGAGTGCGAGGATGGAGGGTCCCTGCAAAGCCTTTGGTAAGACATAATGGCTTCGCATATATCGCACAGCATTCCGTAGTGTCAGTGTGGGATCATAATTCGTCTTATCCTGGACGTGGGGAACTTGATTCGTGTTGCAAAAGTCGATAATTCCAGATTTTGTAAATGGTAGAAGTGGGCGGTGGATTCGCAACCCGCCTGGCGCCGAAGGCGTCACATTTTTCCCTTGGTTGAGGGCTTTCGAGCTCAGTGTCTCTCTATTCATCCTGGATTCGACAGGATGCAGCCACTGACCAAATTTCTCGTAGCTTTCTTTTTCGTTTGCACCCCTGATATCTTCACAACACGGTATTGCGCTATGCTCTAACATGCCTTGGAACCCAAGAAAGGAGGTACCGGTATTCCTCACTAGACGCATTAGGATGGTTTCAACCTGGTCGTCTTGATGATGGCCCAGAAAGAGATGATTGATCTTGTTTTCAATAGCTGCATCTGCAATCAACCGATACCGAGCTCGGCGAGCCTTCAACTCGAAATCGGCGGCGCTCGCTGGGTCAGCCGTATTAGGCCATTGGATCTCAAGGACCTTGCTTTCGACGCCTTAAAACCGTAAGCACGGTTTTGTTCAGAGATAAGAGACATACCAAACCGGCGTAACTGGGATTGAACGTAGTTGGCTTCCTCAGTGCTCTCTCTGCGAGCATTGTGGTTGACGATGAAGGCGAATGGTTGGACCAAGATCTTGTGCTTCCCAGGCACTGCAGAAATTTGGTTGAGCAGATATGCCAATGCCATAGAATCAGGGCCTCCACTGACACATACCCCTAGATCTATCAGACCAGAGCCGACGAAAAGATGCCAGAACAAACCTATTGGCACCGGTCTCCTCCGATCGCATTCCAGCCCTTGCTTTTCCCAAGTGGCCCCGAAAGATGTCAGGAAGGTCGTAAGAGTCAGAGGCGGCCCTGTGCTAGCCGTCCGATTTGCTACAACGCGAGCCATAAGGCAAAAGATCAATCGGGTTCACCTCAGACAAAACAAAAAATCTCTTAATAATGCCATCATGAGTATGGCACATAGCCCGGTTCACACCAGCGACGCCTGAAGTCGGCCGCAAGCTGCGCCAGCTGTGTGTAAATGTGCTCTTCGTGAACAGAGCCCTGTAAGTATTTGAGCTCTGGTGTGGCTTAGTCGTAAATTGAGATTGCGGTGCAATTAGTTTTGTGGCAACCTGCTCCACGTGACGCGGCACGTGATACACTACACGGGTCAACCACGTGGGAGGAACTCACCAATCAACAAGAATCTGCAATCAATCCTACTTGGGGGTGAATTGGGCGATATTGGAAGTGCAGCAAGTGGTGCCTGGAAAGGATGTCATCATGTATTGTAATCTCAGGCAACCTTCCAGGCTGAGAGTAAAAAGTAGCATGGAAGGGGACAGAGATGTGGCGGTGCGCTGTGGCTGAGTGTTACACATGAAGACTAAGGGCGGAAGTGTAGTGGACCGAATACGCAGGTACTGAGGATGAATTCATTTCGTATTCGGCTTCTCTTGCTTTGTATGGAGGTGACAGCATTCACACTGCGCGGTGGTACAGCTGAAAGTAAGTAAGAACACTTGCCCGTTGATTCAAGCTTAACCAAGATGCCTCAAGCGTGCGCAAGAATGCCCAAGAACGTCCAAGCAATTAGAACTGTATTACGCCCAGCCCGCCGACGGAGGAGCTAAGGCTTCACACGAGGTGCTTCGGACCTTCAGCCATGACAGTGGAATCCAAGAGGAATCTTACCTGCTGCCTGGAGAGCTGGCTCGCAGATTTATCCCGAAAGAGAGATGCGATGGGATTGAGCCCCTATTCTTGAGGATACTACCGACCTACTCGTACTGCACCAACTAGATGGGCAATGGGTGACAGCAATGGGCAAAACAGCGATGACGCCGGGATCAGCGCTTGGGATAATGCGCCCAGGAACCAGAGGCAATCGGATGCTTCGATAGGCCCGGCTTTAACTGCAGCAGTGGAGCGATGTGGCTTGGGAAGCGGCCAGGATGTAGCTGAACAGGGGATGGGGAGCAAATTAGTTTAGGGCGTTTAGGGCATTTAGGGTATGCCCCCGTCATTGTGCATGGGCATTGGGCGCAATAGGCAGCCACTGGGAACAATTCAGTGGGCATCCCCAGCAGCTTCAGCATCACCAGGATGTCATGATTTCATATTTTCCCACTCGCCACCATCGCCAAATGCCTAGTACCTAGCCGGATGGAGACCCTCTGAACCCCTGGTTTCATGACCAGCACGACACACTCACACAACAGCGCGTTCCCGCGTTGCGATCGTTTACCGACACTCTCTTCCTAGACCATTCCCAGGAATTCATCAATCTCTCCTCCATATCGCCAAGAAGCCATGCCTTCAGTCCCCCTTTCATGACTGGTTCGGCGATGTTGGTCTCTGCCCAATTCCCTGTTTTGCATCACCATCATCATTCTTTCACTTCTCTCTGTTATTGCTTGTTCCGTCTTCCCTGCTGTGTTGGGGCTGTGCAACCTCTAATATCCTACCACGTATTTTACTTGCAAACGCCCCCGACCACACATTCCTTCTTTAGACACTCTTACTCTGACCTTCTCACCCGTCACAACGCTGTATTGTAAACATTCAGTGGTCTCTTGGACTGTTACGGTTCCGCCTTTTCGAGACAACTGAGATATTTCACTGTAGAGTGACCGGGGTTGGTGTTCTGAACGATGCGTGAGTGACACCGCAACCTCTGTTTGCAGTAGGTTGCGTTCTAACCTGGGGCGCAGACAAGTTTCGCCATCAGGCAAAAGTTGCCGCGTGGTATAATGATCCGAACGATGATGCCAATTTGCCCATCAAGAATCCCTTCGCCAAGTGGAAACCCAGTTCCAGGTCAAATACTTTGCGGCGCATTGAGAACGGGGAAGGCAATGGCTCACCCCTGACCACGACCAGAACAGATGACCCAAACCACTATCGGCCTTCTTCGTCAAGAGAGAGGGGTGAAGAGCTCGGGGCAACTCCATCAGTGAAACACGCGGCGACGACGCCAACTGCCAGATCGGCCACAAAGCCATATGCTCCTGGCGATGAAGTCGAGTTGCCGCGATCGCTGAGTCCCGTCGGTTCGGAGAGCGGGCTCAAAGACGAGTTCCCGACCGGGCCCACTGAAGACGGGATGAGCAGCGATACCTACACATATGGCAAGCCCAGTCAAACAGACGAAGCGGGTTCGGTGCGCAACCGTGGTCTCGGTGAACAAAAAACAGAGAAACATGGTATCAAGGCAATCTTCAGCCGCGAGTCCAAAGGAGAGACGGATGACAACAACGGCAAAGACAAGCCAGTCTTTACTGCGTGGAGCCAGATTCGGGCAACCCTCTTCAATTCCTGGATCAATGTCCTTCTGATTGCCTCGCCGGTCGGCATTGCGGTCTACTACGCGCATATCAATCCTGTCGCAGTTTTCGTCATCAACTTCATCGCCATCATCCCCTTGGCAGCCATGTTGAGTTATGCAACCGAGGAGATTGCGCTGAGGACTGGCGAAGTTCTTGGTGGTTTGCTTAACGCTTCCTTCGGTAACGCAGTCGAGCTGATTGTGTCCATTATTGCTCTGGCCAAAGACCAAGTCTTGATCGTCCAAACTTCCTTGATCGGCAGTATGCTCTCCAATCTGCTGCTGGTCATGGGCATGTGTTTTTTCTTTGGTGGCGTCAACCGCATGGAACAGGCGTTTAACATCACAGTTGCGCAGACGGCTTCCAGTTTGCTTTTCTTGGCAGTCAGCAGTCTGATTATCCCCACCGCCTTTGAGCAGTGGGCTCGAACTGGAAATAGCAACAGCAACACCGAGACTGCCACTACCGAGAATGCCAAACCCGGCGTGGCAGAGCTAAGCAGAGGCACCGCCATCCTTCTCCTCATTGTCTATGCTTGCTACCTGTTTTTCCAACTCAAGAGCCACTCGGCAATCTATAACGCTCCCAGCGCGAAGAACGAGACTCGGGATGTAGGCACCAAGTTGAAGAAAGCAATTCCCAACAAATTCCGCTCTAAGAAGGAGCCAGAAGCCGAGACGCCGGAGCCAGCAGATAACGATGAGCCCGAGCAGCCCCAACTCTCTATCTGGGTTGCTCTGCTGACGTTGGCAATTTCCACCGTCCTTGTCGCCCTCAATGCCGAGTACTTGGTTGATTCGATCAACGCCATCACCTGCGGCGGCGGCATCTCCAAGAACTTTGTCGGTCTCATATTACTTCCCATTGTTGGCAACGCTGCGGAACACGCAACTGCGGTCACAGTGGCTGTCAAAGACAAGATGGATTTGGCCATCGGTGTGGCTGTCGGTTCCAGCATGCAAATTGCACTTCTCGTGCTCCCATTCGTGGTTGTTTTGGGCTGGATTATCGGCAAAGACGACATGACCTTGTTCTTTGATGGCTTCCAGATCGCTGTCTTGTTCGTGGCGGTCTTGCTTGTCAACTACTTGATCAGTGATGGCAAGTCACACTATCTCGAAGGTATCTTGCTCATGACCCTGTACATCATCATAGCGGTGGCCGCCTGGTTCTATCCTACCGCTCCGGGCCTCAGCGACTGCCCGGCATGATTTCCTTTCTATGTTACGCTATTCGAATTTCCCTCTAGACCGGGTTTGAGAGCGATCTATTTCACGTCAATTCGGCGTAGGACGTCGACGAAGCTTGGTGGTTTACGTCTCAAAAAAAGGCCAATACAGCTTTTTAATCAACTTTCGTTGTGGTACATGCTTGGAATTTGGAGATTTGAAATTCACGGCTCAACAAGCCGTATCACCTCCCCACACGTTCAGTCGCTATTCATTTGAGCGACAGTCTCGATCCCTGCCGGCTATCTCGGATTCCAATTTCCTGGTATGTGACCGAGCCACATGTCAGGGTCATTTCAAGCCCGTTCAAAGGCAAATCCCGACTCAAACATTGACTCGCCTCAGAAGCGGTCACAACTCATCCTATAGCCGGCTCGGCAGGCAGACTTCACCAATATGTCAACCGAGTGGCTAAATGGCAGCCACCAAGGACCGTCTCTGGTACCGCAGATCTGGAAGGTTCAGCCTCTACAGCGATTCAGGGGCTGCCATTGGGAGTGTCTAGACGGGGGTGATCGCAAGATACATTTGGTAGCAGAGAGTACTTGGCCCTCATCTTGTTAGGAGGGCTATTGGAACGGAGGCTGTTGAGCTGTGATACTCGAAGGTTGGTGGTGGAATACATTACGGCAAAGCAAAGACAAATTTGCTTGTCAACAGCCTCGAATGAGCTCCTTTGCTCTGAAGAGAGGCCAGTGGACCCCGGATGGGAGATAGACATGAAATGTAGGCTCGTAACTTCAGCCTCCAACACAAAAAATGAAAAGACATGAAAAAGGTGTGTGTCTTGCTTCGAAATGAATGTCATCTGTGCGGGGTCTCCGTGGCAAGAAGCAAAAGGGCGTCCCAGCCTTGTCTGATGCGAGGCTGCGACAGACACCCCGCCATGATGCGAATTCGGAAGGTCGATGACCTCGGTTGACGCTGGGCTTCTCAGCTTACAACGACAAATCTATCATCCAACAGCTTATTGTTTACGTTATCAAACGCGGCCTCGCCATTGGGTCTTTGTACTCCCGTTTCCGGTAAGCGCCAGAGACCTCTGAACATTCCGTGTGCCCCATACGCGCCGCTTACCCAAACCTCGTAGCCTCGCGTTTCCCTTTGTCTCGCTTTTATTTGAGCCCTTTCTGCCTGCTGGAAAAACAGAGGGCCTGCCCGCTCTTTGGGTGGTAGCATAAGTCAGAGCACGGAGAAAACAACGCATTTCCCATCAATGGTGAGTCTCGGTGGCAGGACCACCGTAGCCAAATATCTCTTCACCCGCCTCCGCCAGCAGGGCGTGCATGCCATCCACGGCGTCCCGGGCGACTTCACCCTCAAGGCCCTCGACTACCTCCCCCAGGCCGGGGTGAAATGGGTCGGCACCTGCAACGAGCTGAGCGCCGGGTACGCCGCGGACGGGTACGCACGGGTGCGCGGCCTGGGCGCGCTGCTCACGACGTACGGCGTGGGCGAGCTGAGCGCCATCAACGCCGTCGCGGGCAGCTTCAGTGAGCATGTCCCCGTGGTGTCGATCGTAGGCACCCCGCAGCGCCGCTTGCAGGACGAGAGGAAGAACGTCCACCACACTCTCGGCGACGGCCGGCCGCGAGTGTTCGCCGAGATCGCGAGGCACGTCACGGTCGCGCAGGCCAACCTGGTGGACGAAGCCAGCGCGGCAGAGGAGATCGATCGCACGATCGAGGCTGCGCTGAGGGAGAGCAGGCCGGCGTATATCGAGCTTCCAGCGGATATGGTGGCCAAGGAGGTGGACAGCGCGAGGTTGGAGGAACCGCTTCCCTCGCAGACCTCGACTGGTGGCGACGATGAGGACCGCGAGATGAGACTTGTGGACGATCTCATGAAAAGGATATATGCCGCCAAACAGCCCCTGCTGCTCGTCGACAGCGGCGGCGGCGTCCGGCAATTGAGGAGCGAGATCAACGACTTTGTCAGCGCCTCCGGGATTCCGACCCTGTGCATGCCCTCCGGGAACGGGATGGTTGACCATTCACTCCCCAACTACTATGGCGTCCACTCTGGCCCTGTCGGACAGATTGACACCATGCCATATGTCCAGGGCGCGGATCTGGTGATTGCCTTTGGGCCCATGTTCTCCGACACGCAGACGCTGTCGTGGAAGGTCGTCCCGGAGCCTGCGAAGACGATTACGCTGGCGAAGAATTCCATCCACGACCCTACCAGTCCTAAGAGCGGGGGGACAAAGACGGACAGGATCGAACTGAGGCGGTTTCTCACGCGACTGACGCAGCAGATTGATCGTTCGAAGACTGCTTCGCCCGACGTGGCATGTCTCGGAGACTTCCGCACAGTCCAGCCGCCCGCGTTCGCCCAGGCGAGCGTCGACCTCGACGCCCCCATCGACCAGACGTCCTTCTACCTCCGGCTCAGCGCGTACCTCCGCCCCTACGACGTCGTGGTCCTGGGCAACGCCACGCCGATCCTGGGCGGCCGGGACCTGGTCCTGCCCACGGGAGCCCAGATGATCGCCTCGGGTCAGTGGTTCTCGATCGGCCACATGCTGCCTCTCACCATGGGCGCGAGTCTCGCCCGCCGACATCAACACCAACACCAGCGAAGACGCCGACCACACGAGACAGAAGCAAACAGTGGAGGTGGGGGAAGAACAATCCTCCTCGACGGCGACGGGGGCTTCCAGGTCACCGCCCAGGAGCTGGGGACCATGATCCGCTACAAGATCCCCGCGACCATCTTCCTGGTCAACAACGCCGGGTACGCGTACGAGCGCCAGATCCACGGCATGCACGAGGACTACAACGACCTCGCGCCCTGGCGGTATCAGGACCTGGCCCGCACGTTCGGCGCGAGCGAGGCCCAGCTTTCCGCCACCGCTCCACGCCGAGCGTCCGAGGAGACCGTGGATGATGGCGATGACGACTATTACCCCGTGCGCAACTACGAGGTCGCAACCTGGCGGCACCTCGAGCAGTTACTCGCCAACGAGCAGTTCTGTCGGGGCCGCGGCCTGCACTTCGTCGACGTGAGGCTGGGCAAGTTCGATGTGCCCGAAAAGTTCAAGGTCGTGTTCCAGAGGGCCGGAGAGTCGTTGGGGTAGAGTTACTCAGATCCTGGGAGAAAGAAGAGGCGGGAGAGAGGTATATATAATGTCGAGCTAGACAGATAGTCGGTTTAAATGATCTTTAGATGACAACGCGACCGGAGTATGACTACTCGTTCAAGTCTGGTCCGGTGTCGAGGCTAGCGTGGATGAGGCTGAGCGCCGAGAGCAGCCCCCTGGTTGCGTCTTCACTCTTCATTCGCTATTTGTGTGGATACTGGAGTGAGGTGTGTAGTAGCCTGGTATCGACCATGGCTCTCACGTCTCTCGACATCATTTTCGAGCTTTTCGATCTTCTTGAGGGCATCGAGGATATATCCCAAAAAGTAATGATTATTTCGGACACCAATTTTGGAACTGACACGAGGGCAGTCGTGCCCCTACGTCCACCACGAAATAACTATTTAGACGGGGGCTATACCAGCCAACACGTCACTGCCAACCATGACCGTGTGCACACCCATCAAGCTCGACAGCTCGAAAACTTCCATGATCTCCTCGGGCTTCGCGCCGTACCGGACGGCGTTGCGGATGTGCAGCTTCAAGCCCGGCACGTACAGGTGCGTCGTGGCGCAGTCGATGGCGCAGTAGATGAGTTCCTTCATCTTGGGGTCGAGGCCCCGCGACGACGGCTGGGCGTCGTCCCGGGTGCGAAAGGGATAGGACGAAAACTCGGTGTAGGCCGCGAAGAAGAGGGGGTCGAGGCGGAGGACGGGGTCCCAGCTCGCGGACCAGTAGCCGCGCCTGGCCACGAAGTCGGCCTTCAGCCGCTCGCGCTCGGCGTCGAGCGGGTCCGCGCCCGTGGTGCCGTCGACGGCGGCGACGACGCCTTCTTCCCGCAGAACCTCGTTGAGGAGGGGCACCCCGACGCTGACGGCGTGGATCCCCAGCACGGACGACAGCTCCAGGACCTCGAGGATCTCGTCCCGCGTCGCCCCGGCGTGCAGGGCCGCCGCGGTGTGGGCCTGGATCCCCGGGGTGAACATGGTGGTGCACGACGCGCTGGTGCTGAGGAGGATGAGCTCCTGCGCCTTGCGCGACAGGTGCTGGTTCCGCAGAGGGATCGCGCGCAGCTTGAGGTAGACCGAGAAGTAGCCCGGGTCCAGGGCCAGGACGTTCTCCCACGACGACGACCAGATGCCGCCATCGGATATGAATTTGGATTTGAGGGTTTCTTGTTCCGGGGAAAGCATGGTGGCTATAGATCGCGGCGACGATACTTGAGTTTCTCTTCGTCCTTCGTCTGGTACCAAAATGTCTTTATATTTGCACTCGACGTGATGCAGAGAGCGCAGGGCAATGGCGAGACGGTCAAGGCAAGACAGCGAGTAGGTTCGAGTATCTCCCCGTCAACCCATGAGGTCGGAGCTCGACCTATGTATTCTGGCTAACCACGATGCTCGTAGGGTGGGGTTCGCGTTACCCTCGGCAAGCATTCTCCACGCAAGAGGTCGAATCCAATCCAACCGCAAGTTGAATTCACAGCATAATGCTGCGTATTTGCTCCAATTTCGTCTGGTTCACGCAATTCACGGACTTTCTCGGCAGGAGCGAGGCATGACCTTGTCGTGAGAGGATGCGCAAGGTTGCGTTGATGTGACCGTCCCGATTCGGCATTCTGCTCTCTTATAACTATTCAATGTGGAGAGACACCTTTTTCCTACAACCACCCATCAACGCAAGAAGCTTACAGTGTACTGCGGCCCGTATCATGGTAAGGAGTTCCCTTCCCTGCTTCAAACATCCCTGTTGATCGGCCATCCCCTCCAAGCCGCCCTCGCGGCTTTCGATTTCCGAGGAATTGATGCTTCGATTCCAGGCTAGTCGTATGTAGGTAATAGCTCGAGTATATGTAGATGACGGACGACGTGGCGGAATTTGACTATCTGTACGAGTCCATGATTCAGCCTGACGAGAGTGAGACCGAGCGCGCCTCGAGGAGCCCCTATCTGCATCCTGACCACCTATCCGCTATTGGAGTGGAAGCTCCCATTGTCGTACCCCCGATTCCCTCGCCTGCTCCGCTGCCGCAGTCCTCTCTTGCTCCGTGACGCCCCAGGCGAAAGGTCCGTCGTCTATCACGGTCGTCCTGCGCACGTCGCGAGCCGTCATGCTCTCGGTGTATGGATTGGCACGGTGCATCGACTGCCTATGTGACCGCTTGCGTCAGCTGCTTCTATCCAGCCCCATCTAGAGCGGTGTTGCGACCCAGCAAGCGAGGACACCTTTTCGTCTCCACGCTCATCTCAAGCTCTGGAGTAAATGGTTGAGAACGCAACGCGGACAAGAGAGCGAAGAGAGTTCACATTCAGGACATTACATAACATACCGGTTATCCCACCAGACCATGTCGCCGCCGTCCAGCCATTCCATGCTGAACACGTACTTGGGCTGCGTGCACCACTCGATCAAATCCCAAAGAAGTTTTTGGCTTGCTTCCAACGACCAGCCCAGGATGAGTCTGGCGTGGGCGGCGAGGAAGAGGGTCTTGCGCCCGCCACCGGGAGCTTGCTGGACCAGCTTGTGGTACGCTGGAGGTTTGGCCGCCCGTTCATGCGGGAGAGGCTCCTTGAACGTCGTCGGGGATCCTAGGCGTCGTGAATGCCAGAGGCTTGCGTATCAACGAAGAGATCAGCCATGTGGTCGTCACATCGTGTCTTTGCTCTTCTGGGTTCACGAAAAATCGAAGAACCCATATATAGAAGCAAGAGAGTCACAAAGGGGTCGAGAGAAAAAGCCATACTCATGCTCCACGACCAGGTCCTCCAGCATGTCCTTCATCGATTGCGGGAGATCTTCATACGCCTGCCGCGTGTCGGCGAAGTGTGTCCAGGATCCGCCTCGTACCGGCTTCCCGTGCGATAGGAGAAGGGAATATTTTGAGCGTTCTTGGTGGTATGAGGAGTCCTGTCTCAACAACGTCATCAAGCTGATCATCAAAATGATCACCAACCTCATCCGCACAATCATGCGGAGGCTCAGCGCAGATGCACAGACGGCCGGCTTCCCAGCAGGTAGTTTACTCCATTTGTTTTTTCCCCATCTCACCAAAAGGAAGAGCATCCACTTACGGTATGCCAAAGCGCATTGCCGAGACTATGGTGCCACCTGCGAGAGTTCGGCTTTACCAGAGTCCCGTCACGATTGATACTGCAGTTTTCGGCGGAATCCAGTCAGCCTGGAAGAAAAAGCTCCCACCAGAGAGTAGCGGCACACTGGTAGCTACTTCTCTATAGATTCAAAACTTGGGGGAGTACTGGAGAGAGTAATATATACTTGCTGACATCCCATAGATAAGGATCTCCTATCCGGTCCTGCTCGCGGCCGTAGAAGAACGGGTTGATTTCGAGCCTCTGTCCCAGTTGCTGTGAGAAAGCGACGTGTCGGGCGTTGTCGAGGCCCGTTTTGCGGAAGATCAGCACGGCGTATTCGTCTTGCAGGCCTTTTAACTGAAGAAGTCGTCAGCTCACTCCTCCGAGACCAGAAAATATCGTGGTGGGCAAAAGTGCGAGATAGAAGCAAGCAGCGGATGAGCAGGGGTGAAAGGGAAGGATTCTTTGTCTCACCTGTTCGATCACTTCTTCCGGTACTGGCTGAGTCCAGTCTACCCCTTCCACCTCCGCTCCAAAGGGTGCTCGCAGTCCACCGCCCATCCTCGTATCATCCAGCACCGGCGTAACCGTGAGCGTTCCTTTTCTGAAAGCTCTGGGGGCTGCTGGCGTGTGTTCCTCCGGTTGATCGCGTTCTTCGGCACCTCGGAGACGGAGCGTCAGGTGTAAGTCCGCCGCCGGGGATCTGTGCGTGTATACTCTCGGAAGGCTATAGATAGCACTAGGCATGGTGGGAGTGGCCATTTGAGAAAGTGTCGAGTTGAGGCTGATGTTGATTGTAGGACTGACTTTTGGCTAATTTGCACGAGATGTCTCTTTGGATCTGTCGAGAAGATATTGATGTGCCCGAAATAGTGAGGCCCGTGTATTTGCAGGATTGTTCTCTTGGGGCACATCAATGCAATACATGGTGAAGCGTCATTGGTCGAAAGGCTGTGTCCACATAGTCGGATAGCCCGATAGCGAGCCGACATGCTATCGGCATGGAGCCGACGTTGCAGATTAGTCGCCATTACACCATCTCCTCTAGAATTTGGAAGAGGAAATAACCCATCCGATGGATGCTGCAGAGATGAAATTTGGCTCTTCTCCTTGTTCCTTGTTCTAGTCTCTCGGACGATACCACCCATGCAGCCCATCCTATATTCAGGGGGAGGACTTCATAGCTACTGCTATCGAGAATTCCAGGGAGCTGATCTGACTCGATGTTCTCTCATTTACCACCAGAAGCTCACCTAGCAGTGACAAACTGTTTGAGACTGAAATTTTGGTCTGTGTGGTGGAGTGCAGGACATCACTTTGGACTTATCTAACGGTGGAAACAGATTCTGCTTCCGGTCGGATGACTTTCAACTCAAGGACCGGTCTGGGTCAGATAGGATACGTGGCCTCATGGGATCAGTGCCTCGGAGAATGGAACGTCGTGAACATAGTCCCTAAGCCCTGAAAGTTGAACCACTGGAATGGATGGCCGCCCTCAAATCGAAGGGGTCCCGCAGATATTCCAATCCTCTGCGAGGGCTGGCCAGTCAAAGCCCGGATCCATCATCTGGTCGAACAAAGACTGCATGCCCGTCGTGTCGACCTCCTGACCGTGTGTCCGAGCCTCACAGTCCTCCGTCAACAGCAGTAGAACGCAATCCTTGACGACGGCCTGGAGCTCTTGCGCAAGTCGAAAGGTGGAAATTTGGCAGATCGCGTCGAAAAGGTCGAGGGCCAATCGTAGGAACCGTGCAAGAAGTGATATCGACCGAGGTGACCGCGGGGCCACATTTTGAGGTGAGCTTGCGGACATGAGGCGTCGCAGTCGTAGCTCGTCTGTTCATGACAAGAGTCAGTCGGTACTATTCGAGCGTGTCCTAAGATGGAGAGAGCAATATAAATACCATCGACCAGTCCTTTCACGTAACAAAATGCTAGAAAAGTCACGGCAAAGGTATACGAGACCCACATGGAGTCTACGGCGTAGCTCAGGCGCTCGAGGGTGGTTTGGTCAACAACAAATCGCTCGGCAGGGACTGTAGACGCGTCTTGCGAGCTGATCCTCCATACGTAGTCATGGCCGAGGGTTGACACACAGAATATGATCTGCATCGCTGCCGTAAGGCTAGTTTCCAGAGCTTCGAGGACCCACACATGTGATGGCTGTGAATCCTCTTGAGTGATTGAGGTCAGATAGGGACCCAGGACAGCACTGTTGAGCGCAAGGCGACACCACTGATGTTAACGTTAGTCCGCTGTATGAAGCATTGACATGAAGCTATTACCCGTAGCGAAGTGAAAGGCAGATGAACATGCTGGAAATGAGTAAATCCTATAGATACTTAGGATCGTCCAGTCAGCATCAGAGGATGATAGCTCTTACGAAGGATCGGACTCCAATGCCTGTTGGGTCGGGTGTGAGAATTGACATTGCATCAAAGCGCAGGCTTGTGAAGGCAGCTTACCTTTCCCATTCATCACACGCCACATTGAATTTTCGAAGGCTGGCAGCATTCAACCGGCGTGCTGAAAACTCCTTGTTGGTCTCGAGAGCACTGTGTGATATGCCGACGAGCTCCACCAGCGCTGCATACCGCAGATCATTAGGCTGCTGTGCGGTAGGCTGGACGCCAAAACTCCGGGCGATGCTGACGCCTTCAGTCGGGTCAAGGGTTGCGGGAAGGGCAGAAGACAGCATCAGATTCCAGTCACATGTCAGAAGGTTGTACCAGATCCTCAGCCGCGCCATATCGTCTTGAGTGGCGGCTGTTTGAGGCCTTGTGAAAGGGGCAATGGCGTCTTTTGCCAGATTGAGCATCGTCGCGTACCGGGCAGCCAGTCCAAGCACGGCCCAAGCGCTTATATCATTGTAACGACTGGAAGGTCGTTTAAATCTCCTTTCATGGTCGTGGTCATTCCGGTCTTGGTAGCCTTGCCTACTGTAAGGCATCCACTGCGCATATAGTAGCAGGACGACCACAGAGTCAAGGTGGACATCGCGGGGTGTGGGTCGTAGCAGCAGCCGTGATACTGCTTTGTCAAGCAAGACAGCCAGCTCGGAGCATTTAGGATGCAACGTTGGCCACCCGCGCGGACTACCCTCTGTCAGCGCGATTGAGGCCCATGAAGCAACTGCTGACTTACAAGGCACTTTCAGGGAGCCAGAATCGAGTTCCAATCGAGCAGAGAGCCAGGAACAACATTGGTCTGTTGGCTCTCAATAATTCCGGCTGAGATCGCAGTCCTTCGCTTAATACTGGCGCCATGGGGTGACAGTGGTTGAAGAATCTAAGCACGGGTTTGTGTCAATGTACGGCCAAATTGGTGCACAAGCCGCTCTCACATGTTGATTGCCTGGCAGGCTTCAGCCATCGTCAGGACGCCGTTGAGGATGGGATCTAAAGGCCAACGGTGTTGTGTTGGCACAATGCCCATCCCACTGTTCTGCGCATTGCTGGAGGATTCCCGAAGACTTTGATTTCCGTGCATGGCTCCGAGGCTCCGAAGTGTTGATATAGGAGGCCCTAGATCGACGGCGTTCATGTCGAGGATTCTTTGATTGGGATCCCTGGAACTCTGGTCCGTGGACGCCATCGGCCCATCATTCCTAGGCTCACCGGCATTGTAACCATCCTGACTGCTGATTGTGGATGGGCTGGTGCGTGTTAGACGTCGAGCTTCAACATCTGTATCGCGACCACTCACTTAGGACTGAGAGCATGAAGCCGCAAACCATCATCCTGCTGAAGCGGACCCTGTGCTTCGAGTTCTGCTAGGCGACGCTCGTGATTGTTCAAGCTTTTGCCATAATCAGACCGCAGCGTTCAGCTCGAGAAACAATGAGGACATTTACCGGGCTTGAATATTTGAAAGCAGATTGGCATCCGCATTCGCCCCCTGGAGGGAAATTGTCGGATCCTGCTGTTCGGTCTGAAAGGAGCAGGGGACATCATGGCGCTTGCATCGCTTGCAGGCTGCACCCAAAGAGGCATGTTCCTCAGCGGGTAAGCATCGTTGCTTTCGTGCACGACACTGGGCAAATGTCTGATATCAGAGCTGACTCCGTCCGGAAGGAGCATTCATGATTTACCTGTAAACAAGCTCGAGCAATGCGACGAGTCTTTGTTGGGGGTGTTTCTTCCAAAAGATGACTGCTGCACGTAGTTAGTCCTGCTGTTCGGCTGGTCTGTCTCGGGAAGATGAAATGCGTAGATACATTATGCTCGACCAAGTTGCACTTACTTAAAGCGGGAAGCATCTCCCTCCATCGTGCCGTCTGCTGCAGTGCCTGGGGAGTGCTACCCGCCGCGAGGCCACAAGTCCGAAATCTCAAGTCCTAGGCAATAGTGGCAGTGAAGACTAAGCTAGAGGGGGTTCTACTGTGCAGAAAATGGCCCTGGAATGGACAGGAGATGTTGTCTGTCAGGATAACGGAATTGTTATCGTAACCATCGCCCCTTATCGCGGTGGTGGGGCGGTCAGGAAGTCGCCAAAAAAAGCCTCCAAGCCTCCACTATTAAGTTGGATATCAAATGTTTCTAGTACGGGAGATATATACGAAGTATAGTTTCTCTAATGCCCTGGCACCTGTCTGGGGGAGTTCGATGGACAACCCCCATATGGCTCCAGTGTCACCTTAAACTACCTCACCGTATGCTGTTTACTCTTCTTGACGATCCTTCCATCCCTACTATTCAGGCGCTGTCTCTGATTTTCTGCCAAAGAGTCTCGTGTTCGAACTGAGGCACAGTCGATGTCAGCACAGGCGGAAGTCAAACCGAGAACAAAACTCACCACATTGCTAATATCTTCTGATGCACCCGTGACCAAATCAAAGTCCTCGTACTTTACGATCCCGCTCTTCTTGTAGATCTTGTAGCCGAAGAGCAAAACCGCAAAGAACGGGATTGGAAAGTACGTGGTGATGAACGAGGACGTGTCGAACTTGTGGATGAAAGCGCCGAAGCCACCAAAAATGAGGACAATCACACACACGGCTATTCCATAGTAGCTGAGGTAAGGCTGTAGTGGTGCACGATAGGGCAGAGACTTGCGGTCAAAGCCGTTGACTTTCAACCCTTTGTGCCAGCGGATACTGGTCCAAAGTATCCCAGACCACGAAATGATACCGCAGATTGCGGTCATATTCGAAACTGGAGAGTAAGAAGACATGTCAGAATATTGTTCGTATAGAATCTGAGTTTGGGACATACAATAACCAAATGCCGTCCCTGCTTTTCCCTTGCTAGCTGCCATGAATGACAGTAGGGAGAAGGCGGCGCCAACAAGCACAGCGACCCACGGCAAACCATCTTGACGTGTCCACCCGAGAACCTTGAAAGCGTGGCCACGAGAATAAAGGCCGTACAGTGTGCGGGACGACACAAAAAGGTCGGCAACCGCAGCAGACCATGCGCTGGTGAGAAGCGCAGCGTTTACCACCGACGGAAGGGCATTGATGCCGGCATTCTGCAGCGAAATTATGAGCTTCGTGGTCAAGGCGGAGCTGTGAGAGGGTTGCTACCTTCATTGCAATGACAAAAGGACTCTTTGCCGCAGTCGAGGACAAATCCAGCGACGGGTCGGTGGGAGAAACCAGCAGACCAATCTGTGAACAAGTGAGTATCACACCAGATATTTCTCAGATTGAACCCACCATGAAAGCGCTGATGATGTAGACTGTGGGTGTGTCAGTAGTTGGTGGTAATTTTGAGATCACATAGATATTGAGACAACTCACACAAGCAGAGACGGATCCAGACACCCTTGATCGCTCGTGGAACTGAGCGTTGAGGCTTGAAGACGTCAATATAGTCCGCCATACCCTCGATTCGGACTGAAACTCACATTTGCCGTCTCCGCAGCAGCAATGGCGGTGATTTCTGTGCCAATAAAGGCAAATGCGGCACTGATGAGCACTATGAGTACTTCGTGAGAATGTGTTCCTTGACTGGATGGTCATCGTAGCCAGCCTACCGCTAAAGAATCCCAAGAATCGGCCCTCTGCGCCAGCTGTATTTTCGGAATATCATTAACTCCAGAGGAACAGCCTGGTAGTCCCTTCATTGATGGCGACTTACGGATGCCTGCATACTGAACAAATCCGCCTGTCTCATGCCAGTATCGAAACCCGATTGCATCGTGATCAGGGCCACCTCCGGAGGTGATGACAATGCCGGCAATGATCAAGCCCACGATCGTGATGACCTTGATAGAAGCAAACCAAAACTCGAGTTCACCAAACACACGGGTTCCTGCCAGGTTGATGGCCCACTGGCAGTCGATTGTCAGAGCGAGTACCCGAGGTACAGGTAGAATAACGAGCTTACCACCACGATGAGCATTAGTCCAACCCACATGGCATTATTGCAGATACCCGTTGTACATGTCGAGTCCGGTTGGCCAGCAGGTGTCCAGTATGAGATGATAACTGCAGCTGCAGATATCTCGGCGGGAAGCACGACTTCGTACGTCAGTCCGCCGTCAAGTGTGAAGAACGTGCTTCAACCTACTAATGTAACTGTAGCCGGGTGAGTATGTGAACGCGGACAGTATGCAGAGACTTGGCCATACTTATACCAATAAAGCCAGCCCATCGCAAAGCCCAGCTCGGGAGCAACAAACCGGCTCGCCAACGCGAACTGACCGCCGGGAATGGGAAACTTGGACACCATCTCGCCCAAAGCGACCTGCGAGGAGTCAGGTACGAAGAACCGCAGAGGAGACCCTGGCACGTACCATGACCGAGAACAATAGCGAGGCCATAAGACAGTATGCGATCAACAGTCCTGCCGGGCCACCGTTCGCCAAGTTGTTTCCCGTTCCAAGGAACAGACCGGTGCCCTTGAGACATCGTCAGAATATGGTAACACAGAACGTACAACCATCGATACTCACAATAACACCGCCTATTGCGATCATTTGCCTAAGAACGTGAGTCATTCTGATGATGCCGCAAACACAGGTATCTCCACGAACATGTGACGAGGCTGCAAGATGCAGAAAACCAAAGTTAGCAATCCAGTTGATATTCCTTCGGGGCATAGTGCTAGGCCAACAACGCACCTTGAGCTGCCTGTGAAGACCGTTGACTTTGGTGTCAGTCACCGTCCCTTCTTCGGCACTGCTTGCGGGCTCATCCACAGCAACCATGTCAGGTTCCTTCCCAATGGAAAGCTTGGGCTAAAGTCGCAAGAGAGCACGTCAGAACTATTCCCTCGGTGCCGCAAACATGGGTCTCAACACGCTCACCTCGTCGGCCGCCATTGTCGTTTGCAAATGCGGACGGTGTACAGAAAACCTGAGGTCAGTGAGAGTGCTGCGCAACTGCTTAATCTATCACAATGTCTAATCAGACAGCCCCATTGATTTGCGCCAGGGGCCAAGGGATTGATATGCTATAAAGTCCTGGTCGAAAGGGCCTCGCCTCGCACATGTCTTGGTGGCCACTGTCGAAGTGTTGCTAGTCTTCGGAGACGAGCCGACGAGCCGCATCAAACAGGCGATAAGAGGACCACGCCATGAACCTCATGTTAAGGGCGTTGACAGGCGCACGAAGCTACGCGCTCTCAGGGGGTTGGATCATAAACTGGCTGTCAGAAGGTGCCCCTGTTGATTGTGTTCAATATTGGGCATTCATTTGCTGGGCGTTTTCGAGAAGCTGATAAGGGTGGACCCATGGACGGGAACACAACGCCAGCTACAAGAGGTGGCTGCCGCACAATGCCGATCTTGCTCAAATGCTTGGAGACTAGAGCTCGTTTGCGTTGTCGGTACGTTTCCGCTGATGCCGACAGATACAACAACGACGTCTCGGTGATGTGTTATGCGGGCAAAGCGTCGCGTTCAATGCATGGTCTGCATCGGCGACGGGCTGTGGACAGTCTCTTCATATTCTAGGACCCTGCTGTGTTCTTAAGCTCGTCTGTCTCAGTGCGCATCCCGACCAAACTTGGCCCTCGATTCGAACCATGCGCGAACTGAGGCCGGGGTTGTATGGCCCGTTGCCTACTTTCTTTGATGACGCTCAAGAACTCGACCTCGTCAGTTACAAGAAGCATCTCACTGGTACGGTCTAGAGCAAATTCCCTGTTGAGAAAATGCTCAGGCTGATGAAGTACAACACTGTCAGATCTGGCAACAAAAGGCATCAGTCAGTCTGCAACCCCAAGGTCTTACGATGGCCGGTGGCGATGCTGACAGGAGATATCAGTTCCTGTCTGTTCAGGCTCCCTGGGAGAAGGTGCCCATCTGGTAGGTTCCCTTCGTCCCGAGCTCGCTGCACCAAATAACTTTTGGCCGGTACTCAGGACCCATCGGAGCGGCAGACCCTGATTGAAGTCACCCGCCAGACTCTAGATGAGTTAGGCTTGACATCGACAGCCATTGTTGCTGGAGTGGGTGGGCTAAGCACACGGGAAACAACTCGGTTGTGTCGGGATGCCGCAGCTGCCGGGGCGTAAGGCTGTGTCATAAGACTGCTCCTCTCTCACGAGGTCCATTGACATGATCCAGGGACGCCGGGCTTGTGATACTGCCGGCCTACTACGCCGCAAGCCTAAACTCGGATCACGAACAGATTGTCCAGTACTACGTCGACATCTGTGAAGCATCTCCGGTACCAGATACCTCACTGAGATGGCGTTGATCTGGCTGACGGCTCCCCAGATTCCATTGTTTCTCTACAACTTCCCAACAAACGCAGCAGGGCTTGACATGTCGTCAGAGATCATTGAGAAGATCATGAGACGGGCACCAAACTTGTGCGGTGTCAAATTAACGTAAGTCAAGTCGCCCTGCCTCTCTGCCACGGGTGGATTAATCCCTTTCGTATGCAGATGCGGCGGCAGTATCGGCAAACTTGTGCGACTGAAAGCAGCTCAAGATGGATTTCCGACAGCGATACCCACCCGCGTTTTCCCATTCCTTCTCCTCGATGGCCTGATTGGAGACCTTACCGCGTGGAAGGCGTGTGGTGGCCATGGGACCGTGAGCGGAATCCCCAACTTCGCCCCACGAGCGTCCGTGAGGCTTTGGGAACTCCTGAATATATCATCACCGACGCGAGAGGAAGTGTTAGAGAAGGAGAAATTGCAAGCCATCTTGTCGCGTGCGGATGCGATTGCTGTCCCGGCGGGTATCCGGGCAATGAGTAGGTGCTCCCAATGAACGAAGCAAGCACCTCCTGACGGACCAAAATCGGGTTTACCCTGCATTACTGACCGACGGCTGCACAGAGTTTGTTTTGCACAAGGTCCATGGCTACGGCAAGGTGCCACGTCGACCTCTTTTGCCATTGACGGAGGACGAAGGGCAGTCGTTTCTCTCCGCCTTGGGCGAGCTGCTTGACACGGAGCGCGAATACCAACAACGCGCATGAAAAAGGAGACTACAGAAATAGATGAAACCTTTGAATAGATGGCATGGGCGGCTTGATCCATTGTGTTCAGGGGGAAATGACGTTCAAAAGATACAATTCAACGGAACAGGTGATGCAGAAGACCTTCCCAACTCTCCTTTAGGGTCTCTGAAGTCTTTTCGACGTCACTGATGAGGTCAGATTCGAGATCACAAAGTCACAAACCTAGGCTGCCATGATGGGATCTCGTACCTAAAGGTGGTCCCTACTTTGGGGGCGAACATATCGTTATTTCAAAGACGGTGAGGGAAGGTTTCAGATCCCAGGGACCTCTGACCACCCTCTGGCTCCAGGCCGCCTAGGGCGAATGGACCCTCATTTGCTAGTAATCTGAAAATCCAAGCACGGGCCGTATGTGGACTACCGCATGCATTGGGTATCTTCTGCAGGTTTGAATATTCGTCAACCGGTTTGTATTCTCTGCCGCAAAGACCAAAGTAAGTGGTTCAAGGCACAAGTAATGCATTCCGGCGGCAGCGTCTAGAAGCTCGTGTCAAAGCTTGCTCTCCTCTCCAGCATCCTGCCCAAAGACGATGATCTTGTGCTTCGATTTGTGCCACTTGTGAAGGATCGCACGATAGAATGGGTCGGCGTTGCCAGCAACGCTCGCGAATCCGCGTCCTCCTCCTCTTCATCATAATCGGATTCGTCGCTCGACCCCGGAACAAAGATAGCTGCCTCATCTTTGTCCATATCCTCTTGTTTCTGCAGGCGGGGCAGCTGAGCCGGCCAAATAAGCAAGGCAGATAAAAAGGAGAAGACGATGCCCATGAGAAATGTCGCTTTCAAGCTCGACGCATACGCATCAATGACCTGTTTCTTGTGCACGGGGTCCAAATCTCGGATTGCGCGGATCGATTCCCTGACAGTACGAATGATATCTTCTTTGGTGGCTGCATCCGGTGCTGTGACGTATCTGTTCAGGTATATTGGCAGCGCATTCTGCAACACCCAGCTGCTCAAGGCCACACCCATAATAGAGCCAAGGTTGCGAATGAGACCGAGTGTGGTGGTTGCCACCGCTTGGTCCTCCTGAGAGTTGAGGGCTAAGACTGCAATAGTTGCGGCCGGGAAGAAGAATCCTTGGCCAATCGAGACGAAAGGAATGAGATAAGGGACAAGCGAGGTAGGTGTGTCTGCAGACAAGCACGCTACAGCCACGGCGCCACAAAGTCCCATGATTGAACCCAGCACCATCGGAGGCTTCATCCGTCTTGTGAGAGTGATGTAAGCTCCTGCCAGGATGGCGGTGATGCTAGCGCCGACCAGAGGAGGAACGAGATAAAGGCCCGAAATCGTAGGCGAAGTTTGTCGGACCGCTTGGAGGTAGAGCGGAACATTGAACAAAACGGTATTGACGAGCATCGAGGCAATGAAATTGCTTCCTATGACATTTGCAACGGGTGTTGTCGAGAAAAGCCTCAGAGGTAGGATAGGTCGTTCGGCTCTCCGCTCCACCAGGACCAGGGAGATGCACGCGATCCCAGAGATCACTAGGCTGTTGATAACAAATGGGTGTGTCCACGTGAAAACATTGCCTCCCAAGTTCACCCCGAGAATGAGGCCAGAGACTGTGAGGATCATTCCGATCGTTCCATAAGTGTCGAAGCTCTTGAAGGCCTCGCCGAGCGTCTTCCCTTGAGTCTTCGCCAGATTTGGGCCGAGATTATCAGGGCAAGAAAATATGGCAAGGACACCATAAATGAGGATGAAAGGCAGTTGCAAAAAGAAGGCAGCGCGCCAACCGAAGTAGTCACAGAGAAAGCCCCCTAAGGCGGCGCCCAGCCCGTTGCCTGCTCCATACGCCTGGATTGATGACAGTGTTAGCAGACAAGTAGCTCAAGCTTTGAGAGCCGGACTGGGCAGGACAAGAGCGGTGGATGCCCTAGAGGTGGAACGTACCAAGTTGAAATAACTCTGATAGATGCCTCTGTACTCGATTTTGACAATGTCGCTCGTCAATATTCCACCGAGGGCAACCACGCCACCGGCGCCCAATCCACTTACCGCCCTGGCGGCGATGAAGCTGCCAATACTGCCAGCTGCGCCGCACCAAAAGGTGCTGACAAAGAACATGACGATCGCGAACAGCAAGGCCGGCCGTCGACCGACAGTGTCCGAAACGCGGCCGTACACTGGCTGGAACACCGTAGAGGTCAGGTAGAACACGGTACTAAGCCAGGAAGCCGCGTTCGAGGCTTCGAAGTAGGAAGTAATGACGGGATGGGAAGAGGCCATCAGTGTGGTGTCGAAGAATGCAATTGAGCAACCAAAAATTATGCTCCAGAACAGAAAATGAAAACGAGGGCCCGAGATGCAGTCCCGATAGTGAACATCAGAGCGGTTTGTGGGATGCCGGTTGGGAAGCAAACTTGTCGTTTCGGTCGGCTGAGGACCCGTGTGCTCCTCTATCCCGGCTTCGAGGTACGGGCCCGGCGTGGCCACCGGGTCGATCAACGGCCTCTTATCGTCACTCTTCATGGTCAGGCGTGATATTGGGGAAGTAGTTCTTCTGGGAGCAGATCTGTAGTGCAAGGAACAAACACCAGTGACGGTTTCATAGGCAGTTTATAACGATTTTGCCAGTGTGTCAGACGTCATAAAAGAACTTCGAGCGCGGGTTTTTGGTGGCCACAATTGATTCATGAAGCTGAGGGGCAACAACAGAACGCCTGTCGCGTGAGTACTAACATGTGGCGGACATAGGGCTGGAAATAATAGAATGCTGACCATGCCCCATCTGGTGTTCAGCCAGGATTACTGTGCGAATGGCCCAGGTTCTGGCAATAACATAAACAGTGTGTTCTTGCGGAGGCCCTGCTGATGTTCTGATCTCAGAAGTACCAAGGCCCTATGACTCTTCCAAGGCGGCAGCTGCGAATGGCAATGGCTGACCACCAGATTTGCAGATCCCGCTGGGGAAGGACCATACTTGTACTGCGCAAAATCACCCGGTGGCGCGCCTTGGTGCCCCTTGCATTTCGGTCGATAGCCGAGATTCGCGCACGGCCAATAAGAGCCCTGGTGCATTATCAATCAGAGGACGCCAAAGATAGAGAGGATGGAGAAGAGCGATGGGTGGAAGCGGGAGGCGAAGAGGCGATGTCGACTTCAAATGACGCAACTGACTGCCCACGGGCTCCTATATCCGCGATTAGATAATGGAAATGCCAGTTACGCCCTTGATGCGACGCTGGCGCCAATGGCGGCGGTGAAGATCTTGCAGCTTTGACTCTGCTTGAGATAGAATCTCCAGACCTGGAGCCTCACTGTTCTCGCGCGGTGAGGAGGAGAGACAATGAATCTGAAACTCTCTCGAACCCTGCGCATCGCAGTCCTTGAGTGCGATACTCCGCTACCGGAGACCAAGAAAAGGTTTCGTGGTTATGGCGGTGTATTTGAGTTCTTGCTTCGGTCAGGGGCCAGAGCCTTGGGTCGAACCGACTTGGATCCCGACAATAGCCTCGAGTTTTCCTTCTGGCAGGTCGAGTTGAACCCAGACCAGTACCCCGATCCCAATGAGATTGACGCCATTTTGATCACCGGTTCCAGTGAGTCTTGCTCGTCTTGATGTTGCTGCAGTCGTGGAGGAGGGAACGAGAGGTGGACAGCAGGGCCGACTTAGATGCTGTTCTTCTGTAGGCCCTGGGAGCGACGACCATGTAAATGGTTGAGGAGCGACTGGTGCTGATATCTGAGAATCCTTCCAGGACATGATTCCTTCGCAGACACGCCGTGGATCAACAAACTGGTCGACTACACAGCGAAGATTCTGTCAGAAACCACTGTTCGCGTAATCGGCGTGTGCTTCGGCCATCAGATCGTCGGCCGCGCGTTAAAGGCTGAAGTTGGGCGGAATCCTGAGGGCTGGGAAGCAGCAGTGAATGATGTCCAGCTGTCGGAGAAGGGAAAGCAAGTGTTTGGCGTCGATAAAATTGTATGTTGTGTAACCTGCACTAACCCTGGACAACATCCCTGCGCCGTTTTCGCTGACAGGATGACTGGACAGCGCCTCCACCAAATGCACCGCGACTGTGTCTTCTATTACCCAGAAGGCGTAGAGGAGCTTGGATATTCTCCCGTTTGCAAGGTCCAAGCCATGTATGCACCGAAACGGCTCCTGACCGTGCAGGGCCACCCCGAGTTCAACCAGGAAATCATGACAGAAATCATCAACACGCGACATGCAACGGGTATTTTCGACGACAAGGCATATCAGGAACATATGAAGAAAGTGAATCTGCCACATGATGGGTTGGTTGTCAGTCAAGCATTTCTGAAGTTCTTGTTGGAATAGTACGGAGTAGAGATGGAGCGTCTCAAGTTTGAATGCTTTGGATTGATATCGCGCCTTGGCCAATAGAAATAGACCGCCTTTGGGTTGTGAATCTACGCATTTCAATGTGCAAGCTCCACAATGATACTCCTTGTCCGTTTACAAGGGTCCCATCGAAGGACCTCCCGATTCTTCCTTCCATGTGATACATGCAAAGCAGCGGTCTTAGGAAACCATCCTGTCGGCTTCCGCTGCACCAGCAGGTATTCTGCCCTCCGCGAGATCTCTCTCGATTCGTTCAATCTCCTGAAAGCTTTTGGCATTCTGGATCATCATTTCCACTCTCTTCTTCTCTGACTCGGTCAACCTCGTCCGGACACCTTTTTGTGCCGCGGTCGCCTTGCCATTGACACCACCTGTAGAAACGTCAAATGTCCGGCTCTTCAGCCCCTTGATCTTCGTGGCCAATTCGGTGGGTGCTTCGGCAGAGCCAAACAGCTCGTTTGCGCTCTCTCGTTCTGCTTGTCGCACTTTCTGGAAATCGAGGAACCGCAGCGAGGGGATCGACCAGATGAGATAGAGTCTGTAGTGCTGCGGAATGGAATTAACAGCTTTTTCTCATCTAGATCCGTGGTCTAGACTCACCTCTTTCTTTGCTACCGGATTTTCCAATAAACTCAAGTGAGTCAACGCTCCGCAGGCGACCAAACCCTCCAGATCAGCGAGCTCCTTGACATGATTTGCCGTCAGCACGAGCGTTGTCAGGTTGGGTATCTGTTCTGCTATTCTCTTGTCCACGCTTTGTATTCGATTTCGTGCACACAGGAGCGTGTTCAATCGGGGAGAGAGGGGGAAATTGGAGAGGGTGGTAATGTCGTTGTCGGTGAAGTCGATTGCATCTTGCGGGCCTGCAACGCCCAAGTTCTCGATGGTGGGGATTTTATGGCCTATACAGATTGCACAAAGAGAGACGTGTGGTCAACTATGCTCTTGCCCGTTCAGAGAAATCAAAGTGTAGCATCTGCTCTTTTCAGACATACCTCGGAGGTCGAGTTCACGCTCTTTGAGAGGGTTCAGATATGATAGGGAGTTATGAATGAGGTCTGCAGCGAGCCTCATTGCTGCTGCGGGTGTAGTTGCTTCGGGTTGGTTCAGTCTCCCTCGTAGCAGTAAAGTGGTCGCAACTTTGACGTTTTCATGTTTCTGCGGAAAATGTCAAGAAATTTGCGACAAGCATGTGATTGGCCAAGGAAATATTTTCAGCCTCGCCCACAAGGCTGTGTGTTCCACGGTCAAGGGCCACTCTTATCACCGCTACTCTAGCCTGCTCTCCTCGGAAATCCACCTTGTACCATGGGTCTCTCCTTTACCTCGACGGACGCAATCCTGTGGAGATCTCTATTGGCTTGAGACTGAAGGTGTCCTATATCGACACCCAATAACGACAAGGCTGTGCGCACCAACGGAGAGCAAGGACCGAGGTCCCTTGGCAAGCCCGGCACCCCGCAGAAATCATTCTCCGCATAGAAGGGCGCGAGGGATGACCATCTCTTCCCCCCCTGTCAATTTGCAAATTTGTCGAATCAATAGAAAATTCACTTCAGCTCTCCGGTAGAAATATTGCGACAATGGCGACCGAAACCTCACAGACGACAGAGCAAGAGCGAGCCGCTTACCTCATGGACGCACAGACAAAAGCACTCAAACTATTTGAGGAAATCGAACAATCCATAGTCCGGCCTGGTGTCAGTGAGAAACAGCTCAGCGATGAGATCCATGAACTGGGTGCTAAGCGCTACGACGTCAAAACCCATTGGCACAAGCGGGTGATCAGAAGCGGACCGAATACCTTGTTTCCCTATGCTGAAAACCCTCCGGATCGCGTCCTCCAACCCGACGATATCGTCTTCGTGGATCTGGGTCCGGTGTTCGAAGCATGGGAAGCCGATTTTGGTCGTACCTTTGTGCTTGGGAATGACCCGATCAAAGCGAAGCTGCGCGACACTCTAGAACCTTTGTGGGAGCAGGTGAAGTCGCGATTCCAGGCCAATCCGGATATAACAGGCGAGGAACTATATCAAATTGTCTGTGATCTAGCAAAGGAGTCCGGGTGGGAATTCGGCAACTCCCATGCAGGCCACCTGGTTGGCCAATTCCCGCATGAGCGAATCGCCGGGGATAAGGTCGAATACTATATTACCAAGGGCAGTCAGAAGCCGATGAGGCGCACAGGTAAAGATGGGCAGCAACTGCATTGGATCTTAGAAGTCCATCTTGTAGATACTGCCCGCCAGATTGGCGGGTTTTATGAGCAACTCTTAACAGTTGATTGAGATTCGCAGAAACCTGCAGACAAGGAACGGGACAGGGAGGAATGGGATCTTTACTTAGGAAAGCAGATTTTCCTGTCGACAACTGAGAGAAGTTAAGACCAATTTCCGAGATTCTCTTCGCTTGGCAAGCACCGATGCTTCGACGGCGCCTGCTCTTGAATAATCGCGGTCGTGATCGTGTGGGTTCTGCGTAAGCTGGTCGAAGCTGTCGTCAAGAGTTGGAGGCATCATACGTGCCTGTAGGAATTGAAGAGTTTAAGGCGTCCTGAGCCATGTCCAGCTTCCTCCAATCACTTTTCGCAGACGTCTCTCATTCTCCCTCTCCTCCCTGCGTTTTCATCGCATGATAGTCGGCCGCAAGAGTTTGCAAGACTGTCGCGCCACGATGAGGCTTCACTTTGGAGGCAACAACGACGTTCCTGGACCAGTTCGCAAAAGGATTTTCCACAGTGCTATTCTGGCTGTTGCAATAGTGCCATCAACTGCCATTGTTCTCCCATTCTACCAATATTGGGAAGTTAGGCACGAGGAGGTAAACAAGGAGGGAGCACAAGGCTGTACCTTGTAAGGCTGAAACCAGAAAGCGGTGTTGTGCTTATGTAAGAAAGCCGGGTGGAAACACCCGACTCTGGGGTCTTTGGGGCTCCGGTTCCTCCTCGGCAGGACATGAACGAGTCAGTCCAACGTAGCTTGTTGACTGCTCAGGTTTGAGAGCTGCAGGCAGACTTCAACACCAACCTGCATGTTTACTGATGCGTGCTACATGTGATAGTCTTTTATATTGCCTGCCTCATCAATGACTGAGCTCGTCCGACCCGAGGGCGAGCCCGTCTCGCGAGATGACTCCACCGACCGCAGTATCCTCACGCGCATGCAGCGTTTCCGTACCAATCCATTCACCTTCGCGCACGAAATATCGCTCTTCGTCCGGGGCGTCGGATGGCGAGCCTATGACAATCCACTCGGACAGCCAGTTTTCTACCCGGGCTACACGGATAATGTCAAAAATGCGGTGATGGCGTCGCCTCTTTTGCGGCAAAAGATTGTCGATTTGACTGAGGAACGCTTGAAAGTTGAAGAGAAGGAATATCTTCTGGACCCCGCGAGCCCGACATATCTACCCGAGAGGGAGAAGCGAAGGCATGAAATCACATCGCAACTGATTGAGATTACGGCCGACATGTTGGATAAAATGGTCTGCAAGATGGAAAGCAAGATGTACATTAGGGCAGCTTTCTATGGAGTCACGCAGTTGCTCACTAGAGCCTACAGCGCCATCCACGTCTCTGAAGCTGAGGTCAAAAGACTCCGAGAAGTTGCAACGTTGGCGGCCAAAAAGAAACAATCGATCATATTTCTACCCCGACATACGAGCCATATTGACTATGTCACCCTGCACCTTGTGTGCTACCGCCTCGGCCTAACCCTCCCTGTTGTCGTTGCCGGCGACAACTTGAATTTCCCACTCGTTGGCAACTTCTTACAAAATACTGGCGCCATGTGGATCAGGCGAAGCTTCGGCAATGATCAGCTTTACACGACGCTTGTACAGGCATATTTGGACACTCTGCTTCAACAGGGGCTCAACCTAGAATGTTTCATTGAAGGCGGGAGAAGTCGAACGGGCAAGTTATTAGGACCTCGCTTCGGCTTCCTCAGGTTCCTTCTCGACTCTGTACTCTCGGGCCGAACCGATGACGCCTATGTTTGCCCGGTGTCGTTGCAATATGACAAAGTGATCGAGGTCGATTCATACGTCAACGAACTCTTGGGAAATCCTAAACAGAAAGAAAATCTTGCCGACTTCCTCTCGGCATCCTCTGTTCTGTCACTAAACCTTGGTCGAATCGATTGCAGATTCCATGAACCTTGGAGCTTGAAAGAGTTTATCAAGGAACAGCAAGCACGCCAGTCTCCGACCACTCTAGCGGAAGCAACTTCCTCGAGTTCCAATAGTAGAATTCGGCTGCTGCGAACCCTCGGGTATAGAGTCCTCTCTGATATCAATGCGGCTTCGGTCATCATGCCCACGGCACTGGTTGGGACCGTGCTCTTGACAATACGTGGCCGTGGGGTGGGTAAATCCGAGTTGATTCGTCGGGTTGACTGGCTCTGCCGACGTATCAGGGCGAATGGGGGGAAAGTTGCGGATTTCAGAGGCATGCCCACCTCGTATGTTGTTGAACGAGCCCTGGACGTCCTTGGGCCGAAACTCGTCGGTACAGTCGACGGCCTTGCAGAGGAGACCTATTATGCTGTTGACCGTTTTCAGCTATCGTTCTACAGGAACATGACGATTCACCTTTTCATCTCAGAGGCATTGATTGCGGCGGCCTTGTATACCAAGGTGAAACAAGGTGGAGGAAGCGCCAACCAACGTATGCCCGAGATTGAGTTGGTTGATAAAGTTACTTTCTTATCGCAACTGTTCAGGGGTGAGTTCATTTTCCCGGCAGGTCAAGGCTTGCGACACAACCTGGAACAGGCGATGCAAGGCTTGGTGCGAGATGATGTCCTTAAAGTTACAGAAGACTCTGAAAGAATGGTCGGCCTATCTGATGCTGAACGGAAGTCAGGCAGGGAGAATTACGACTTGTACTGTTTCCTGATTTGGCCGTTTGTGGACGCTGCCTGGCTCGGAGCAGTCTCTTTACTGGCATTGGTACCTCCGGCCTCCTCCTCTGTGGATTGGGTCGATATGCAAAAGGCTCAAAACATGGCTCAGCTTGCTGGCCGTACTCTGTACCACCAGGGGGACTTGTCTTACTTTGAAGCAGTCAACAAAGAAGCGCTCAAAAACGCCTACAATCGATTCCAAGAAGAAGGAATAATAGATGTTGCAAAGGGTACGGACTCGAAAGCAAAAGTCACGGTGCGGCTTGCTCCTCAGTGGACGCCCGAACGAGACCCGAGTACTGGGGAATTGAGTCCATCTGGCCGCCTATGGGATTTCATCGAAAAGATTGCGCAATACCGCCGAGAAGGGAAAAACAGGCGCGACGGCGCAGCCGTCTCCACGCGTGTGCTTTCACTGGCGGCGAGGCTGAACCAACAAATGTTTGCAGACGAGGCGGTGCCCATACCGACCGCCGATCAGACAACTGTGATGGAACGCAGGAGGCCCTCCAAGCTATGAATGTTATTCACGGAGTTGGTGCTTCGCGAGGTCCCCCATCGCACATTTTCACGGCACTTAATGCGAGGGATGCAAAGCAATTTTGCGAATGTGCGAACCCATATGCCAAAACCTTTATCGGCCAATATCCATGCCTCTGCAATGCGAGGAGTGTTTACTTTTCCAATAAGCCAGGAGCATCATTGCCCGCCGCCCTTTGACGGCTAAAGCCGTTCCATCTCAAGATCGAGATGAAAGTCCCTGCTATCTGTGTGAGTAAAAGGACTCAGTCTGTAAAATCAGAGAGCTGGTACGCCGGGATAATGGTGTGTCTCGACTCCAACTGGACATCTACATAGCTAACCTGTGCTTACAGAATTGATCAATGTTTCACCAAGGATTCGTCCACAGCAGCTACTCCCAAGGACCATCGTGCTGTGCGGTGTTACCAACGAATGTGGCCACGTTTTGAAACTTGGGCATTGAGACAACAGGTCTGTCTCCACGCTGTACAACGGACCTGGCCCGGCCTAGAACCGGGCCATCAGGCCAGACTTTACAGAGCCGTTTCGGACTATGACAACGCACCCCGTAACAGTATCCAAGGCTACGGTGGGATGTTGTACAATCCGGGTTCGCTTTAGATTTGCATGGAAAACAAATCCGCTGTGTAAGCACCGTCATTTGTGTGATTTTATTGTCTGGTTGTGCCTGGATTTCTTCCGAGGCGAGGCTGTCTGGAAAGGGGTGATTCAATAAGGGAACTCGTGTAGACGTCATGTTCTGAGACAAAGGGACGCCTCGAGCCAGTGTATTCAAAGATGTCCAACTTCTGGCAAAAATGCACAGCGAGAGATTCACTATTGCTGTAGAGTCGGCGTCTACAATCCGTTATGGTGCTAATGATACCTACCTCCAGACGACGCCCTACGTATCTGGTCTCTCCCAAGTTTGCTGCCAGTCTCCATGTCATCAAACAGTGGCAGCAGACTGATCCCGAGGAAATTGTGCGTGTCCAGAAGCTGGATACTGTTCAGCTTCACCAACCATCCAGTGTACCCGAGGAGTATTGGACACTCCCATCCTGTCCCTGAGGATCTGCTTGATTAATAGATCGGAGGTCCTGAGGCCACAAGAGATGCTTGTGTATGGCGCAATACTAGGCTGCCTAAGGCCATATGTTTCGTGGTCCAACTCTTCGTTAAGCGTATCTGGCTCCATTTGGCCACTTGCATCGACGTCCTTTGCGCATGGTCTGTGGGATGGAGTTGCAACGAGAGAAACCCTAGTGATTTCGATGAGCTGTTGTCTCTCCCAAGACATAGAACTCAAGGCCACAATGATCTAATGATCCAATCACAAGGTTTGCTACCGGCAAACGAGGTTGGGATCTGAGATACACGAAGCTCCGAGGAGCATTCACCATATGCCACAAATGGTCGTCGGCGGGGTCTCATGCTGGTGTCCCGCGTCTGTACGAGCCTTGGCCTCCGAAGCGAATCCAGACATCGAGCACCGGCGCAAGTCTCAAGTCCCAGCTAGAGGGGAACCATTAATCAGCAACTGCCTTCACGCTCACCCGGACAGAGCACGCTTCGAAAAGCGACCCAAGTCGTACGCATAAGGGCCAAGCCTAATTCTGGGGTTAGGTCGCGAAATACGAGGGCTTGAGGAACCCCCCTCTCCCTCCAAAGCCTCAACGATCAGCGGAGAAATCGACATTCGCCAAACCGATCCAGCTGTCTCAACAAGATTCGCACCCTTCAGGACTCATGCTTTGAGGGAGTTGCGCCGCCTAAGTTCCAGATTCGAATCCTTGTTCCTATACCGTTCTCTCAGGCCCGCTATTTTCATCCATCGAGAGTACCGATTAATTGCTCTAGCGAATGTGCGTGAAGCTGGCCTTTCGACTGACTGCACGGCAGGACAACCGTGATGGATAATGAACATCAAAAGTCCATCGGCCTCCTCGAACTGGGAGATGGGTTTACTCCATCACATCCTCCATCCGTGTACAGCTGGAACATTATCAACGACATTGCCCACTATCAAACAACTTCCTCGCGCTCTGCATCGTCTCTGTCCCTTTGCCGGGGTTGAAGAGTGAAGAAACGATTCGAGAGATGGCGGCAAAGCCTTTTATCACGGCGGAGAGCTTCATCACCATCACTCAGCCGGCGGACATGGTTAGCGACGAAACGCGCTTTGCCGTCGCCTCTCACACGGCCAAGGCGAGACGGCGGAGGAGACGCAAGATGGCCGACTTTGAGCCTGGGACCACCATCCACAAGTTTCTGGCTTGGAAAGCACACAACGAGCCCGCCTCGCGGCGCAAGCTATTAGACGAACCCGAGAGTCGCGACCAAACTTCCGGCGCCGTCGTACCATACAAGAGCCCGCAGGATCAACCGCTCGGTATTCTCAGCCAAGCCAGGAGAGATCCGTTTGCGCGGTATGCGGTCTCGGATATCCCTGGTCTGGTGGACGAGATGGTCGACCACGGTACGTGTTTTTCGATCTCAGCTCCACCACTTTCCCCCAAATCATGCTGTGAGAAAGGCTGACACATTGCTCTCAAGCCGTCCGGCTCTTCTGGCCGGGCTTGACTCCAGACAAAGCGCCCAATATGGTCAATCCGGTCAACGGCGCCTATCTGGAGGCCATCCGGAGTTCCCCTCTGGCATTCTACGCATACATGGTCGGAACCGCCGAAAATTACGAGCTCCTGAGCGGGAGCAACTTCAAGACCAAGGCGTTCACAAAGTTGTGCCTGGCGTATCGCGTGGAGATGATCAAGCTCGTCAACCAAGAACTCCAAGAGTTGACCGGCCCGCCGTCCGACGAGTTGCTGGGCGCCATCGTCGTCCTCGCGGGCAATTCGGCCGGGTTCATCAACCGCGCCAAAGGATCGTTTCTCAAGGTGGCGAAGCCGTCGCGGTTCAACTCGCCTCTCCGGACCGCGCAGTTCCTCCACGTGTACAGCACCAATCCGTTCCCCAGCGCCCACTCTGAAGCGCTGGTCCGGCTGGTGATCATGAAGGGCGGATGCTCCCAGATCAAGTCGCCTGGGGTTGCCAGCGTGGTTGCTTTGTCAGTTCCAAGCCTTGCTTTTGAAAAAGCCACACCTCGTCGGGTGTTGGGGAGAGAGTTGCTAATTCTTCCACAGATGTGATTTGGTCAACGCTTCACAGACCAACTCCCCACTCTATATCATTCCAATGAATCCACCCACCCTGGAGGCCTTGCAAGACTTGTCTCGCTTGATGATAACGGCGGGCTTCAAGTGGGATCTTCAAAGCACCGTCTGGAGTCACCTCCCACTCGGCCCACCGGGGAGACACGAGCTTCTTCAAGCAGTCCAGGCAATGCTGGTCATCAACACCGCGGTCGACTGCTACCTGAGCAAGAACGGGCCGGCAATGGTCTTCGCCGACATCGTCAACGCCCGCAACGACGCCCAATACCTCCTGCTGAGCCTCCTGCCAACCACCGACGCCGACGACGAGATGCACTCGACCTCGGAGACGTTCTCGGCGCACCTTTCCGAGATCACGCGCCTCGCGCTCCGCATATACAGCAACCTGGTGCTCTTCCCGATGAACCCCAGCGGCGGCACGGGCCGCATCCTCGCCGGGGCCCTGCGCGAGGCGATCGTCGAGAGCGAGGGCGTGAGCCCGTGGCAGCTCTTCCCCGACACGTGCAAGCGCATGATGCTCTGGGCGCTGATGCTGGGTGGCATCCAGGTCGACGACGGCGTCATCGATGCCGAGGCGGAGAGGGCGTGGTTCGTCGAGCGCCTCGGGGACGTCATGTCGTTCATCGACGTCCTGGCCTGGCGGCAGGTGGAAGAGTGTCTGACCTCGTTCCTGTGGTTGGACATCGTTCTCAACCCTGCCGCGGTGGAGCTGTGGGCCGACGCGAGGAGGACGCGGGACCAGGACTGGGAAGCCTTGGAGATGGAAGGCCTGGCGTTGCGGCCGCGGGAGGGTCTGTGATCCCTCTTGCCCACAATGGTGGTGATTATGAAGGATTAAGCCATAATATAATAGTCCGGAGTCCTTGGCCCGATCGACACCTCACGGCTCCCGTCGTCGGATTGACGTCGGGATACCGCGCCGCATTTATATCAGTTGGAGTGTCTTCCTGGGTGCTCAAGGCGGTGTACATATCTAGGAAACGTTCTAGAGTGCCGGGTCCTTTCTAACGGGGTCGGCTAGATACAGAATGCGGCGTGTTGTTCTGCCAGGTCCGTACTCAACCATCGCCCGGGGAGGATGAGTAAGCCACCCACCTACCTCCACCTACTTCGAGTCTTCGACCAGTTCTTGCTCTTTTCAACTCCGCAATCATCGTGATTCCTGGTTTACACACATTTGCGCGGCATAGCCTGCTCGCACTGTTGGCTGATCATATATCGGGTGTCTCTGGACCGTCACCCGCTCTCCGCCTCGCACCATCATGGCCAGTCTAACCGACGCCTCGACAACATACACGCCTCCGGCAGCACTCACCATCGTCTCCTGGGGTTCGATTGCTATCGCAGGTCTCGCCTCGTTGTGGATCACATGTGATATTGTCTTCCATAGGCGGTGGAGGCAGATGATGGCTATTATGTGAGTTTTATGTTCCTTTTGAGCGGCTTTTTGGTTTACGGGCCTGTGTCTGTTGTCCCGCTCGAGGAATGTGCTCTCATCGCGGCTCCCTCAAGGATTCCCGTCTATGTCATCAACGCGCTCTATCTGTGGCCAATTACCGCTTGGATATACGTTCAGTACGGGAGGCGGGGAATGTCGGGACCGTCAAACCACGAGGCCGAGACGATAGAAGAGGATCCTCTCTTACACGCGCTGTCTCAACCGGGTCATAGTGAAGAGAACGCCGACGCGGAACAGCGCCCACATGGGCATTTGACGGCGAATGACCATGATGACGGTGATGATGCTGACAGTGGTATTGTGGCGTCTGCCCATCTTGACGGTCGAGCAGAGCATTGCGGAGACGCGCATCACCATCACAAGCACCAGCCTCATTCACACACGCAGGCAAACCTCCCGATGTTCGCGACTGTCGCCATCGCCACTTGCCATTGCGGCGCGGGCTGTGTCCTCGGCGACCTGGTGGGAGAATGGCTGATATACACGTTTGAAGTGGTGGTCGGCGGAAAGATGCTCTATGCTGCCTTTATCATAGGTGAGCTACACGGTCCCTTTTCTGGAAACTCGATAGGTCTCGGCCTCGAGAGCACGAGCTGATCAGTTTTCCGTCCCCCCACAGACTTTGTCCTCGCCCTCGCCTTTGGGATTGTCTTCCAATACTTCTCCATCGCCCCCATGGCCGGCGAATATGGGTGGCGCACTGTCGTCCGCGCCGCGAAGGCAGATTTCTTGTCCCTAACCTTTTTCGAGATCGGCCTCTTTGGCTGGATGGCCATCTTCGACCTCTTGATCTTCGACCAGAGGCTGGAGATGAATACTGCGGCTTACTGGTTCATGATGCAAGTAAGCCATCACCCCCGAGCCCTGTGTCTTGACTATTGTGAAAAAGGCGGTCCTAATGTCGCTGTTACATATCTCTAGGTGGGAATGTTTTTCGGGTACTGGACTGGGTTTCCTATCAACTGGTGGTTGATCAAAGAAGGAATCAAAGATCCCTGTGCTTGAGTTGAGGTCCTGGCTACCCTTCCAGATATCCGAGGGACATTGACCGAGAGCATTGCGTGGGGCTTGTCGTTGCAACGAAATCGAGTCACGCGCAGCAGGGGAAGGATATTTCTATCCATGAACGCAAGGCCCGAGGGATTTGCATCGCTTGAACTGCCAAGCAGATCCGGCTTCGCCAAAGGTCCCCTTGAAACTGGCTGATCCCCATGTTCCCCTCACGCTCGTGGCACGCAGCGCGTTCTCTTACGACGGGTCCTGCTCTTGCTCGGTTATTGTTATATCACCGCCTGACCATCTCGAGAAACCCGAGGTCAGACTATTCTGCGGGGCCATACTCTGGCAAGAGACAGCGGTCGACATATAAAGAGTGGTGAAGGGCAGCATCCGGTTGGCACGGCACTCTCCTACCCCGACAAGCTTCTGGCAAGTCGTCTTGGAACTCTTGGCAGATTGTTCGGCACATCCATTGCTCTGAGGAGATTCCGCCCTTGATTTCTTGGAAGTCGCGCCGGAGTTGAGGACAGGCAACCAGAGCGCGGGATGGTCCATCAAGCTCCCCCAAGGCCAAGAATGTGTGCCACCTTATAGCTTCTTGTCCATGCAGGGGCTTTTTGTCTCTGTCGTCCAACTGCGTTCTTCCTCCCCAGCATCAACCCCAGATATGTATATTGACCCACGAAATGCCCCATTTTGCGGGGAAGATATGCGGCGTCCACATTGCAGACAGTATGAGGGCGGTCCTGTTATATTTCCTTCAAATCCTTCTCGCCCACTTTTGGCGGCGCAGGGAGTCAGAAAGGCCAGTTCTTTACAACGAAGACTTTAACCATTGCACGTCTGGCGTCTCGTCAGATCCAATACCTAAGCAACAGCCATGGGTATCAGCAAGGAGAGGGTGACGCCCATCAAGGCGAACCTCAAATGCCTTTTGATCTGCTTGGCAGTCTCCATGGCCAATTGTCAGTATGGCTTCGACACGGCCACCGTCGGAGGGTTCCAAGCCATGATCGGCGTAAGTTCCTGTGTCTCTCAAGGACTGTTTCCGGTCAACTCGATCGATCTCAGTCGAGGCTGACATGCCGTTACCAGTTTCTCGAGATATTTGGATACCGGGATCCAAAATCCAAGACTGGCTGGGGCATAGAAACACAGACCCAGCAACTGATGACCAGTCTGATCAACGTGGGCACCATTGCGGGCGTTTTCGTCACTGCGCCATTCGCACGGTACTTTGGCCGCCGGGAAGGCATCTGGGTTGCTTCGATGATCAACTTTGTGGCTGCGGGTGTCCAGGTCGGGACGACTTCCATAGGTGGCCTCTATGCTGGCCGAGCTCTCATCGGTCTCGCTAATGGGTATTTCATCACCTTCGCCAATGTTTACGTTGCAGAGGTCGCCCCTGCCCATCTGCGTGGCCTGCTCGTCTCTTTCTTTGGAGTTTGGGTCAACATCGGAAGTGTGCTAGGAGCTGTCGCGGACAATTACTCCAAACAGCATCTGGACAGATTGTGCTACCAGATCCCGCTGGCGAGCATGTTTGCAGTGCCTTTTCTTTTGAGCATATTCATGTTCTTCATTCCGGAGTCCCCGAGGTAACATATCTTCTCTCGCCTGTGACAGAGGATGTAACTAACGCCCCCTCTCTAGATGGTTACTCGTTCACAACAAGCCCGAGAAGGCGAAAAGGGCTCTCGAGAGGCTTCGGGGCAGTTCCCTGGCGCCAGAGTTTCTTCGTGAGGAATATGTCGAAATGGCCCGCGGCATTGAGGAGGAGAAGGAACTGGCGTCTTCGGCGTCTTACTTTGACATCTTCAAGGGCACCGACTTGAGGAGAACCATCATCTGCTGGGGCACCATCATGTCGCACTCGGGCGCCGGGCTCTGGCTCATCATCGGGTACGGCACGTTTTTCTTCCAAATCGCCGGGGTAGAGAAGCCGTTCGAGGCCTCGATCATCTCGACGTGCGGAAGCTTCGCGGGCGTGCTCGTGGGCCTCTACTTCACCACGAAGCTCATCGGGCGCCGCACTTCGATGCTCTTCGGCTCGGCCATGGCTTCTCTCTGCATGCTGGCCATCGGCGTCGCGTATGTCACAGGAGGCACATCGAAGCCTGCGGGATCGGCGATCGTCGCCTTCATGGTCCTGTATGGCTTCTTCTACAATGGCTTCTCCGGGACGCTCAGCTGGCCCATCGCGACGGAGGTCTGCAGTTCACGTCTTCGGGTTCTCACCATCGGTCTTTGCACGGGCGTTAATTACTTTTTCAACTGTGAGTGTCTTTTCGTCCATTTGTCGCTTTGTGTGGAGACCCAGATTGCTAACCACTACGGGCTTTCGGACAGGGCTCACGTCTTATACCGCGCCATACTTCATCAACCCGAACCAGTTGAACTGGGGCGGCAAATATGCTTTTGTATGGGCAGGATCGAATTTCTGTGTCTTCCGTAAGTTTAGCCCAGCACGGTCCCCTCCACATGTATCGTCAATCGAGGAGAAAAGGCAGCAACTTTGGCGAAGACCCTACCTTGAAATTTGACCCGTGCCCCGACAGCAAAGAAAGAAAGGCGTTGCACCTCTTACCCACCATCTGACTTTTTTCATCATCTAGTCTTTTTCTTCTTCCTGCTCCCCGAAATGAAAGACCGGTCCCTCGAAGAATTGGACGAGCTCTTCCAGAACCGCGTCTCCGTCCGCGACTTCAAGAAGTACCAGTGCGTCAGCTCTGAGAGAGCACGGGAGGTGGCGCTGAAGGAGGTCAGTAGTGGTGGTGATGGGGAAGGGACGATGAAGACTGATGTCGCCATTGAGACAGTCGAGGATACTACTGCCGCGGTGGCGTCGAAAGTCTGAAGTCTGTATCTGGGTGAATATAGCGGGATGAGATATGGGGTCGCTAGGTGGCGTAGGGGGGTGAGATGATGTCAATGCGGTAGAGGATCAATCCCGGGCATTGACGTGCTCGATTGTGAAGGGACTGTAGGAAGAAAGCACCACCATGAACAGGCCTTGCTAACAAGAGAAACATCACTGTCCACAGTCCCTGTGCCTGGCAAGTTTGGGGGCCGAGCTGCTGACTAATTAGTGCGATGATGCGCTTGGGTGGCTTCGGTTGTAGGATCAATCGCTAGTCGATGACGGCGGGGTAAACACCTGCTTAATCGCAGTCTGCCCTCGTATTCCTGGAAGCCTTGTTTTGTCACTTGCTGGGATTAGTTATCGGGGACACCCATACAATCGATTTGTAACCCGCGAGCACATCATTGCGGGGCTGGAAGATCTTGGGCGAAAAGCCAGAAGCTCTTAAGTGAAGCTCGAATGACCCAAAGGTGTCTGCGTCACTCTCTGTTTGACGATCTGCATTCCTCGGTCGCCGACCAAAGGCATCAATTGAATTGTGTTGTACCGGCTGCCTTCCAGCCTCCGTTTCTTTCGGACTTGTATGACAATAACTGCGGGACAAGCTGCTCATAACAGACTTCGACTCGAGGCTGACAGGTTGACTTCCTCTACAATGGCATCACAAAAAGCATGGGCCGTGGTTGCCGGTGTCGGCCCTGGCACGTAAGTCTCGACTCTAGCGACAGCATTGGAAGAGTGTACCGGAGTACTAACCCTTGGACAGAGGTGCCTCGGTCGCTCGTCGATTCGCACAGAACTATGCTGTCGCCCTCCTTGCTCGAAAACCGGCAAACTTTGAACCCGTCGTCAACGAGATCAATGCCGCTGGCGGCCAGGCAATTGGTATCAGCACCGATACCTCTGACAGCAAAAGCGTCAAGGCTGCCTTTGAGCAGCTGCAAAAAGAGATGGGGGGCGCGTCGCTCGCAGCCGCAATCTACAACGTGGGAGGCAGGTTTGTGAGGAAGCCCTTTCTGGAATTGACGGACGAAGAATTTGAGAGTGGGTGGGAAGCCAACGGGTATGTCGAGACAGAAAACATTTGCCAATGCAGAAGGCTCCCGTGAAAAACGAAAAGTTTGCTGATGTGACTGTCATCTGATCAGGCGAGGAGCGTTCCACTTCTCGCAGGCCGTCCTCCCACTGCTTCTCAAGAGCACAAACACAGAGCACCCACCTACCCTCATCTTTACCTCTGCCACGGCAGCCATGAAAGGCTCCGCTCTGTGCGCGTCCTTTGCAACTGGGAAATTTGCAATGAGGGCCCTGGCACAATCGCTGGCGCGAGAGTTTGGACCCAAGGGTGTGCATGTGGTCCACGCCATAATTGATGGCGTGATTGATATCGAGCGGACGAAAGACTGGAAGTTCGACCATCCCGAAGCTAAGATCAAGCCAGAAGCCATCGCCGACTCGTATTGGTACCTGCATACCCAACCTAGGACTTGTTTTACCAACGAAATCGACATAAGGCCTGCGGTCGAGAAATGGTGAGAAGCAATTGCGTGCACAACTCGGGCCGGGTGACTTTTGGAGACTGGGCCTCCGGTGGAGGTTGAAGCCCACTGGGATCCTCTCTCGGGGGGCAATATTTTGCTGGGTGGACGGAAATACGCCCGCTCTCCGCATGGAAGCACGTTTGCTGTTGTTGTGGGATGAAAGGCTCCAGAAAAGATTCCACAAACTCGCTCTCTTCGTTCTCCGAGAAGTGTCGGCTCCGAGAGACAGGACGAAGGACGTTTCGAGTCCACCGGAGGGTAGCAGCCAGGTCCCCTGCAATGACTGAGGTGGCGCTGATAAAATTAATTATATCTGCCTTAGGCTTACAGCGAGGATAACACTATTGGCCTGGTAGCCCTGTACATTGTGTAGCCCGCGTATGTTTTTCGCAAGAGGGTGTGTCGTATTCCCACTATCCGATGCACCGCAGGCTTATTCAGTGCGAGATGCGGACAGCACGGGAGCTTTGGCAGCATCTCCGCACAGGCTAAACCATTGTGAGGCTTTGCTCAGCATCTGCCATTAGTCGTTTCAGCCACTGCTCCCACCTCGTCCTGGCCAGCGGCCAGCAGCCAGCAGAATGGACAGTGCCCTCGGAACTTCGGCCAGCATCCAAGGCTACGACGGACGGACTCGACCGGGGAAGTGCCGTACGTCGCACGAACAAAAGCATGTTGGAACGTCTCGACGACAGGCTCTCGGGGTAATTCAGGACGACGCTGCATCACCAGCTGCGGTGGGAGTGGAGTCGAGCGGCACGATGGTGACGGCGTACTCAAATCATACGCAACAGACGAATTTCTTCCTCTCCACATGGAGACCCCGGCGATCCACGGGGGGAGGTTGAGTGACATTGGGACAGTCGCTGAGTTCGCTTTATCTCCGCCTCCGCCGATTCCATCCCTCCCTGCGCTGCGCTGCTGGTTCCTCGTTTAATCCTAACTTTGGCGGAAGCGATGACGCACCCCATCCATCTCTCCCACCGAGGCTGTTTGTGCCAGCTCCAGCGCTGGGTGGCGCTGTGATTGCCCTCCTCCCGGCGAATCACTCACAACGTTGCCGGACGATAGCCAGCAATGACCATCCCATACGGGATCCCGGCCTCCAAAGTCAACCTTCCTCACCGTATCCTAGCCTCGCAGCCTTTTACCCTGTGTCCCCCCTCCCCTCCCTGTTCGAAAAAGTCCTGCCCCATTAGGGAAGGCGACTCGCTGATCTGGAAAGGTGGCGTGCTTGCGAAGCTTGTCTCTGGTCAAGCAATGCCCCCTTGCGTGGCGGAAAATCTCTCCTGACAGGCCGAATCGCTTGTATTGCTTCATCATGACGCCCCAGAGCCCTGTCCCCGGCGGCTCGCGTTGCTGATACCACAACTACCGGGTGCCTTCGTTGCGGGCCTCGTCATTGACGGACCCTATCTCTCTCCAATCCACTTGTGGATTCGGTTTTCACCCGAGCGAGTTGTTGAGGAGGACCAAATGCGCACCAACGGTAGGTCCGGAATGCATGCTGGTTATGAATCAACAAAGGTGGGAACGAAAGAAACGTGGTATCGACCGAGGTCGTGGGAGCGAGGTCGTGGTCTACATCTAGGGCCGCTCACCCCAGGTTTTGAGAGATTTTTTTCGTGATTACTCTTCCATCTCGTTTCCCCAGATCGTCCTTCCCCCAGACTGCTCAGAGGCAGCATCCCCAGATTCCTGAATATTAATCACGGTCGATCCGCAAAGGGAAGACGCACCGCAGCCATGGCCAGCGACCACCCGCCCTCGTTAACTCGCCAGCATACGCATGACATTGAACTCGGTGTCTCGGAGGTCCTCCAGCGCCATATCACTCGCCATGTGGTTGCGCCAAAGCCTGTGTCCCAGCGAAAGCTCAATTTTGAGCATAAACGACCGCGGATTCTGCGGGAAATGATGGCAGAAGCGTGAGTAGCTACGGCCCCAGTTTGATTATTTGCGCCAAATCTTTTATTTGCACATGTACACGTTTCCCAGGTGTGATATCCGATGCTAACAGCAAGTACCAGCACCGGCGTGTTCTTCTACGTGTTCCCCGGTATTGCGTCTGTGGCCTCATTCACCCTCGCAACTACCAATGGTGTCGGAGCCGCGGTTGGAATCCCGGTCTTTGGAACTCTCTTCCAGATTGGTTGTGCGTTCGCCATGGGTATCGCGTTTGCTATCATAACCTGTGCTCCCACCAGCGGTGGGCACTTTAACCCGGCTATCACCATTTGTTTCGCTATCTGGCAAGGTAAGTCGCGCTTTTCAATGTCTTTGGTCGCGACCCGGGGCAAATTTTCGAAGCAACCAGATTTTGCTAACATTGCCCCAACCATTCAGGATTTCCATGGAAGAAAGTCCCCCACTACATTTTCTCGCAGATCTTTGGCGCCTTCATGGCCGGTTTGTTCCTGATGGCGTGCTACTGGCCCCAGATCCAAGCGGCGAAAGCCATCGACATCAAAGAGCACGGTACCGCGGTCTACAACGGCGGCGTGGCCAGCATATTCTGCACGTTCCCCAACCCGGACCAGCACAACCAGGGATACCTCTTCTTCCAGGAGTTCTTCGTGGACAGCTACATTGGCATTTTGATCTGGGCATGCCTTGACCCGGCCAACCCCTTTGTCAGCCCGACTTCCGCGCCCTTCACGATCGGCCTCGTCTACGCGACCATGGTCTGGGGCTTTGCCGGAAATAGCATCTCGACCAACCTGGCAAGGGATCTGGGCACGCGCATCGTCGCGGCCATCTTCTTCGGCGGTGAGGCCTTCAGCTTCGACAACGGCTACTCGTGGATCTCTATCCTGGTCAACATCCCCGCCACCATCTTCGCCACCGGGTACTACGAGTTCCTGATGCGGGACAGTCTGCAGAAGATCCAAAAGGGTCACGCCGAGCACGAGGAGGGCGAGGAAGGTCTCTCCAGGTACTTGTCCAAGGTCACCGGGATGGATGTGCCTCCGCCGCCGTCCGAGCGCGGTGCGATGAATGCTGCCAACGGCATTATAGAGAAGCAATTCTGAAGGGAAAGAACAGGAGAGATGACTTGTGGACGTGATGGGCACAGCGTATAAGAATGGGAAATGGTTCACGGCGACGACGTGTGTTCTAGGACCGTCGTGTGTATAGATTCCCCCAAAACCCTCGATTGTGTTCATGAGTCGGGTATACAGAACTATGTAGTGGCACAGAGTGAACAAGGAAGTTTGCCTCACCTCACGGTTTTCTACGGAGGACGCGGTACGTGACCTGGTATATTCGTCCGTGGGCTCCACAATATCGCCAAGATCTACTACTAGCCAATAATAAAATACTAAGTTCTTTTCCGACTCGTCGTGGCATGGTAGAATCTTCGCCTCGCAGTGTGGAGATAATGTGCTCATGCTTGCATTTGGCGTTAGTCGTTGGTGGTTCTCTCGTAGGTGATTTATATGTAAACCACCTTAGCTATAACGGTAAGTGAGGGTATGCTCCTGGGGCGTCGAAGCTATTGTCCACGACTAGCTCAGCACGAATCCCCGGAAATGCACCGGGCTCCTTGACATGCGGGCTGTCCTGGTGCCGAGAGATCACGGGGGACGAATCTCAAAAGGCTGATCTGAGGAATTGACCCACGACGGAATACCAAAATCGCGGAAACAGAGAAAATAGATAGATAAACAAGGAAATCCATGACGTGGAGACCGGGAGGGGGGAATTGTCCCTCGCCATCAAATCCTGCAACTCATTGGATCGTATCCTTGTAGACAGTCTGCCGGCGAGCTTTCCATCCTCTCACAAAAGGAGAAGGGAAAAGATGATTGTTCAATTTGCGCCAGCCGTATACCTTGGGTAACCACGGGAAGATCGGTAGACAAGGAGATAATACTGGCAAAAAAGTCTGCAAAAATCCTGGAGCGTCAAGGTTCGGAGAATAGGAGGAGGGGGGAAACATGCTTCTGCAAGCATCGTTGAAGAAATGCGGGTTGACTTGCAAGCTGGAGCGAAAAACGTCTGCCCCTTGACCTGTTCTTTTCGAATGATTTTGCTTCGTTTTTCTTTCCATTCAAGCCCCGAATGAGACGTCCGGTCTTCGGGTATGTATGACGCCCCTCACCTCTATCAACTCATGTCGTTGATAACTATCCTCATGGAAACCGTCGAGGAATGCTCCGAGTCCGATTGAATGGTTTTCCTGCTCACCCCGTGCATTGGGAAAAATCCAGTATCGCCAGCTCCCCATGACAAGGACATGCGCACGCTCGCTTTTTCCTCTCTCTCTACTCCTTCGACTTGACGGCCTCTCTTCCCTTGCCGATCCTCTCCAGGATCTTCTCTCGGTCCTTGTCGAGCTTGAGTTTCGTCACAACAACTTTGCTGGGATGCACGCCGATCGGGACGGATTGGCCGTTCGACTTCTCTCGGGATACACGTTCGATGTGGATGAGGTATTTCAGTCGGTAGACCGAGGTGACTTTTCCCTCGCGGCCCTTGTTGGAGCCTCGCACGATGGTGACTTCGTCGTCTTTGCGGATGGGGATGCTGCGGACCTGTTTACCTCGTAAGACCTGGGCTCTCTGCGGCCAAATGCGCACAGACAATGTTCTGTGCGTAACCGTGGGAGTCGTACATTGTGCTTTTCTCTTAGTTCCTTGCTCAGAGGAGCGCTCATGATCGTTCGTCGCACGCTGGACGGGGCGCCGAAGTGAAGTTTGCGAGACTTGCGCCTCGACGAGGCAAGACCTATAGGGAAAACGTCAATGTCGGTCTCTTGTGTTGTGGAAATTTTCTTGATGAGAGGAGCATTCATACCATGGTTCGTCTTCGTCATGGTTGGGCGATTGTGGGCGTGAAAAAGGAATGTCGAACAATAGGCAAGATCTGAGGTCTCAATATGCGTTTCCCGAATTTTGGCAATTTTGCGGTGGTGCGAAATCCGCGGCTGCCAAGAAATCCACTTCGGTGGATCACTCGGCACGGTTAGCGCAGTTCGGGGGGCTGCGCTTTCTCCATCTGCGCATCAGTGCGACACCCACGACTTCTGGCGACGAGGCGTCGTGGGCGTCTTCTTTACCTCCTTGGATCTCAACCCTGGTAGGGACTCGAAGTCGTACGGCAGGACCGACACTTAGTCCACGAACAAACTTTCCTGACAGGCACAAAATCGAGCCTCTCATGCGCCATCACCGGTCGCACATGTCAACACGGGTGGTGGATGGGTTCAGGCGAAGAGGCAACGGCATGAGAAGGAGGTGGCTGGCTGGTTGCTCTGAATGGACCATATTGGAAGGCCTGTGATGTCTTATCATTTGCATACGGGCTTCGGTGGATCTTACAATTCGCAAGAAGAGAACATCAACAACTCCTACAGTTCTGGAGGACATGAAAGTGCGAACAACCGATACCCCACTCATGCGTCCTATCCCAGGGATATTCGACAACCACACGCCAGTGCCTCCGGCTATGATTGGGCTGTACAACACCAGCAGAACTTTCCGAATAGCGCGGACCAACGAACGGCGTATAATACCAACGCCTGGGACGATAGGAGGACGCAAATCACACCTGACGACGACCGGACCCGGCAAGGCCAGCACGCGACACAGGCTGCGGCAGGTGGTGGCGGCAGCGGACACGCTTATTACAATCCTACACCCTCAAACTTGGCGGGGCAGAACAACAATTCACGTTTGAATAATCTGGCATATGTATCGGGATTGGATGACACGGCTTTGCAGCGACACGAGCATCACCAGCAACACTCAAGTACAGCTTCGACTGTAAACCATCCTTCAACTGCGGTGAATCGCGTACGGTCCCCAGCCACAACTCACAGCACATCGCGGTATGAGAACGCCCAGCCTTCAACGTACGGGTATGGGAGTGGTCTTCCCTCCCAAAATCAGCAAAACCCATTGTTAGGAGCACTAACAGCGTTTGATGGGGCTGTTAACGCCCGCTTTCAACAGGGCTCAGCCGCAATGGGAGGTCATTCGTCAACTTCGCCAGTGATGGAGAACTCTAGTTCGAGACAACAATTCTCCCAGAGAGCGGCCTCACCGTACTATCAACCTCAGGTCACCAAGACGCAAGCCCAGGGTTGTCGGTCCTCTACCACGTCCCAGGCCAACTATGGGAGAACTACCTCGGCAGCGTCGACTACTCAGGAGAAAGCCCGGCAGATTGCAAACATCAGTCAGCACAGAAGAGGACCAAGTATGGAGTCCTCGCATGGCAATGCGCAACCTCAAGTTCAAATGGTAAAGAGTATCTCGAACCTCCTTACTCTCTCGGCGGAGGAGCCGCCGCGGAGTCAACATTCGGCAGCACTTGAACCGCAGTCGATGCCGAATTATATTGACCCTAGCCAGGTATTCAATCCGTTCCATAAGGAACATGAGAGGAGGCGGAGAGAAATAGCTGCTCAAGCTGAAGCCGCAATGAGGCGAAAGGCAGAAGAAGAAGTTGCCGCGAAAAGGAAAGCCGAAGTAGAAGCGATATCTACAGCGGAGAATCGAGAGCAATTGACCAGAGCTCCAGCTGCAGTTACAGCTACTCCCAATATCACTAAAGCCAACAAAATGGCGAATCAGACGAAACAGACCAAAAGAACCACTTCTCCGGTCCAGAAACCTTCTGAAAATGAACATCAGCCCGATAGACAACCAAATTCCATGGACGGCGAGGCGGATATGGCGGCTGGACTTAAGGTTATGATGGAAAAGATGCAAGAGTTTCGAAATAAAGATCCTGCCCTTTTTCAAAAGCTCTGGGACGATATGCGAAACACATCATCGGTCCCGTCAGTCCCGTTACAATCTCCTTCCCCTCAGATAAGAACACAGCAGGCCCTTCCGACCACCCAAAGCCGACCTAGGCCGAATGGATACCGAGTTGTCGTTGAGAACAATCCGGAAGGATTGCCTGACTTAGGGCGCTTCCCTGCTGAACGACGTATCAGAGGGACATACAATAACAAGACCTCGTCCGAAACTGAGACCGCGACCGTTAAAGAAGCCAAATCGACCGGACCTATCCCGATCTCCAAACAAGAAACTATCACAACTCCTGCTGAGCAACGAACTTCAACTCCAGCAGTACCGTCAATTAAAAAGACAGTCCTCCTCTCACAAGGCTTCCCGCCTCCTCAGTCAACCGGGGAGACTATGTGGCCCGAAGATAAACGGAATACTCTCGCACAAGTAGCCGTCAGATTTCTCAAAGCTAGCCCCGAAAATAAGGAAAGCGAGATCACCACTGAAGACATTCATACGATACTCGAACAGAATCCGAGTTATACTGATTTGTGTCTAATGCTCGAGAAAAAGGGCCTTAAATTTCATCGAGGTCAGTTCGCGAGACAACTTCTAAGCGACGTACCACAGCTGAGAGGGCCATTGAAGACTCCGCTTCCTCAAGCTCCTCCCGCTCCGTTGGCTTCTCAGGCCCCGGTCCCGGCACCAGCTCTCGAGATTTCTGCCGCTTCAGCTCAGTCAGCTGTCATGCCTCCGGGGCCGTTACCGGTCAATACCCCCGCTCCTCCTCCTCATATTCCTGCTTCTGCACCTACTCCCGGCGCTGTTCCTGTAATAAAGTTCAACACCGGGTTTCAGGCGGCAAGACAATCTCCTTTTCGCGGCCACCCGCCCGCTTCTCTACATGGTCAAATGCAGCGACCAAAGCCTACTAGGAACCACCACCAACCTCGCGCAGAACCCACGCCCGGTTCGAAGGAAGCAATGGCACGAAAACGTGACTTCTCGGAGTTAGTCGATCTGACAGCATTGAGCGACAACGAGGACTACGTGATGTCGAAGAAACAGGCACGAGTCGACAGCCCTTCTCCTGAACCGACAGATCTATTTCAGAAGCATCAGGACCAGCCCTCACATGCACACCCACCTCCGCTTCCTGTCCCATATACGGGCCCAGGGTACCCAGCTCCACTTCGGTTTGACCCCAGATTCCCTCAACAGCCACAAGGTTATGTTCCATTACCTCATTATCCACCACCTCACCTTCCTGCGCCCTCAGTTGCGCCGCCACCACCGCCGCAGCCACATCGGCCCATCAGAATACTTGCTAAACCTATCAATAAGCAGGAAGCCCTGCGCAAGACCTATTATGACGCCAAGACAGTAGCTAGGGACGTTCTAATTGCTGCTGGCAGACATCCTACTGAACGGCCACTCAATGCGCACATGGCAGGTCTTCTGGGGAAATATGTTGAATTTGACTCTGATCTAAGCACCTTTGACTGGAACGCAATAGATCCAGGTGGACCCCTAGCACCCCAAGTTCCCTACGCCGATGTCCCGACCGAGCCTCCTCGATTTCGTCTGGGAGAAGCAGGGATCCGGCGTAGAGGCCAAGTCCCGCCTCCGCAGTCTGAGACTGTCCAGAAAGGCTTGTTACCGGATCAGGGAAAGCGCAGAATGTCCCCGCCTGCGCTCGCACCTGTAACCGCGACCGCGACCGCGACCGCGACCGCAACGAGCACAGTTGGACCTCCTGCACCAAAAGTCAAGACAAGACCTCCGCAGCCCCCGTCTCCTACATCACTCTCGCAAGTCAGCACGAAATTGCAAAGTCCTCGTGTGTCCCTTCGCTCTCAAGCTAGAGAGACGGAGAAGGTGATTCCGAAGTCGACTCCGAAGTCGGTAATTCCTCAGAAGCGAAGGCAGAGCCTCATTTCCTCAAACAGCTCTCCTGTCTCAGATCGAAGGCAGTCGACTCGATCTGCGTCAACTCAAGTGCCTTCGACGGTGGAATCAAAGACAATGAGCACTGGCGTATTTTTCTCAAGCGGGAAGAGACGAGGGCGGCCTCCTGGAGCCAAAAACCTCCAGCCTACCGTTACAACGATGAAGAAGGCCGCAGTCCAGGAATTATCTTCGATTGAAGTCACCATTCCTTCACCTGCTTCGCCAAGCCTTCCTGTTTTCAAATGTCGATGGCGGGGTTGTAAGGCACATCTTCACAATCTCAAGACGCTCCAAAACCATATCTCAAAAGTCCACCGACCGACGGCGGAGGTGCTCAAAGAAGACGGCGGTTACATCTGCTGGTGGAAGAGGTGTGAATACCTTGTAGATGACGGCGAAGGCTCTCTTCGTCCCTCTGAAATATTTGACAACCTGAAAGACTGGCTCGGACACATTGAGGAGCACATGAAAGAAGTGGCGTCCAAAATCGGGGACGGTCCAACAACAAAGATCATCGGTAAGGAAACCAGTGCTGCACCAAAAACCTTTGATGTCTCAAGATTCGTCTTTGATCCTCCCTCACAACCTTCTTCGACTTCCTTCACTAGAACAATTTCTCACACAGATCCTCAGACCCTCCTCCGTGACAAAGTCCGCTACCTATCAGACGAACAGGGGAGGATAACCACTCCTGACGTGTCGGTCAAGTCCGTACAAGACGCCTTGGAACCTGACACGATGACGCTACTGAAAGCCGAACGCAGCGATGCAGAGAAACAAGCCCAAAAAAGTTTTATGAAGACACACCGCACGGAGAAGAGTAGCCCGAGGGCCGTCGCTGAAGAAACTCTGAAAGCCATGGCAGCAAGAAAGGCGAAAATCGGGCCTGGGATCGACCGTGGTGGGTGTATACTGGTGAACGAGGCGAGGAGGGCCACGTTGATTCAAAACCCGGGAATCCAGAGGGTGGTCGATGGGGATTATTGACGACACATCACGCAAGTCACGAAGATGAAGGAGCATGTCGCCTCCCCAGCGCAGCGCGCTGCTTGCGATCTGCAGGGGTTAGATAACATGGTTCCTGTTAAACGACGACACTCTGCAAACAGATATGCTTACTTCGACGAGATGTGTGGCGAGACATACAGTGGGAAAATCGGCCCTGGTGGACGAGCCTCTACGCCAGCACAAGTCGTCTTGTTTGCCTCGTCTATCTCTATGCCATGGATGATCTAAGAATGAGCTCCACATGAAATGTGGGACACCCAGTCGAGCAAGCTTTGTGTCTTCTCCAACCCAGGCTCGGATGTTGAAAAATAGCTGAGGTGCATAATCACAGAAATTGGTGCTGGTGATCCATTTGCGGCACAGCGAAAGCATGGTAAACTTAGGGCTTATTCGTCGGCTGGTATGGATACAGTAGCTCAACGTGCTTTTCCCAAGGGTTCCTTTTTATTTTTGGTCTGAAGGTCTCCCAGTGCCGTGCAGTCGCGCGGGAGTAGTAATACATATTTTTACATGAGGACCGTTAGGAACTAAGATTCGATCTCGTCCACTCTTTGCTTGGGCATTGAGTAGTCTGCGGTTTTGGGCTGCGGAGTCCCAGTTGTGGACCCAGCTGTCTGCTTTGCTTTGCTCTTGCTCTGTTAAACCATTGAATATTGCAGTGGGTAAACAGCGGGAGGTAGATATCGGATGGAGTTGGTGTAGCTTGGTACGGTCGTGACGAAGGACCTTGCACAACCTCATTCTCCTTCTCCTTTGCCGCCGTTTGTGCATGGGTGTTCAATACGTCCTCATGGTCGCCATTCCTCCGTGTGCACTCGTTGATCGACCTCTCCTCCGTTTCCCGCATGTGCGAGATTGTGCCTTTCGATTATGATGTTGCAGTTCCCTCAACTTTGAAAACCCCATGCACCCTGCTGGTATTCCCTTTCAGCATCTATCTCTCTTCAGTCGTCCTACTCTGGTATATCATCGAGTCTCCTCGCCAACAGTCGGGGGTTTGACGGCACCGACGCCGGCCTTCTCATCTCTCAGTTCTCCATTCAACTTCGAGTCATCCTGCGCATTGACCTCGAGGAAATGGTAGAGCACAATCAGCAACATCGCCGCGCTGCCGAGGAAAATGGCGAGGCTGTACAGTTGAGCGTCTGTTATCATTTTTGTTTCTTTGATTTCTCCTGCTCTTCCCTCCTTGATCCTTCTCCCTCCTGAGGGTCGGAATGTCGGAGGCTGACGCGGCGGTGAGGGTGGACCGCAAAGGCTGAGCCCGGTTGCGGAACTTTGCAAATGTCGCGGCGTGCGCTGCGGAGAGACTCTGGCGTTTGCAGGAAGATGGTACGAAGCAGGTGGGCTTGGGTTGGCCAAGGATATTGGGAGGTGTGTCGGATCGGATTGGTGGTAAAACCAGGGAGCTGAAGTGCAATGCTGGTGACGGTGGGCTGGATTCTGTCCAAGAGCGAGAATGTAAGACTGTACTTCCCTGTCCGTCTAGGTTTCGCAGGGAGTTAGAGAAGTGATCAGGAGTGGCTGAGATGTGAAGTCAGGGAAATAGAGTGCGAGGTGGACAGGATGCAGTTGCCAGCAGCATAGCCATTGAAGACAAAGGTCGCTTGCTGATTGGTCAGCCTTGTTCACGTCTCCCGCCTCTCTTTTCAACTTATTCGTCGAACTTTCACCTTTTCAACCTCGATTGCCTACGATCATCTACCGCACGCATTTAATGCATATATACTCTATCTGTCAACAATACGTGGCATCCGAGCTGCACAGTACCTATTTGGGCTGCTCCTGCGTGGCATTCGGCCTTGGTGTGGAAGAAAGGCTGACTACGCTAAATCTCTCAAGGCAAAGGCTACCGCTTCGACTACACCAGAATGCCATGAATTTCTTGACTGTCTATCATACATTCCAACTTGCTTTCGCAGATACGGCAGAGCGGAATCCAAACTCCTGCGATTGAGTACCCAGTGTCCCAGGAGGTCGAATATTACAGCTGGTGACTCGCCCGCGTAACGCATTTGAAATTACCTCAAATTAGAACAGCGCACTCCCCTCCGCATCTCCCTCGAAACTGGCGCACTATCGGACCCCCTGATCCAGAGGCGCCAAACCACGCTTCGATCTAGATCAGGATGGTCAGGCTAATAGATCAGAGCAATTTCCCCATGTCGTCTCAATTGGAAATGGTTCGAGTTTGCCCTTATGGATGAACCCAGATCGCCAAGGAGGCCTGAAGGCCGTGAGATGCTGATTGCAGTATACCTTTTCGTGTGTCGTTTCCATTCCTGTCAAGCCAGGTCCATTCTACAGTAACAGTGTTATACTTGCTGTTCCATCCTCTGATCTTTACGACTTCCTGGAGCACTTCTCTTGTCCGCAGCAGCCACCGTGCCTGCTAGGGAATCTCTCATGCTCTCACGACTTCGGCTGAGAGTCAGCCTACTGACACCATTATTATTCTTGAAACGATCGAGTATATAATCTATTCGATTATCTCATCTGACATTCTATCCACATCTCGATCTTTCTCCAGGGTCAGGATTCTCAGGGCACTGCAGTCATGAAGACGGCAGCACTCATTCTGGCAGCTGCAGTTACTCTGCGGTCGATGGCTACAGGAATACGTCTTCCGCCTTCCACAGGACAGGGTTCGGATCTGGCTCAATATATGTCGGTAAGAGGTGACAGGGAAAACTGCTCTTACACAGATGGCCATTGCTTATACAGCTTTCCATAGCGTCCAGACCTTCGCGCCCCGCTATTGAGGTTAGATACGTATGAAGCCGACGCGATCACGCCAGGATACTGGTTCCTCTCCCCCTTCAAGCATCTTGTGGTTGGGAGAATGGAAGACAAATACATTCCATACCAGAATGGTCCCCAGATCTACGATCACCGAGGGGTGAGTCACTTTGGTATCGGTGAATGTCTCTGTACTAATCTATCAGGAACTCGTATGGAGTGGCAGTCCCATGTTCGAGTATCGTAATGTCTTTGATTTCCGCATTGGTGAGGTCAATGGGTCACAGGTCTTGACCGCAATAGTCGATTCTGCACGCCTACTCGAATCAAATTACTCCATGGGCCAGAGCGGGTTCATCATCAACGAGAAATACCAGGTCGTCCAAGAAATCACGCTTTCCAGGACTTACAATATGCACGAATTCAACAGTGTCGGCAACAACCGAATTCTCATTGCCACCAGCGCCGATGCAAATGTCGACCTCACGGACATGGGCTTGCCGAACCACACGATCCGAGTTAAATCAGGGGGATTCCGGGAGTGGGACATCACTACTGGGAGGAGCGTGTTTGAGTGGGTGATTAAGACCACGTCTCCGTGGACGACTCGGTCATGAAAATGCCAGAGGATCTCTATAGGTCATGGGACGCCTTTCACCTTAATTCAATTACGAAAGATTCGCACGGTGATTATCTCGTCTCACTTCGCCACACGAGCACCGTCTACAAAGTCTCTGGTACAGATGGCTCTGTTATCTGGCGCCTGGGGGGAAAGTACAGTAACTTCCAGCAAAATTTCAACTTCTCTGGCCAGCACCATGCTCGGATTTTAACGGAGGACGATACCGGAATGACTATTACCCTATTCAACAACGCTGCCGACGACCGTGGAGCCCAAGAGGCCACCGCAAACGCCTCTTCTATGCAGGTGATCAGAGTTTATGACAGTGAGGAGCCACCGCGTGCTGTGCTTTTGGCCCAGTACGTCCGGCCCGACGGCCAGTTGACCGACAAACGAGGCTCCGCTCAAATCTTGGAGAGCGGAAATGCCTTTATCTGCTGGAGTGCCAATGGGTATATCAGCGAGCACACCCCCGATGGCCGCGTTGTGTTAGAAGCACGTTTCCTCAGCGAGCGTTTTTCCACGTATCGCGCGTACCACGTCGCCGACTGGGTTGGACGCCCTACCGAACCACCAGCCTTGATGGCGTACGCTCACGTCAGTGCCTCGTCTCAAGCACTTCCCTCGACCGTCCTGTATGTGAGCTGGAACGGCGCCACCGAGGTAGCTTCTTGGACTTTCTATGGTGCATCCGGCATTGACGAGAGCAACAAAACCTTCCACAAACTCGGCAGCGTCTCGAAAGTAACCTTCGAGAGCAGCATGGCAGTTGAGGGATATTGGCGCCATACCTACGCCGAGGGGTACGACGCACATGGAAACCTCCTCGGCACGTCGGAAGTCAAGGCGACCATCCTTCCTGAGCAGGCGGGAAGCCAATTTGAGCGGTACGACAACGAGGGTGGGATGCACTACCTCACCGCCAGTCTTTCTGCGGCAGAAGGCACGCTCACACTGCAAGCATCGAAGCCGGTCGCCGGCTTCGCTACTTTTGTCTCCTTGGCCTGTGTTCTTTACACGGTCATTTCGCTGTCATTACGGGCTTGTGGGCGATGCCGCCTACGGTCTGGTCGCAATCCTTCCCGCGGACGGCAACATCACGAAAAGACACTGAGCGATGATGAAACCCACGCTCTTTACACATACCCAGACAACCGTTGGTTCGAAAACGAAGAGGATATGGAGATGGACCACGATTGTAACAGCAAATTTCGATGACTGAAGGGGTTTGGAAGCAATGGATTCTAACTTTGATTGGGGACGTATGTTTCGTTGCACATTTGCCCCATGAACCGTGCGGCGTTGAGGACAGGGCGTTTAGAACGTGTTCAAGGACTCTAAATTGGCCGTTTTACTCCCTTTTGCTCTGACTATCATCCCTGAATTGGACAAATGTGAGTTTAGAGCTCACAAGGGCTGAAGGGAAATACTCAAGACGGAATAGCACCGGACAAAGATTTTCAACTATTAATGTCCTATGTATCCCTCAGGCACAGAAGAATATGGATTCGCTGCCACCATTCACATCGACTCGAAGGACATCAATACCGCTGGTCACGTACGAAAAACATAACTGTTCCATCCAGACCCGTAGCCAACATTGTTTCCTCCAAACCCCCCCCCCCCCTTTTTCCCCACCCACCCACCCAATCGGCTCCGCCTCGGCCTCGTTGGTCCGTCTAGGAACTTGAACTCGAGCCCGCGATCTCTGGAATGGCCGCATCAATTGCGCCACAGTAAGCGTTACCCATGGTAAGGGTGCCCCCGGGAGAAGTTATGGCCGTGGACGGGTTCGTGGCTGGATCGGGACACGTGCCGACGGTCTCGCCGATGTAACAGTTGTTTGGCCCTGCCCAGGCCCAGACTGACACGTCTCCAAGCGTGACGGCGGCAACGCAGCAATCTAGAAGAGAGGGGAAGAGCATATTGTCAGCACGGTTTTTTTGACTTGTTCAGGAGTGTGTGGAAACAGGCTGCCTTGGTTCCTTAGGTCCAGCCTTGGGAAGGGGAAATTAATGGGCACTCATAGCTCCCGGGGGATATGGGCGAAATATACGCAGGGAAAAGAAAAGGGGGGACGTACCGTAGGCATCATCTGCGGTGGTTGTGAAGACGTTCGAGAACCCCTGTACCACTTCGATAATACCTGTACCCAGATATTCATCTAGAAAATAATGCGCGCCGTCAGTATCAGTTTCTTTCTGAGGATCGTGGAGATAAAATGCGGCTGGGTTCGGGTTTTATGTCCCCCACCTCCCCTCGAGTGGAGGGCTCCAAACAAAGACCTCGATTGTATTCGAGAGGGAAGGCTCCCCTGCAAGATTGTTGGTTGCACAGGCAGCATACAAGGTGGTGGTTGTGATGTACTCGGTGGCTGTCGATGTCGAAGTGCTAGTGGAGGTCTGGGTGATAACGCTGGTTGTAGTCGTCGTTACCGTGCTCGTGGATGTGGTGGTGCCCGACGGATTCACGGTGGTGGTGGTAGTCGAGGTCGAGGTCGAGGTTACAGTTTCTGCCGTGGCGGTGATTGTCGATGTTGTGATGGTAGTCTTTGTGGAGCACGTCTCCGAGACCGAAAGATGGCAAACGACGCCCTGGGGGTATCGCCACTCGCTGAGACCCGGTTGGGACAGTATTTCCTTGTTACTACTGCTGCTGCTGCCCCAAGCCTTGGCTTCTCGCTTGCTGATGGGGTCAGGGCCGCCTGATCCGCTGTAAGTCGAGCCTGGGAGGGAGGTCTCGACCGGCGTGAAGGTCGCTGGCGCAGCTACAGTTGTCGTCGAGGCCGAAAGCGTGATGATTGTGGTCGTTGTCGTGGTTGTATCTGTTGTCGTGGTTGAGTCAGTGGTGCTAGTGACTGTTGTAGTCTGGATGGCGGTAGAAAACGAGGTTGATCCGGTTATGGTGGCAGTACTGGTGACCGTAATGGTGGATGTGCTTGCAACTGGCGTCAGAGTGGCCGTAGCAGTCGACGTGAGAGTGCTGGTACAGAGCTGGTACCGGGTGCTCCAAGTCGTTGCAGCATTCCAGAGCCCGCTACTTGGGCCCATTTTCGTATAGCATTTTATGCTAAGTAAAGGAGACGATGGAGGCGCGGGACCTTTGCTCGGTTGTCGACCAGGAGGAGCAGCAGCAGTCAGCGCAATGTACGAGGCCAAAACGGCCAAGATGTATACCGGGAAATACATCACTGCCGGCCTAGAAAAATGAGTGACTCAAGTTAGAATTGAAATTCAGAAAGCGAATGGAACTGGGCAAGCAGTGCTATAGAGAGTGACCGAACTGTACAACCATAGAATACTGAAAAAGATAACATAGGGACAGCATTTACTATCGCGAAACTTGGAATTGTCGTCCGAGTGCTGGGTATCAAATTTGGAGCCTACCATTCCCTGGATCGAAGCGTGTGGCGTATGGGGCCCGGGAATTGAGAGACTCTCGATTCGCGCCATGGCTGAAATAAAACTAAAAAACCCCGATCCCTCGACTGGTGCACCTCTAGTATTCTTTGGCAGAGTGGACAAAAGGAGCTACCCTCCCCAAGTACAAGGTGAATACCATCCCGAGAGATCGTGGAAGGTCTCTTTCGACCTTCGCGTAGGAGAAATTGCGCGGAATACCTTGTCCTTCAACGTCTTTGCGTGAACGATGAAGCCGTCATAAGGTTGCTCCAGCCAACTAAGGCCACGAGCTTGGTGAGCTTAGCTTGTGCCCTTATCCACCGGCCGAGTCCCCTTTCGTCTGGGGGTCACAACGTCTTTCTGGGTGCGGCCAAAAGCGGGCGAGGTCGTGCCTGGTTTGGCAATTGGGCTGGCAGCGGGACCATTACGACGCGCTCACGACTCTGGCTGACCCTGGATCACCCTGGATCACCCCGCCTCATCTCACATCGCGTGCAGAAGGTGACCAGAGCGGCACTGAGGAAGAGGAGACGAATCACGAACAACACACAAATTGCTATACCAAGCTCATCGCGAACGTGCTTCCCTAGACAACCAATGCCAGGTAATGACCAAAGCGCCAACAATCGATACAGTCTTTCAACAGGGTTCTCGCAGCGTGCCCACGTAGGTTGCTCCTTTCGATTCAAGACAGGAGGGCGCTCTGATGTTGTTCTGCCCCTTTTCGTCCTAAGACTAGCCAGGCACGCCAGCATGGGGTCAGGACAGGCTAGCGCAGATCAGAACACTTGCCCAAAAGAGATCGGGGCTGGTATGATGCACTAGAAGTCCAGGCAATGTAATGACGGTAAGGCTAGGTTCTTTGTATAGGGGGTCGTGGGGGTTTGGACTGCGCGAGTTTGTCCCTTTATGGCACATGTCATTATTACTCGAGGACGAGTATCCAAATTACCCTATTTGGTCTCGCCTTGGATAGCGGGACGGTGAGTGAAAGCTGTTCTAACCCGAGCCTCGACTATGCCATTGACTGACTACCAATGTGTGCCCAGAGAAGCACCCTGTGAGCGATATGTTGTGCCTGAAGAGAAGCAGGGCCCCACACGGGATTTCCTTCCTTATTAGGCATGGTCCACATCTTTACCCCTCCGCCGAGTTCCGAGCCGGAGCGAGAAGCCTTGTGACAAGGAGAAGGAGTCCAAGACAGTCAACATGACCCGATGGCTGGCCCTGGACATACTCAGTCGCTCTCGGCTGCTGATGTTCCCTTGCTAAGAACCAGAGAGCACTATCGACGGTTTTACGGCGATTCCATGAAGGTATAATCTTCGCGCCCGGGGCAAGGAGAGTTTCAAAACAAGCCCAGATCAGCCTGCTCCAATCGATATCCGTGCTCGGCTGATCGATTTCGGCAAGATAGAGATGAATGGCCCGACCAACATCACTGGCAAGTCCGAGCCGCGGCGACAGATGCATTCGTGCGATACGTGCCGCCGTCGGAAGATCAAGTGCGACTCGGTGAACAAGTCTCGTTGCAGTGCGTGTCACAAATCCGGAGTGGATTGTAGGTAAGCCGCTCCATTGCCAGGCACTCGTCGGAAGACGAGAATCCGTACGCTGACCGCGTCTCGAAGCTTTACTGTCAAATGGAGGAGACTGGACAGTCGGCGGTCCGAAATTTCGAGGACACCGGGGGAATCCTCTGCAGATACCCTCCCCGCGCCTCCGCGCTCTGATGGCTTGGGAGACACCATCCCATTCACCGACCTTTCCACAACCCTTGACAGTGGTCGGGAGGAGAGCGAACCGCGCTGCTATGCCCAAGATAGTCTCTCCCAGTTCTTCCACAAGAGCGTCTGGTCGTCTGGATGGGCCGAGTTCGACGACTACGAACGCCTGCGCCTGGCCTACATCGGGACTCCTGTCTCGAATTTTGCTCACCTAGTCAATTTGAACCAGAGAGGACAGCGGTTCTTGACCTACCCGCATCCTCGCATTCACCCACATCTCCCTTGGCAGCCCAACCCTGAAGACTATCTGAACAGGGCCCCGACCGTAGACAGCATCCGCCAGCTGAGCTCGTTCCCGGCCAAGGAGATCCGCGACGAACTAGTCGAGGCCTTTTTCGAAAAGATTCACCCCTGCTTTCCCGTGTTGGATGAAGCTGGCTTTCGTATCCTGTACAATGATCCCAACAATCCCCCACCTTTGATTGTTTTCCAGGCGGTCTTGCTAGCAGGGGCGCATGTCTGCGACCACCCCAAGGTAGCCGATTCGCGACAAACGGTCAAGTCAATTCTCTACCGTCGAACCAAACTCCTGTTTGATATGCGATACGAGAACAATAGGCTCTACCTGATTCAAGCTGCCTTACTTCTCACATGGTATCTTGAGGATGCCGATTCTGTGAGTCTCAACAGCTATCACTGGGTAGGAGTAGCGTGCCGGATAGCATTTGGCATTGGACTGCATCGCAATCTTCTGAACGACCCAAACACTCCTGATCGGATGCCTTTGTCTGACCGGAGGCTATATCGACGGGTGTGGTGGGTGCTGTATCAGGTCGAGATCATGTCGGCGCTCGAGCACGGAAGACCGTCGCTGATTCACTGTGACGATTTCGACCAGCCTCCATTGGAGCAGAATGATCTGCGTGAAGTCAACGGCCAGATCAACCAAAAGATCAATTTTGAGTATTGTTCCAAGAACATTGAGCTGTGCCGTATGATACTCGACATCCTCAGCGCCACGTCTCCTGGGGCTCTCCTTCGAGGCGAATGTCCAAACCTTGAATCCCTCAACGCTGGCCTCGTGAAATGGGCTATATCAGTTGCGCCAGGCAACACCTTCCCGAGTCTTCAACTGCAACTCCACTATCAGACCGTCATCCTTCATTTGCACCGGCTCTTCCTCGACGGGGATGACCGGATAGCCATGTCGCCAGATTCCAGTGATCAGTGCAACGCCGCAGCACAGGCGATTTTGTCCATCTTTGATGCCATCATTCGACTCGGTGTCTTGAAACAGTGCTACTTTCCATCTGTCATGGCGCTCATTGCGGCGGGCGTCAACATATCTCGGGTTATCGAGAAGCTCGTCGACAAAGGCTCGAAATTGCTCACCTTGAACGCCATCCGAAACCTGGAGACGGTGGTTCAGACCGCCGAGCTGTTGAAAAAGTCATGGGCCAACGCTGAGGGTGTCGAGAAACTATTCCGGATCTTGGTTGACCGGTACAAGGATTGTCTGCACGGAGAACAATACAGTCAAGACGTCCCTGCAACCACCGACTTCTGCAACTTTGATTGGGAGGCTATGCTGCTTTTCGATCCCCAGCCCGGACTGCCAGATCTAGAATGGATGGACGCCGGACCAGACCATTAGGACACTGTGTACGGTTTCTTCGTGAGATGACGGCGTGCTTCTGGCCTGAGTTTGCCCCCTGTACGTGGATCTTGCATGAGGTGGCGCAACTTCGGAGCACGTCCGCGGAGGATGAAAATATCTGCGTAGCAATGGAAAGGATCAGATAGGCACCAAAAGCGAGACCAATGTGTTCGCAAAGGAACAAGTCAATCAATCATTTCTTTGAATTGATGTCTAATTTCCCTAACTGGATGGATGATCTTGAACGCAGACCATAAATGTCCTCTCCGCTTAGTTGTCATAATCTGTTGAGCAACTCAAGTGCTCGTACTTCTTAAAGTTCTCTCCGTTCTCCTGGAGCTTCTTCATGACGAGATTGTACGAGTCGGGTCCGATCGCAACACGCATGGGTGGGTCTTTCATCACGGCCAACTCGTACATAACACGGGCGCCCTTGTCGGGGTCTCCCGCCTGCTTGCCATGGCGCTCGTCCATCGACTTCTTGGTGTCGATATGGTCGTAGGCAGTCAGACGGGGGGCGAATGTCATGCTTCGGCCTGTCCAGTCAGTCCGAAAACTCCCAGGTTCGAGGCAGGTGAGTTTGATGTTCCATTCCGGCTTCATTTCTTTGTTGACGCACTCGGTGAAGCCTTCCACCGCGAATTTACTCGCACAGTAGAGACTGAAGCCGGCCACGCCGCGCTGGCCCCCGATACTGGTGACCTGCTGGATCACGCCGCCAGGCGGAGTATTCTTGGTACGCATGGCCACCAGAGCCTCGCGCGTCACATCCAAAAGGCCGAAGAAGTTGACTTCCATTTGCCGCCGGATCTGAGACTCGTCGTACTCCTCGAAGCAGCCTGCCAGGCCATAACCGGCGTTGTTGACCACCACATCAATACGGGCGAACTTGTCCAAGGCCGTCGCGAAGCCGTTGGAGATTGATGTTTGATCCGTGACATCGAGCACCAAGGGCAAAAAGTTCTTCTCGGTTGCGTTCTTGAACGACAATAATTGATCCATGCTCCGAGCCGTGGCGACAACATAATCCCCGCGATCGATGACCTCCTGGGCATATGACTTTCCCAGACCAGTGGAGCAGCCCGTGATAAAGAAGACTCGTGGCATGGTTACTGCTTTGATAAAACGGTTGTATGGATTCCCACGGCAAAGAATTGGAATATCGCAGCAAAGCTAATCAATTCTGCTGCTGGCCTAGGTGGACAGAGATAAACACAAAGATCGGCTGTGGTAAGAAGCAGAGAAGATGCTCAGCACTTTTTTAGGTCGATTTATCCAGCAATCTGACCCAATTGTCTATCTGCATGTGGCCTGTTTGTGAAGACGCTCGGAGGACCACTGCCCGGAGGCACTTCCTGGCCTTCGGAACTCGGACTTTCTGCCTTACTTATTCCCCTCTTTGTACACCCGAAAGCACCTGCATTGTGTCATGAGACTGTGTGTATGTCCAAATGTGTTCGATCTGGTGTCATACGAGGCGAGAGATTGTCCTGTTCTGGGATAAATTGAAGCTGCTGCGGCGAGGCCCTGCAGGTTCTTCATTGCCACGAAGCATCAGCAGTGGAGAATCGAGATCGACAACCAGCCTCATCTCCAGCTTGAATCGGCTGTGGTTATTTCCTGCTACAACATGAATTCCTTCTTGAGGAGCTCGTCGAACGTTCAACCTATCAACCCATATCGCTTGTTGGGCAGGGGTCCGATCTCATCCCATGTGGCTACCACAACGGCCTCCTCGCGAATCATTGCGACGGCTGGCCAGGTCGGGGCTGATGAGGAAGGATTATTTCCAGGAGATGCAGAGGTCCAAATTTCCCGTGCTATTGCCAATCTCAAGCGCTGTCTCGAGGCTGCCGGTGCAACACCCCAGGACGTTTTCAAGCTGGTGACGTATACGGCTGTGGACAACACCTCGACTCACACAATAAACAGACATCTAGCAGCATATCTGAACGGGCATCGGCCTGCAATGACCTCCGTCCTCGTCCCTAGATTTGCGGCCCCCGAATGCATCTTTGAGGTGGAAGCGTATGCCTCGGTCAGTCAATGCTCTACCGCAAACCCTGTGGATGTGATCATCATAGGTGCTGGACTTAGTGGGCTCAAGGCAGCATATGACGTCCAGAAATCCGGGCTGAGTTGCTTGGTGATCGAAGCGCGAGACCGGGTTGGAGGCAAGACCTGGACCGTCGATCCTTTGGACAATGGCAGCGCGGTGGACGTTGGGGCCGCGTGGATCAACGACACCACTCAAAACAAGATCTACGAGCTCGTCAGCTCTCTCGGCCTGGAGACCGTCGTACAGAACACCAAAGGTAGTTTGGTCCAGGAAGATTTAGGTGGTGGTCTTCAGCTGTTTCCGTACGGTGGTGTTCCTAATGTAGGTTTCCTTCCAATGCACCCCTGGGAAGGCGATCTCCTAACATTTCAGCCAGGAGCTCTGCGAGCCTGGAGGCCTCGAGAGTATGATTCATATACGAGACCTCGCCGAAAGCGTCTGTCAGACGCTGGATATCCACGACCCAGTCGCTACGGGAGGCGACCTTGATATGTGTACGTTTCAAGAATGGGCGGAACGAAATGGAGCTGGCAAGACCGCTGTCGCATCCATATCGGTCTGGACGCGGGCCATGCTCGGCCTAGAGCCTTCCGAAGTCAGCGCGCTTTTCTTTCTCAACTATCTCAAGAGTGGTGGAGGTCTGATGAAGATGAGATCCGATTCCAAAGATGGCGGACAGTATATGAGACTAGTAAAGGGTATATTGTCTTCCCTTCCTGCACGCATCAAGGAAACACGAAACTGACTATTCTGCTTTTTTGGGCAGGAACGCAGTCGATATCGATCGGACTTGCTGAGCTCTTGCAGCCTGGGTCCATCGTTCTAAATTCGCCAGTGCGGGCGATCAGACAGACAGTCAACGGTGTCGTTACCGTGTCCGCCGGTCGTGGGGAGTTCACATCTCGAAAAGTCATCGTGTCAGTTCCGACACCGCTCTACCAGGAAATCAATTTCTCCCCGCCGCTTCCAGCCGCTAAGCAGCAGCTTAGCAAGGCAAACACTCTTGGATATACCTGCAAGGTGATGATATTGTTCGCCGAGCCCTGGTGGAGAGCCAAAAACCTAACAGGAGTCTTGCAATCGTTCGAAGGCCCCATTACGGTCACGAGGGACAGCAGCGTCGACTCCAAGGGATATTACTCCATGACCTGCTTCCTCGTCGGCCAGGCCGGCCGTGACTTGTCGCGAAAGACTCAAAGAGAACGCTTCGACACGGTCCTGGCACAAATTGAACGGTGTTTCGGCTCCGTGATGGGAGGCCCAATCCCCAAACCCATTGCCATGACCGAACATGAATGGGCGAAAGATCAATGGGCCCAAGGCTGTCCCTGCCCGGCTTCCCCGCCAGGGATCATGACCGATTTCGGCCACGCGTTGAGGACAGTCCACGGACACGTGCATTTTGTGGGCACTGAGACTGCGTTTGAATGGAAGGGGTACATGGACGGTGCCGTCCGTTCGGGCGAGCGAGGAGCAAGGGAAGTCATTCGTGCACTGAATCCAGCCAAGTTGTGAGTCCTAATAGGCAGAGGCAGGGTGGAGTGGTTCAATTTTATTCATGGGTCGAATTGCTTGCTTTTCCACCTAGGAGAAACAGAAACAGAAACGGGAAAGACGATTTTTGATGCTCTTTACTTGATACTGGGAACTTGGGGTCTCCTTGTGCAGAGCACTGACTGGGTGAGCAGTTAATGGACTCGCTGGGACGATGGTTGATCATATGCCATTTGGCGATTCGAGTCCCGATGTTCGTTTCCTATTTTTTCTGCTGTTCCTGCAGCTGCTGCATCCACGCCAGAGCGCCACCGGCCGAACACACCCTCTCCACACTGATGGACATGACCTCGACGACATTGCCCCAGGGGTCCTGCATGTACACCCCCTTGTGGCCCGTCAGGCCATAGCGGCCGTAGTCCATCCACTCCCCGACCTGCCGGCCGCCGTCCTGCACGACCGCCTGGAGCAACGCCTCGGGGTTCGGGTCCGTGACGCAGAGGTGGAAAAACCCGGGCCGGGCGAATTCGAACCCGCCCGCGTCGGCGTCGAACGTGCGTGCGGCGGGCGCCGGGTCTATGAACTGGAACACCTCCAGCCCGACGCCGTTGCCGCTCGTCAGCATGGCAAACTTCAGCTCGCGCATGCTCGCCGGGTACGACGTGAAGATGGTCGTGAAGGCCTCGGGCGTGCGCCGGCGGCTGAAGTGCCGGATCTGGCCGATGACCTGGAACCCGAGATGGCGGGTGTACCAGGACACGAGACCTTCGAGGTCGGTGCAGGACACGGCCACGTGGTTGATGGCGCGGTTATATGGGACCTGGGAGAGCCGATGGTTACTTCATGCTCGACATATCATTTTCCCGAAGAGTTTGACCAAATGTTAAGGCAGCGGTTTCTGACTTACGGTTTCGGCCATGGTGACACCGGGGAGGCAGTCACGACGAATGTGGGCGAGTGTTTGGTTCTGGGTCCAGGAGCAAGGAGGATAAAGGATGTAGAAGCCAGTATTTAGAGACTTGAGTTGCGGGTATTGTCAAAGTCGAGCCTCCAAGAATTTATCAGCGCTGGACAGAGTCGACAGAGCACGGAGAACGGAACGGCCATGGAGAAAGCGGTACCGTTGACCTATTTGGGAGATACAATCAGCTACAGGTGCAGGAGGGGTTCCAGTCGAAAGACAATTTGTTTGGGCGTCGGAAGAGACGCATGGTAGCACATAGCATCGCTCTATACGTAGTTTTTCGTACTGTACTAAGATAGCATAACTACTAGCTGACACAGGGTTGCCGCCCACTCATGCCACCGGACAGGTCGGTCAAAGAGTTTGATAATTCTCGGTTGCCAGCCTCGGGTTAACATATGACATCTCATTCCACGTTCCTTGCTATGATACTTTCAATCAGGTTCTTGCTGGATACTTCGGCACCCATGAAACGATCGATCGCATCCGATAATCGACCACCAGCCACCGTGTCGGCTTCGAGAGCTGAGGCCAATATTTTCCCGCTCTCGGCCAAAAGGTCAAGCTCGGTCAAAGGCAGTGGCAGTGGTTGCGGTTGATCCGCAAAGGGAGCAGCCTGCGACTTCCCAGAACCACCCGTGTATTTCGTGATGCACAACTCTGTGAAAATCGCGGGCGTCACGGTCGCCGAGTGGCACCCGAGTCTGGCAGCAGCATCGACTTCCTTAAGGGATCGGAACCTGTTTAGATACATTAAAACCCCAAGTTCGAGGCACAAGAGCGATTTAGACATACGCCGCCAGTTTGATCAGAGGTTGTGTCTGCCCTGTTTTCTTTTCTAGGTGTTTGTACAGGCCCACCATCTGAGCTAGCGGTCGGGAAAAAGGGTGCTGTGTCGCTGGATCTTCGACATTGGGCCACAGTGATGGATCTCTCATGGAGCGAACCTCTGCGTGCCTGAAGGTTAGTAGACGTCCTGGCCTCGGTCGAAGCTGGGGTCTCTTGACAAGCATACCGTTGAAATAGGGGCTGATGAAGAGACATCTGGCCTGGCTGCATGCGACAGCCTGTTCCACTCCAAAGACTGCCGTGCCGAGAGTGTCAATGCCTTCGCTCTGAAGGATTCTGGCCGCATTCAAGCCCGGACCCGTGGCGAGGATCTTGATGCAGAACCGCTCCCTTGGGACCCCCAGCCGATGAAACTCTTTGGTGTATAGCCTCGCGTGTGCCAGAGTCTCCTCCATGCTGTACGCCGCAGAAGGGAGTGTCTGCACCAAGACTCGGCCTCGAATAAGGCTCAAATTTCTCTCCAAGATTGTAGTGGCCTGTTTTTTGGTCAATGAATACGCAGCAACACGTCGAATCCCGTGACTTCACCATTCTTGTATAGATGGCCACCCACCCTTCCGCGTGGAGCTCTTGGGCCACGCTATGTAACAGATCGCGGTTCGACTCATGGCCTATCTGAAGGCCAAGCAGATACGGATTGCTGGTCTGGTCGAAGGGGCTGACAGGCAGCGACTTGATACATTCGAATTCTGGCCAGTCTATGTCTAGGTTCACTGCCTCATCTTAGGGCCAGGTTCCGATGATGTCCAGTAAGGAAAACAGGGTACTCACTCTGTTTGGTGACATGTTCTTGCCATGTCTCTATGCCCGCGTCGCCCATGGGTAGTGCCAACGACACGTGAACGAATCAGTTATAGGATGCTAGGGACTTTAGATGCTGATGAGAAACAGTTGAGATCCCGATTTAGCAACAACGCTCTGTCCAGGCAATGCCACACATCTGTATCACCCAAAGAACACCGGCTCTTTAAGAGGCCAGAAAATGTGGCTGTTGGCGGTCTCGGTTGGCATTCTGGGAGTGATGAGACCGATTGAACGATGGTCACGGCTCTGCACCGAGTCTGGCCGAGCCGATGTCCGTTGAACCGCCAGGAGTCATTACCATGAAGCCTTGACATGGTGTGTTCTTTGACAAGTCTCTAGATACCGTTCATGCGGTTGCCGAGTTCCGAGATGCCCCCAGCCAAGTACCCACTCGTCCGGGATGCAAAATGACCCTGACTCGTGGAGGAGAACACCATCTCTATATTTATGTCATTAGGAGACCAAGGTAGTAAGTGAGTGCAACTGCGAAGTAAGGAATCTTAATGAAACAACTCGAGATGGAGGATGCATGGAAGAAGGACTGTGCGGAAGCGCGACAGGCGCTGATGGACTCTATTCCTCCCAAGTGGCGTCTATCCAACCGCCCCAGCGAGTCACAAACGGACGTACGCTCTGTTCCAAGAACCTGTGGCCTGCTCACCGAGCGACAACTGGAGATCACGGAGCAGAATGCGAGTGATTTGATGCCGAAATTGCTCGATGGACGCCTATCATCGGCGGAAGTGACAGAAGCGTTTTGCGCACGAGCTGCAATCGCTCACCAGTGTGTAGGTTGAAACTAGAGGCAACTGCAGACTGGATTGCATAATAACAAAACACAACTTGAGCACAGGTGAATTGCCTCACCGCTTTTTTCCCAGACGAGGCTCTTGCACGAGCAAAAGAACTGGACAGTATACTGGCAGCAACCAAGACGCCAGTGGGACCTTTACATGGGCTGCCAGTTGGAATCAAAGCAAGTCCAACATCCGTGATCGCTGGTTGTCAGAGCTAACAACGGGTAGGACATCTTTCACATGAAAGGCAAGATGCTGACTATGGGCTTTGCGGCCTGGCATAACAACAAAAGTGATCAGGACGCCGCAATTATTGAGATATTGAGAAACGCAGGAGGTAGATGTCTCTTCTTTGGTAAAGACTGTTCATCGAGGACTGATGCGTTTGCAGCTGTCTTCTATGTTCGAACAACCATGCCCCAGACAGGCATGTTCCTCGAAACTTGGAGTAATCTCTGGGGCCGGACGGTGAATCCATACAACACCGCCTTTTCTGCTGGAGGCTCGTCCGGAGGCGATGGTAGCCTCGTCGCCATGCGAGGTGCACCGTTCTGCCCATCAACAGACATTGGAGGCAGTATCAGAGCGCCTGCAGCATTCAACGGAAACTACGCGATCCGACCTACGGGCGAGAGGACTGCGCGACGGGGAATGGGGGCCTTAGCCAGCGGGCAGATTTCAGTCAAGGTGTCCTCGGGTCCGAACTGCCATAGCATGGGTGATATCAAGATGGCGAGCAGGGTCTTGCTTACGCATTATGGACTTCCCTTCGAGACTACCGCTATCCCCATACCATGGAAAGATGTCGCGCCCAAAAATGGGAAGCTCTGCTTCGGACTGATGGCTACAGATGGCTGCGTCGAACCCCATCCCCCAATTCGCAGGGCGTTGAGAGAAACGGAGGATAAGCTGCGGGCCGCTGGCCATGAAGGTATGTATAACGATAGGCCCTGAACGGAATCGAAGGTCGACCAACTGACATTGCATCAAAAGTCATTGGCTTCTCGCCACCTTTCGACTGTTGGGAAGTTGCGGATACCACGGTAAGTCCAGCGTCATCCTCCTGTCTCTACGCTCTTGTCTATGCTTTCAGCTGACAGTCAGGAACACTTATGCAGTGGAGATTATGGTTCCAAACTGGAGCCAAGGAGTGCAAGAGCCTCGTGGCGTCCGCAGGGGAACCATTATATCCAACTTATACTTGGTACCTGGACACATTCAATATCCAACCGTTATCGGTTCCTGAATTGTTCAAGGTCGGATGAATGCCCATCTATTGTGGCTTTGAATTTATCTAGCTGACTAGGATATCTAGTTAAACACGAAACAGAGCGATTACCGATACAAGTTCGCGGAAGCGTGGTACAACACCAAATTTCAAACCGGGACTGGACGGCCTATTGACGCCCTGATCTGTCCCTGTGGTCCCTCTTCAAGCTTTCCCCATGGTTTCCCCGTGTGGTGGGGGTATTTCAGTTTATGGAACATACTCGACTACCCCAGCATTGTGGTCCCTCTGAAAGACTTCCATGTCGATCTGGAGAAGGACGGCAAAGATCTCGATTATCATCCTCGGGAAAATGTTTTTGACAAGATGAACCACGATATCTGTAAGATCCCACATCCCCGCCTGGAGCTGACAATATGTTTTGTATTGACATCCACTGATCTCCTGCTTCAGATGACCCAAAGTTGTGGGATAAGTTACCCGTGACCATACAAGTCGTGGGCCGGCAGTTTGAGGATGAAGAGCTTATTGCTGTGACGGAGTGCTTAGATCAAGTGTGCAACGACTGAGTTAGAATGTCCGTAAGACTATAGAGGTGCCATATCGAGCTAATTTCCCAACTTGCTGGTAGCCCTGCCTGCGTGCTTTTGACGTCAGTATCAGACTGTGGGCGAATGGAGCACTCTCAAGAGCTAGAAAATGAAAATTATGCTGGAATTTTGGATGAAGATCTCGAGGTCTCAAAGTATTCCTTGATCAGAATATTTTAGGTTCATCATCCAACTATGCAGATGGTCGACAATGCCTTGTCTAGGTAAACGGAACTCGGGTCCGATGCACATGGAGCCGCCCTGACACGGCGTTATTCTCGGTGGCGCAACCACGGAACTCATTAAGCACATGGCGGACCACGCATCGAGCGCTCTCATGATATAAGGGCATACGTCGAGCAGCCCTCAAGTGCAGAGTACCACACCACCGGCACGATTTACTTGTCCTAGCTTCGGCTCCACGAAACTCATTTTGCAGATTTGCATCGGTCGAGAAAAGCAAACCATGGCCTCGACCAAGAGCCAAATCACCCTTCTGAACCCAAGCGACCTCTTCGACTCGGCACCAAGTTTCTCCCACGTCGCGGTCACCCCGTCGTCCGTCAGGATGGTCTACTGCGCAGGCCAAGTGGGCGCGGATGTGAACCGGGAGCCGGCCAGCGGGCTTGAAGCACAGGCGAGACTCGCGTTTGGCAACGTGCGCTCGTGCCTCGCCGCCGCCGGGGCGTCCGTGCACGACGTCGTCAAACTCACATACTATGTGGTCGGCTGGGCGCCGGAAAAGGCGCCTCTGTTCCGCAAGGCGTTGATCGAATTTCTCACCGACGACACCGGCGCCGTCCACCGTCCGCCCTCGACTTTGATATCAGTCCAGGGGCTAGCCGATCCCCGGTGGTTGGTGGAGGTTGATGCAGTGGCAGCAATCAAGGGGTGACAAAGTTGAACAGAGCTGTCTTTCGGCCCAGTCCCTCTCCTCGGATGGTCGGAGATGGCCAAAACCAACCATTTCAATACGAAAATCAATGCCACTTGAGGCCGCGAGCTAGCAATTGCAGTCATTCATTTGTCAGCTCCATCCCCTCTTTCTCTCCATCCTTGATAAACAGGGTCTAGCAGCCACTTACCTTCGCCCTGCAAGGTACTATGATTCATAGCTCGGCGGAGTCGTAGAGACTCGCAACACTGTTACTCCTCCGGCGCGATTATTGCACGGTCGTCTGTCTCAGATGTCTAAGCTAGGCGGACTTAGTCTACGAATAGGGTATCATATCATTTCCATATTCAGGTTGTACTGTTTACAGCTATATAACCCTCCTCTAGTCGTCTCCTTTTATCCGCAGGAAGCTAGTGCACCCGAATTTGTTGTTCTAATATCGCACCGTGAAATACAGCCAAGGCGAAAGGAAACAAATCTATCAAACTCTTTCTTACCTCTAGTAGTCATAGCTAGTTTGAATACACACTTGCCCTGTCATTTAAAGCAGCATGGGTTGCTACATGTCGACCGATTGATTGCTGGGCTTTGGGGCTTTGCAAACAACATCCAAACTTAAACCGTTCTGCAAGACATAGACATTGTATTTCCTGGTCTCTGTCCATCATGCTAGCTTTAAAATCTTGCCTGTGCTCGTCGTACATTGTTTAGGATCGGGTAGAGAACGCTACAATCCGCTTGTATATTCATGAGGACGGTATGGAAGATAACGGGGCCCATTGTCCCTCGGATCTCAAAACGGAGCGGAGACAATTGCCCAAAATGGTCATTATTGCCGAGACCGGTGGATATCGGTGCTGAAGCTGGCCATATGCGTTTGGTATGGGTTCCGAGAGCCTGGGCCTCCTCTCATTTGGACGGTATCGCCAATGAGTATGTCTTATCAGGCAGTAGGTGCTCCAGCCCTGGACACATATATCCTCAGGGGGAATGAGATTTCTCTGCAGTTTATGTTCACGCTGCTCCCTCACTAGAAGAAACCGAACCCGCGCGAGTCTTTGTTTCTGAAAGTGTGAAGGATGCCTACCGAAGAAATATCCATTGCCGTGAGCCGTGAGCCAGACATGACCATCATGGCGTATGAAGGAGGGCAGAAGCTTCATATCTCGGCTGAGGAAGCTGCATTGAGGGTGAAGGGATCGATGCAGGTCAGGATAAACCACACCACTCACAGCTCCACCGATGTATGCAATACTGATCTTGTTGCGTCAGATGCCCAAGAGCTATCACATCTGGGGCCTCACGATTCCGGCGTACCGTCATCCTCGCGTCCAAGTCGTCGTGCTGGGATTGGTCATCTTCATGACCGCCGGCATCTATCAAGTCATCACCGCATTGGGCGGCGCCGGGCAGCAAAGTCCACATCTGGCGGACTCGGCCAGCATTACTCTTTTTTCCGTCTTCATGGCCTTCACGCTGATGGCGCCCGCCGCGTTGAACTACTTCGGCATCCGTTTGACCCTCAGCTTCGGGAGTCTGGGCTATGCAGCTTACTCGGCCAGTCTGTGGTGTTACAATCACACCCACAACCAACCGTTCGTGGTCTTCGGGGGTGCGTGGTGTGGTCTCTCTGCCGCTTTCCTCTGGGTCGCCGAGCGTGTCGGGCCTGTGGCCTACGCTGCGGAGGAGCAAAAGGGGTCGTACGTCGCGACCTTCTGGACCGTCTACCAGGTCGGCACCATGATTGGAGCCGCCATCCCTGTGGGTCAGAATTGGAATGCCGGCATATCAAACAATTCGACCGTTTCGGACGGCACTTACATTGGCCTCTTCATCATCATGCTCTGCGGCGCGGGGGTTGCGCTCCTGCTGTGTCCGATGGACACGGTCATTCGCGAGGACGGAACCAGAGTGGCGTTACCAGTAAGCCTTTCATGCCGTTGCGAATTATTACCCTTTTTTGATCGTCTTGGGTGGGCACCACAGGCTGATCTTCCCGCTTCTGACGATAGGCCGCGCTATCTTTCAAAGAACAGTTGGTCACCTGTGCCCAAGTGGTGCGCCAAAACTACTGGATCATGTTGGTCTGGCCATATTCGTTCTCGGTCTACTACTACGTCGTGTACCAGGCCAATCGCTTCAACGGAGAAGTGTTCACCGTTCGGGCCAGGGCTCTAAACAGCCTGATGAATTGCGCCACCTCCATCATCGCCGGCTGGGTCATGGCCTTGATCACGGATAAACTGCCCCTCAAGAGACGGCAGCGGGCGTACGTCGGATTGACGTTCAACTTTTTGCTCGTCAACGCGGTCTGGCTCGGGGGATATTTCGCCATGATCGAAACAAAGCCTGATCTGACCGAAGCCGAGAAGCTGGACGTTTACTCGCACGGCTATGGGGCCAAGGCCTTTTTGTTCGTCATGTACGGCTACATGGACGGCAGCTACATCACTTACCTTTCGTGGTTCTTCGGGGCCCTATCCAACGACGTCAAAGTTGTGAGCACATCCCTTTTGAGACGGATGAAAGCCTTCGAGATTGTCACTAACGCCGCAAGCTGTCGGTCTTTGTCTCCATGTTAACGTTCTGGTCTTCTGCATGCCAGATCGTGGCGTACACGATGGACTATCATCACCTCAGCACGAGATTCATGTTTGGGAGCAGCTGGTTTGTACGTCGCTTGGCATCGCCTCACCACGATCAGGAACGTCACTGACTATCGATTGCGCAGACTATGGCTATCGGTCCTCCGTTCCTCCTGCCCATCATCATGTTTTGGATGAAAGAGACTACGGTCATCACGCTCGAGGGGATCGAAACCGAGGATGGAGACGCTATCGGCAATGAAACTGAGACTGAGCCTCGATCCAAGGAAGTCTCGACCTCGGTCGCCAAAGAAATATCTGTGGGTGCTTGATGATCCAATAGCCGGACAGAGAGCAAGTATGGTAGCCTGGATCACGGATCCACAGGCTACAACGCTTGCAGCATGTTTGAATATTAATGCAAGGTTTTGGTCACTGCAATTGCTTGGTGGATTACAGTTTCTGGATCGAGGAAATGGTATAAGCCTCTCAGAACGTCGGCAGTATAGTCCCGTGGTAGTGCGACGTCTCGGCTCCATCGCGCTTTAACAAATCACGATCTTGTATAATCTCTTGAATTCCATTCTAAAGAGCCGCTTTAGTCTATGTGGGTAGTCTTGCTAGTGCTCAAAAGCAGTACCGAGTGCCGTCGACGATGGGGGCTGTCCTTCGTCCCAAGCGGTTGAGATTCGGCACCGAGACGTTTCCACAACATTAACCCAAACCCGTTTGATCTGGTAGGATGCTCTATCTGGAGCCAATCGTGCCTCGGACCTTGTGATGACTCTGATGATTGGGCTCTTTGAACCAAAGCCCTTCTGTTGGTAGCGGTTTTTGGTCTTCCATTCTCGACTGGTTCTGAAGTCACTGCATCCCCGGTGTTACAAAGTACATACCTATTTCCTATCTGCGAACAACTGGTCTGGCAGGGCGCACTCATTTCCTCCGTCTGGCGCGTTGGCTTTTACGTCCTAGTTACACCATGGCCCTGGATAAAGTTACGGACACAGTTCCCTCTCGCTTACCGATCGAGCAGATGCTCGAGCTCACCCGCTTAGATGTCGATAGATCTGACATTTTCACCAATGCACATCAACATTGGCAAGCTCCCTGGGCCCGAGGAGTCTTCGGTGGACTCCCCGTTGCACAGTCCCTGGCCGCCGCGCAGGCCACGGTACCGTCCACGTTCACGGCACATAGTATGCACTGCTACTTCCTGCTCGCGGTCGATTCGCAGAGGCCGATACTCTACCACGTCGAGCGAGTCAGGGACGGCCAAAGCTTCATAACCAGGACGGTCCAGGCGCGGCAGCAGGGGCGCCCTGTGTTCACGGCTTCTCTGTCCTTCGTGAAAGACCAGGCGGGAAGCGGCGCGAGGCTGGTCCTCCAACATGGAACCTGCTTGCCGACAGAGGTGTCGCCTCCGCCTGCGGGAGTGGCAACCTATCCTACATCTCCAGGCAGCGAGGTCCAACTGTTCGAGACCACGCGCTGCACCGTCACTCCCGGAGCCACGCCCTCGTCACGCAAAATGCGCCTGTGGATGCGTGCTGTCGATCCAGGCCACGGTCGCAGGCCCCATACACGGCAGGAAAAGGCTCCACCCGAACATTCGAGCGAATCCCACGAGATAAGGAAGTGCCCATCACATCTCGTTGCGCTCGCTTATATGTCGGACAACTACTTCATCGACACGATTGTACGAGTGCACGGGCTCACCCCCTTTGCCAACCAGCGAGGCACCAAGACGACGTCGGACAAGAGCCATGGCCGAAGTATCGGTGGCAAGGCGCCAAGTGATTGTGAAGGGGGCGTTGTGGCCGGCGACGTCATGGAGAATCCAGTGGGCGGCCAACTCGAAGCCGGTGGGCGGGTTCAGATGATGGTCTCGCTCAGCCACACGATTTACTTCCACAACCCCAAGGCCGTTCGTGCAGATGAGTGGATGTTGGTCGACCTAGAGAGCCCCTGGGCGGGACATGAACGGGGCGTGGCGGTCCAAAGGATCTGGTCGAAATGTGGTGTCTTGCTGGCTACCTGTGTCCAGGAGGGGCTGGTGAGGCTGAACCAAACCAGCGAGACCAGGCTATAGAACAAGAAAGGCTGATAGGCGAGATCACCTGGAAAGCCGTAGGTGAGCAGTGGGCAAGTAAAGCGGCTCAGTGAGAATCAAACCGCACCTCCTAGTTATAGGAGGACAGTCTCGCCAACTTAATCTAGAGATAAGAATAAGCAATACTATTACGCGGATATAGGCCTCTGATACATTTTCGTTTCTGGTCCGCGCTTTGTGAAGGATATAAGGTGCCATGTGTAGCACTCCTGCCTACCCTGCACCTACCTTTGCGAGTATGTAGGATAGCGCCTTGGCACCTCCGTGCCTCTAGACAGCAGAGAGCTGGTTGCTCTCTGGATAGGGATGGTCCAGCATTCAGACAGATTCTTCCAGGATGTCCACACCATGCCACTTTACTAGTCAGCAGTTTGACGTGGGGAAGGCTTGGGCAAGATAGCCGCCAACGTAAGGTAGACACAGGCTAGGTGGAGTCCATCTGATGGAGAATACCACCGTGACAATATGTGGGATTTGCCGACCTACAGTGGCGGGCTCCAGATTGAGGCCATCAAAGTCTCATGACTCTTGTCACAGACTCACTCCGCCATCACCACTGAGCAGCATACTATAAACGCGGCTTAAGGCGCTGTTTCATTCTTTAGCACCGACCTCGCACTCCTCTTGCCTGACCAGGTCGTGGCCTCATAGAAAAGCCACCATGTCTTCTGTGCCCAAGCCACCAACATTGGATCAGAAGTATTCCGGTATACCTGAGCGTCTGTTGGAGAAAGCAACCAAAGTCAAGCAACAGACGTATGCCGCCCTTACCACTGATGTAGCCCAGCAAAGGGCTGCTAGCATCGAGCTGCCTGTTATCCCTAAAGGCTACCCAAGAATTCGCTTCAATAAGGCAATAGAATCTATTCAATCCCAGATCGGCGCAGTCAACGTTGAATTGAACACAGGGGCTTTGGTGGACGGCTGGTTAGTATCTTTGATCCTGCTTCGGTAAGCGACTGTGCAATAACACTGATTTGCTCAGGTACCTGGAGCGTATGGCACATGTGGATCCCATTTATACATGAACATATTGACCAATTTGATCAGACCCAAATACCCACGATGCATTCCACATTGTCGAGCAAGACGAACTCGTGTCTTCCGGGACTGTGTACCCTGGCTCCACTGAGGAGGTCGTCCATGTTGTTAAATGGGCCAATGAGTACGAAATCCCCATCTACCCAATTTCAATGGGTCGAAACTGTAAGTCTGTTCGTAGAGAGACCTTACCCCGAAGCTTTACACTGACTGCGACACTTGAATAGTGGGATACGGTGGTGCAGCAGCCCGCGTGAAGGGCTCGATTATCGTTGACCTGGGCAAAAGAATGAATAAGATCTTGGATATTGATCCAGACACTTGCACGTGCCTGGTTGAGCCTGGAGTCTCATTCTACGCTCTGTACGAAGAGATTCAAAAGCGAGGCTATAACCACCTCTGGATCGACGTCCCCGACCTTGGGGGTGGTTCTGTACTAGGGAACACTATCGATCGCGGCGTTGGATACACGCCTTATGGGGACCATTTTGGTGCACACTCTGGAATGGAAGTTGTGCTGCCGATGGGTGAGGTTATACGGACAGGAATGGGAGCCTTACCGGGGAACAATACCTGGCAAGTTTTCCCATACGGCTTTGGGCCATACGCGGAGTACGAGCAGTCTTCTCAACAGTGTCGAGTTTTCAATACTAAACGTGAAAAGTGGCATCTTCACGCAGTCCAATTTTGGCATCGTCACGAAAATCGGTATGACACTCATGCCGAGTCCTGGCGGAGCCGAGGGATTTGTAAGTACACTTCAAGGCAGCCTTGTGCCATGAAGCGAAATGGATGCTGATTTAGTCGCTGATAGATGTGTACTTTCAAAGAAGAAGATGACCTTGCCTGTATTGTAAAGAGACTCCCCAACAGGAAAACTGGACTAGCAAACTGACAAATACAGATCGAGGTTGTTCGACCTCTGAGAATTCGCAACATCCTCGAGAATGTCGCCCAGTTGAAGCACGTTGCTCAGGAGGTGACATTACTGGGCAGACCACGATCGGAAGTTTACCAGGGCAAAGGTCCCGTCCCACTGAAGACTATCCGCAAGATCGCCTCGACGTTGCCTTGTGGAGACTGTAGCTGGGTGTATTATGGAACGACATATGGGTGAGTCAACGCCTCTCCCTGACTGTTCGAGGATGGAACGCCGTTCTTTACTCACAACACATTTTATAGGCCAAAGGAAGTTCGAGCACAGAAGTTGAAGGTAGTCAGAGAGGCGTTCGAGAAGGTGCCTGGTGCTCGTTGGATTCCTCGAGATTCGCTGCCTGATGATCATTATTTCTTCACCCGTGAGAGGATTTCAAGTGGAGTGCCTGAGTTTGAGGAATTGAAGTGGCTGAACTGGGAGGTATGCCTGGAGCTGGATGTCCTCTCTTCTACAGCTTTTACGGTGTACTAACCTCCACAAGCCCAACGGATCTCATCTATTCTTCAGCCCGGTTTCTGCACCAAGAGGAGAAGATGCTCTCAAACTGTACAAGGTAAGTTAGTCGTTGTTATTGGAGGCATTGAGACAAACGGGGTAACCATCTTTCAGATCGCGAAAAAGTGGCACGACGCGTGTGATTTAGACTGCTTCCCAGCTGCCTGCGTGGGCTTGCGAGAGATGTACTTCATCATCAATATGGTCTATAACCGCGCAGATCCCGTCTCCAAGGCTAATGCATACAGATGCATGAGAGGTATGATCAAGGACGCCGCAGCGGAGGGCTTCGGCGAATACCGAACTCATTTACTTCTGCAAGACCAAGTGGCTGGAGTCTATAACTGGAACAATAGCTCGATGATGAGGTTCCAGGAAATGCTCAAGGACACGTTGGATCCTAATGGGATCCTTGCACCCGGAAAATCAGGTATTTGGCCCAAAAAGTATCGTGAAAAGGGATGGGAGTTGGGCGAAGGCGACCTTGACTCTCGCTCCGAGGGGCATGCAGTTTCGCATAACACTAAGCTCGTCCGGACAGGGTCGAGATTGTGAGCTGATGGAATTGACTTTCCATGGAGACAAATGGTTCCTGGGATTGAATAAGTAGTCGGACATCCTGGCTAAAAATCGTGCTGGACTTCCGGTCGGGCCATCACTCGGCATTATATAGTACTTTCATCGTTTGTTTTGATCGACTAATGTCAATACATCCTTCGTCGACAGCTTGATATGTTCCGCAAAAGACCTGAACCTCTCCCAGAGATCCATCTGTACGTCCACTTTATTCACAAGGTGTATCTCCAACCTTCGATTCCGTGGATGATCTTGTTCTCGCGGTCGGCCTGACGACTCTTACACGCGAACGCGGCTATGCTACCGAACGTAAGAACTATCATCAGCACTTGCAGGGTGACGACACTGTACAGCCCAGGAGCATAAAATGGTGCATCCTGAGATCGGAAAATGGTGTTGCCAATAATACCGGAGATTGCTCCACCACCAATATTTAAGGCGGAGAAAAGCAGACGCTTTAAGCTGCCGACGATGTTGTTCTGGGCGAATGTGAGAATGGTAATTTGGTTGCCCATGACACCCATCACCGCAAGGAAAATGCCTAGATAGCGCACTTCACTGCTGTAGAGAGGTCGCACGACTGTAGAGCGACTTGAGTCAGTGAAAAATGATACGATCAATGTATTACGCGACAAACTTACGTAGCATTCCAGCCAAAGTCATGGCATCCTGGATGATGGTTAACGGCCCGCGGACCTTCAGCTTGTCACCCAGGTAAGAAGAAAGGAGCAGCATTCCCACGGCTGCGGCGTACAGTGGTGCTGAATGCAACGTGGCTTGGACGCCTCTGTAGCCTAAACCCTAAGAATCTATCAGTAAGGAGCCGTTGCCGATGAGGTTGAAAAGAATTAGAACGAGACTAACAGTGAGAATAGTAGGGGTGAAGAAGCCAAGTCCGTACGTCGGGACCACCACGCACGCGTATGTAAGTGTGCTGGCCCACAAGAACCAATCCTTGCAATGTTTCTTGAAGAGGCCCCATCAAAGCGACTCGGTGGTGGCGTTGCCCATGTCTTCCCTTAGTTCATCCTGAACATGTTGTCGCTCGTGAGGCTTAAGGACTTTGGCCTTGTCAGGAAAATCGGAGATGAAGAAGTAAGACCCTAGATCAATGACCATGGTCGCAGCGCCCTCGATCTATGAACGTGTCAGAACAAGTTTTTGTAAGGGCAACGGTGGTACAAGAGCGTTCGCGCAATAAAGACCCATTGCAGCCGAGCATGTTTCGATCACCAGACATGTCGTTGATCCCGGAAGCTAGGAGGCCACCAAAGGCTGACGCCATGGTCGACACGGCATAAAAGCACGATAGTCGGCGATGGAGCCGGTACCGCGGTACCAGGAGCTCAGAAGGAAGAGGCATGCCGGGAATATGCCTCCTTCAAGCAAGCCGAGCACAAAGCGCAGGAAGGCAAGTATTTGCCAATTTGGTACGAATCCCATGCACATAACGCAGAGACCGAACCCAAAGGTCAAGAAAGATAGCCAATCATCTGCCCCGACCTTGACAAGCATCATGTTGGAAGGGATCTCGGCAAGGAAGTAGCCTAGGAAGAAGATGAGCAGGCAGACAGAGTAGCGAGCGCCTTTGGAGACCTCGATGTCGTCGTCCATCCCGAGAACCTTAGCCGAGCCAATGTTAATTCGATCGATGACTGATACTGCGAGGATGATGGAGATCATAGTCACAACGTGCAAATCGACCTTGAATTTCAAGCGGCGCTGTTGCTTGTTGCTCAGAACAGCAGCCAGGGTATGCTCGATGTTCTCGGCATTTTCAACAAGGATCTCTTGCTTTTCTTTCTCGAGCCTGAGACTCTGGTCAGCAAGGGACTCCATAGCCTGCGTATGTGAGAAGTTCGAGGTTCTGTCAGGGCGGGTGATAGGGTGATAGAGCTTGCGATATTATGAATGCCTAATAGAGACTATGGTAAGCGATCCCTATTTTTGCCAGAATATCGCACCAATACCTCCACAGCTGTACTTTTAAATCTGTTGGATGTATCGCCGAGGACGCAGTCAAACCGCTACTTCCCCGTGGAGTGGTCGACAAGCTGGGGGATTCCAGAATCAGACCCCAGATTAACAGTAACGCCCTTTGGTGTAACTGCTCATCGTAGTCGGCTATTGGCCGTTGACAAACAACCACGAATTGTCTTCCTCGGGTCTTGGGCACATTCCCCCACATTGTATATCCCGGGCATATCCACAGCCTCGCCACATTTCCTGGCTCTGGGGAAACATCGCTGGAACAACCCCGAGGCATCATCCAAACACACGTGAATATTTCTCAGATCTTGAGATAGATTCTTGAAAAACCACTCGGCGTATCTGACTGTCGAAGACAACTCAGCATGGCGAGTCACGGGAAGACTCCATTGAAAGTCGGAGTGATTGGCCCAGCAGGATTCGGCGGCTCACATGTGTGCGTCGAATTGATTGAACGCGGGCATACTGTCGTAGGTATATCTCGACATCCCGAGAAGCTGGGCCGTCATCCTCGTTACGAGACTCGATCGGTGAATCTGGAAACCGCCACCATCGAAAACATTGCTGCACTGTTTACCGGTCTGGATGTGCTCGTCAACGAATACGGCCCCCATTCCGCAGGTCATGAAGCTCTCCAATACAGTGCGTCACCCTGAGAAACATGGGCAGAGCCGTGCTGATAGCGATCACAACAGGCCCTTTCCTCGAGCTCACCAGGAAGATTGTACTTGCAGCGCGGTCAGCCAAAGTTGGCTACTTCGTGATGGTGGGTGGCTGTGGAAGTCTGTACCTACCGAATCGCGGACACATGTGTGCGGTGGAAAGCAACGATTTCTGGATCGCCTATCGCAGAGGCATCGCCGATAGCGAAGCACATACCGTCTACATGGAAGAGCGCCTTGGTCCAATGGGTGCTGATCTGCGATCTTACAGGAATGCACGCCGCGAGGAGAAGGAGGGTCGAGCCTCAGCTACCACTCAACGTACCATCGATGAATACGAAGACTATGTCAGCAAATCCGACAGTGCGAAGATATTTGTGACGGCGTGCCGGACGAGTTTCATGTTTTTCGACGGCAACACGTCCTTTGACTGGACATTTGTGTCGCCCAGTGCACTGTATCGGCCTGGAAAAAGGACTGGTCAATGCAGGGTTTGGTTCGACAGGCTCCCCTTGAAAGGAGATGAGAGCGATCCCACAAATCTAGAAGGGCGGCTGCTTGGTGTTTCAGCTGCCGATATGGCCATTGCAATTGTTGACGAGCTGGAGAACCCTACGAAAAAGGGTCGTCATTGGAGTGCCACTGGAGATCTCTCTGATGACACTCCCACTCCATCGTATGCAATGCTGAAACAATGACGAGATACAACCCCCTCGATCATAACTACGCGGCTTATTATTCTTGGTCGTTCCCGGCTCTGCTGCCCATTGCTTAAGTATCACGCGCAGCTTGCTTCTTCATACACGTTTGCCAATTGAAGAAGTACCCATCCCATGCGGGGACATACTGCAGGAGGGATTGTGTGTTAGAAAGATCATATTCGGGTAGACCTTTTAGGGATTGATGGTTCGATTTGATGCAACTTACCACTCCAAACCCAGGTATCCGTGTAGAAGGTGGCGCGCCAACGAGCAAGCTCTGCTGCCAGTGATGTTTCTGATGAGACCAGAACATCTGCCTCCGCGAGAAGTTCCTTCAACCTCTGGATGAGGCGCCTCTCGGATGAATTCAAAGGATCATCTCGCTTTTGACGCATATCCATCGCGTGCACCCACTTGGTGACCAAAAGAGCTGGCCAAATCTCAGCGCAACGAAGGGGAATAGCTGGAGACCAACATACAACTGTCCCAAGAAGCCAACACGTGTTCTATGCTCCATGTCAGAGCTGCAGTCTTGCGGATCAGAAGCGTACCGGCGCGGACTGGAACGAGGAATCCGTCCAAGGCTCGAGCCACGGCGTTGGTGGTGAGGTCGTCTCGGCGCTGAGGTTTGGTGACGTGGCTTCGTAGGATATCCATTACCTCGGTGGCATCACCTTTCAGCAGCAAGGTCGGATCGATCGATGAGAGGCTGGTACATGAGCGACAGTACGAGACTCGTAGGATGGCAAAACAGTTGAACAGGAATGGGCCCTCAGCCTCGCTCCAGGCGAATTCATGTTCATTCCGACTTTGCAACAACATCTGTCGACATCTCGCTAATGCGGCCTCGGTCTGCAACCTCGCCGTTAGTGGGTTGTCCATGCCCTCCACGTCAGTGACAGCATTGTCGGCCCACAGGATGGTGCCCTGACTGCGGTGCCAGATTTGAACGGCAACTGCATGCATTGTAACCAGCGTGGCAAAAGGCGACCAGCTGCGCCACTCGTCAGGAAATCTTGTCAATGTCTCGCCGGAAACCAGCAATGATACTGCACCGCGGATGGTCATGGATTGACCAATGTCCTTGCTGCCAATAGCTTTCCGCCACCCAGACTCGCTAGAGGCATTCCAACGAATCTCGTCACTAGGCATCTCGATATCTACGTCCTGAACAACGTTGAAAGCAGCAGGTAGGCCATAAGTGATAGTGAGAAGATTGGTGAAGACGAAAATACCACAAAGTAGGCTATGCGCCTCAGCAAGTGTTTGCTCCATGCCAGCACCTTGCTTACGAACTCACCGCTTTGTTTTCTCTCGCTCGACCCAGGCTGACCAAGAAGTTAGACGACTTCTTGCATCGCCAACCTTGACAAGCTTCAACCTTGCTCGGTAGTCCTGATTCATCGATTAGTGCATGACCGCTGACACTTGTCACGATCGAGCTTACATTGGTTAGCCAACCGACTCTCTCCACTGCAGTCCTTACAACCGCCGGCGAACCCGTGAACGTTGCAAAGAAGGTAAGAAGAAGACGGGTCTGGCTGAGCCACAGCGGGTGGAGAGATTCAGCCTGCGAAGTTGTAGTCGGATTGACGCAGTCTTCCAGGAATCTGGAGTGACCGATGAGGTGTAACAACTCGTTATCTTCAACGGAAAGGGCCTGCTCGGCAGTCCTGTAGAGAGAAGCCGCCACCCTTCGTTCCAGTCTGTAGAGTGCGCCAATGGAACAGATTGCCAGGATCAGAGGGGCCGGAGTCTTTTCGAGATCGAGTGATGGAATATGAAATAGGGGGAGATGGATGTGAAATGCGTTGAGGTACGCCTTAATGCACTTGTCTAGCGACGTGGTGCTAGGAATGTATAGTTTTGAGCTCTCAGAGCTGAAGCGAATTGAAAGGTCTTTAAGCATAATCGACCGAACAGCATCAGTGACGGTCGGACCAGAAAGCTCAGTACGATTCGAGTGAACGTCTGGCGGAGGTCGTTCTCGGGTAGAGGCTGCTTGTGATGGCCAGTCACGACCTCGGGCGAGGGAGGAGCTCTCCGAAGGAAGATTTGATCCGAAGTCCACGGCATGCTCCGGTAGAAGCTCAGCGGAAACGAGAAATTGATCTGCATCTAGCCCCATCAATGGGTCAAAAAGATCAAAGCAAATCTCATCAGTGGTATCGAAGGTGTCTCTCATGTTTGTACCGTCCAAACAGATGGAATCGAGGAGTTGATTGGATTGTTGTGGTCGTGGTAAGGTTGGGAGCCGTATGCAACTATCGATTGTCTGCGATTCAGCAGGGCGAAGCACAGACGTGGATTGCATCGTCAACTGATCAGAGATGCTCCTCGGTGAGCTGTTGTCCGCGGGCCTCAGTGAATCGCACCAAGTGTCAGAAATTCCTGAGACCAGGGTCTGTGGGCCGACAGCAAGGGACAATCGTTGTAATTCAAGAGGGTTGGCAGACTCTTGCGGCGCATTTTCACGGGAAGCACTGCTATATGGTAGAGGTGGAAAAGTAATGGCTTCTGTGTTCGCAGTTGAGGCTGCCGTGACAGCTGCGATTCTGTCAGTGTACTTGCCAATATGCAATTGAAAGTATCGACACAATACATAGGTCCTTTTTGCGGCTTGTGTCTCCTGCACCCCCGGATAGGCGTGAACTCGGAGCCTGAATCAATGATTCTTCTGCCGCATGGATAGTCCTTTTATGTCTTACTAGCAGATCACTTCACCAGGGCAGATTAGCAAGAATCAAACTATTTGGGATCTATGGATGACGACTGTGACGACCAATCATCAGGTCGTGTGTAATAGACATACCGGCGACCATAGCGTCGACGACAATATGGGCACGGGAATGGCTTCTCCTGTGTGTCTTTCCCATAGAAGTCAATCTCTTGCGATGGGCTTTGAAGATGGTCACACTCACGGCGGCGATGGTGTCTGATACAGTGCTCGTTTCGAGAAAACGCCCTGGAGCACACAGAACACACGTATGACTTCTTAGAAGGAGCCCCTGCTGATGCAGATTTGTCTCGCGGTTGCACGTCCACAGCCATCTTCGTGGGCTTTCACAACAGACATTCACGTGTTGGAGCTGTGCGTGTATGGGATTGACTCGTTGATTGTCAAATGGGTAGTCGATAAGGTCTGAGGAACTATCAGAGGGCAGCTCTCCCAGCCACGAAACGTGAAAGGCAAAGCCGCGGCAAAGTCCCCGCGCCCACAACAGGTGGGATGGTCCCGGTGTCGGAAGAGACAAGTTACCGGGCGCCAATGATAGACCAGCTTTACCTCCGTGGCTGTGCTTCGCTGGAGGCGATTTTTAGGGCCAGGATTAACAGGTGGTCCTTTAAAGACTGAAGCGAGTATGGGGAAACGCTGAACAAACAGCGCTTGAGCAAGATCATGAACTAGTCTATCTATCTGTACATAGTCTTAGGCCATACCTAATCGTTTATATAAAAATCGTAGTGCCTAGAGAAGGCTTCTCCTGAATCCGACTAGATAGATCTCTTAGGGGTACTATACAGGATGCCGTTTAATCGACGTCCCTAAGGCGAGCCTTCGCCGGAGATCTTCAGGAGGATTGTCGACAGGAAATGCATCCACCCGCATGGGATGGGCAAAGAGGGAGTACTACCTGTAAACACTCAGCTATTCTTTCTTGTAGACTCGGCCCTGACGTTGGCGACTAAGCCTTTCGGACCACGTCTAACATTCCTTGTGATTGATCGAGACCATTTGCGGCAACTCTCGAAGATTCACCAGTGTTTGGTTCCATCTTGCAAAAAGTCATCGAGATGATTACTTCAACCCGCACCCCAGACCACAGCCATTGGACCAGTCAGGTGTCTTCCACTCACTTCCCCAGATGGTCTCTCGGGTTCCTTCAGTGCTGAACATGTGGCGAAAATGTGGTGAAAAGCCGAAGCTGGAGACCAACGCCACTTTCCCCACACTCCACACACATACGCCACAGCTCACTTCTCGACTACTACCCCACCTCCGCCTCCAGCTTCCCATTCTCTTCCCCCTTTTACCATATTTTGTGCAGACGTAGACAATGGCCAGAATTGAATGTGAGTGCCTTCGGCCTTAGATAGTACTTTCCATAGAGATTGGAAGGCCTCTGGACTCTTGCCAAACGCGCCTTCTTAGCATTCGTGGGGTTCACCGTAAGAGGTTGACAAGCATAAGTCTATCGACACGGCATTAGAACTCGAAGGGCCTCCCGCCCGTAGAGGAATCCTCTTGTCACTGCGTAGTGAACCGTCATGGCTTGGTCACCGCATTATCGAAAGCCAGGAGACCCAGATCCCGGCTGCTACATTACCCATCCAAATGGTCAGACGTCCTTCTACCATCTCGATAACTTTACGGATCCTTGGGTGCCACTATCCCAAAAACAAGTGATTCTGATCCAACACGGCTGCGCACACACGAGCGAGTTCTTCTACCATTTCGTTCCTCGGCTTTCGAGGAACTACGTTGTGATAAGACGTGATGCCAGAGGCCACGGACGGTCCTCATACCCCAAGCGACTGGCGCCTTGGAGCGATCAGACCAAAAATGAATACGAGAACGGATACAAGTATACGGATGAAACCATTGTCGACGAAATCGTGGACTTCCTCGACCAGCTAGGAGTTCAGAAAGTCCACTTTCTGGCCGAAGCTACCTCTGGAGAGATTGGAATGATATTCGCCGCAAGATACCCAAACCGAATCACTTCTCTTGTTACAATGTCGTCCCCATCAATGCTGCCACCAGCCGCCATTGACCTTTTCTGCGTTGGTCGACGGTCATGGCCGGAGGCAGTGATCGAGCTTGGTCCTCGTGGCTGGGGTGAGGAGATGGCAAAACGTCCTGGTACGCTACCAGTCCAGCTAGGGAAAGACTACCTGAACTGGTGGTACAAGCAGGCGGAGGCTATACCTGCGGAAGGTCTTGCGGGCTATGTGATCTTCCTCACCACATTGACGGCTCGACCATATCTCAAGAAGGTCAAGTGCCCAACGTTGATTCTGGCTCCCACGAACAGTGCAGCTGTTCCCATGGAGGAGTCCCGATTCATATCGTCCCAGATTGAAGGATCAAAGCTTGTGTCGATTAATGCTCCAGGACATGAGATTTATGTTGAAGCCGCCGATGCTTGTCTTGATGTTGTGATTGAGTTCTACGAGAGCCTGGGGGCAAAGAAAGGATACGAAGTGACCGCGAATGGTGACATGAGTGACCATGAATAGACGGAGTGCTTGTTGACATTCTGAAATCTCATCCAATCGACGAGATTAGAAGATGTATTGTCGCGTGGTGTGTAGCAGGGCTTATCCCACCAATCCGACAATTAGATACTTCGGATCGTGGCTTCGTTCTCACAAACTTGATCCCTCCACCCGCGAGGCAATGTGGGGGATTGCTAGCGCGAGAAACCATTATTGGAGCAAGACGTATTTGCATACATCCAACTCATGTGCTTGATCTTTAATGTATTCATTCACACCGTCTGCAAAGTGCCTTGAAGCGAAAGCTCACTCTGTCACACTATAAGCAAGACGTAGTAAGCAGCCAAGATGAGTGATAATTATCTTTTCGTTGGTAAGGAAGCTCTCTACGTTTGACGACCGTGGCGCTGATGCCGATTGTTGCGTAGGATTGGGCGCAATTGGGTATCCTATGGCCAGTAACATTCGTAAAAGAATACCGAGCACTTCAACGCTCTACATCTATGATGTGTATGTCCCGACACTGGAGCGGTTCGTGGCTGAATATGGTGCCCTTGGTCCCATTAAGGCCGTCAAATCTGTCAAGGAGGGAGCAGCCGACGCAAAGGTGGTCATCTCGATCGTCCCGACGGCTGATAATGTTCGACAAGTGTACCTGGATGAAACCTCCGGCTTGATTGGAGCTGGAAAGGAACCGGAGAGATTGATTCTGGAGTGCAGTACCATTGAGTCTGCGAAATCGAAGGAGATCGGCGAGAAGTTGAAAGAAGGTGGATATGGAACTTATGTCGATACTCCCGTCTCGGTGTGTCATGCTCTCCTTCTGACAGTAATTGTGTTCACCCAAAGTACTGACTGGCTTCAATCTATAGGGTGGCGTCATAGTTGCCGGAGCAGGGACACTTTCATTCATGATCGGTGCCGCAAAAGGTTCGTCTGGGCACGAGAGAATTCACGAGGTCCTCTCCATGATGGGTTCACCAGCGAAGTTCTTCTGGTGTGGAAAACTGGGCGTCGCCCTTGCAGCAAAGATTGCCAACAATTATTTGTCCTGTTCGTTCCTCCTGCTCATCGTTGAAGCCTTCGCTATGGGCGTCCGCTGTGGCGTTGACCCACATATTCTTCATGAAGTCATTCAGAACTCCAGTGGACAGAGTTTCATGGGTGACCACGTCTGTCCAGTGCCTGGAGTGGTCTCCCATGCACCAAGCAGCAATAACTGGAAGCTGGGGTTCAAGACGCAGATGATGATCAAGGACGTCGGGTTGGGAGCCGAAGCTGCGAGGCAGGTGGGGATTGAACCAAGGATGGCAGATACGGCGATCGCGATCTGGAAGGAGGCAGCGCAGGATCCAAGGTGCGTGGATAAGGATGGATCGAGCATTTGGCTGCGTATAAACGATATCAAGGACGAGTAGATAATAAATGACGCGAACGACTTCTCACTCTCGATTGAAGGAAATGTGCAATACAGACTTCCTTGGGTCGATCTATTTACAACCACGTTTGACAATTATACAACCAGCTGGAAGCACTTTTCAACGCACGAGCCGCTGCCCGAAACCAACAGTCATCTTTCCTGAGGGTGAAATGTTGTAGCTCTCTGCCGCTCATAGCTCAAGATAATATGAACTCAATCTCCACCGTTGTCACTGAATGGGGAAGACAATCGACTCGTAGCACACGACCATCGCAAAGTTTCGTGACTCAGATTCAATATCGGTCATGACTACTTGGATCGCCACTCAGAACGAGTAGCAGAAGTTGTTGTTGTTGTTGTTGTTGTTGTTGTCTGCTAGACCTGTAAATGGTTGTCCTGTCTTCTGCGGTCTGTGTATCGTATCTCTGTGTGCATTGCGGACTGCCTGTCCGGCGAGGATTGCATAGACCTGGCAGATGATGATACTCACGAAAGAAGAGCGGTAGTGGCACTGTGCCTTGAAGAGGGGAGAACTCACGATGTTCCCTGCGCAGTATGCCACAAACACCATGGAGTTAGTCGCCGACTTCTCGGTGTGCCCCGAGGCATTGGCGGCCAGGGAGGCGAGGATGAGATTGGCATACCCGACGTAGAAGCTGTTGAGGTAGTACCTAACCGAGAAGATGCTGGTACTGCTGCGTGAAGTACAGAAGATGACGGAGCTTCCAATGACAGAGACGGCAATCATAGCTGACTAGGAGACCGATCATAGCCACAGCGCCGTTGGACGACCACCAAAATGGTGACCCTGAAGGCACTCTCCTGCTGTGTATACCGCTGACCGCAGGTAATGACGAACGAGGGAGCAACGTCGGGATCGATACGTTCGCTTGAAAGAATAGTCTCATTTGAAGAACAAATACTCACCTCGCAGAAGCCCAGGAAGAACTGCTGAATCAGAACACTGGAACAGGCCATCGTACTGGAATAGTCAGCGAAGCAACGCATTGTACTCATGCGTGCAAGGCTGTCCTCGATCCCCCAAGTCAGAAATGTTAGCCAGTCCTTCTCAACAACTTCCTGATGAGACATCTCCAAATTTGCCCACACTATGTAATGGCGGTAACCCCAGATGCTCGGCAAGTTCTGAAGGCTGCCATCTGGCGGCCGGAACATTCAGTCTGCGTTATTGCACGAACGTTACACAATAGAAGAAAAAGGCGAAAGTTTTGAAGCACGGCTGCTCTCGTTTGTGGCGCATCCTACCCTGAGAGAGTCGAATGCTCCATATGTTATAGAAAGGATGCCGAATCAGAGATGTGGAATGTCTTCGAAGACCAGAACCAGACGTACCACAGGAAATGCGAGGCCGAGGGACAATAAGATACCAGATCAATTGCCTAAAACTCTACTTGAAGAAGCACACCGTTCTGATCTCCACACTTTCCCTCGGCTTTGTCCCTTCCACGTCGTTGTGGAAGGCGCAGTGAGGCACCCGCCACGGTCTTTCCTTGTTGGAGTCGTACAGCGTAAACAGCATCACTTCATCCTTGGCCATGTTGCTAAAATATGTCCAGTAGTGATTTGGGTTGTACGTGAAAAGAGAGCCCTCAGGGTGCATAGGGTCGTAGGGCAGATCCTCAGGGAGGTTGTCGAGATCGGGAATCTTGTCGCAGTATATCAGGTGGTTGACGACCCCTTCGGTGTCACTGATGGAGTCGCCCCTGCACAAAGCCAGAGGCCAATTCTGCGGACCGGGACTAGTAGCACGCCAGAGGTTGATCAGTTTGTACCGCTTGTAGTCGTTGATGTCCAATCTGTTCTTCTTCGCGAAGTCGGCGGCTAGGCATTCCGCGCGGATTGGAGTGTAGTCGACATGGACGTCGGACGCGGGAGGTTGATCATTCCATGCAGAGTCAGTCTTGTTTGGATCTTTGTCGTGCGTGGTGCGTCGGACAGGGGCAAATACAATGACCTCGTCGGCGCCGGTCAAACTCTTGGTCAGCTCACGGATTTCGTCTGTGTAGGTGGTGTTGAGCTCCTCCATATTAGACCAATCTTTGACCTACCGCGTCTTTGTCAGCCCTTAATTTCCCCCAGGTCACAGGAAGACATGATCAACGTACTCCGGACTCATGGCTAACCAGCTGATAGCCCGTTGTTTCAAGGGTGTATTTGTCCTTCTCCGGGCGTATATCGTGGACCAGGACCTTTTTCGTCTCGTATTTCCCAGTGTTCACCTCACTACCGGCTGCCATATATCTCCTGTTAATCTTTGAGTCGGGCCGGATGTATTCCATGGTGGTGAACCGGTCCGTTGTATGTGTGGCTGTCATGGTTGCGGTGGCCATTTTGGTAAAATCTGGAGCTCCGTCACTAAAAAATCAAGATCGTGTTATGCTTTTGAAACCTCATGAAAGGATTATAGGTCGCTGTCGATTTCTCGCGAGCCATTCTCCTGATGGTATAAAGTTATATAGCCAGACTTTGCCAACTGATGCGCGTTCAAATTGAGGACGGGGTTCGGATGTGGATTTTCCCGACCGGGCAACATGCCCTCCCCCACGTTCCCCCTTGCACAGGTGGGCGAATCTGGGGTTTATCGACACAGGCCCGACGCCTCGCCACTTGGTGGCAGATCATGAAACCCAGTAGGGAGGATCAGCCACTTGTAGGTCTCAACAGTTGTTCCCTCTATACTGCACGCGTCAGTAAGTAAATCCTCGGCCTCGGCGTCCATCAGAAGCACTCTAAGCTGCACGAAAGGTAGTGTGGGCAGTGGGATGCGGTAGTCAATCTCGAAGCCGAAGGTTCTATATCCGGTAGCCTTGATATAATCTGGTACAACGACGTGTGCGTTATACTCCGTTGACCGTGCTGGGCAGTGGAACACGACTAACATTTCTTTTACTCATAGCAACTGCGCTGCCCAGCGACAAGTATAATGGAGCCTTCTCAGGATCTCCCTGCCCTACCGAAGAGTTCCGGATCAGTCGAGGTACAATTGCTCGATGGTGGGAGCTTTACAGCAAACTATGCCGTGGTACATGCCGACGCAGCCTCATCTCCATTTCGATGCCACTCCTGGGTTTTCTATATACACCACAGACCCAGCGGACGGCATGTGATTTGGGACGTTGGTCTCAGCGCAGTGAGCGAAAGGTGAACCCTGGGCTTATCGTCAGACACAAAACTAATTATGCAATTAACCCAGAACCCGTCCGAATACACCACGTGGAGTATCAAGCATAATCTGGAGGTTCTGCAGCCGGTATCAGCGAGCGTAACTCTTCCGGACCAACTCAAGAAGAGAGGTCTCGACCCTGACAAGGTAGACACCGTTCTTTTCAGGTATGTGAAGATCGGTTCATCTATTCATCGATCCCCAGCGGCAGACTGACGAAAGACAGTCACGCTCACTGGGATCATTGTCGGCCCATCAAAGGGATGTTTCCCAATGCAACAGGGTACTTTGGCCCGGGGACTTTTGAACACTGCTCGCCGGGCCAGTTTCATGATGAAACCTACGACATCAAAGGTAAATGGGATGCCAATTTCTTCCATCCCGAGTGGGCTTCGGAGAATGCGGAAGAGCTGAGGGGCAATTGGCAGCCGTTTGGACCGTTTGAGAAGGCTCTCGACTTTTTTGGTGATAGGAGTCTCTGGATTCTTCAGGCACCTGGGCACATGGTGGGGAATTTGGCTGCTGCTGCGAGGCTCTCCAATGGTGAATGGGTGATCATGGGCAGTGACTGCTGCCACTCGAAGTAAGGATCTTAAACCCCCACAGAGAGTGAACGCTTGCCCACCTAGCTCACACCAGGCAATAGGGCTCTCATAGACGGCACTGCCGATTTCAAAACCTGGGTCAACGCGTGTGGGCACATCGAAAGCCTTCACGAAGATCTAGAAGCCGCCAGACGGACAGTGAAGAGGCTCAAGTCACTTGAAGTGGACTATGGCGCCCACATAGCCCTGGCACACGACAGTTCATGGATGTTGGCTGGGAAGGACGAGGTATTGATGTCGCTTCTGGACGACAACTTGCTGGAATTTGCCAAAACCAGGCTGCCTGTAGGGGGATTCCCTTGACACAAGTGTCCTATGGCACGCTGGAAATTAGTGGCGAAGTCCTAGAAGCAAAGTCCCACAACCGCCTTCCAGCCTTGCGTTATCAATGTCCGATAATTAAAACATGTGTTGTTTTTCCGAGGGATCCGCTTTTAGTGCCTTGACTGGCGTTCTTTACGCATCATGCATCCCAATATAATCGTGTCCATCTCCTCGTCTTCAATGTTTTCATCCGACATCTCCTGGATATCTCCCAGTTGACGGTCCAAATTCTCTCCCGCTGCGCTTATGACATAGTCACTGTTTGCATCCAGCTGACCGTCGTCCATCAATGTCGTCAGCTTCCTCAACAGGCGAGGAACCTTCAAGGACCAATTCCCGTTGATTGATACTGGAGCAACATCGAGGCCTTTCGCGCGTCGATTATGGTTCATCAAGTTGCCGAGATACCAATATGCCAACGCTCTGTCACGGTAGAGACCTTTAGACGTCATCGACCCAGGGCTATCCACAGTTCTTGCCCAGTGCTTCCTCCACAGCCGTAAGGCGTTGTTGGTGACCTTGGACTGTGCGTCTGCAAGATGCTCATTCATCCTTTCTTCGACTGGATCTTGAACCTCTCGAGGATCCCTCCGTCGGAAGATGAGTTTCTGCTCCCACATGTGCAGGAGAATGCCTGGTTCATGATGAGCAAGGTCTCACCAATGTCATAGTCGAGTTTGGACTTACCATGGAGCACGATAAAGGCCCCCATGACGCTGAAGTCGAGCGGCAAATCCATGGATGAGTGGCACAAAAAGAGAGACAAGATCGCTGGGAACTCCATCCGGGTCACATTGTGCGCTTTGACGTACAGAGCTTGCCACTCGTCTTCGGTACTGGCTGCAAAAATGTTTTCGTCACAGGGCAGAGGTAGTCGAAGTTCGTACGAGTGGAGTTCTGGACGCTGGTCGAACATGATCGCTCGAATAGCATCAAAGAGATACAATATAAACGCAGTCCTGACAGAGTGATCAGCGAAAGAGTTGCTTAGCTTAAAAGGGGAGGAGGTCACGGCCATGGTCAAGGGGAAAATAGTAGGGCTCACCTGATCCGACATTCTTGAGCAGACCAATCTTCCCATTTCATTTTCCAGGGGTCGATGCCAGGCTGGACGTCGACGAAAACTCCCGTATTTCTAGCCTCATTCACGAGCCGTTTCGTATCAACAGGTGCACGACACCGTTTGAAAGGGAGATAGAATGCTTCCAGCAGAGTGACGATATAAACGGAATGGATGGTATCAAGCTGGGCGGGACCTCCGGCCTGTAGACAAGGATCACTGCTCCACGCAAAAGCCTGGGCCATGTGACAGAGCCTCCTGGCATCAGAGCTGTTGGCCTTGAGGTCGCCGGAGTATACCGCACCTATCAGAGTCATGGCAAGGATGAGTCTCGTACTGGTGATTGAAATGTTCCAGAATGGCAAGTGTAGCAGCGGGGTATGTTGATGAAAGGACTCGAAGTATGAGCGTAGGAAGCGGGACATGTTGTCCATGCTGAACCAGTGATCCCACCGCCGCGAGCCTTGACTAGCCTCTCTGAGGTACTGTATAATTAGGGAACAATGGGCTTCCAGTGGTGATATTTGCATCAAACTCATGCCAGATGGCAGATTCATGGGCGTAACGAACCGTGCTGCATTGTCTCCGAAATCGTAGGGGCTCGCAGTCGCTTCTGGCGATATGGTTTGTTGATTCGACGTTTCCGAACAGGTCACCACCGTGCCGCTGTCATCTCGGTGGGCAACGAACGAATTGTCAAGGATACCCCAATCCAGCAGATCAAGGTTGAAGAACGTGTCGGTACCGACACCCATGAGGTCAAGCGTAGTTTCAGTGTTGAAGGTATCTGTCAATAAGCTGGAGTTATGGCCGTCGATCGCCAGGTGCTCTGGAGGTAACTGCTGCGGAACGACGATTGACCTCTGTATCTGATCGCAACCAAGTTGGCCCGGGATCTCCTGCGGAACAGAAAGATTTGGGGCCTCCCAGTTCACAGGAGGTATGGTGGTATCTAGCTCCTGACGTGGGGAGAGGTTCTGTGACTGGTGATCGTTCTGGGCTTGTCCCGGGCTCACAACATATTGCCCCAGCTGAGACATGGCGGTTGATGGGGTATTCAAACGGTCGGGAACGCTCAGAAGTCTGGATTTTCGATATGCGATATGGCAGAGCTCGCTCTGACCGATATTGCGACACCGCTCACAGGGATGGCCACCGGAACACTTGAGTTTGGAGTGCCTACAGGAGCTACAAGCTCGGTTGATACCGCGAGAGACCTCAACCGTCGACTTGTCAGCGTTTTGCACTGATTTGCAACTCTGGTAGTGACGGCGAAGAACATCGCTGCAGAATTTTATCAGCGTCCTCGGCGTATATGAGGTGTAAATGTTGCAGCAGACAGAATCAGTCTCACTCACCTCCGCCCAAACTTCTTTCCGCAAAATGGACACGGGTATGCCTTTTCCCTGCTGTGCATGGCTTGATGGCGTTTCAGATGTCCCGAGCGGCTAAAGGCTACCTTGCAATGATCGCAGCGGTACTTTGAAGTGAGGCTTTTCGCCAGGGCAGCATTTGGCTGCTGCGCTCCTTGTTGTTCAGAAAGCATCAGCAACCTAGCAATCGCTATAGGTGAGGAGCAAGCGGGCGCAGCAAGCAAAGAGCTTCGAGATAGTAGAGCAGTGATTTTCATACAGCGGACTGACGTCGGTAGCATCAGAGTCTAGTACAGTGATCAAAGAGGATTCGGGGTGTGATTGCTCGAATTCTTCGGGGTAGAGCCAAGAAGACTCTCACTTCCGGGACCAGGGGGTTGACGGACCGACGAGTTCCGGGCTGTCGCAGGGTGATTGACGGAGCAGTCTCCCCAGCGTGGTACTGAGGTGCCTGTGCCGGCAACGCTCAATTATTGGCGTGATGAACTGCTTTCTCCAAGTACGTAGCGCGCACAGGCTCTAGCTTTCCAATCCTTTCTCGATTTTCTCTTTACTGAACCGGCTGAGGAGGGAGAGTCAGATGCGGGTGGTTGTTGAGGCGGCTGAAAGCATCTCCACCCCCGCTTAGCTATCGGCTGGGCTACTGGCCGTCGATGGCGACCACGAATAAGGCGCTGGCAGTCTGGCGACCGGTGGTAGCATGGGCTCTCCACGGGCGTCAGTAGCCCATCAAACGAACTCCGGGGAGGCGCTGATCCGCCCCCAGAAAATCCAGCTCCTGAAGACTGAGGGCCCGTGGCTGAAGGATTAAGGAGTCTCAGAGTTTCTCCACATACAAGAGCAGCCCTCGCTTTTTCCCACATACCCATGAAACTTGACCTGTGGCACTTGGGATTCACCTCGGTGGGAATGGTCGTTGTATTTTGAGTCTAGGTGCCAATATTGTGAGAATGTAGTACTGTTGCTTTGCTTTGAAGATGCGACCTCGTCTTCTGTTTGAATCCTGATCAGGGATATCTCTTCTGGACAAAGAAGACAAAATGGCAGGCTTGATCCCTAACAAGAGACTGGGAAAGGCTACAATATTGCCCGCTCCTGACCTCTAACTCTGCTCGAGAGAAATTGAATCCCGAAACGCCTGTTGGAGAAAGTTCGTAGAGCGAAGAGGTCAGTCTGTCAAAACCTCGCCAAAGAAACAACAAGCAATCGCATTCGGCTACCTGTGATCTCGGAGGGTATCACGCCGCCGTTGTTTACTGCCTCCATCAATGAGCTCCAGGGCCAGTTGGGAAAGGAGAATGTCGTCGCGAACGAGTAGCCTCTCACGTGGGTTTGGCAAAGACTGTAGGGTTGGGGGAGTCTCTGATAAACACCTAGATACATGAAACATAGGCTGCGAGAGACGGAGTCTAGTCACTAGCAATGCAAGCTAACAACGGCGACAGATCCAAACACCCACGACGCTTTCAACCTCCTTGATGCCGAAGACACTGTTGCGTCAGCCGTCGCATATTCAAGCAACACAGAGGAAGTGCAGCCCACTGTGATTTTCACAATCAGCAATACTGTCGTCATTATAAGCGCTGCCGGGTCCAGTGCCAAAAAGTCCAGCTACTGTCTCATCACGTTTGCCAGCAATTCGCATATACATCGATGTTCTTACCAATACCCAAGGTATGTGGGGGAAATCCTAGGCCCCTTTCCTGCGTATGTGGGGTAAGGGGTTACCTGGTTTTGCGGGGGTGTGTCAACTCCGACCAGATGAAAGTCACGCCTCTGCTTACAGCGTCGAGGACGAGATTACGGGACCTCACGCCATCGAATATGCTATGGGCCCGTCTTGAGATATATACAAAATGGAATTCCGAGGGTCGTGGTCTTGATCACATTTACCTCGGCCCCAAGTTGTACTTACTGCACCCAAGCCAGACAACCGACAAAGAATGAAGGTAGGGCCATCTAGATGTTCACTGGCAAATAAGGCAAGGCTAACCCATATACTGCAGCTTCTCATCGTCGGATCAGGTCCCTCCGGACTCTTACTAGCTCTGATGCTCGCCAAAAAGGGCGTTGATGTGACCTTGGTCGAGAAATCGACGGAGCTCGACAAGCAGCCTAGAGCGACTCACTATGCTGCTCCTGCAATTTATGAGCTCGCCAGAGCCGGAGTGCTTGACGAAATGTACGAAGGGGGTTTCGTCCCCAACGGTGTCAGCTGGCGGAAACTCGACGGGACGAGGTTGACAGGTCTCGTGGCCAAAGGAGTGATTCCAGACGATTACCCCTACAGGATGGTTTGTTATCCTTTGGACCGACTGGGACCATTGCTGTTGAAGCACGTCCAGAAACTTCCCAACGTACAGATCTTATGGTCACACGATGTCACGAGTATAGGACAGGATGCCGACTCCGCCTGGGTCGAGGCCGAGACTCCTGGTGGGACCAAGCATATCACCGCCGACTACCTCGTGGGCTGCGACGGAGCAAACAGCATTGTTCGAAGGCGACTTTTCGAGGACTTTGAGTTTCCAGGATTTACCTGGGACGAACAGATCGTTGCTACAAACGTACGTGTTGTTCTCTCCTTTTTTTCAAACTGTAAAGGGTTCTTTCGGGCCAGACTCGCCTGGCTAACATCTAGAAATTGCAGACATACTACGACTTTGACCAGTTTGGCTGGACAGACGCGAATTTTATCGTCCATCCCGAACATTACTTTATGGCAGCACGTATATCTCCTCACCAGGGCAAGGAGGCAATGTGGCGCGTCACCTATGGCGAGCTGCCAGGGTTGACGAGGGAGCAGATGATCGAACGACAGCCCGACAAGTTCAAAACCTTTCTCCCCGGCCACCCGGAGCCGGATCAGTACAAGATTGTCAACTTCAGCCCGTACAAGATCCACCAAAGGTGTGCCAAATCACTCCGTGTAGGACGAATCCTTCTCGCCGCTGACGCCGCTCATCTGTGTAATCCATTGTAAGCGTCTACTGCCTCTGAGTTGGGCGAATATAACTATTTGTATAAACTGACGAATGATTCTAGCGGCGGCCTCGGCCTGACAGGAGGTATAGCAGACATCGGCGGGCTCTACGACTGCTTGCTCGGCATCCACCAGGGCCTCGCGGATGACAGCATTCTAGACCAATACGACCGCGTCCGGCGAGAGATCTATGACAAGGTCATCAACCCTATGTCCTCGGAGAACTTTACCCGGTTGAACAGACAAGATCCGGAGAAGGCGATGGAGAACGATCCTTTTTTCCAGCTCTGTCTGAAGGGCGAGAGCGATAAGGAGTTTTCCAAGAACATGCAACTGGTGGGTTTCTGCGTCCCTCCCACCTTATCCCTGATCGGTCTCCATCTGTGCTAATGTTTTCCATTGTCGGAGCAGGCCGTCAAGGATCTCTTACAGCATGACTTTACACAATATTACAAGAAAGACGTGGCGGGTGCAACGGCCATACCTTCATAGTGAACACTCAACGATAGCTCCACCACAAAAAGAATTATAGGCCATCTTTCTTGAGGAGTCGAGCTTGATTCTTGTGAATTGTGAGAACGACCGTTCTTGCATGTCAGTTAACCTTACGATCCTGTCGATGACACAGCCCACCAAGGTTGACGAGCACAACGGCAAATTCAATTTTCCTTCCTGATGACCGTAAAGCATCAGCCATGTCGAGAGTCCTATGGTCATGACTATACTAGTCAAATTTGACTATAGTCATGACTAGTCAAGGAATTGGGAGGAATATCAATCATTCATTGGCTGGGGTAATGTTTTTCCGCTGGCGGCACAACTCGCTTAGCTCTTATGTACCTTTCTAATATAGTATAGTGAGGGTGTGCTAATAAACACGCTAGTCTGTAAACGGTTGAATATGTTTCCAATAGCTTGACCAGTCATTCACTACAGTCATGACTTATAGTCAAGTTTCCTAGGTTGAAGATAGTCAGACTAATAGCTATAGTCTCGACACCGCCACACGTTAAAACAGCTCCATGACTTTATCGAACGCCGTCGGTCAGTTCCACATGATGATATATCTCCCTAACCCACATGTGTATCTCTCACCCGTTTTCGGAGATGGCGTTTACATTTGTTTGCAACTTCATGTCATCGCAATGCTCCCGTTGATACTACGGAGAGAGCATAACTTAGTGGAATCTCACAACCAGCTTGGACGTAGGTTGATCTCGCAGCTGAGCCTCATCCAGCCTATCTATTAGATCCTGTTCTCGAAGCCTCGATATAGCTTTTCAGGGTAGTCAACGATCCTTGCTCGTAAAAACTCTGCTAGTCCCTATTTTTGACGATCAACGTGTCAGCCATATTGCTCCAAAGAGCAGTTGAAGGACATGGATCGGGACTTGGAGGGACCCTCCCTTACCTTTCCAAGGCTGTCAGGTCTTGACGTGTCCGTCACACCACCCCCTAGCATGCCGAAGAGAACGAAATGGACGCTCTTGATGTTGGGAAACTCTACTCTTTCCACCTTCGACACGGTCGGGGCATCGTCGCCCAGCAATTCAAGAAGCTTCTTGGTCGTCAGTGTAGATCGTAGCCAGTCCCATTCTTCCTGCGAATCTCCCTGAGGAAACAGACCAACATTGATGTTTGCGCCTTTGTCTCCTGAGCGCGCAAAGACCTGGTGTCCCAGCGGTACCTTGATCGTGGGCCCGAACGTCTTCAGGTCCACAGAGTTTTGCGGCTCGTAATTCTCCTGCGCGACTGAGGACGGGTCACTTAGCGTTCCGGTAAAATGGTGCACTATTTTCACGTCCTCCGAGTCAAGCCAGTGTACCTCCATCTCGACTTTGGACCGGTCGATCAAAGCCGGAAAATACGCTAGGTATGGACGAGGCTGAGCGGTGCGTAAATACTCCAGGCTCGGCGTAAAGCCTGGGAAGGATGCTCCGAGATTCTGGATGATTTTGTACTGAAAGTTTGCTGTGGACAGTTGCTCCTTCTCCTTAGCTTGGACGAACACACGGATAACGGCAGTAGAAGCATTAGAGGACTTTGGGTCAGGCGCGCCATTGCCGATGAGCTGGACCTCGAGCTTGCTGAATTGCATCTTTCCCGAATCTGCGACAAACTCCCTTCGCACCTGTTCCTCCACCGACTTGGCCTTCTCTTCGATGTCCAGCCCCATGGCCCAAATGATCATTTCAGCCTGGAAACCGGCATACGCTTGAATGGCGACCTTTAAGGTCTTTGGAGGAGGAAGGCCCTTGAAGCCGCTGACATGCACGCGGTCAGGCCCTTCTTGCTTCACCTTCAGCGCTGAAAGGTCTGCAACCACATCCGGGTTATAGTAATATCGCCCTTGGATTTCGTACACCAGCTGACTTCGGACAGTGTCAATGTTCACCAACCCGTTCTGGCCGGGCTGTTTGGTAATGATGCAGTGGCCGTCATTATATATCTCGGCGATCGGATAGGCCAGTGAATGATACGGCTCTATGACTTTGAAGCCGCAGAAGTTCCCCCCGGTCTAGAGTAACGACATCAGCGCCAGAGAACTCGAGAAGGAATTTGACATTATCCCGCACATACCACATAGTTGCCACACTCAATTATATGGCCTGCAATAAGGCCATGGGCATGATTGTCGTAATCCTGTTCGCACCAATCGTAATACCACGTCGTGAGGGCTTGGACGGCACCAGCGTCGGTTGTCCTGCCAGCGAGAACGATATCCGCTCCGCCCTTCAACGCCTCCACGAAGCCAAACTGGCCTATATATGCGTTGGCAATTACCGGTTCAAACGGCCACACATTCAGGGTTTCCGATGTGTTCAGGTTGTTGATCGTTTTCTGGGTTTCGCGGTCGCTAACAATGCTCAGGACGTTGTCGCCAGTGATGTAGGCTATCCTTAGTGCTTTTCCAGCGTCTCCAAACTCGGAAACGAAGAATTTCTGAACGTTAAGTGCCAATTGACGCGGGTTGAGGGCACCGGCATTCACAACCAGCTTCGGGAAGGTCCCAGCCCTGAGCCTCTCGCCCAGCTGTTTCGACGCGGTCTGCAAGGTCTTGACGAAGATAGGATCTTCTCCACTCGTGATGCCGTGCTCCATCTCTGCCTTGCGCCATGACAGATTCATCTCTGCCAAGTAATCTCCCACGACGGCGTCGACTTCGATCGGACCGGTCATGACTGTGGCAAGAGCGTCAAGTCGATCTCCTGAGTAGGCAGAAATCGAAGCAATCCTGATGGGTCTTTTGTCCACATGATTGTTTCTTTCCATGATGGCCGAGACGCTCAATGGTCTCAATGACTATGTTATGGCATATACACCAGTTGTCCCAATTGCCGAACACTATCGAGTTCAATTAAATTAATCAATTCACGTTCCCTGGAACAACCCCGCCAGGACAACTACGAGACTTCGCCGAAGCAATGCTCCGCTTCCCCACATCGAAAATACATAATAATCATACATCCGGCGGGGCTTCGACACACTTGTGACCGTCTCTACAGGGCTCAGTGGACCTGCTCCTGTGGCATCTTCACGCACCGGCAAGTGATGCTGTTAGCGCGCCCACGGAATTCTTTGCAGGGACGCTCTTGATTCCCGTCTTCCAGTTAGACGGCTATGGCATATTCTTCCCGCGTCTTGACACCCCTGTCGAATGTCACGTAGCTTGGAAAAGGCGTATCGTCTTCCAACTCGGCCCACGCAGTCCAATGCTTCTGCAGCCCAAACTTCGACTCCGCGTCGTCGGCTACTGCTCGGACGAAATCAACCGTCGAGATCCCCTGGAGCCTGCCCTCAATGTCCTTAGGATCGTCTTTGTACCACCCCGAATAAAATCGGAGATCAGGCATCTCTCTCAATGGTATAAAGCCTTCTACGACGTGGTAGTCCTCACCACCACGGCATGGCCGGTAGAGCGCTGGGGGCGACACAAACGACCAATTCCAAGATGTGTCGCCGTCGAAGAACAACCACGTCACTCTCCCCGCCTTGACGAAGGTTTGGCTGTAGTCTCCATCAAAAGCGTTCTGCAGATACTCTTTGATGAACGCGACATCTTCCTCCGTCGCTGTTCCGTCTCTCACTCTCAGGCGAGTGGTTCGTAGCTTGCGCAGCCCAGACCCCAACAGTCCTAATCGCTCCTCCATGTATTGGATCTGGGCTTCAGAATCAGCAAACGCCTGGCGGAACTGTATACCATGATCTAGTTAGCCTGGGAGATCTTCATTCGGAGAGGTTTTGGGTAATATGTTCGCACCGCTCTCCAGAAATGCCCCGAGTCAGCTGCGCAGAGATGAGGTTCGATCTTTGGCAGCTCAAGACTGCCTGCTCCTCCAACGTTGATAAAATACTGCGGTCGAGCGATCTTAGCTGCCCGGAAGATCTTGCGGGTGGTCTCGATATACGGCACTGCTCCTATGTCAATTAAATGTGCCCATCTGCACGATTGAAACCCATGATGTCCAAGACGTACTATATGTCAACGCTGCCTGGCCTTCGGAATGGGGGCTAAACATGCTGTTTCGCTCATCAACGTGCGACCTCAGTGGTATTAAACACAATTTCAGATGGATCTTACTTGACAATCACATCATACCCTCGGCTAAACTCCTCGATCAATTCCAAAAATGGAGAGTTGACCACATCGAATACCTTAGGAGTGTACAGGGGATGAGTTCCGAGTTTCTCAGGCCGCCTCGCCATGCCCGTGACAAAGTGGCCCCTGTTGACGAGCTCCAGGGAGAGATAGGAGCCTCCATGTCCTGTGGCACCAACGACCAAGACCGACAATGACTTTCGAGAGCTTTCACCCTCGCCATTGATAGTAGCGGCCATAGCTAGGGAAGTGGTTCTGCAAGTCTCACAGACATGAAGCGTTTCCTCGATGCCCATTCCCATATTTTGGTCCTCCAGACTCGTGGGGTGTTCCGAGCGGGGCGCTTTCGAGCAGAGAGGGGGTAGTCCGCCTCCACACTGCACCACCTTCAAGGCTGATGAGGCTCCCGCTATGCAAATGCTGGGGTACACAATAGTTACGTGCTCGCCACATGCTTCGACGTCGCTGTTGTGCTCCTACGGACCAGTGTTTTCATCCCGTGAACTGCTGTGAGTTGTTTCTATCCCAATAGTCGAAGATGTCCATCTGCGTCAAACGCGGAGAGGAGGGCTACGACACCTTCAGAACACGTTACTTTGATGCTCAAGTCCCAGATTAGATACCCTCGGAAATTGTTTGTCCTACAACCACCGCGGAAGTTACAGAAGCAGTACGCCGGGCTACTAAAAGGAAGGAATGCTTCGGAACTGCGTTGCTGCGTTCTCAAATTCAAAAAGTGGCTTTTGTCTCGTCAATTTTCGCACGAAAGATCAAATAGACAGGCCCATCTGCCTGCAGGTTGAGAGAAGGGACGGTTGGGCTGGAGGTCCAATCCGAGAAAACAAACCACAGAATCCTCCTGACGATCGTGGGTTCTCGAAGGCTCAATAACCCAAATTCCCACAGACCATTATTTCAGTCCCAAAGACTGAACTGCTTTTCTCAATTCACTCGGCACCTGCATGGTCTGTCTCCAGATGCAGCCATTTCAACGCATTGTGATGGTGCCAGAAATAGCGATACTTCTTGCCGTACACGTACAGCGGAATCGCAAACAGTGAGAACGCCCCTGTGATTCCCGCCATGACGCCGGTCAATTGGACCGCGCCACGACTCAGGTACCAATCAATCACGTAGTTTGTTAATCTGTATCGATGTGTTTGTCAATGGTTGTCGTCGCTGGGTCGGAGAAAGAAACAGATGAAGAGGTAACAGGGAGGGAGATGGGGAATGCAGTCACTGACCCGTAGTAGAAGAAGTTTTTGAAGACCATGTTCATGACGAACACCTCTGTGCTGTTCTGTCGGTACGCATCAAGGGCCCATTGGGTGGCGAAGGTCGCAACAAGCGTAATGCCAAACAGAATCAAGCCCCAGATGAAGCACACGACGTAGACGCTGGCGAAGTTCTTCACTGCGAAGCCCCATGCGACAAGGCCGCCAACCACGGGAAGTGCGCAGAGCAGGACCGGCAAGAGACAGAACTCGGGCTCGTAGACGCCCTTGTTCCGACGTGTCAGGGTGCGGACGAGCGGTTCGGAGACGAAGAAAGCCACCACGGTAGCTAGGAAGCCACCGATCAACGGGCCCGCAGACATGTACCCGACACCGGCGGCGCTGAGGAGGTAAGGAGGCGACGCGAAGATGACGCCCGATGTGATTGCGATGGCGACGTACCAGGCGACGATCTGGCCAGTCATAAGGACTTGGTAGCATGCGCCGATGTTGAGAAGGATCGCGACGGACGCCACGACCATTTTGACGACCGAGTCCTCGACGAAAACGCCGTTGTAGAGGGAGAGTTCCTGGATGAAGGATTTCTTTGCGGGGATGAGTCCTGAGGTAGTCGACTGAGTAGTCGTCTTCTCGAGATCCATCGCAGTAGCTGTTGAGATATCGGCCGCGTCGCCACCGCCATTGTGATTCTCAATGTGCCTTGCAGCCCTGGACTCGACGTTCGCGAGTTTCTCAAGATCCTCATCGGACCCTGCGGTGTCGATCTCGTAGATGTGCGAACGCCGGTACATGGTCTCGGGACAAAAGAAGGTGACCAGAATCAGCTGAACCACGGCAAAGGGAATGCAGATGTGGAAGTTATAACTCCAGCCTAGGTTGGCGGTGATCACGCCCGCGATGATGGAGACCCCGTTTGAAATCGACGTAAGGAGGAACATAACTATGGCGACGCGGGAGCCTCGCTCGTGCACGAAGAATAGATCCCCAATCGACGCGATGGCGAGGGACTCGTATGCCGTGACGGCGATACCCTGTAGAATCCGACCCGCGAGGAGCGTGCTGTATGTCGACGCGGTCTCACAGATAATAATGCCGACCGTGCCAATGACTGACGACAGGACATAGAGAGGCCGTTTCCCAAATTTACGACCGAGTGCAGAGACAAATGGACCAGTGGCACCGGTGGCAAGCATCAGGTAGCCGGAAAGTTTAGCAATATCGGTGACGGTCTTGTTAAGATCTATCGAGATGACCACGATACCGGCGTTAAGGAGGGGCGACTAGCGATAGTATCGGGTCAGGATATACCGGACAGAAGACGAGCGTTCACCAGGGGGCAGGCTCGGGATTCTCAACTTACGGGAACGACGCCGTGGATAATGGTGCCGAAGAAGATAACGAACAGAACCAGGTGTTTCTTCAAAAAGGACCAGTTCAGCGGGTCGTTGGGATCTTCTGAAGGCTGTGGCGCTAAAATGATATGCGTATCTTTGCCACGGGCATGCTTCAGTCGCCCGGTCTGCTGTTCTGAGTGTGCTGCCTGCTGGTCCAGGAGGACCGTTCCCGGTACGTGGTTGAGGGTGTTTGGCTCGAGGATTCCTAGACCCATGGTGACTAACTAGAGTGAAGATGAAGACGAAGATGAGGATGATGAGTGTTCCGGTGATGTAGAATCAAGAGTTGTCCCACAATGACAGAGGAAATGGCCTGGCTTTTAAAGAACGTGCGCACATATGTATTGTGGACTGCCCGGTGCAGTGGACACAACCCGGGGTCCCTATTTGCTCCAGAACTATAGAGACAGCTGCCGCGCTCTATTGGCCCAGACCCTAAATGGTCAAAGCTTGGTGTGCACAATAGCATGTCATATTTGCTTCGGCGTTATCCCACACCCTGAGGAGCCAGGGCTCAAAGGAGTCAAGCCTCAATAGGCCTTCAGCCAAGGCCTGAACTGTAAATTCCCATTTCCCCACATCGCATCTGAATCAGTATGCGGGCTCGGCGGCTGGGAGTTGTCCTTTTTCTGATGAAGCGCGCTCGTAGAGACAGAGTATTTGTCACAACATTCGAGAGGAGTGTTTCTGCTTCGAAATCAAGTTGGTCACCAGCAAGGTTCTGATCCGGCCAGACTCCACTTTCCGGGATTTCAAAAGGCGGTTCTGAGGCCAGCTTGACTGGGTATTGAGCTCTTCCCCGGTACCACAGGTTCCTGTACACTTCAGTTGGAAAAAGCAACACCAATACCTCGGCCATGGCTATTCACGGTGCCTTTTTCGAGCAAGAAGGGTATTTCGTGACGCTCTCGAATGGCCAGAGGGACCACTACTTCGTCGATTCCTTCATTGACCCCTGGAAACCCCGGGCGGAGAAACAGGTCCTTCTGATCCAGCCCGGGTTTGGTCGGAGTGCCAGATTTTGGTACCACTGGATTCCTGCCCTCGCTCGGGACTACATAGTCATCCGCCGTGACTTGCGCGGTCACGGGGAGTCGTCTTTCCCTAAGCGTCTCTCGCCGTGGTCCGAGGGGGCGTCGGGCAAATACGAGAATGACTACGCGTGGAATATCGAGACGATCTGTGCCGAGATTGTGGATTTCCTGGACAAGTTGGGCATCGACAAGGTCCATTTCCTCGGGGAGTCGACTTCCGGGCAGGTTGGGCATGCGATGGCCGCCCTCCATCCGGACCGGATCGCGTCCCTGATCACTTTCTCGTCTCCTACACACTTGCCTGAGGACAAGTGCCGTTTCCTGGCCATGGGTCAACCGAGCTGGCCGGAAGCCATGGTCAGCCTGGGCTCGCGGGCCTGGGCAGTCGCGCTATCCGGGCAAGCCGGAACCTCACCACGACAGGATCAGGCGTACCATGAATGGTGGCTTAACGAAGTGGGGAAAAGCGCGGCAGAGGGTTTGGCAGGGTATGCGGTGTTCCTGGAACAGTTGAACACCCGGCCGTTCTTACCCCAGATTCGTTGTCCGGTTTCTATTCTGGCGCCAACAAGAAGTGCGGCGGTGCCGATGGAGGAGTCCCAGTACGCAGCAAGCCACATTCCAGGCGCGGAGCTCAAGGTCGTGGAAAGTCCAGGGCACGAAATCTACGTAGAGTCAGCAGATGTGTGTGTGGAATTGGTTCGAGACCATCTTGCAAACTTCGGGGGCTCGCGGGGCTGGTCTGACAGGCCTAGGAGGGCATAGAACACCTCACTCGGTGCCCCAGCAGCTGGGCTACGGACATTGTGCCCTCTGTAGATGCCCTCGTATGTGTTGGGTGTTCTGTCAGGGCGAGGCTGCAATGGAGGTGGCGTATGTGGTGACGATATGTGGGGTTCGTTAGAGTAGCTGTTCCAGACATTCGATGGGGAAACAAAAAAATCAATACAAGATAGCCAGCCATGTTGCATGATCTGTCTTGCTAGATCAAGTGATATCAAACGCCGGCCGGCTCTGTGATAAGGATGTTCGTCTCTTCCGCACGAAACCTGGAAGCTAGTCTCAATTCCAGAATCCTCACTTCCGCTGGGGGAGTTGAAATCCCGGCGTTAGGACTGGGAACCTTTGAGCCTGGCCCACTTGGAACTGGCCGCTGCAGCACCGCCGTCAAGGCAGGAATTCAGGCGGGATATCGACATATCGACACGGCGGCGTTGTACGGCTGTGAGGAGGAGGTGGGAGAGGGGATCCGAGCCAGCGACATCAAGCGAGAAGAGCTCGTGGTGTGCACGAAATTGTCAGTCTGAGTTCTTGAAACCCTCCAAGATATCCCCCTGAATAGTCAATAATGAGCGCGCACCAGCTGGCAACAATGGCATCAGCCGGAGGATGTGGTGAAGAGCCTAGAGGACAGTTTGAGTCGGATGAAGCTCGATTATGGCAAGACTGAAAATGGATGAAAGAGTGTTTGCGGGGGGGATACTGATACGATGACACAGTTGATCTCTACCTCATGCATTGGCCGCTGGCTTTCAAGCGCACAGAGGAATACTATGAATTAAAGGGGGAGGACGGAAAGGTGAGAGTTCTAGAACATTGAGAGCTAGCTCTATCTGATCCCCTTCACCCGCGGTGGCACTTTTGAATTCATTCTGATCGCTCGTTCTTTCAGCCGATTGTCGACCACGAACTCACCGAAAACCATGAACCGACATGGCGAGCAATGGAGCAACTCGTCGACGCCGGCAAAACACGAGCAATCGGTGTCTCAAACTTCAGCATCCCGCAGCTCGAGAGGCTCTTGTCCTTCGCCCGAATCAAGCCTGCGTGTAATCAGGTCGAGGCACACCCTTGGTTTCCCCAGAACGAGATGCTCGACTTCTGCAAGCGCAACGGCATCGTATTCGTGGCCTACTCTCCGCTGGGAACGCAGCCAGGAGGTATGCACGAGATCAAAGCGCGGTTGATGGATGACGAGGACGTCGTGGCGGTCGCTGAAAAGAACGGGGTCGATCCTGCTCAGGTTCTGATTGCGTGGGCTCGTAAGTAAATTAAACCTCCCTTCATTTAGCTCTGTAGGTGGTGTTGCTGTGACTGAAAGGGCGGCTTCCAGTCCAACGGGGCACGGTCGCGATTCCAAAGTCCTCGACTCCCAGCCGCATACAGTCGAACTTCAATGGTCCGTCAGTGCGTGTCTCATTTCTCAAGCCACCGCCACTAATAGCAAACAAAACAGTCCCGGAATTATCTCACGAAGACTTCCAGCTGATTGACGAGATCATCGTCCGAGATCCGAGCAAGAGGAATCGATTTGTGAATTTCGACCCTATTTGGGGGACATCACAGTTTGACTACGACCCTTGACGGCCACTTTGAAGCATGGGCATTCAGTAGTGTTAACAAGAAACGTGGGGTGTATGAATAAAACGGAGTGTGTGCATACACCCAACCCACCCCTTTCTAGATAAACAAAGCAGAAAGTGGTGGAGGGTTCCTCAATATCCATACATAGCGCGGAGACGTGTTATAACAGAGACCTGTTAAGACAGCCAGCCGTGATTTCTCCATAAAATAATTGCTATATGTTTAACTTGTTGTTCTCTCCCACCTACGTATATGTGCCCCTTAGCCTCAGGTGGTTTCGTTGTGGGAGATACCCGATTTCTCCAACCATCTCACCAAACCAGAGTGTGTGGGGTAGTTTAAAAACGGACATATTCTTGAGCCATGCATTGAGTTCCTGCTTCATTTTCGTTCACCTCGATAATAAGAAGATGGGAACACAGTTCGAAGCAAATATCACACAAGCGGTCAATGATGATGTCGTGGCGGGAGTGGCAGTCATTGCAGTGGATAAGAGAGGTATGAATGCTCACTGATGAAAACAGCTTGCTGTATTCATTTCTGCCCCTTTGGAAATTATCTAGAGGGGAATTGCCTCAATTAGTTTCTCTCTCTCTCTCTCTCTCTCTCTCTCTCTCTCTGATCATGAGAATTATTCAGGCGTTTTGAGATATGCCAAATCATTCGGAACAGCATCAATCGATGACACAAAAGGAGAGCGAAAGCCTATGAGGCTGGACACTACCATGTGGTTGGCTTCATGTTCAAAGGTAAGCAATAAAGCACAAAGTCGAAAATCAATCCCCAAATACTCTGTCAAACGCAACGAAGAAGAAAAGCGAAAACATCCTTCTCTCGTCTTGCTCCATAGACTGATCGTCCAGATCGCCACGGCTGTGGCCTGCATGCAATGCGTCGAGCGTGGTCTCCTGTCTCTCGACGAACCCGTCACCCAGGTCCTACCTGAACTCACCGCCCGACGAGTCCTTGAGGGCTATGACACCCGCGGCAACCCGATTCTTCGCGACGCCACAAAGCCTATCACGCTGCGCCAGCTCCTCACGCATTCGGCAGGCATGGCGTATCCGGGCCTCAGTCCACGCATGACCAAGTACCTGGTCTCTATCGGTCAGTGGCCACCACCGGCAAGAGGTCTTGGGACAAAGAAGTCCATCGTGGACGACTACGAGAGCTTGCCTTTACTGTATGAGCCCGGGGAAGGATGGGATTACAGCCCGGCCATCGACTGGGTGGGCAAGATGGTGGAGCGGGTCAACGCCGGGTCCACGCTGGAAGAGTACATGCGCAAAAACATCTTCGAGCCCTTGGGCATGGCGTTGACCACGTTTCGCCCGAGTCGAAATCCCGCCGTCTGGGAGAAGTTGGTTGGCCCTGTGTTCCGCACCAGTACTGGTCCAGACGGGACCCTTTCCTCGACGCCGCCTCCCGGTTTCCTCTGGAAGGACGATGAAGCGGCGGAAGACTTTGGCGGTGCCGGTCTGCACAGCTGCGCCAAGGACTACATTAAAATTCTCACTTCGCTGTTACTGGACGATGGGAAGCTGCTGAAGTCGGAGACGGTGGATGAATTGTTCCGTCCGCAATTGCCAGACCCGAAATACATGCAGGCAATCATGGATACCCCCGAAGAAGCGGCCTTTCTCGCGCCAAGTTTCGGCACGTCGGTGAAGTGGAATCATGCTCTTGGGGGGGCGGTGGCCGTGGACGGTGTGCCAGGCCGGGCGGACGGGGGTATGATGTACTGGGCCGGTATGCCAAACTCGTACTGGGTAAGTCTGGACAACAAAGAACACTCCCCTTCCGAAGCGGGTCGAAGGATGACGGACTGATGTATTCTCAGTGGATTGACCGGGCGAGAGGCGTCTGCGGCGTGTTCGCAGACCAAATCTTTCCCCCGGCAGATCCTCCAACGCAGAGGCTATTCGCCCAATTCCAGAGGGACATCTACAAGATTGTCGGCAACTAGAGCACTGGACCCTCACGTGGTGTTGCTATAACTAGTGGGTCGGATAGGTAAAGCTCACCTGGATTACTCGAGAACGAAAAACTTGATTGCCATATACAGTTTTTGGTCCCAGAGGGTGAGCGAATGCCGTTGTATCTTGAGCTTTAACTGAGTTACAAGACTTTTGAGGTTTATTTTCAAGCCATCGTGGCCCTTTTCCTTTCTATTCTACCCTTCTTGACTTCGCTTTTGCCCCTCCTCCTCCTTTACACAGCAGTGTATGCAGGGTGAATACGACTGAAGGTCTTCTGCAGGCGCTCAACCAAACGCGATGTCTCGGCATTGTAACCTCTAAAGCAATAATCTCCCCGTCTAGCTTCGAGCTGCGACATGCATCTGAAGAATGGGTTGACAAGAGCGTGTTAGAAGAGGAGAGCCGTCGAGCCGGCTTTGTCGAGTGTCAAACGGTGCCCAGCTTTTCAGCCCAGCAAGGCCCGCCAGGTCCTTCTATTTCCTGCAGTCACACATTGTATTGCGCTATATGAGCTTTATCTATCAAAATAACCCAGACTCATCCGTTGCCAAATCGCAGTCACAGACTCATCTCAAAATCTATTATCTCTTGCATGCGCGTGCTAAGAGATTCGCTTGCTGCGGTCGAAGGACCCTCGAGGGGCGGCCGTGGAAGGCCTCCGTAACCAAAGAACCTTTCCAACACGTTCTTGGTGGCCCCTATCCCAGCAGCAGTATGTGGCCAGTCACCTTCTGCCAGCAGAGCTTGTAACTTCATGGCCTCGTCTAGCCGACCTTCGTTGAAGAGATTGTACACCTTGCAGCAAGTCTTCGGGAGGATGTTGCCTCCCCCAGCTATTACCCCTGAACCCCCTACCACCAAGGCTTGGAGAATGAAATCTGCCAATCCAGCGACGGCCCAGTAGGTTTTATGTGGCTGAGTTGCGGTCATTGCGCTCATGGCACGAGCAACACGTGCCAGCTTCCCCGTATCAGCACAGGTGAACTTGGTACCGACGATGTGAGGATGGCCTTGGGAGATGCGGATCAATAAATCCGAGCTCATCTCTATTCCAGCAGTAACGGCCGGGAAACTGTAGAGAACGATTGGCAACGGCGACTCCGCGGCAACGGCCATGTAAAAGTTATATATCACGTCCTCGGTCATGGCCGCTTTGAAGTAGCTCGGTGGAAGGATGAGGACATGAGACCCGCCCGCTTCTGCCGCGTCTTTGCATAGTGCGACGGTCTCTCTGACTGATTGACCAGACGCTCCCACGACCACTGGCGCGTCTTTTTGACCAGCTGCTGTCAAGGCTTCCTTCGTCGCCCGGATCACCTGTTTTCTCTCCTCGACGCTCAAGTGCGGCGCCTCTCCGTTTGAGCCTAGCGCAATGATTCCAGTCACTCCCGCGGCTGCCAGGCGCGCTATGTGCTTTTTCAGGGTCGGGGTGTCAAGACCATGAGACTGAGGATCAAAAAAGGTCAGCGTGGCTACATAAACGCCTGGCTGTAATTGAGGAGACATCGGAGTGGTTGGCTCTGATCTCTGTTCACGAAGTACGGCCCTATAATGCACACTCCACGAAACGCACCACCAGGTTGCCGCATCGGGAAGACCTGGCATAAGTTCTGTTTTTAATATTGGTCTGCATGGTGCTCCTCGCTTACGACATTTCCACTAGATAATTGTACTCCCGGTTTCGCACGACGCCTAGCAAGCCGTCCTATCTCAGGCACACCTCTTGCGACAGGACAAGGTGCGCGAAAATGCAGCTACCCCACATCACCGCCGCATCAACAAGGGGTAAAATGGATCCGCAATTTTGCACTCAGTGTCACAGGGGCGGGAGTTGCAACTCGCTCATGGGCATACACACACATTTCCAAACGGGATAGTGGGCTCAAAGATGCTCCCGGGGCAGCACTATTTGGTCCGTCCCTGCAAAGAAAATCGGGAACTTGCAATGTTTCACATCCAGCTTGAGGCGAAGGCCGCTCCTAGAAAGCGTCACAGTCGGAACGAAGCAGAGGTTTGTCAAGGTTAAGTGGTCAAGGCAAACGTATGTCATATAGCACTTATTGTCCAACATGTCGACATTACAACCAATCTCCGACACAGAGCTGGCCACGCTTAGAGGTCGGACCGTCCTCATCACAGGAGGTGCTTCTGGCATTGGACGTGCTCTTGCCGTCCTCGCACACTGTGAGCACGGCAGTAGCATGGTCTTCAAGTTAGAACCAAATGCTGACAAGACTGGTCCAGCCGCCGGTGCGAATGTCGGCATCCTAGATGTGGACAAAGAAGCAGGCAAACTGCTCGCAGCCGAACTCGCCGAGTAAGTTCTGCCACGAAACAAACATACTAGTACTGCAAGTCAGAATGGACAGAATTTTAACCTGGTCATCCATAAGACGGGCGCTGTTCATATTCACAGACGTATCTAGTTGGCAATCTGTTCTTGCGGCCTTTGAAACCGTCTCCGAGACCTTCGGATCGATTGACTCGGTCTATGCCAATGCCGGAATCAATGCCTTTGACACACTATTCGACGAAGAGTTCGACGACGAGGGCAGGTTGAAAGCGCCGACCCTGAGGAACCTCGACGTCAATCTCGGTGGCATTCTGTTCACCACAAAGGCTGCAGTCCATTTCTTCACGAAGCAAGGGGGAGACAGACAGTATCAGCTGGTGCTTACAGGGTCTGCCGCGAGGTCAGTTGTCTGTTTGCTCGATGCGAGGGTGAAATTCCACAACAGCCTGGTATTGATTCTCCTTGTCGTTTCAGTCTTCTCGACACGCCGCCTCTCTACATTTACTGTGCCGCAAAGGCTGGTGTCTTGGGGCTGATGCGCGGTTTGAGATCCAGATTGCTGGACAAGGGGATTAGTGTAAACATGATTGCGCCGTGGATGACCGGTATGTCCAAAGTCTGAGTCCCTAAGCTCCTTTATCTCGTGTTACAGGTTCCCCTCTAATCTTTTCCCCCTCCTATTCAGTAACCCCCATGCTTCCTGACTGGATCAGAGACTTATGGGGCAC